CTGAGGCGTTTTATTTGGAAATCATGTTCCAGAAAAGGCGGTAAAAAATCATTCTAGCATGCCGGCCAGAGTAAAGAGCCTCATCACATGCTTCCCAACTAACATTATCTTGTGGCTGAGGGAAATGTGCTCGGCACTTTTTCTACTGTGGAGTAAATTTTGCATGACCAGCCAGTACAATTTCTTCAGATTCTTTTCCCTGCTTCCATTCAATGGAAACCCCAAAGTGGAGAGACATACTTCTTAAAGATGGGCTAAGCATTCAAGAGTCTGGGCTGGTGTTCGACTACTTGGATTTGACAGGTACCCAATGAAGCTTTGGTGTCGACCATGCAGTGAAACTTAAAGCCGCAGATCGAGTCTTTTCGGGAATATAGGAACTGTGAGTGTAATGTTTCTAGAAAATTGTATATTGCAGGTAATGTTGATCATGGGGGTAGCAGAGAAAGGGGGGAGCTGTCACACATCACACCCACAACAATCCAAACTGCCGGGTTAGTTGTGTCACCATAAGCGACAACGCACCATCGATGTAACAGTACCTGCATCCTTTCAGTGCCATTTACAATGTCGTAGCCTCTCTGGCAAAGTTACATCGTGCTATATAGTCATTTGACAGACTGATGTTTTCCATGTTGCCAGAGGGCCCTATTCTAAGTCATATGGAGAATTCTCGCTAGACAACAGCAGCCTTATGACTGGGTGACGGCACATAGGTTGTTTGTGAGTCAATTGAAGGTAGCATTGGCTATGCAGCTATTCCGCACTGCCTCAAATAGCTGTTGTCCTATGGGCAGCAGTCCATGGAACTAGGAGTCGGGGGATTGAACGAAAGCAACTAATAAGCTTACTTGCCAATCCCAGCGTACAAGTCAAATGATAGATGCCAGAAATTTGCGTGTAGCTGGGCGAGGGACTAATCACAGAATATAATTGCGCCGCTGCTGCTCCGATGCCATATCAACGCAGCCATTGATATCCAACTAACCCACGAACCCCGGACTCCTACTACCATTCAATTTACGACAGAAAGACATGCAAGCATTTCCTCAATGTCTAGCGCGAGGCCACAGACGGACCATCTTCCTAACGGGTCCGGGCCCAGCATGCTGTATAACAGGCATCACAATAGCAGCATGCTGACACCTTCTCACGCAGACAGTTCGGAGGTACCAGAAAGCACTTTAATTGGGTAAGCGGCCAGTAGGCACAACGTTGCATATTTGAAACGGCTGAGAACCTAACTTGACAAAACAGATCGTTGATCAAACCATCGTTAGATCCCCCGCGGCCATGTTTATCACTTGCGCTTCAACGAAAAAGCCTTTACTGGGTTGGCTAGACGACCAGGTTGCTTCTATGAGGTTCTTGCTCTTGCCTTCCACGAACTCAAAAATGTTTTTAACTTCCGCAGATGCAAGGATGTGGACATTTTCCCCATCCAGCTCACCAACGTCATTGGCGGAGCATTACATGTCAGCAGGGTCTTGTAAAATCACACAGGAGAGGCCTAATTAGCAAGTGATTCTCCACCAACGCACAAATGAAGACATAGTTTGGGGATATATGGGAGCTTGGGTTTCTGGATTGGAATATCTAATTGAAGGACTTGAGGGAACTGACAGTTTGGGACTGTTATGCCGGATGCTGTGACCTTCTCGCATACATTTGAAGACAGTACGACCCGATATCAGGTTGAAATGTTATTCTAGTTGTCTTATATCTCAGGAAGTGCTAAGCAACTGTCATCAGTTTGGGGCTCGTAAAGAACATTTCATTCCATGTTTCCAGGATTCCTTAGGTAGGTTGGCGCTTGGCAGAGATGAGGTAAAGTGAGAAGTCAAGCTGTCTGTTTTATAAGAAGTCAGGAAGGCAGCATAGAAAAAAATGGGGAAGGTTTCATGATGTGACAGTACATCAGGCTTCGTCAGCCAGCAATCACGGCCTCAAGATCCAGGGGAGCCTGCTGGTTTCAACCTCGCGAGGGAAACTAAAGCAAAGTTCTGTGCTGTCAGACCAAAGCCTTTTCTACATAGGCTCTTTTAGCGTCATCATTTTGGTATCAGCTTTCCATCCATAAAAGACCATTTTTACCTTTGCGTCGACATACCTTCTTCCCTTGGTACTTCGCTTTGGGTCGTTTCAAGCAATGCCTAGAGTTCCTGATAATGGCCTGATCAGCTGCCAGCTGTTCGGTCGAATGGAATTGTTGGGGCCCCTTCGACACGTCAGCCCTCCGTAGCACCCCTCAAGCTTTGGAGTTCGCACAATCGCTCTTTCTCCCTATCGTTAATCTTCAGCTCCACACTGGGGCCAAGATGCAGTGTCCTGGTGGGCTCACCCGCAGCTGACACCAATCATGGAGTGACCGGACGGAAAAGAGGAGCCAGAGTGCCCTGCAAGTTGGAAGTTCGCTCTGGCAGCCCATAATTCAGAAATGGCTCCTGCGGAGCATGCAAGCCTGCGGCTTGAAGTTTTACATGCGGTATATCATAATCCGTATACTCCACGCTTGAGGATATACTTCTTGGGGATGGCCTGCCATTGCGACGGTCTCAGCTGGTGAGCTGGCGGTGATCGTCATTGGGCGATTAAGACAGATCAGCATCATCATCGACAGCTATTGCAAGGGGGACCCTCGCCAGAAGCTCGAACCCGCCCGTAGCTCTGCCACCCCGGTCTATGTATGTATGATGCTGCACGCAACCACGGCAGAATGAGATGGAAATGTGATGGATCTCTCCATGCGTGCCTTGTGGCGATGTCAAGACTAGATCCACCCCACAGCGGGCCGTGCTGCGGTCGGGAATCCTCCGCACTGTTACCCTGCCAAAAGCAAGGGACCCAACGATGAAAAGCTTATTTCAACTTCACACCAAGTATTTCACCGTCACAGCCAAATCCAGGATCATTCTTTGATATGCATTCGCAGCTTCAGTGAACGCTCGATACTTGTCTTGGCACTTTGAAGATAACATCGAATATGTCTTCGTGACACGAACCTCAGCCCTGCACAATAACCTAAGCATTGCTAGGCAAAATTTTAAGGTTAGCGTGCTTCCGACGTGGTCCAGAGTTATGCTGATGATGGTTACCAGTGACACTGCTGTTGTTTGCAATCCTCACTTGCCACCACGTCGGCAAATCCAGCTATCAGCAAAATTACAAAATAGCTGGCTATGGAATTGTGACAGATACAGTGAACGGACTGACGAGGAAGAAAGATGCTGAGAGGCATCAATCCAAGGTTTCAGGGAAGAGAAGAAGTGGGAGGTCTGAGTTTACTGTGCTGGGGACCTTTTTTCAGATGTCTCATCTCTAGCTGTGCGGCTCTGCTGACACGTGCTTGCTCGTTTTAGAAGCATGCCAGAAAATGCAAACCTGTCAAATGGTCGGTGCAAAGTTGCAATATTGCGTCTCCTCACTAGCTTTATTGCGTCCGTTTTTTGCATGGGCGATGCTTGACACGATATGATGTGCACATGTGACGGGCCGCAGCGATAAAGGCGAATGTTTTGGCCCGAGTCCCTGCCATCACTTTTGGCGGCAAACGCGGCATAAAGCTCGAAATGCGGACACAGATCTAAGTATCTACACCTACCACCTGCAACATGGGCCTCAACACGACCACCTTGTAGTCCACCCGATTAAAAATAGATATTAGACAGAACCAGCGCTTCAGACACCCATCGGCCTGACCGAAAAGAATAGTCAGCTTGCTTGTCTTCTGTTTCAAAGGAGCAGTCGGTGACAATCCCTACAGAGGGAGTATGGTGCGAGCATCCCCCGCTGAGTTGCCAAATGACATCCAGAATCAGCATATGTCCTTATTCGTAAGCCCCCTTGGCGGTCAGTCGTGCATATTTCCTCTATATCGCAGACGGGCACTTTACAGCCCAGCCAAAGCATATGTCGTACCCAATCAGGTCAGCTTAGAACGCCGCGCTGCGTTGGCTGTCTTCATAGGTCTTCACATTGCAATTCCCGCCATCGCCGACAGGAAGAAGCGCATCACCAAAGATCTGGTGACCTTTCCAATCGTCCCGAGTCTCTCCGAATAGCACTGCGATACCTTAATCGCTTCAACTGAGCGAAGATGCTTCTGCACAGTTTAAACAATCCTGCCTTATGATATGCAGTAGGCAATCAAGAAAGATCCTTTGCCGCAAGCGATGTCCAACGGCATCGAATCTTGCAGCGCTTGTTATAATGCTGGGGCACTTGCATGTTGCGGAAAGGTTTTCTGGAGTTGGCAATCCGAGAACTTGGCTCACACTCTTAGCCAGGACAGAATCGAAGAAGGCTTGATGGTGTTCCGTTGTGAGTTCATCCTTTGTCCCGCTCCATACCCATTTGTTCGTTCGGCATTCCCATGCGGCAAGGCTATTACTCGAAACTCCGGGATCTGTCGCTAATCACCGTATGCGACCCAATAATGAACGACAAACTTACCGCTAAAAGCCTTTCGATTATGAACACTTGGCGCCTTGCCACGTCGATTAAAGGCAAACTTCCGAAAGTTAGAAACTAGATGACGGTGAGAATCCAAGCCATCAGACCATTTGAGTCTTTCTTGATCATCGAGATTGGTACCTTTTTTGCTCTCATGGAGAGCCTTCGGAAGTAGTTGCCGCATGTGGCAGAAGTCCGCCATTCGATAGGGCTGAGCAAATAGCGAATAGCGCCGATGACAGCGAAGCAGCAGGCTGAGGCAGCGACAGACAGTACTCCCTACGTCACCTAAAGCCCAATCCTTATCATGGTTAGCTTGCACCTTTTCCAGATTATTGAATGCTCACCGCCAGTTGTCGATTTGAATCTTGGATGGCATATAGATAGCCAGACAAATCCCATCGCCCTCCTATCCAGATTCCTTGTTTCATTCAAGGCATCTTTTCGTCGTTCAATCGCTCGATCCACGCTATCACGGGCCGTCAAGGACACAGAAAAAGGCACCCGTGGTGCTTTGCAACACAACATGGTCAAATATTGGACCAAAGATGCCGCAACACAAGTCCTCCCAACCTGATACAAGGCACAGCAGTCATCGTAGTCGCAACAGATCCGTGATGACTCCGTCCGATGGCGACATGACCCATCCGTCGAATTACCCCGCGCCCACCCAAACGACCTCGTCGGTGCCAGAGAGCACGATTCTCCCCGACTCCAAAAATGGAATCGTCGGCAATTGGGAAGCTTCCTTGGGCTCTAATATCCCTCAATACTGGTCAGACATAGACTCGATGGGGTTCCCTTATCCGGCCCCTGCTGACTGGCTCCCCACACCTTGGAGTTACTCCCTCAGTCTGGTCCTAGGGCAGCAGGGAGAATATGTCAGCCACGGACCTGAGGGCGATGCTGCGTCGGTGAATGTGAACCCTAACGACAGCCCTCGGTCCCCCGTCTCCCCCCCCGGCCCCAGCAACCACAAGAACGAGTTTCTCCTTGTCGAAGACGCGATTGCCCATGTTTCGGGAGGGCAGAATACAGACTACCCTCACAGCTGGATGCCTTCAATCGGTTCAACTTCCTACTTGTGCCCAGAGCAAGAAACTCCAGTCAGCGTTCAGCATCGTCAACGGCCTACTGACACTGAGCCGTATGGAACCGACGATGGGCTTGGACACCAAGCGATGCAACATGGATACAATGTGGGGCTGGGTATCCATCATATTGGTATCCCGCAGCAATACGCAGAGTGCTGGTCGCAGCCTGAGCCGCAGCCGGCATATCCTTATTTCTCTCCCACGACTCATGACGACCAAGTCGATGTGGATAATGATGATGATCATCCTGAGCAAGAGACCCAAGCTAGCGCCCAGGCTGACGATGACAGTGACTGGACCTGGGCTGCGTACTCCTCAAGTGACGATTGTGATGAGGTTGCTGAGGGGTGGCATCTGATCAACAAGAAGTGAAATGCTGCACTTGGAGTGGAAGCGATGTTGGATCGTTCATCCTCCAGGAGGACGTTATGTGCATCGAATGGCGATTTCTCTATTATTTTATATCGCTTGTTGCTGTCGATTGTATTCTGCGTTCGTTTGTCTTTGTTCTATCTGTCGTTCATGGGGGTCATTGGTATAACTAGTTAGTCTTGTCACTCGTTATGTCTTAGTTCTGAGTGAGGAGATGAAAGTCATTCGTTTGGTAGGAGAAGAGATTAGCTTAGAAATAATTTATCAGGTTCGCGTTTCCTTAAAGCATTGAGGTAGTTTATATGTCAGGCTTGAAGTCCTGCATGCCTTTTTGGCATTTGTCACCCGCTTCGCAAGTTGCGCTGACACTTTCGTGTTCCACCCAGCTGGGTCATGATGGTGTGGTGGGTTATGATACCACAAGCTCCAATCACACTCTCCTGTCTCATTTCTCACTGCTTCTCTGCCTAATGTCCACCTCCGCGTTTGCCACACAGTTATAATGAGAATAAACGCCTTGTGGCCATGCTCATGCGACGGACATCATTTGTATGCCACCATCTCTTCTCACATCATAAGCCGCCCTGTTTTTATGATGTGTAACAGATTTTCAATCGCATTCCTGCTGCATATTGAATCGTCGTACCTCGATCCATGCGAATAGAAATCTGCAGAAAGCTTTGATCAAGAACGGCTGCAATGACACACTTGACTTGTTGGACTCAATACACTCGCATCTGGCGAACGATCGCAGAACACCTGCTGGGTTGGTAGATATGCTCCTCTCAAGAAACTGAAGACTGCAGAAACAAGGTTCTACACCGTGAGGCTACTGAAACTTTGCAACTGCATCCCTTTCGATCGCCTTTATTGGGATTTCCGTATAGAAAACCCCAGTAGTGACCATATTTCAGGTATAGCTTACTTCATGAACATATGCCTATGCATTGAGTCAATTATTAACAATGATATTTTTTGTCCAAGCTAAGTTTATTTTTCACCGTACTATCTTCAACCCGGTAAACGTTTTCCACACAGTCCGACCAGCCGCTCCATAACCTCAGTTCATCTTAATGTTATACTGTAGTCATTTTTCAGATATTTGTTTGTGATCAAAGAGCATAACAGAATTCCAAGTCAGATATGCAGTTAGCGTAAGGCGTGACAGATGTGCGAAAAAGCACATTTTCCAAATATGTACTTGAATGGTCAGCCGTGGCCTTTGTATCACGTACTCTTACATAAGTAATGCCACAGGAACCTTGCCACCACTGCGGCTTGCATACCAGCGGTAGGGGGCGTGCCAATATATGCACTTCATTTACAATGAACGCCACCTGTCGCTGAGATAGGAGTAACCGGTGTGATGGATATGGAATTAACGCCAGATGCTAGTTGGAGTTGGGTCATGAGCTTCCTCAGGACCTGGATTCTCTAGTTTTCTTCAGATGTTTTGCATGCATTGCTTTGGTTCAGATACACCCCATTGACGGTGTGAGGAACTACTGGATAGTTACCTCTGAATTCTCTGTTTACTCTAGGGAAAAATGCCCTAGTTTTGTCTCCACAGCAACGATGTATCCACAAACATCAACATGGATTTAGAGTGTGGTGAACCTGGAAGGTGTGATCAGTGCCACTCAGAATAACCTTGGATATGGATGTTGTAATATTTGAGACATGGAAGAAACACAAGCAATTTTTATAGGTTACGTTCAGATTGAGGATTTCCGAATGATCACCCTGTGGTTAAACCCATCTTAACCTGTCAACACTGGGCATTAGATGACACTGAACTGACGGTTGAATCTGCTCTGTAGCACCACTATATTATGCTGTGCCCTTGACTTGAGCACACTCGCGGTGATACTTTTGATGCCTTGCTGTTTCTGGTTCTGGTACATAAATCATCATCGGTCTTGTGAGATATAATAGTTGACGCGGATGAGAACAAAACATTCGGCTCAAGGATCACAAGAACTTAACCTCTTAATGAATCTTACAGCAGAATACGCAACGGTACTCAGCAGCTACATATTAAAGTCAGGGAAGGACACCGTCCCAAATGTTAAAGCGGCAGACGCGCTGGTCGTTCCATTTGTCAATGCCAAATTTAAGTCCGAACAAGCGGCTTAGCGGAAGCCGACTTGCGATCAATACTCGGATCCTTCGGCTCCCTTGGGCGCCAAGCCGTAACCCAAGCCCCAGGGTTCTCATCTACCTACTACCAGTTATAGTTCAAACTAACCAGAGGCGGCACCTGGAGACAGGCAGTGAAACCGGAATTACGCTGTCAGACGTTTCATGTAATCAGGAGAACGGTCCACACTAGGTTTTGGAAGAGGGGCGCTGCCGGATAGGATTGTCACATTATCGTAAGCTCTCAGTTATGATTATAAATGGAAAGATGACAATAGCACGCTTTCGCAGTTGCCTTCTGGTCGCCTTCTCTCTTCCACACTCTGTATTGGTGGATAACTCTTACTTATGAACTAAGATGAAGCAAGGTGTTCAAGGTAATTGGAGTTCAAACATGTAGGCCGAAGGCTCAGAACCAGTTAGCGTATAGATTCAGCTACTTCAAGGGCTGAGCTAGAAGATGAAGCCCGATGGCTGATGGTAGTAAGGCAACCAACAATGGTGTGAACGGCCAGGGCTTATGTAGGTCAAAGGCCGCATGACGACGCACCTCCTGGCCATGAAATAAAATTACAGGCTTGCATATCGTTATGGCGTAAGAGCTGAGGCTAGGAGATAAGTAGTCACGTGTGATGAGGCAAGGGGCGAGTGGCTAGCCGCTAAGGAGCATCGCCAGAGCTGTGGAAGGTTGCCTGCCTATCCAACCTGGGTGATTGGATTAGATGCCACGGTGTAGAATTGCCCCCCCCCCAAAAAAAATCTCCAATCTCTTGTGGCGAGTACAATGTCCTCTTTTGCCACAATGAAAGCCTTGGGCAGAAGGTGAAGTTTTGGGTACATCGAAGGCACATGTGTGTCAGGCGACAAGGCTTTCATCATTGACAACACAACCAGGCGCTGAAACTAGATTGAGATCAAAACATTGTGGAAGTTGTAGAATGCCCAAATCTTTGTTTAGGCATCTTTGGGGACCGATATATTTTGGGTGCATCAGTCTCATGTTGGAATGATGAGGCTTTCTCACTACGGTGAGCTCGTAATCTTTTTCAAAAAAGGGGGGGGGGGCGGTGGAGACAACACAAAATCTGACGCGTAATTTGGCAGCTGTGGTAATAACAACTAGTTTGTCGACTATTCTAGGTTCCTTCCATAGCATTTTCAATAAAAATAGACTTGGATATGCCTATCATGAACGGATCTCGATGGTTCGAGTCAGTTCCATAAGGGCTGTCAGCGGTGTTAGGAGACTGCCACGCAGCTCAGACGCAGCCAGAAGAGCTAGCCAATAGATGCAGAGGAGGTCGATATTACTTGTTAAGACAGGCCCAATTTGGACATCACGCAGCTCAGACTAGGCCGCAGGCTTTGGATATTGGCACTTGTTAAGTAGGACGCAAGCCGCTTGCTTTTGCTTGGCTTGTTCTCCAAAGTTCCGGCATTCCACGTCCTAACTGTCAGATGACATCATAGCCAGCAGTCACTGCCTGCCGCCCTGAGTCTCACTTCCTGGATCTGCGGTTGAGCATACCTCGGCGCTGTACCCCACGCCCCGTACAATCTGGAACCAATGGTTTTGCAGGGTCAAGAAAACATGAAGCTACTTGAACACAGAACACAGAATTTGCACTTGCTTGATTTGACTGGTCCATTGTTTTCAGGCATTGCTGCAGGAAGGAGGTAGAGAACATCGAGCTTTAAGGGGCTGGAAACCTTTGTGCACGGACCACCTTTTCCAGGCGTACTTTTTACTCGAACAACACCGAACGCTTATACTGTTGAGAAAACGCCCAAGACGTAAAACTGAACTGGTTCGCAAATTTCTTACCTGCAACGGCCTAGCTACAACATGGCCAGGATACAATTCATCACTTGAACGTTTCTGACTGCTTTCCTGTGGAATCTGTTGATCCATTGGAGACGAGCAAGAAGAGGTAAGGAATCCTAAGATAAGAGACAAGTTGGAGATATGAATCTTGTCAGGACCAACAATGACTTTATCTGGGAGAGTAGCTTCCGTGCAACTCATTGATCGGAGTAGAAGGGAATTGTGATCCATCAAACTCGGATATCCGCCCCCAACAACTGAACATTGGGAAAGTGTTCCTCAACACCCAAGAATGTTGATTCTCAAGAGTCTGCTGTTGAGGAAGAAGGGTAGCCACAAGAGATGTATATAGATTCCAAGTAGGGCCATCTGGCCCAAGAAACTCTCTAGTCAGCAATACAAACAGTTGCTTACCAACTGGTGACCACAACGGCCACTTAGGTTGTGTGAGAACTCCTGGGTCTCAGTCCAGCAGCCTGGCAACCATCGAACCCATCTCAGGAGGTCTGTCTGGATCGTTACAAATCTCCCAGCATATTTCCTCTCTTTTTTTGCTCCGATCTTCGGAAAGGTTCGCATTAAGAAGTGCTAGAAAGCTTAACACTTTTATATGGATTCCCAAGTAACCTTCCATTGTAATGCAAAGTATGAGCCACTGTACACAGCATATCCAGTGGGAAAAGCTGGGAAAAGCTGGTTCTGGATGCAAATCTATTTGATTCAGTCGACCGGCTGTTAAAGCCCGAGGACCAATCAGAAATTTGCAACCTCCGGTAATGGAGGGGACGGAGTAGGTAATTACACTTAAGATGCATAAGGTGCTGCATGGATGTGCGGTTGAACAGAGTGGGAGCTTGGGATAGGCATTCCTTCAGGAACCAAGTCGGCCCTTGTAGGTTAAGGTACGTTAAGGCATACTTTGAAGTCACTTTGGAAGTGCATATACTTCGATGGATGTTTGTCATATTTGTATCACCTAAGGTGATGTCATGGGTTCTGGAGAGTATACGCAGTACTAGCCTGATTTGTTTGCCCTTGTGTTTTACGTTCCAGCAAGTGTCAATTGCCAGGTTGCTTGGTACTGCCTGGCTAAGCAGACAGATCAAACCCTTGTCGACATCGATGGAGGTGCCAAATCTGCACTTCTGCAGACAGAGCTAATGTGCTGGTTCTTGGCATTGTTTCCACGTACGTAATTTACGGTGTGAGTGTTACCTCATACCCTCGTTTCCTGTGGGCATACCTATTCCTTTCTAAATCGATTGACAGTGCTGTGCACCTTGATCCAATGTGAAAAGCACGGAGGATACCTAGTTGAAACAACTCGAACATGTGTGTAACTACTAACCATGAAAGCCATAAGTGGATGATTGGTAGGAAATGCAAGTGTTAGGAAAGTCTGTGACAACCCGATCGACGTTTGGATCTGCCAACCCATGTCCCGTTTCAGAGATTTGTGTGGGCTCCACCCCTTTAAACTTCCCAGATCTCTTCCACCGGCATCCAGTCTTCGTCACAACGTTACACCAAAAAGGGCTGCGCATCCACCGCAAGTCTTCTTCATCTTCTCTTTCGGCTCTTTACTGTAGCACAAACTTTCTATTCATTCTCTCTTTTACGACTTTTCTGTGTATGCCACGTTCACCGTAAAAGTGTCCTGTCAGCGACTGCGACGGCGTTCCACCCATATCCAGCTCCCCATCGCGTCCTGTTCTCCAATTATCCCGCCTATCCCATATCTTTCGCCGCCCGTATATCGAAAAATCGACTATCTTGTGTGTTTCCGCCGTGTCAGGCACAGCCGTCTGCTGCCATGCTGACATTCCGCCGCGCCCTTGTGGCAGCGGCATTCATTATTACGGTGCTCTTCTTCATAACCCACTCGAGCTCTCCCTCACCTTCGTCATCGGCCGTCGAGTTCCCAAAAGGACAACAACCAGTCGATGGACTGAAGCAGCCACAGACCTTAAAATCCGACAATAATGCTGTACACGGTGGCCACAACAACCGACCCTCCGTATCCGGGCAGAGAGCGTTTCAAGATATGTCCCACATGACGCTCGACGAGAAACTCGCGTACCAATACCCCTACGATGTTGAACTCAAGTTTCCGGGATATATTTGGCAGACGTGGAAATGGACACCGGCACAAGGGGAGTTTACCTTCCGTGAGCAGGAGGCCAGCTGGACGGAGAAGCATCCCGGCTTTATCCACGAGGTTATTACAGACCAAGTCGCTGTGCACCTGATCCGGCTGCTGTACGCGTCGGTGCCCGAGGTAATCGAGGCATACGAGTCACTGCCGCTAGCTGTGCTCAAGGCCGACTTCTTCCGGTACTTGATCTTGTTTGCGCGAGGCGGGATCTACACAGACATCGACACGTCGGCCATCAGGAGTGCAGCCGACTGGCTGCCGGAGTCGGTGCCGCGTGACCAGATCGGGTTGGTCATTGGCATCGAAGCCGATCCTGACCGTCCAGACTGGGCGCAATGGTACAGTCGCCGTATCCAGTTTTGCCAGTGGACTATCCAAGCCAAGCCAGGTCATCCCGTGTTGCGGGAAGTTATCAAGCGCATAACCGATCAAACATTGGCTCGGAAAAGGTTAGGTACGCTGGACAGAATCACTGATCGCGAGGTGATCGAGTTTTCTGGTCCCGCGCTATGGACTGATGTGATTTTTGACTACTTTAACGATGAGCGCTATTTCGATATGGCACGGTCCCCTGGGCTCATTGACTGGCACAATTTTACGGGCATGGAGGACCCCAAGAGAGTGGGTGACGTGGTCGTGCTCCCAATTACGAGCTTCTCTCCCGGGGTGCAGCAAATGGGCGCCAAGGATTATGATGACCCGATGGCCTTTGTGAAGCACGACTTCGAGGGTAAGTTTAGCTTTGTCTGTGAACGAGCAGCGTCTAAAGCATGGGCAAACAGGAACCTGGAAACCCGAAAGCGAAAGGCATATCGGCGAGAACAACAACCAATGATCAGTGACGTGATCCGTTTAATCCTGCGGAATTTTCCCTTCGATCAACGATCAACTTGTACTACGTCTTTGTAATAATTTCCGCTTCGACAAACCTGCATGGGTCGGTGTTCTGAATAAGCGGCAGTTACGCTCGGGTCGAGGCTCAATTCGACATGGGACTTGAAAAACCAGCAACGATATTTTCTGGCATCACTGTTATTGCTGGAGCACGCATACGGAAGGGATAGATAAGACGTATAGATCATTGCTGGTTATCTGCGAGCAGGGATTGGCCTTGGGAATGGCCTTGTGTGGGGTGTCTTGATACGTACAAACATCTAATAAAAAAGGAGGAAGACGATTCTCTAGTGAAGCTTCGATTGCTCCTGGATCAAGGTTCATATTAGCGACGCAGTTTTGCTGGTCAGATATCAGCTCGCAACATGCACGCTCCTGAACTGGTACCAAGGTAATCCGTGCGGGGTCGTATCTTTGATCCCAGAATGCCCATTAATGCTGAAGGCAGTAGGGTTGGCATTCTCCCCCTTGCTTACATCGTCTAAGAGATTTAGGTCTTCCGCGACTGCTGGAGCCTCAACCACTATCCCAACATAGGGTTGCATTGAGCCACCAGCCTCAAGAAAGTCTAAAATTCCGCTCCGCCTTTTCCAGGAGTCCCCTTCTTCCGTGGAGAGAGGCGCGGTGGGGAAGGGTATGGAACGACTTTCACCCCGCACTTGCGACTCAGCTTCCATTCTCAAGGAAGCAGACAGCATGGTGCTCTTGGCAACCATGATGTGTGGAGCAGGCACTGAAGTATAGTTTGTTGAACTAAGGAGGAAGAAAGGAGAAAAATGTGAATTTTTTTCAAAGATTTCTAATCATGATGTTGAGGTAAAAATGGTTTCTATCAATGCTAGACAGATATTTGACAGTTTTGATTCCCCAAGATCTCTGATGAACACGCGTCTCGTGATATATCATCCCTTTGTCAGATCGATTGTGGGGGGAGTGCTTGGCACGCGCAACGGTTCGCATGCTTACCCCGCATTTTGGACAAACTTCCCCATGCTCCTGATCTGCGCACTGCACCTTGACGACCCAGCCTTCCCTTATCCGGACCCGGGGTGGGCTTTGCCTCGGGTGCAATTGGCTCGGCGAAGGCACTCGGTCGGTCGGCCGTCGCAGCTGTGCCACGTCGGGGGATGAAGGGGCACTGATCATGATGGCTTTCGCCTTAGGGGGGAGCCACGATGGCTTCCTTCGTCCATCTCCTGCATTGTTCGTTGTTATTCAGACAGGAAGTATCTCACTTCACGACGACAGCTTGCCTGTAGTGACAACAAGGCAACTTGGTGCTATCAGAGGTTGAATAGAACCGGAACAGCCGTCATCCGCTCATCCGAAGCCCGCGATGCGCTTGCATTCGATGTCAACAACGCGGTTGCTGTACGTGTCTGCTGCGCGAAACAGCTTGTTGTGCAGATATGTGCACGCCTCAACCCCCAAGGGATCGTGGCACGTCACCAGGACCAAGAGCAGGAGAGCTGGCAGGACGTTGAGTACCCTGACGCGAAGCATTAGCCAGGGCCCTACTGAGGTAGGTACTCCCTTCCCTATGGCCCCTTGGATGATTCATTGCACAGGCTGTATTGGATGAAACTGATCCTGACCTATGTGACTTACATACCTAGACACCATTGCTTCCGCACACAATCCCTGAGCACTTCTCCTCTATTGTCTCGCAGTTCGGTGACCGGCCCGCAGTCATCTCCCGTTCGCCCGCCATAAGCCAGGATGGCTTCCCCAATCTTCCTCCTGGAACATTGCTCTCGTCTGTCGAGACAACACTCACTTATGAGAAACTGGATCTGGCCTCCAATGCACTTGCACAATCGCTTCGTTCGCTAGGAGTCAAGAAGGGCGATCGCGTGGCCATGAGCTTGGGTAATTGTGCCGAGTTTGCAGCACTCACGTATGCTATCTTTAAGCTAGGCGCCATTTTGGTGCCGCTGAACCCGAGTTTCAATGCTAACCAGGTTACTGCGGCCTTGAATCATCTGGGTGTTGAGATCCTTATAATTAGTGCTGTCACCGACTTGGCTTACAAGCCGTGCCGGGGAAGAAGTAATTTCCCGCTCCTACAAGAAATCGTGTCAGACCTCTCGTCAGGCAAGGTCGAGTCCGCCACTATCCCCACACTCAAGAAAGTGGTTGTGGTAGACAACTCAGGATCTCACCCCCAAAGCAACTTCCCGTCTCTAGATACTCTGCGCTCCCTTATTCCCTTCAACTCTCTTCTCCCTTCAGGTCCCGATCTCACCAACATTGCAGCCCAGTCTGCTCGCCCCATCACCCCTGACTCCCCATTATCCCCATCCGATACTATCAACATCCAGTTCACCTCGGGAACCACTTCCCAGCCCAAAGCCGCCATGCTCTCCCACACTAACATCCTCAACAACGGCAACCTAATCGCTCAGCGCATGGGCCTTGACCCATCCGACCTCATCGTCTGCCCGCCGCCCCTCTTTCATTGCTTTGGCTCCGTTCTAGGCTACATGGCGACCGCCACCACAGGCGCAGCAATCCTCTTCCCCTCGCCAGCCTTCGACCCTGTCGCAACGCTGCGTATGGCCGCCGCGCACCGCGCAACAGGCCTCTACGGCGTTGCGACCATGTTTGTCGCGATGTTTGAGGCGCTGCACAACCATCTGATCCCCGCTGACCAGGCGACAGCGCTCCCGACTCATCTGCGCAAGGGCATCGCGGCGGGCAGCTCGGTGCCGGAGTCGCTGATGAGGAAAATATACGCTACGTTGGGCTTGAATGAGTTGGTCATTTGTTATGGCATGACGGAAACAAGCCCCGACAGCTGTATGACTTCTCCACGGGACCCATTCGATAAGCGGACGCAGACTGTTGGCCGGGTGATGCCGCATACTAAGGTGAAAATTGTTGATCCAGCTGACAGGTCGAGGATTTTGCCTATTGGGGAGCGTGGCGAGCTCGCTGCGTCCGGGTATCTTGTTATGAAAGGCTACTGGGGGGATGAGGAGAAGACAGCTGAAGTACGAATTGTCGAGAAGAATGAGGAGGGGGTTGAGGAGGTGTGGATGTATAGCGGGGATGAGGCGAGCATGGACGCCGAGGGGTATGTAGAGATTACAGGGCGGATCAAGGATCTGATTATTCGTGGAGGAGAGAATATCCACCCACTGGAGATTGAAAACTGCCTCTTCCAGCACCCGCTTGTCGCGGAGGTTAGTGTGGTTGGAGTGCCGGATGAAAAGTATGGAGAGTGTGTCGGCGCGTTTGTAATTGTCCATGAGGGCGTTCGGGCCGAAGAGGAGGAAGGCGCGGTGGTTTCGGAAGGAGAGGAGAAGGTCTTGACCAAGGAAGATGTGAGGGAATGGGTCAGAAAGAATCTGTCCAATCATTTGGTGCCGAAGCATGTGTGGTTTGTGAAAGAATACCCAAAGACGGCAAGCGGAAAGATTCAAAAGTTTAAGCTGAGGGATATGGCAAAGGAATTGGTGGCTGCTGGCAAGTAGATATCATGTTAGCGGTTTATTCTTAGGGGGAATAAGAGGCTCAAGGAGTCGGTACCGGTTGCTTTGGTGCGAGTATACTTGGGATATTTGGATCTTTATGAACGTATAAGGGACAAAGCATCTAGCTGCTTAACTAGTTAGTATGAGATTACAGGAATGTACGGACATTGCATGTCTCACTCAACCACGATCTGTACCGTTTGAACGATCGGAAAGGCTCTTCCACGTCAGCAGCACTGGCTTACTAGGCTTGTGTTCATCGCTATGATTCAGTTTGTCGCATCAAAATGAATCCCTCAACAGATATTGAAACATCCGGGAAGTCTTTCTGAAGATTGAAAATTGGCGGCTGGACCCAGGGAGTTTGAAGAAAGGGAGGAAATCGATTGTGCATACCAACCATCATGGTCTCATGTCACTAAACTTCTCTTGACAACCTCTTAGCGATGTCTCCCTGGGAGAAGAGGACGGGGATAAAGATAGGAAACGTATATATTTTCATTGTTCGTCTACCAAAACTGCCACTCTCTCATTGTCACACTCAAGACAACCATCAAATAAGACTTCAACAATTCAGCGGCCGGGCGTGCCTGGCACCTTCGGTGATCCTAATAGTCACGGATCCAGCAAGTCAAGTAGCTTTGACCCTGGTCCCAAGTGCCATCTGGACAAGTGCAGCTGCTGACAGAAGGGATCGCAGTCCGGTATCCAGGTGTGCGATACCTTTGGACACTGGCATGTAAGTCACCCCTTCGGCGATATAGAATCGGGAGGGATGGAAGTTAACTGAAACAAAACAGTCCCTGGGCCCATAGCCCCTCGTTCGCCCTGTGAAGTTTATTTACAAGATCAAGAATCTTTACTGTGTCATCTAGACGGCACATTTGGCTTTGCGAGAAGGCCCGTACTGGATAAGATGGATAAAGTTGGCAAAGAGCAGGCTCACTTTGCATTCAGATTATTCTGATAATGGACAAATAAAAACATTGCTTGGGAATGGACTTCCTGAACTGGCAAGCTCTTCTTTTTGGATTAATCTCCGCTTGACTGTCAGTACTCTCTCAGCCTTTAGGCCTTGAACGTCACAGTTGTACTTATCATTGGATCATTTGAGCCGGAGCTTGATTGGAGAAGTTGGCTTGTCATTTTTGGTTACTATCGTAGGTCTCCATGATGGGCATTTTGCAGCAAACAAAACTCTAGATATCAATTCAAGCTTCTGGCCAATTTTTGTTGAAGACAATGCACGATCCGTTCGCACTAGGTGCAATGTCCTTGTCCGTCAAGAAAACACAGTATTTCGCCACGCTCTCGATGGGCACCTGCTTTTCAGGAGAAAATGGTGACGCAGCCGCCTGCACCTTTTTGAGCATTTCCATGTTTATGCCCTGCGCAAAGGCGTCCGTGATGTTGGTATTCATTCCGCCAAGCAACAAAGCAATGCAGTAGATTTTCTTGTCACCATAAAACCCGGCGGTATTCTTGGTGAGGGCCATGACACCCGCCTTCGACACGGTGTATGCCGCGCCGGCTGAGAAACCGTGGTAGCTGGCATTGGAACCGATGTTGATGATGATGCCACCGGTAGGGTCTTGCTTCTCAAACTGAGCGATAGCCGCCTTGGTAGCGAGGAACGGTCCGTTGAGGTTGATGTTCAACACGCGGTCCCACAAAGCCTTAGAGCAAGCACCAGCGGGAGAGAAGTCGTCCATGACACCGGCATTATTGATTAAAATGTCGATACGGCCGAACTTGGCCACAGCGGCTTCAATGAGGGCATTCACGGCAGCTTCGTCGGTCACATCGACCTGTTGAGTGAGGAATTTGTCGGGGTAAACCTTGGTCCATTCCTCGTTCACGGAGGCCAGCCGCTGTGGGTGGACATCGCAGACAACGATGTTCGCTCCGGTTGCGAGGAAGGCTTCCGCAATGGCCTTTCCGAGGCCACCAGCCGCACCGGTGATGATGACAGTCTTGCCCTGAGGGGAGGTCATTGTATATGGAGGATACGGCAGGTAAGATAAATGGTGAAGGAACTTTTGAAGTAATGACACTTAGAGGATGGAGGCCGGGCAATCACCTCAGGGGCCATTCGATTATCCAGCCCCTTCTTATGGTCTCCCGGCCACTCCGGCTAGAGGCGAGGATCTTTTGTTGACTCCATCTTTGGCAAGTTTTGCGGGGAAACTGTTAAGCGGATGAAATTGGTCGACAGGGAACGCTTGGAGCTAGGGGGGGGGATTACGGGATACTACTGGCAAAGCTGAAAGTCATCTATTAGACCAGAACCTCAGCTTTTAAAGAACAAAAGCTATAAAGCAAACACAAATTCGAATGCGAAGCATCCCTTGTTGGCCTGAGACAATGCCGAACACGACTTGAATTTCTATTGTTTCCCCATCGTTTTGCGACGCTTTGTGGGGTCCAGGTTACATGCCACAGGTACACCTTTGATTGCAGAGGCGGTGTGTTGGGTAACCTTGAAGCCTTGCGAGGAGGGTGCGGATGCGGCGTATGCGGGAAGCAGAGCTGCTAGAACTTTGAAGCTTGCATCTGCAGACTTTCCAATCATCACCGGGCCCTAGGAATGGACGAATATTGGGCAGGTCGACGTCAAGGAGGGGCAGCTAATATGGGGTGTTAAGATGATTGATAAGATACAGATTTTATCGATAAGAAGTTCGAACCCTGCTTTCCGATGACGAAACCACAGGCCCGGGAATGTCTGAAGCACTTTTTTCGGCGCAACATTCGGCACCATAAGGCTCAATACTCTGAGGTCTTCGGCACCGAAACCCTCCATATCCGAGCAATGAGCCCACAAACTCAGTAATAGCACTACCTCACATACTATTTACATCACAATGTCCTCACTCTCCTCTAACCCCAAGCTCCAACTAGCCGCTACGGCCGTTGTCTCAGCTGCCCTTGCCGCAGGCGCCATCCTTAGCTACCAGCACCTACAACAATTCAAACAACCACACTCCTCCCGTCGACGCTACTCCATCCCAAATCTCCCAAGCAACGGTAATGGCGACCCCGCCCTGCAGCCCGTGACGCGCATGGGCCCGTTGCCGAAGCCCGACCCGGAAGACGAGCACAACCAGGTGCTCGCGCACCGCGCACAAAACGGTGACTGGGATGACGAGCTAATCCTGGAGCAGCTGGCGCGCAACCGCGTGTTCCTGGGTGACGAGGGGCTGGTGAAGCTGCGCAATGCCTTTGTGATTGTGGTTGGCTGTGGAGGCGTTGGATCTCATGCTTGCGCAGCGCTGGCTCGGTCTGGCGTGTCAAAAATCCGGTTGATCGATTTCGATCAGGTCACCCTGAGTAGTTTGAACCGTCATGCTGTGGCTACGTTGGCGGATGTGGGCCTGCCAAAGGTGCAGTGCTTGCAGCGGCGGTTGATTGCGATCACCCCGTGGGTGAAGTTCGATCTCAGGTTGCAGAAGTTTGATGCCAGCGTGGCGGTGGACTTGCTGGAGGGCTGGAAGGGGGATCCGGCACAGAAGCCGGATTTTGTGATTGATGCGATTGACAACATTGACAGCAAGGTAGAGCTGCTCAAGTTTTGTCATGATAATGGCCTGCCGGTTATCTCGTCTATGGGTGCCGGCACCAAGAGTGATCCAACGAGGGTTATGGTAGGAGATATCAGTGCTAGCTTTGAGGACGCCTTGTCAAGGGCTACTCGGAGGAAGCTTAAGCTGAAGGGAGTTACCAGTGGTATCCCTGTTGTGTATTCCACTGAAAAGATGGGCCCTGGCAAGGCGGCGCTGTTGCCGCTGCCTGAAGAGGAGTTCCAGAAGGGCGCGGTTAGTGATCTGAGTGTGCTTCCCGACTTCCGGGTGCGGATATTGCCTGTGTTGGGGACCATGCCGGCTGTCTTTGGCTACACCGTAGCCAATCATGTTATTCTTTCCATTACCGGTAAGCTATACAACTTCGAAGATCCAGCTTACCTTAGTCCTTCGGTTACTGACTTCTGCTTAGGCTATCCCATGGACTACCAGCCAGCCAAGGCCCGCGATAAGATGTATGAATCGATCTTGGCCTACGTACAAGCCAGCGAGGAGAAGATTGTGCGCATGATCGAGGGTGGTCGCACTGATGTTTGCATTGGCCTCAAGGTTCCCATCACCCCGGGAGACATCGCCTTCTTGGTGGAGGAGGCCTTCAGGGGCCGCAGCGCGGTAAGCGGCATCCCGACGAAGCTGATGCTGATTCGGTGGAAGAAACCCGAAAAGACCACACTGATCCGTATTGGAGAAGGCAAGGACGAGCAAAAGTCATCTAACCTGCGGCTCCGTGATCTTGTGTGTATGACGAAGGAGGAGGCTGTCAGGCACCTGAATGAGGTGCTCTTGGGTAACAAAAACCTTGAGGAGCTTTATGATAAGGAAGTCATTGAGAAGGTTGAGGCTCGGCAGAAGGAAGCCGAGGAGTATGAGAAGCATAGGTGAACGAACTATATGAAAGCCGAAATACAAATACCTAAGGGATTGGACGGCCGGCCCGCCAGAGATACTACTCTTCCCCATTTTGCTGCACAGCAAATGTTGCGAATATGTTTATTCATGCCAAGTTTATTGGCTTAAGGTTCCTAGTAACACGATTTGGGACCCATAAATACTCAGTTCCCTGTGGTATCTGCTGACGACGCTCTGAGAGAAGATTATCCCTGATATCTCCATGAGATGTGGTATCTCAGCCCAAATGAGTCCTCCCTTAACGCCGGAACGCATATCAAGCAGCAGAAGAAACAAACTGAGATGCCATATGTAGCCGAGTTGATCCCAGATGAACGCCATGAGCAAGTGAGGAAACGATTTAACGGGTCTTGCCTGACGGCTCCATGCGCATTCCGACGCCTTGGCAGATCTTGCCCTTGTTGAACCACTCACTTGTCGGCAGCAGCTGCGCCGTAACCCAGCGGGCGGTGGTCGTGTGCATGCTGCCTTCACCAAACGGCTGGTCCGTCTTGTCGCGACGCATACGCCTTTCGCTGCCAATGGCCAGCTGCTTCATGGGCTGCTCAAGTCCAGTGATGCCGTTGTTGACGCTGCTGCTATCCATGCCACTGCTGCCTTCGTCTGTGCTGCGCAGTACAGAGCTGCGTCCCTCAGCCAGCGCCTGGAAGATAACCATCTGATCCTGGAGATATTCGTCGACCAGCCCTCCAGCAGAGACTTCCTCAAAGAGTTCCTTAGACACCTGCCGGGAGATAGTCTCGCTGATAGAGCTCGTATGATGCGCAGTATTGCTGCCCTTCCCGCTATTCGCAGACTTGGAGCCCTTCTTCGGCTCTTTGGCATTCTTTGGCGCTGAGGTGAGGATGTCGCGGCCCCAGCGCAGGGAGCCAGCGCGGGCGACGAGCAAGACGTATATTCTTGAATCAGCGCCGCTGTCCTCAATGATCTTGAAATTGACCTCGACGCAAGGGAACAGCTCCTCGAGATCGTTGACAAGCGCCTCAGTAAGCGACTCATGCATATTCTGCGGCACGATCATGGAAACATCGATCGCTTCGATGTCGCGTTCCACACTATCGTCGGTCCCATCGCCACTGTCATTCCCATCCTTGTTCGAGGAAGCATCTGGAACGCGAGCACCAAAAATACGCTCGCCTTCCTCGGTCAGCTTGAGTGTCTCGCCTAGACGCAGCGGCGCAAACTCGAACTCGACACGGCCGCGTTGCGCCTTGCCAAGGCTCCAGCCACGAGAATGTAGGGTGCGCTTGACGGCAATGCCGTAGGCGACCTCCAGCATAGGCAATAAAACTTGATCAACATACTCGAAAGATGGCGAAAATGAAACATTGGTACCGCCGGAAATCTCGAGGCGCACCAATTCAGCCTTGCTGTCGCTACTGCTAGAAAACAGCAGGAAGGGGAAGATGGCCTGAAAGATCAGAAGAGTCGAGGCCGCGGGCGAATCCGCACTAATTTTGATGGCCTTGGTCTTGTTTGTGTTTTCACCTCCAATTCCGCGTGGGATAAGAGCCGCTGACGGAGGCAAACGTGGGCGAAATTCAAGGGTATGGCTACCGACTGACAAGCCGTCAACCTCGGCCTCGGTCGCGGAGGCAAGAAACTCAATCGCAGTAACATGCTGAGATTTCAGGCCTAGGGTTCTAGTTAGTAACTATGATGCTTATAGTTTTGACTAAGCCGACTAAGGAAATATTCAAAGGCATACCACCGCCTCGGGGGCCCTCTCGATTGCCGCGAACATGGGTGATGCGAATAGGCTGTGTGACCACAGCAGCAAGTGCACAAGCGATGCGCACGAGCTGGCCACCACCCTCTCCAGTTCGGCCATCAAGTTCAATGGGCTTCTGTTGATCTTTGGTCATGATGAGTGCTTGCAGATCACTCAATACGGCTCAAAAGGGAGCTAGTCCCTTTATTGTCAGCGAGTCAATTGTGAGTCGCTTTCAACAGGCGAACCGAGGAATGCTTACTTCAGGCCCTAAGCTGTGAAGAAAATTTTTGAAGTAGGAATGCAGTCGGTTGATTGGTGTTTTGTACGCAGTGATGTTTGGTGAACTGCGGAGAAATGTAAATGGTTCGCAAAAAAGAAAAAGAGGATGAGGACCTCTTGCACGCGAAAATGAGATGTAGTCAATCGAGTTACAAGAGATTTCGAGAGGCAGACTTGCAAAGATCAAGGTTGAAGATTTCCTCGAGGCTGCGTGGCCCACTGAGATGGCCAATTGGATGTGTTCTGCACGTTTGAAGTACCTGTATGTACTTCAGGCTCCTTGTCAGCAGTCCGCTGTTGAGGTGCATGTGCGATGCCACATTCCCCTCTCTTTGGATGGTGATGGATATTCAACAGGAAGCTCTCCATACAGAGGCCCAAATCCCCTGTTCCCCTAGCTTCGATGGCTGTGCTCAGGGGAATTTATGCCACTGATTGGCTAAAAATTGTGTATCACTTTCTCTTTTGGGTTTGTGCGACGTTGCTCGAGTCACTGGCCAGTTGCCAAGCTGGGGCTTGCGGAAACGGCGGGGGTTTCTTTATCCAAAAGTGGAGGAAGACTATGGTGGTTGTTTAATGCAACGCTTACAACTGCGCTCTCCCAAGGGCGATCACGTCACTTGACCACCAATCCATCAATATTCACTTTTTGAAGTTAAATGACCTACAAACAAAGTAGGAGCTCAACCTAAAACAAATCATTTTAATTGGTATCAATTGTGAGCTGGTTATGTTAGTTCAGCAAATAACAACTGCCAGGAGCGGCTCCTGTTGAAACCTCCACTCTTTGGCTTGAAGATTATGGAACGTTACGTCCAACATCCCGAATTGAATGGTTGTCCTTTTCCCCATTAGTAAACAAAGAGTCAGGCTTTCCGTCAGGGCATTTATCTCGACTGCAGCAAAAGTCCCAGATGTGACAGAAAACCTTGTAAGACGTGCCGTCTGCTCAATCATCTGGCTCAACCATTTAACCGCGACTAACCCCGTTATACAGTCAACAGGTTTTGGAAGCTAATCCCAGAAACACCTATATCACTAGGAGATTTTAATCTCTTCAATGTTCGACTCAAATCTTCGGATAGCCTTACCCGATGTTGCCCGCAATGCGTAGGTGCCAACAACACATCCATCAATACCAGCTTTTGCGCCTTTACTTTCGCGAGTTTTTCATAATATTCCAGGAGGTGTCGCGACGGTGTCTCCATCCGTCTTTGTGCCTCACACTCTCTTTGTCTGGACCAGGTTTCGATCCCCCAGTATCTGTTGATTCTAACTTGCTCCAATAACGGATCTTCCGGCCCAGTCGGTGCTGGTCTGAGGGAAACGCGTTGTCATTTCCAAGTCATAAGGGGTATAGCTGGTCGCTTATTTCCCAAGAGTCGGAGATTTCCGTCCCTTGAACGTCGGCAGGTTCGGCGATATTGGGGGCATTAACTGCAGCTGCAGATACTGCTGGGTATTGGCCCAGCAGCTTGGCTCACCGTGCATGTATGCACCACTTAAACTTGGCTCCATGGCAGCCACCTTCAATACTTAACTTTGTGTAACTTGAGCTTCGTGGTAGCGTCTATAGCGTCTAGATGTGGTGAGCCTGAGCACAGCGGCTGCCCACTCCCAACAAACGACACATCCCCCAACCCTCCTTGGCCCCCAAATGTATGGAGTTCTCGGTCCTATGCAATCGGTCCGCGTTGCGGCTCACTTCCAGCGCCGAAGGTTTATGGAACGATCCTGGTCTGTTCCCAGAACATGTCGTTAGTGCGTTTTTGCTGCAGAAGACGTGTTGATGCGGCTCGGAGGACATGATTTGAGAGCTGGAACATGTCTTTTTGTGTTTTGTTTGGTCTGTGACGTGTTGAGGCAAAAGTAAACTGAACCATGCAACTGTGCAGCCTCTAAGAGCTGGTTTACCGATGACGGGTAAGTTGTAACCTTAGTTTCTGCAGTTATGGATAACGTGCTGAAGAAGTCAATGTCAAATGAGATTGCGCAGGTTCGGCCAAGTGCATATCCACCATTATCAACTTAGAATTGCTCATTGGGACCCCGAGTCAATACCTGAGAATGTTATCCTCACCGAATTGCACAAACTCTCGACCAAACACGTCCGTTATTTGGTTCTGCACCACTTAAGTCTTCGTCAGCATACAGCCGGAATTTCTACAAGCCCGGCACTATCCGATCTTCGTCTGTATGCATGTATCTCAGCTGTTATGAATATTTCCTTGCCACCTTGAGAGTCGATTGGCTGCTCAACAAAATTCCAGGTAAACAAACTATTCGCTGACATCACCTTGGTTGGCAGTCTAGGTGCAAGGCGAAAAACTCTCCGGGTCTCCTTCAACTTGCCATCTCTGTTCAGCTTCTGAACTACTACACTTCAGCGTCCTCAGAACACATACGAGGGTGCACACTGTGGATATAATGGTTTCCTTAATGTTATCAGCCCTGCATGGCAACTAATGAGTGCGGGGTTACTGTGTGACTGACTCAAAGATTACACTAGGTAACGTAGGAATGTGTCGCAGGTTGAAGAAGATCTAGATTGTGCACAAGTTACCGCTTAGTCTGCCCAGGATAACGCATGAATGAGGTGAGCACTCCGGATTAGAACTTCTAAATTCTTGGAATATAGCTGCATGGCCGTCCGTGTGCAACTCCTCGGAACAAGAAAGTCACTATCCACGAATCGAGATAGTTATCGGACGCAAGTCCGTTCTACGCATGTCTGACTTTCAGAAAACGTTGTGCGAAGTCGCGGTATCTTAATTTTGAGTGGGCGTTTTTACCATCCCGACATTTCGACAAGGACGGTTGCCAAGCTGTCACGGGAAGTAGCTAGCAGCCCTACGTCGGAGACCGGGGAGCGCTATTTTAGCGAACGCCGATCCCCCGGATTTCGGGTGCGCCTACCGCAGCTCTAATCAAGGAAGATTTGGTATCCAGCGAGCTTCCGCACAGACATGACCAGTAGGAAGAATTCCTGGTAGCATGTCGGACTGTGTCCCGCGGGTGTTGGGAACCCTGTAAATGCGTGATATCAGTTGAGTCCTTTCTACTAGGAGAAGGTAAAGATATAAAAGAATGCAACATGAATTTGTCAACATCGAGGAGAATGGGGACAGCATTTCCATTCCATTTCGCCAACTTCCATGGTGGCTGAACACTTGGTGTGCTAGATACTATCTGCATGCCACGGGGGGTAGCTCTAACTCTCATCTTAGAATGGCAGTACTCCCAGAGGAGACGGGATACTAACCCTCTATATCAGACATACATCGTCTAAAGAGTACTTAAAACTCTCTGGGCGTATTTTCTGGTTACTTTGGATGCGTTTCCATCTTTGGAAATGCATGCACTTTATTTCCTGTTCCGTTTCCCAATAATGAATTGATATCATGCCTAACGCATTTTCCTTCGTGGTACAGTTACTGCGAGTAATAAATTGAGCTGACAAGCAATGCCTGCAAGGCTTGTTCAGCCCTGCCGTCTTTTTACCGGCCCCTAATTATCCGGCTCACGTTTCTGAGCCATAGCAACTGGCACCATCTGTTACCTGGTTTGAACAAACATGAGAGAAGAGGCACAATGTTCCCAAAAATCTGGAGCATCCCACGATATGGTATGTTACTAAACAATTCTTAGAAGTGATTTTCTGATATTCAGATGGTGTCTCCAATATGCGTGTCTACAAGCCACAGCTAAATCTAGATAGTCGAACTTGCGGCAGTCCTCCTCAGCCGGTTAGTTCTCAACCCAAGAAGTCACACTTTTGTGCGGACGGTAGAACGGGCCGATACTCCTATTATCTTTCCCATTTTTGGAAAATAATGTTGGACCCTATGACTCAAGGAATGTTACAAGGATATCTCTTACCAGAAAAGAAAATCAAAAAGCCAAGAGTCCGACTAACTGCCCATAAGGGGAAGTCTTCGCTATGGCAGCAGTGTTTGTCTTGTTTACATATGACTGTGACTTGGCGGTGTCCCGGCAGTAGTGATAGGTATCGATGGCTGGGTAGATGCCTCTCGCTGCGGATTGTATCCTGACAACGCCTGGTTGATCTTGCGCTCTGCTGCCGCTTGGTACTCTTCGACTATCTGGGAGAAGTTCGTTGGAAGCTCTTGCCTGCATCGATACTCTTTTTGGACACTTTCGATGTACAGTATTGTCCACTCCTCACTTGCACCGGACTTTGACTTGCTCATCTGGAATTGATACTAGTGTAGTTTCTGGGACAGAGCATTTTGATGTTAGAGAGCTTATGACTGTTGAGGATATAGAAATAAGACATCAATCTCTGACATACCTGTGTACTATAAGTCTGTTGTGTTGAACAAAGGATCATTAACCAGTAGGGCGTTAAAGCAACCTGACTTCTTGCCTGAGGATTCGAAGAACAAATGCTCAAAGCTTGCAGAGAGGGAAGAAGAGAATATGTATACTGCCGAGCATTGCGTGTTTCCATTCTTCAGGCTACTCGCCAATGTCATTGGGATCATGGTGCGCGGCCCTTCATCTTGCGAAGGCCGATCCGACTAGGTGCCTAGGTCTGCCGGTCGACACTGTATACCTCGTGGTCCGACACCGACCCTCGGGCGAATGAATCAATGTACTGAAGCGGGAGCTTGTCGGGGCTTGGCTGGCGTGGATTCCGACTGCCAAGAGATGCTCAGCCCGGCAGTTAGGCGCTAGGTTCCGGGTTTGGGTGATAAAACTTACTCCTTTGGTCACTCGTGAAGCCACCCGGTGGGTAGCAACATCACAGAGACTGTGTTTAGAGTGCGTACTACCCACCATACTGGCGGCACGGCGAAATCCTAGCGAAAAGCAAGGTAGTGGCACAATCATATTCTGGTCCTTTAAGCTCCCCTTGGTTCCACCCCTCCATCAGCATTAGTGGGATACAGCCATGCAGCTAGCGAAGTTGTCGACACAGCCTACTGCCCACCCCGTGCCCCGGCGCTACTGCAAACGCGGTTCATTGGCTGTGGTGAGCATCTGGTCTGACGGCCACTCAGTAACATCTTGAAGGGGTTTAAGCTACTTGAAGAACCATTTCTTAAGATCAGATTTATGCGGATGCCATATTAAATATATATCGCGTCCACAGAAGCTAGAGGCGTGGAACTTTCCTCCAGTAGCACTTGGTCCGGGGCGCGAGCCGATCTCCAAACCCACTGCTGCCTTGAGAAGACCGTCTCGTTGCCCTGCCATGAGGAAATCCGTCGGAAGCTGGTGATAGTACCCTGACAAGAACGCTGACTAAGTTTTCGACCTTTTGTGCAATTGAATGGGCATCGTGCTTGCTAGGGGTTTTCTGCAAGACGCCTTGATCCAATTCTCAAAGTGATGAGCAACGGTGGATACTTTCCGACACTCTACTTTTACCTTTACCAAGGGGTTGCAACCAAACTGTACAGAAAGGGGGCAAGGACATAGGTACTTAGGGTAGGTGAAAGATTGTAGGGAGAAGACATGGTCCTCTGCGTAACTCATGGATTTGCCAAGGTGGCGCGCCGGCGCTCATTTGTCCGTCATCTAGGTAGCCAAGTGATGCTCGGCCTTTCTTCTACTGGCCCAAAAGAACAATTGCTTAACTCGACACCTCCGGGCCACTCTTATCCACGTTGATCTTCAGCGAGAAGTCGATATGGCGCACGCCCTGATGAATGGCGCTAGTGGAGAGAATGTCAATGTCTAAAACGCAAAATGCTTGTTAGTTACGCAACCTTTAGTCCCATGGTTGCCTTACACACTCACCATTACAGATGTACTGCTCGGCATTGTCCTCGGTCAAGCCCCCTGAGATCTCGAGCAAAAACTCCCGCTTGCCCTTCCACTTCTCCTTGAGACTCTTGGAGGCAGCCCTAACACCTTCAGGGGTGAAGTTGTCCAGCATGATGACATCGGCACCCGCTGCAATGGCTTCATCGGCCTCCTCCTCGCTTTGTACCTCAACCTCAATCTTCAAACTGAACCCGCCAGCCGCTTTCGCAGCCTTGACCGCCTGGGTGATGCTGCCGCGGCTCCAGATATGGTTATCCTTGAGCATAGTCATCGTGCTTAAATCCATGCGATGCGTATCAGCGCCACCAACCAGCATCCCATACTTCTCAACCAGCCTAAACCCAGGCGTTGTCTTCCTCGTGCCTGCCAGCATCCCCTTCCACCCGGCACTCCTCAGATTGACCAACAGCCTCCTGCTCATCGTCGCGATGCCCGAGCAGCGCGCAAGAATGTTCAGCGCGACCCTTTCACCCTCCAACAAGCCCCTGGCGGGCCCGCGAACGGTTGCGAGCGCAGTCTTGCCGCCGTGCGTTTCAATGTGCGACCCTTCGCGCGCGTGCCACTCGACAGTGCAACCGCACTGGCGAAAGACCTCATTGAAAAAGGGCACGCCGGCCAGGATGCCGGGAGACTTGCCCCAGAGGGTAGCCGTGCGCGGGGCGTCGCCGACGACAAAGCCGCCGACGTCAAAGGACGGCGTGTCCTCGGCCAACCAGGCCGTGATCTGGGTCTTCCAGGAGACCGGAAGGAGGTGCTCCAGCGAGCCGTGCTCAAGGGGCAGATCGAACATGATGTTGTGCTTGGGGAGAGGGGCGTTGGCCTTGTCCTGTTCGACGTCAGTTGGAAATTTTGATTGTGTCAGTGACCGAAATTTAAAACCACCGTTGACTAGTTGCGTCGGGTCAACGGCTCAGTGTTCGAGAGTTGGAACTGGACAAACGGCTCGTGGCGGCAATTTGATGTGGAGCTAGAAGCTTGATGAGGGGGAGGGGGTAAACCCCGCGAAAAAAAGACAACCAGTGGATAGCGGGGTCGCTGTTTGCCGTTCCCATGGGCTGGGCTGGGCCTTTGCTGCTAAGGAACACGTTTGGTGGGAAAAAGAAGCCCAGATTCAGGATCCTTTAATCGTGAATCATGTGAAGACTCCACATCCCACATGGTTCCACTCCCAATGCAAAAAGTAGATTGAATCCCTCCATTTTCCATCTCGTTCTCAGGTATTCTTGGTTGGAATGGCACAATCATCCCTCGACTGGTGATAACGGAGATAAGATGCCAAGAGCTACTCGCTGCCACGAAAACGGGCTTTGTGTGTAAGGTTCCTACAGGCACCGCAGGGCGAGTGACCTGTCAGGCCATGGCCCAGGGCTGTTCGGCTGGTACACAAGATCGTCGATTGAATCCAAGTCAGGATAACGGTAATGGTTGAAACGTCCTTGGACGTGATTAACCCCGTGCAACAGTTGCCTGTTATAACATCCTGACTATCCAGGCCTGCATACCGATGAACCATAAGAGCCTGGAGCACCGAAGAACACCAACCATGTGAAATCATTCTAGCCATGTCTGCCAAAGATCTCCCAAAAACCCATCAATTCAGAACTATATACAAAACGAAGAAAGGCCGCTTTGGAAGACCCTCGTCATGATATACGACGAAAACCAGGGAAGAGAATCACCAGCCTGCCATCCACCCACCGCCACAATGCCATACCCATTGGATCAAACCAAGACGTTTAAGAGAAGAAATATGAGGAATTATAAGATCCCGCCAGAACTCCCATGCAGATGTTATGTACTGCCGGATATCGATCGAATATAAGATACAGAGAACCTGATTGGAATGCCGAAGCGGAAGGATCATATCGTGATCATGCAGCTTTTTACATGACCGGAATACCCTCATACTCAGCGTAGCCCAGAGCAAGGTTCATGTTTTCTGCAATGTGTTAGTAACCGTACTTACACGTGCTGTCAGATGATTGCGATGAAAGGGAAGAAGACTTACGCAAGCACTGAGTAGCAGCACCCTTGAGCAGGTTATCGATCGTAGCGCAAACCACGACACGCTTGCCAGTGGAGTCAACCTCGAAGCCGCCGATCTCAACACCATGCTTGCCGCTGATAAACTTGACAAGAGGAGCTTCGCCAACAACTTTGACCAGCTTCTCGCCAGCATAACGGTCTTGGTAGATCTGGCGAATGTCGCGGCTGGTCATGGTCTTGTTGAGAGGGATGGAAATGGTGTGGTGGATGCCACGGAACCAGACCGCGACGTGAGGCATAAAGGCGATCTGGGCGCCCAGCTGAGTGCTGACCTCACGCTCGTGGATGTGGCCAGTCAGCGAGTAAGGCATGATGTTGTCCGTCAGTAGGTTGACGTCGTTCTTGGGCGAGGGCTTGGTGCCGGCACCCGAGTAGCCGGAGACGCCAAAAACGTGGGGCATGCCACCAAGGTGAGGGACCAGAGGGGCGATACCAAGCTGAGCGGCCGTGGCGTAACAGCCGGGGTTGGCGATCTGAGTGGCCTGAGCGATATTGGCGCGGGGAACGAGCTCAGGGAGACCATAGGTCCAGGTATTGTCGAAGCGGTAGTCAGCAGACAGGTCAATGATGACGCTCTTGTGGTTCGAGTCCTTACGGCCCTCCCAGACAGCCTCGACGAACGGCTTGCAAACGCCGTTGGGGAGAGCCATGACCCAGCAGTCGATCTCGCCGCGACGCTCCATATCTCTAACATCTTCGGGGCTGAGGTTCGAGTAGATGACCTCACTCTTGTTATAACCCTCAAGCTTCTTGCCAGCAAGCTCACGAGATGAGACATGGGTGAGCTCCATGTGGGGGTGAGTGTCCAGCAGGCGAACCAGTTCCTGGCCGGTGTAGCCACGGGCACCGATTAGCGCCACCCTCGCAGGTTTGTCGTTGGAGGCATTCTTCTTGCCGTAGGGGGGGTTTGGGTTCGTCTGGGTGACGTAGCCCCTACGAGCAGTCTGGCCGAAAACCGGAGCGGACAGAACAGGGCGATGAACGAAGGTCGAGTAGCTGCGGGTCTGCTGGGCAGCAGCGCCAGCGGCCTGTTTGTAGGCACGGTACAGGCGCGACTCAAGATTCGAATCGCCCAGCATAGCCCGGCCATTCTGGGTGAAGTCCTTCATCAACTTGACAATCTCGTCACCGTTCTCAATACCATACCAGAACATGACAGCACCGTTGCGAGTGACGCTGCCGTCGGCCTTGTCGAAGAACCAGCCCAGGTTTTCATCATCCTCCCGGACAGTCCACACAAGCGAAGGATACTCCTTGCGCAGGGCGGTGAAGATGTTGTCAGCAACATTGGTGAGCCAGCCAGACTTAGTGATGGTAAGTGTGGACAGGGTGGCATGACGGCCATTGCTGGCAGGGAGAACGATAGCGAGAGCGTTCATGGGGCCATCGAAGAAAGCTTTGAACTCGTTCTCCTTAAGGAACTCAAGGTACTTGTCCACAGTAGCCATGGCATCAGGGCCCTCGCGGTCCCGGATGAGGACTTGCTTGAGAGCGTCCAGATCCTTGAAGTCGGATAGACTAGTGGCCGAAACCAGCTTATTGCCCCGGCGAATAAGAGTGCCAGCACCCGAGTCGGTGAAGAGCTCCTTCTGAAGCTCACCCGGATGAATGATAGCAACGCTAGATGCCCGCGGCAAGGTATCCAGCAACTCCTTGATCTCTTTGATCTTCAAGCGGGTGCCGTACTTAACCCATTCCTGAGACATGAGGTAGTCGTACTCTTCGTCCAGGTTAATGGCCGAGATCCGCTGGCCAGCGGCGTCAAAAAGACCGCCCTTCTCGGACAGGTAGACGACCTTCAGGGGTTCGAGAGCACGGGCCAGCTCAGAAGCGGCAACATCGGCGTTGACGTTGAGGATCTGGCCATCGTCGGTCTCGGCCATCGAGGTCAGAATGGGAAGGTAGCCATTGTTGATGGCAGCCTCAATGGGGGCCTTGTTGACGCTAGTAACCTTGCCGACGAAACCCCACTTGTCCTTATTCAAATATCCAGCACGGAAGATGCCCGTAGTCAGTGGCTGGGCGTGCACGCCCTTCTCCTCAAGCTTGTTGACCAACTTCAGGTTCTCCTGCAGGAAGAGGTCGCGGGCAACACGCAGGGTCTTGGCATCGGTCACGCGGATGCCCTCCTCGAACTGAGGCTCGACACCGGCTTCCTCGAGCAGCTTGTTGAGCTGGGGCCCAGCACCGTGGACGATAACGGGGTACAGGCCGACAGTGTAGAGGAAGGCCAGGCTAGAGCACAGCTCGTCGAGGTAATCGGTCAGAATAGCACCACCGACCTTGATGACGGCGAACCTCTGGGACGAGACCGAGGTGAAGAGGGATAAGTATTGCTGCACCTCACGCTTGGAGCCGACTGAGGAGAGGGTTTGGATGATCATGCTCCGAGTGCTGAGATCGGTAGGGCGGGCAGCCGATGTCGAGAAGGGTCTCTGACGGCGGAGGTAGGCAGGAACGGCAACGGCCCGAGCCCGGATGGGCAGCCTGCGGACGGTGCGACGAGCACCAGCCCGGAGGGAGACAGCAGCGGCGGAGAGCATTGTGAGAATCGGGGAAGGGGTCGAGGATGCCCGGATGTCAACGTTGGGAAGTGAATGATCGATCAAGAACGAACAGAAGGTACGGGCTCTGGTACTGCTGCTGACCAGACAGACAGAGTCGACGAGGCCGAGGTCGCTGGGATGGATGAGTCAACTTCAAAAGCGAATTGCAGGCGAACCGCGTCCCATTGACTGGCAAGAGCAGGCCGGCAGGACGAGTTGGGACCAAGGACGGGCGTTGAGCCTTGCCAGAGGTCAATGGCAACGAGGTGAGCCGGAGTCAGACCGGGTGGATGGCGAGGTGGTGCTGTTTGAGGAGGGCCCAGAATTTTATTTTATTTATTTTTTTTTTGTTGTATGAATCGGTTTCGGCCAAGTGTCGGTCAGGCCAATGTTCTGGGGTACGTGGGCGTATGCTGGTGCGGCGTGAGGGGCAACCGAAGCCCGCAAAAAAATTGTCAAGACGGGTGCCGAAACCGCACCTGATGAGGGGAAGGCTCCTGCTCGCCCACAACGATGAACCCCTGCCAGTATTGCCGCTGCGGCCAGCGTCCCACGCAAAAGTGGAGCGACTTCGGCCCTATAGTCCACTGGGCTGTGTTTCACTGCTTTCGAAACGCTCCATCAACGGTCGCAAAGGTGCGCGAATCGTTTGTAGGCTTTACCTGCCACCTCTCAGTGCCTTCGCTGGGCTGATGCTGCCTCACTGGATGCTGGTCGGCAGCATATGAACCTGGTAATTCCGACATCAGATCGGCCGCCTCGGGCCTTGTTGCCAACGGAGTACAACACTTGGGACGTGTCGAGCAGAGAACGGAAAAATAAACTACTTATGTTCCCGTCCCGTCCCGTTCTTCATTTTTGTCCATCAATTGAACCAGGTGCTTATGACGGGTGGCTGTCTGACACAGCATTCGCGCTGGGATACTGACTCCAGTAAGCGGACTCTGGAGTTTCACATGGCATCTCTGTCAACAGCTGCCGAAACCCAACTACGAAGTTCCCGAGAGCATGGACGAACGCATCTTGCTGTCAGCATCCATGTTCACTGTGCAAACAGTAATGTTACAGACTGCAAACTACACCTGCGAACGGGCCGAAACCCTTTCCGGATAAGTCACAGCTGGACAGCAGGGTGAACTTAATGGCGCTGCTGCCATGTATTAGATATTGAGCCGTCCTCGACCGCAATCAGACGCTTCTAAGAACGTTACATTCGCTGGAAAAAAAAATCATAATTGCCATCTCGAATTAACCGCATTAGGGGACCTGCTCCCTCATCCTTCGTCATAAGTACAGGTACGTACATTGAGGAGTCATGACTGCCGCGGACCGAAGACCGAGCATCGCTTGTGCAGCAGCGAGCTGCTGGCTCTCGAAGCATGCCAGCAGAGCAGGAGGACGTGAAACCAAGAGGAAATAACAAAACTCCAGAAAACAAGCAATATCCCAGAGCAAGCAAGTCATTCCACCATTCCCAGAGAATGCTATTCGTCCATCACGAATACGACGGCTCCTGCCCCAACACCAGCACCATATGGCTCTCCTTAATCCTTCTTTTGAGTAGCGACAACTATTTCGCACCATTAGCATACCCCATACAGACAGGATGGACTGAGAGAGGCTGTAGACATACCCGATGGAATAATGATGATAGCCAGAAGGACGATGATGCCGATCGCTAGCCAGATGCGCATCTTCATGTCCTAAAGAAGGGTCAGCACTATGACCAAAGACACCAAACGGATTTAGGGGGCCGCATACCTTCCACCACATCTTTTTGCGGACCTGGTTGGCACCACGGCGGAAGCTCTGTGCCGAGTCGGCGAGCCGGTCTGACTTGTCCCGGAGATCCTCAAGCCGATCGCCACGCTCCGCTAGGCTGTCAATGTTGTGGTGCAGCGCCCTCTTGGCTCCATCGAGTTCCTATGCAGACAAACCGGATCAGCCTTCTGTAGACGTCTAATCCTTAAGATGCCCCCGGTAACCATAGCCTGCTAGACGCTCCCGACTCGCATCCGGTCTTCCCGCAGACGACGCCCCGGAATCGCAAAATGTATATGTGGGTATTAAAACTCCCAGTGGAAGCGCCGTATACGTCAGGAAGAAGTCTGGCACATCGTACGAAAGCAGTCGTTTGCGTGATTGCAAGTTGACACGGTTGTGGAAACGACAGGAGCAATCTGAATCCCTCACAGGCCCATTTCTACCCCTCTCAAACTGCCATGTCACTCTCATAGACAGTAAAACCCACCTCTTGAAGCCGCTCCGTCACTGAGCGGCCCTGTGTATCTGGGGCCCGTTGCCCGCTGGGGATGTAAGGGTCGTATGGTGTCTCGGCCATTTTGGGAAGTTAATGAAGAGCAGCGCAGTTGCTGATGACGGTGAATTGAGTTAGAGAGGAGGGTTAAGGCAGTCGCAAATCGTGCGCTATTTCTCGGATTCGGAGCGCAGCCGCAGGGTGATGGAGAGTTGTTGATCTGGGCGGTTGTTGCTGGGGGATGGGCGAGAGCGGGAGGGTCGGTGGTGAGGTTTGTTAGGTGAGAACGGAAGGTCGCGAAGATGGGATCACAGCCTGTTTTCAGCAGGCGACACGCCAGCCAGAGCAACCAGGGGATTGCCAGGGAACAGCGGCTGTGTTAGGGTGGCGCTAACAGCAGGAGATCCAGTCCGTTGGGCTCCTAACAGGACCACACAGGAAGATTACTGTGGCGGTGTTATTGGACGATCATCATGTACTTCTCCACACAGCCCGCCAAGGCCCCGCATGAGCAAAAAGTTGGCTCGCGCCGCTTGCCGTCCCCTATGCTTTATCCGCTTCGCATACACAAGTACATATTCATTCGCCTTCCAATCCCAAAAGGCTTCCTTCATTACTGTGATTTTATTAACAGCCTATTAGAGTTTTCAGTGTGCTCTTTGTCTTCTATCAGCATAATAATGTCCCTGTTGATCTGCTCTTGCCAGGCTATGCGGGCACGAGGCTCGTATTGGGTAGGCTTTTCATAAGGCCTGAGATAGTCAAAATTCACTTGGTTGATTACAAAGTATGCTGTGCTATACAGCGCACAAAGTGCAAGGGCACGCGGCCCTGAACTCGAAACTCTGGAAGAAAGGCTGAATTGATATTTGAGAAGAACTGAAGACCAAGTTGTTATCATGTTTTCATTGTTACCACTACGCAAGCATTGATTCTGGGGAACTCAGTCAAGCTTCTGTCACAGCTTCGTTTCATCGCCTCGCAATGCCCAGCGAAGTTTTGCCTGCGTCTCTACAGCTTTTGTGCAATGATGCCCATCTTCATAGCAGGAATTTTTTGCCAAAAAAATAGAATACCAAAGCAGCATGCAATTAACACAAAGGGCTTACTTCAAAGACGATGTAGCCCTCACAATATCCTTGATTAATATGTCGATTTGTTGTCTTGCACTCGCTGAGTCTCGGTGTGATGCTTGGCCTGGTCATCCTCTTGGTGTTTCAACCCTAACCCTAAAACAGTAATCAGATGAGTCAGTCTTGGCTCTGTTCGGGCGATGGTGCTGTGGGCCCTTTATTCACGGCGCAGCGGGTCCAAACTTTCGAGCCGCTTGCGCTGTTCTCGGTCTTAGCCGGCTCAAGAAGTCCCTGTCCGCCGGAACTTCATTCAACACAAGAAGCTGTCACAATGGCCTCGTCTGCGCCAATTCAGAGGATACAGGCGCCGCTGCGCCTCTGTGTCGCGCGCGTCGGTATTCTATCATTCCGTGGCTATGCAACTATCCCATCCGTGTCCGATGTCCAGCAGCAGCAGCCATCACCACCGGCCGAGGCAGCTTCACCTTCAGCGACGTCTACAAGCACTGATGCCGCCTCCTCCTCGACCCCAAAGACACGTCCGACTTACTTTAAGGACAAGGTCATTGCTCCCTTCTCCGACTTCCTCCCCTCCTCCATCAGCGAAGCCGCCGCTACCTACACCCCGCGCACGGCAACCGTCGGCCCGGAAGGGCGCAAGCGCACCATCACCCGTCTTCCCGACTGGCTGAAGACACCAATCCCATCCGCCGGCACCAACCCGTCTTTCGCTAAGATCAAGTCCGACCTGCGCGGCCTGAACCTGCACACTGTCTGCGAGGAGGCCCGCTGCCCCAACATTGGTGAGTGCTGGGGCGGCAGCAAAGACGGCCGCGCCGCCGCTACGGCAACCATCATGCTCATGGGCGACACCTGCACCCGTGGCTGTCGCTTTTGCAGCGTCAAGACCAGCCGCAGGCCACCGCCGCTTGACCCCAATGAGCCGGAGAACACTGCCGAAGCCCTCGCCCGCTGGGGCCTGGGATACGTCGTGCTCACCAGCGTCGACCGCGATGATCTTGCGGATGGCGGCGCACATCACTTTGCCGAGACAATTCGCCGGATCAAAGCGAAGAAGCCCGGCATGCTGGTTGAAGCGCTGACAGGCGATTTCGCTGGTAACCTGGACATGGTCAGGATCGTGGCGGAGAGTGGGCTAGATGTATATGCGCACAATGTAGAGACAGTCGAGGGTTTGACACCGTATGTGCGGGACCGGCGGGCAACGTTCCGGCAGAGTCTGAAGGTTCTGGAGCATGCCAAGGCCGTTCGGGGGAAGGGCAGTCTCATTACCAAGACGAGCCTCATGCTTGGGTTGGGTGAGACGGAGGAAGAGATATGGGAGACGCTGCGCGGTAAGCTTTAAGAGTTTATCGTTCATATATCCGGCAGACTTGCTAACCGTCTATTCAGAGCTGAGAAAGATCGATGTTGATGTCGTTACTTTCGGCCAGTACATGCAGCCGACCAAGAGGCATCTCAAGGTCGAGCGCTACGTGACGCCGGCCGAGTTCGAGCTCTGGCGCCAACGTGCTCTCGACATGGGTTTCCTGTACTGCGCTAGCGGACCCCTGGTCCGGTCGTCTTACAAGGCGGGCGAGGCGTTTATCGAGAACGTGTTGCGCAGGCGGGCCGCGGAAAAGGCCGTCCCTCCTGAGACCCTTAGCCAGGCCGTTGCGGTCGAGGATGCGAGCAAGTCTGCTTGATGTTTAGTGAGGTTCTTGATGGCATGTTCAACATGTAAGAGGAAAGGTCATGGCGTTTCACGCACCATCAGAGTTATAGATTGGTTTGGTTAGGCAGCATAAATGGGATTTGGGAGTTTGGGAGAAAGGGGATATGGTCATAAGACATTTAGCATATTGTAACAAAAATTGTACACGATTCCTCGTATGCACGAGGCCGAAATCTACGAAACTATTCTGCCCACACTTTTGACATGATGTCCGTCTATGCCAACCAAACCTTTGATATTCTCGAAACTCTGGTCGAGACCATCCTCCTTTCCAGCCCAGCCTTGACCCAGGAGACCACCAACCGCAACGCCGTACACCATCCCGACCCTTTACCAGCTCGCCTTCTTAACACCAGGCAGATTGCCCGCAAGCGCCTCCAACCGGAAGTTGTACTAGTCGCACAAGCGTCAGTAATCATTCCAATGATTTTAACCCACCACCACACAAAACCCACAACCACAGAACCACAAGGTAACAGTAGCAGCATACCCTAGACATCTTGAAATCGCTAAAGATACCCTTGCCCTTGCCACCAAGGATACATCGGTTCTTGATCTGCGTCGGGCGGGTGTAGCAGTGCATTTGGGTCAGCTGTAGCTGGGCGATGGCGCGCGTGCGGGCGGGCAGTGTTGTGTTGCGCACAATGTAGCGCAGCGCCTGGCGCTCCGGCTCATTGGCGGCGAAGGCCTTACGCTTGGCATGGTCACGCAGGATCCAGACGTTGGTGAAGCATCCGATGTCGAGCTTTTTGGAGCGCCACATCGACATTTTGGCGGGGTTTTTGGGGGAATTGTCTTCCTGGGAGAGGCTCTCCGGTTGGTCAATCTTGAAAGGCTCGTAAATGGTCCGGTCTTGAATGTGTCGGGAGAAGGGTTCTGGCTCGTGTCGGTCACTGGCGACTCGTCAAATGAGGCTGTTTCACACCAAAGCTCGTCCTGACCTGATTGATCTCCTTGCTGGCGATGACCGTTGCGATTCTGCCGGGCGGTGAATCAAAGATTTGGTCCCCGTGCTTGGCGGAACTGGAGATGGCAGTGTCACGTGCATGCATCTGCAGTGTTTGAGGATATCACGTGCGCCCATCTGCAGTCCGGCAACGCGCACGAGCCACCTCCGACGAATATAAATTATTCGAGACCGAGCCTAGCTTTTGCCCTGTTTTTCTTCTTTTTTTCTTTAGCTCTCTTTGCCTTTTGGCTTAGATCAAGTGTAGTATCTGTTCTTTTCAGTTTAATCTCTGAAACTGCTCTACGGAGCAGAATCGTGATTATACTAATTTTTGGCCTTCGGCGGACTTCCCTCTGGGCTTGCCCATGGTCGTCTGCCACAGTGTCCCTGGTATTACACTGCCTCCAGGTGACGCGACCTTCCTCCATCTTTCATTACAGTCCTGGGTTTGCTCGGGATGTGAAGAAGGATGTCCTGGAATTCACCAGGAACAATATTGGGTAGATGATTGGTACTCGGGTCTTTGCTTTTGGGCAGGTTACCGTTGGCGATGATGTTGAAAGGTAACCAATTGCCAAGGTTATGGTAGAAAAACATGGTGTAATCACGCTTAATGAAGTTGTAGTTTGGGAAAGCTCTGAGGTTTCCAAGTGCAGCCCTTGACTCTGTCATCGACCTGGTCAGGTGTCCATGGCGACGAGGAACTTGGAGATGAGGCTGAGTGGTGTAGATCTCTGCGTCTTCCCAATTTGCTCGGGCCCAGTACGTGTCTCTGACTGGAGCATTCCTGTATCTTCTGTTTGACCTATTATGCATGCGAGTACAACCAAATCAATCGCTTTTGTGTTTCCCATTCACATTTGAGCGATTACATTGCAGCTTGCATTCTGCATCTTGGTGCTTCCTGCCCCCTCATTCAACCTTCCTGACGACTCACCTCCATCGCATCATTCTGCAACTTTCAGGAATCAACACCCCCAGAGCTTTTGATATCTCTTTCCTTCGCCCTCCTATCCTTACCTGGTCTTTACTTCAAAACTACCGATCGCCACTTTGCAGTTGAATCGCTCCAGCCACGGGAGGTAGATTGTCAACTCCACCCTTCAAACTCCTTGCACAACTTCGACGGGAGCCATATCATTCTTGCTTTCAGACATACTCGGTCGCGAACATGTTCCGTCGTCGCTGGTCTGGCCTGCCGCCGGATCCTCAGTTTCCCAGTGATCTTACTGAGCTTGGGTATGTCTCAGCGTCAAACCGAGGAACCAGACCCAACTGCTCCAGGAAACTGACCGTGCTTTTTTACCAGCTACTTTGTCAACGAGATCGACGAGATACGCTCTATCGCAAACCCCGATTACTACTTCAAGTACTTTATCAACAAGAACGAGCGTTGGAATGAGCGCCAGCGCTTCGCCTTTAACGGTGCCCTCAACTTCCCCATTGAATAACATTATTCCTGCTCTCAGGCACACACCCGACTAACCATTCTCTACAGAAGCTGTCGGCAAGATAATCCACGAACGCCTTACGAGCCTAGGCCTAGAAACTCTTCGCCTGCCACTTGGCACTCCGCCAACCGAACCTCATGTTCCCATTCGCATCTCATCGACTCTCGCCCAAGCTAAGCGCGTCGTCCTTTTTTTCGGCGAGTCATGCCAGGAATCCGGCGTTCTCTCTCACCGCGTGATCGGCCGCCGTGGCGGTATCAACAAGGGCTCGCTCGTGTCTCTCGTACAAGGGCTGAAGAAGCAACAGGCGGAGGATGGCAAGAAGGACGAAGAGCTGGGCATCGTGCTCGCCAACCTGGGCGAGCTCTGGTGGTGGCCTGAGGGCAAGAGAGGCCTGACACCTAGGGGGCGGCATGGCGTTCCCATGGCCAGCTGTGTACATCTGGGTCGGTGGCATGACAAGAAGGTGAATGAGATCCCGCTGAATAGGTCGCCGGCGCAGCACGTGAAGTGTGTCTTTGAGAGCGTTGTGCTAGGTGGCGAGGAGGGCAAGAAAGTGCCTGATGATGCCATGCTAGACATCATTGCGGTTGGTGATGGTGCGGATGAGGTTGAGAAGTACCTCGATCAGGAGGAAGTATGGGCGAAGATTGGAGATAGGCTAAATTCCTTTGTGAACCTCAACGGCAATTACAGCGCGACAAAGCTTACGTGCAATGGGTTCAAAAAGTTCATGGAAGACGTATGCAAACCCATTTTACTGGCCCTCACTTTAATAAAATCGACTAACACCTCTCCAGCGCGCCCGCGCTTACATGATGCACAACTCTCCCCTTGGCACCCCCCTTGCTGGGCCTGCTGGCAACCCAGGCATGCTTGGCTTCACAACCTACGGCTGCCCCGTTTACAGCGCTGGCCCGACAGTGCTCTACGTTGAAACCATGCTCATTGAGATAATGCCCGCTGTTCTGGAGTGGATATGTCAGGTTGCTCGCGAAGGCAAGAACTACAAGAACGAAGAAGTCCATGTTTATGGGGATGAAGTTCCGAAGGAGGATGACATCACTTGGGCCAACTGGAGCGAGGACAAGATGTGGGGTGAAACGATGGATGATAGCAACGTTGATGTTGAGAAACTGGGAGACATGGTAGCCAAGGTTGTTACGGAGAAGGAGGGGCTTTCGGCTACGGAGGGATGGTAAGACGTCCTTCAGGCCTGCTAGGAGGTGAGATAGAAATGGGATCAGTTCGCAGCGTTTTTGGGGTTGCAATTGGTGTCTTGAAATCCGTAGGAGGCCATTTAGAAAACTCAATCATAAAAAGTTTTCGGGACTTACAGTCCATAAATCAAGTTTGATGAAAAGCAAACTTGCTTCGATTTTTCAGGGCCATTATCCGTTTATTGTACAAACCGTGACACCATAAACTAGCAACACCTCTAAGCCTCCCCGTTAAACATTTTGTATATTGTCCCAAAGAATCAAGTATACAATCTTTTCATATGCTCACTACCACCCTTTCCCCAGTCAAGCCTGCAACCAAGACAACGGCCCTCTTGGCAAAGGCCTTAAGTCCTCCAACAGCTCCCTTACCCTCTTCCTTCTCTCCTCAATTACCTTTTCCTCAGCTCCCCAGCGACCGACTCGTTCCGTGTTCTCAGCCTCCTCGCTCTCTACAACAGCAGCTGGCCCTTGTCCCCACAAACTCCCAAGCCAACCGCTGCTAGCCTTAGCCTTCCTCTTCCTTTCTGCCTCCTCCTTTATCTTCTGCCTTTCCTCCTTCGCCAACCTGCTCACCATCGTCGACCAATTATCTAGGCCTGTAGCAAGACATTCCTTGCAGGTTACCCGCGTCTCAGATGGCTTCCCCGGCGCTGAGGAAGAACCAAGTTTGCGGAGCTGTTCCTCCGCAATATCAACTGCTTCCCGTGTCCAGGCGAGGCCTTCTTCACGATGATCCCTTCCGCTGCTAGAAGCCTTGCCCGTGACCCCCGGCGTCGTGTACATAATCTCGCCGATGTGCAAGCTCAGCGCTGCCTCCTGGCACAAAGCCTTTGCATCGCGAACAGGCGGGGCAGTCCCGTCCGGCGGGGGCGGCGGGTAGGCTGGAGGTACAAGGATGCTGCGCACCCAGGCCCATGTGCCCTTGGGCTGGGACGGCTGGTTCCTCAAGCTGGCCGTGATGGAGGTGGGGCCGGAGAACTCGCCTTGCAGCGAGCGGCGGGCTTTGAGGATTGAGACGAAGATGGGCAGGGCAGAGGCGACGTCGCCTTGGCGAGCGCGAAAGGTTGCGTAGGCGGTTAGGGCATTGAGGAGGTTTTCAGAGGGAGGGCCTGCGGCTTCGTTGAGAATCCAGGTCTTCTTGTCGATGGGCTCGACAGTGAGGTCGGTACGTTCTGAGGCGGCGAGGCGAACTGCGTCTTCGTAAACGATGCTGGCTGGCCCGGTAATGCCTTTGTATTCGAGCCAGGATGCGTACGCGATGCCGGCTTCGATCTTTTGGCGGTTGTTGAAGCCTACGGTGTTAAGGATTCGGAGGTAGACTGAGTCTGGGGGTTCGAATCGAAGCACGCAATCTTCTTCTCTTGGAGCGCCCTTGAAGCCTGGAGGGAGAGGCTTCGGGAAGGGGTTGGAGGGGCCGATCATGGTTCCGGGAGGGAAGGTAAGGTTCCTCTTGGTATCAAGCACCCAGCCGTCCATGTACTCAGCAGCCTTGGCAAAGAGAATCATAGTCTCGTAGTAACCTCGCCTCCACTCCTCAGACTTAGCACTGATATCCTTCGTGCCTGGAGGGCAGTCGTGCGGGGCGTCCTTTACGTCTTTGCCATCGATGTTAGGATCCTCCAGTCGCTTAAGTGTTTTCTCTGCCCACCAGGCGACCTGCTTCCAGTCCGTAATTTTCCCCGGCGGCGGCTCATATCTAGCGCAATGGCCGCCACGGAAATTGACGCGGGTCCAGTACGTCCATTCGTGAGGGCTGGGATAGTGACGTTCGAGCTTCTCTTCGACGATGGCGAAGTAGATAGCAAAAAAGCAGAAGCCGGCAATCCAGAAGTAGCCAGTGTACTTGATGCCTACCTTGATCTCATACTTGAGCTTGGCCTTACGCTCAGTGGTCAGGTAGCGCACGCGTGGGCGCGTGGTCGGGATATAGAGGAAAGGGAGATGAGGGCGCGAACGGAAGTCGGCTGATGAGCGGGCAGCTGAACTCTGGGCAAAGGTGCGCTGGAACAGCTGGCGGGTATCGACCCGACGAAGGTGAAGCATCTGAGTTCGCATTGTGATGATCAAGGAGCTTAATTAAGATGTTCAAATATTGCCGGTCCAGTGGTGCAGCTGGTTAACTGCTCGATCCTAACACCCGCATGGGCTTCCTCGGCATGGGCAATGGCGCTGTTGTCGACCTTTAGCGCATCGCAGTCATGCCAATGCTTCTCGTATTCAATACATTTGCGTTGCCTTTGTAGACGGTAACCTGTTCCCTCGCGTGGGTTGTTGCGGGACGAGGGGGTAGAGGACTGGTTTCGATGACGCTCTGCCGTCCCGGTGACCATGATCCAAGCTTCGCTTCATGAGTCGCTGAGCCGCAAAGATCCCAGCGGGCATGAGGTCTTGGCAGCCCCGCAGTCAACGGGTCTTGGCAGTGCTTGGTTCTGGCTCTGAGCCCCACCAGCAGGGCTGGTTGGAGAAGAAGCTCTGCTTCGAAACCTTTTCTTGGCTCCCCAAGTCATTTGGGAGATCATAACAAAAGTTGAGGATACGGAACTACACAAAGCTCACCGACCAGCCTACTGTCCGATAGCGGTAAGGTGACCGGCTACGATAACCCCACGGGGGTTTTGCTTCATCGAACGGTGGCGGCAGGGGAACCAGCCCCTACCCATCCCCGGACCCGTTTTCGGGATGGGCAGAGTCGTTTCCTCCTGCTCGAGTTGAACCTCCGAGCTCGGGTCGTAGATTTCAGACTGCTATCGCAGGTGACCACCGGACGACGCTCCCATTTGACCATTTGGCCCAGTGGGTGGAGCTGGTTGTTGGCAACGGCGCCCGGGAAGTAAGATATATAGTTTGGAAGAAAGCCGCGGGGAAAAGGTAGGGGCAGAGGGGTGGTCAATGCACTGCCACCAGAGGCTTTCGGCCACCCTCTTCCCTGAGTCCTCCCTGGGTGAAGGTCTCCTTATTGCCTGAAGCCTCTGGAGGTATGGGCTCTCGGCTATCATCGACGACTCCCAAAGCTGTCTCCCTTCTATGGACCTTACTCTTGAAAAGATCGTCTCCTCGCCTGTGGTACCAATAGTCTCCAACTCACATCGACTCATGACCTCTGGTGTGCAGGCCTTGTTAGTGACGTTCCTCAAGTGCATGACTGTTTGTGAACACATATCAATCCATCATAAGGTGCCTATAGAGCAGCAAAACAACTACTTTCACCATGTTTCGGACCTGGAGACGCCATCAGACTTGTTATCGACATGGTTCTACCTGTTGCTCTTTACCGCAAATCAATGGTAAAGCTACACAAAACACAACGTCAACATACGCCTTCTAGAAGGACGCAGCAATTCTCTCAAGTCGTGTCATGAACCAAGAGCTTTCCCCTTCCGGCCGAGACTGGAATATTGACGAGAGTCGGTGAGGGCGATCCTGATCTTCCTTGTTACACAATGTGACGCGGTCGTATGGTTGGCCACAAACAGCATGGTTCTTCTCAAGTTGTTGCGAGCTGCGCAACTAATGTGTTACAACATGTGATTGTCCTGGGGTTATATACAGAAACAGCGAGATCAACCGACGAACATACAGGACATCGCAACCTTCACCTGCTAGACTTAGCCTCCACATAGCGCTGTAGTGTCTCTTTCTGAAGCGCTCTCTGCTCGTTGATGATTTCCCACAACTCTTCGTTTTGTCTCTGCAGCTCCTGGTCGCCCGCAGATTGTGTGACTGGCTGATAGAAAGCCACGATAGCGCTCTCAAGAGCATCGGCTGGGAACCCGGTTGCGTTCAACAGAGAATCCAACCTACTCTTCGTAAACGACATCGGCTCAAATTGTGCCGTAAACGTATAAGCCCGCTCCGCTTGGGACGGCTTGATAATATTCACCGTCTTGGTAGGTTTGCTTGTCAGGAATGGCGATACGAAGATAAGGTTGGTGACGGCGGCGTTGAGGTTAGCAAGTTCAACGGGGGACTTGTTCTCGGAGATGTCCCACCGCATGATCTGACCCCTCGGGTGTCCAGTCAGGAGCATCGTGCCGTCATAGCTCACGCTCAAGCAGGACGCTGGGCCGACATCTGGTTGTGTCGCCCCAAAGGGAGTGGAGATCTGGACCACAGTCGAAGGATCCTCCGAACCTGGTCCAAGGAGCGGCTTCTCACCGAACATCTCTGCCACATAGAGTGAACTGTCCTCGCAGGACACAAAGATGGCCCTCGATGAAGGGTCAAGAGACATACACAGAGGATAGCCTGGGAAGATCAATGTCCTCAAGGCATCACCGGTCTGGTAGTTCCAGATGATGCAGGACTTGTCTTTGCTGGCCGATACACAAAAATTCGTGTCCGCGCTGTCACTGGGGCTGACTGCAAGCGCCGTGATGGCTGCTCGGTGGTTGGCAAGGGTGCGCAGGGGCTCATGCTCGGCAGCCGAGTCAAGCTCGAGTAGCTGGGACAGCGACCACACGTGGATGTCAGAATCATCAGACCCGGTGAGGACATGAGACGGCGTGGCTGCCACGCAGGATACTGCCTGGACGTGGCGCGCAGGCGTCGACACTAGTCGACCAGTGCATATCTGTGATGGCATGTCAGTTCGCAAATCATGCTCCCGAAATGGTTCTTTCTTCCACGCTTCCCGAATGTGGCAGACTCGTGACGTAAGTTCTCACCTCCCACAGCATCAGACGGCCCTCTGTGGTGCCGACAACGAGGATGTCGCCAATCAGTATCAAGCACCGTATTCTCTCGGGAAGGGCCACAAATGCCTCCTGATTCCCTCGTAGACGCGAGTAGACATGCACATATGCCTTTTCATGCTGACCGGCAAAGATATGTGTGTCGCTCACAGCCAGACAGTTCACTGGAACTGAGCTCTTTTTGAATGTCGACTTGACCGAGTACGAAGGGCTGAGAGTGTGGCAGTAGATCCCCACATCCTTGGCAATGGCGGTGTTGGAAGAGAGAGGCGGGCCACAAATGGCCGACACGAACTCTTCAGTGAGCATCTTGGATAGTAATAATTGCTCTATTTTCGGCTTCGATCGAGCCTTATCTTGTCCGACATTCGACACTGTGATTTCTTTTTGGGATTGTTGAGTTGGGCCCAGATTAACGGGAAATCAGATGCCAACTACTGTGTTCCTGCAGCTGGCACCAAACCTGTCACCGACCGGTCTGACGATGATAACTCCAATCTTGGATGGCTTTCAAATTCTTGGACTCTAAGGCCAGGGCAAGAGACGAGAAATTCTTGATTGAGACAAGATTGACGAGTGATTGCAAACACCAGGTTGCTGGTCGGTGGAAGAACACAAGGGAGGATGAAGTGACGCGTGAAGTAAATCTAAATCCGGCCTGTCGGCGTCAGCAGCTGTTTCTTGAGGTGCGCCGTGCCACCCAGCGCCAGATGCCAATCTTAGGTCTAAAATTTTGTCACGGCATCTTCCGCGCTGTGGAGAGCTGGTGGAGATACCTTTTCCCACCTGCATGCTGGCCCGCAGGGCCAAGCTCGATCAAGGTGGAGCCTATCCAGAGAGTGGGTCCCGCCCGCTGCCGCGTCGATCGAAGCCGTAACCCCAGACCCTGGCCCAGCCCAGCCCTACCTGGCCGGGGCCCCGCCGAGACCCACCGAAACCCTTGCCTCCCGAGGACCCTGCGCTCTCCGTTTCCGAACCGGAACGGAAAACAACAATGGACGGAACCTGGTGCGGGAACGATCCAATGTCCTGTCAGTGCTTTCCGAACGAGCGACGACCGTAGACAATGCTTTTCTCGCTCCATCAGCTTCTCAGTCTGCTGTGGCCCTCCCTCCAAAATGCTGTGCAGAGACACACACAGTGACATCCAGCTCACGCAGCTTAGCTGCTGCACACACCGACAAACAATGCCCCAAGTTGTGCACAATGTTTGGATTTGCAACGAGCCATAGGTGAATGTGATGGCTGCTTGAATATCTGAGTTGATGGCAAACTCTATCTGATATGGGAAACACAGCCCGATGATACCAAAATTCTTTTCCTTTTGCAGGCTGAGATGTGAGCCGCCTTACCTTTTTGAGCCGCAGCTGCATCTCAACTACTCCCGACTTGCATCGGCAACACACAACGCAAGAGACAGTCAACAGCCATTCGCTCCTTGCGACACTCTTCTGCAAGATACGGGAGAGACTTCAGACGCCAGGAACAACCTCACATACTCCTCACATACCAGGGTGGGACACATCCATAATGCCAAATATTGCAGCTGTCACGCAAAATTCCGAGGACTTGAACATCGATATCCAGTCCTTGAGGTTGCTTCTGCGTGCCGTCAGACATCATTGTTGTTTCGACCTCCTTCACCACATGCAGACAGTATCGGGATGTAACCAATCAAGGCTCGCCCTGCTTGCAATGAACATGGTGTTCTTCATCCAGGGAATTTCACCTGGCTGATGTTTGTATGCATGTAGTTACCCGTTGCTTCGTCACCCTGTTACTCCAGTCGATAGCAGGCTAGGCCATCACAACGGCACGGAGCCACAGACGGGTCTCGTAGTGTAGATGGTTACTGGAGGCTGCAGCAACGCTGTGTCCCATGGAGGGGGCGCACCACCCAGACATCAAGCCAGCTTTCCCCGACTGTGTGGTGCTGGATGGCAAGCGACGCCAGGACGTTCGTGTTTCGATCCAGCTACCCCTCTCTGCCTGAGACTACCCGTGGTGCACGGTTCCTCGCATCCTGGCCGTGCCCAACCTTCATCCCCAACAATATCTTAAGAACCAGATTGCCTGTCTCAGAAACCCAGAAAGCCTGTGTCTTTTGTTCTCCTATCTCTCTACCCATCTCTTCTTACCGGGCACGGACTGCTACCCTGGCTCGGGAGCGGTACGACATTCCCTCCTCCCTCGGCGCGACAGCACTTACTGCAAGGACGTGACACAACATTGACCACATCGTATACCATGGCATACACAACTATCAGACCACACAGGACGTAAGGGAAACCGGACACTTATACGGCAGTCCCCTATCCCGCGCATGATCTTGCCGGCAACCCCCAACATCTCTGTTCTTTCCAGATTTTCACCACCACACCTCATTACCTTCTCCCTGCTCCTGCTCTTTATTTTCAGCTGCCGGGACAGGTAGCCGAACTGGATCCTCGGTTACACCGGGTTCTGTTTCTCATCTTATTTTCAGTCATTTTCGGCAAGCACCGGTACCAGGAGATCAGCGACAGGGGTAGATATACACCACGCTGATCTGTGTTAACCCAACTATTTCCTATCATTCATATCTCTCGCCATGAGCTCCTTGAATAAGACTCCTTTTGAAGAGGAGGCTTACCTCAGCGCCAGTGAGAAATCAACCGGAGGGTCAGTGATCGAGTGTAACTTTCCCGAGCTACTTGTTAGAGACCTCGAGGTCTCAAAGGAAGTTTTCACAATGAGAGCCATGACAGCAGGGTATCCCGCCCCGGGATGTGAGGCTCCAAGCATTGAAAGAACTCGACCGTCCCAAAGAGCGGCAAGCCCCATCTTGGCCGCTTACTCTCGAACGCCTTTCTACAGAAACCCATTGTTCGCCATGGCCATTGCTCAAACAAACCATGAAGACCTGTTCTTCGGTCCCAGCGAGGTTCACTCAGGGCCAACCAGTCCGTCACCCGACTCGGCCAGCATCATGTCATCAACAATGGCGCCGCCCTCGATCCGAACCAGTGCCCCCTCAGTTACAGTAGGAGCCACGTCGGTTTCCGATTGTTGCTCTTCCGTCTTTTCACACAACACAATGTCGCCTGCTTCGCCTATTGCATCACCCTGCTCCTCCAATGGAGCTAGTAGCCTACGTGGCAGATGGCACGAAGACAGGACACTGTACACGCGAGACGGCCCACTCGTTAGTCCGGGACTCACTGACGGGAGTTCGATTTACGATTCTCAAGACTCGGCCATGTGCTTTGACGACGACTACGAAGACGGATGCAGTTATAGCAAGAAATTTGTCAACCCACAGAAGCCTGGAAATCTCTCACACGCCGCAGACATACATACGAGACCCGTTGAGCATTCAAGACCTTCCTCTTCAGAAACTGGCTCACGGCCCCACACTCCTTCATCTCCCATGCTTCTCGGAAAGGCACGGATTGTGGACGTTCCTCCATATTCTTCTGGAACTCCCAAGCAAGAATCATCAGCAACAGCAAAGAATAATAACAGCGATGGCGAAACTAGCGCAAATTCGATCACAAACAAGCCAAGAGACCAGGGCATTATGTCAAGAGACTCTGTAGAGGTCGTCCAGCAAAAGCCAGGAGATTCAACATCACAGCGCCCGCCTGAGGAGCCTCTTGTGCATGTCCCATTTCTCACAACACCAAGCGGACGAACACTTGTTGATGCCTCTGGAGCGCCATCAGTGGAACTGGAAGACGAAGCCCAGCTGTTCTTTAATGAAGACTCAAGCCGTTCATACCCGGTCAGCATTGGCGACGAGGCATTCGTCTACATTAACAAGGAGACGATTATTGAAGAGCGGTCTGGTAAGGCTCGTGGTTCCTCGAAGCCCTTGGAGCCCACTCTGCGCAGCTGGCTAGATGTGCATAGCGCAGTCCCATCCTCGAATCCTACGGCTTTGAGGGATGCGAGGCAACACTTCCCGACACTACCTGTTCGAGGCATTCGCCTTCCTCCAGAAGTGGTCGAGTCCCTCCGGGTATCCATATCCTGCTTTCCTGAGACCATGCTCCAAACCTCAAGCCTGTCCATCGAGACAATACGGACGTACTCCAGGAAACTGAAGTACCGAGCCGAAATCGACCGTTTGGCCGGGCTTCAACACGATCAATACTCGACGTCAAACATACACGAGACAAAATCTGCCAAGCGCTGGCACTTCTGGCCGGGTCAGTCTCGCCGTACCAAGCCCGACCTAAGCAGTCAACCACCTCACTGTCACACTTTTCCACGAAAGTCACGCTCTAGCTCAATCCAGTCAACCACGAGCATTACTCAATCTTCCCACAATTCTACCCAACCTCCCTGCTGGGCAGTCATCAAAGCCATTTTCCCAGCTGCTACCGATTACATCTGTGACGCTCTCTACGCGCATCTCGTCGCATACAACTACATCTCCTCTCTGTGTTCTCCCTCGCCAGCATCTCCTCCCCAATCACCAAAGCCATCACTACGCGCGGTATTCTCCAACCCCAACGCAACTAGCAACCTCCATATCGACGAACCCCCAGCCTGGGTTCCCCTAAAAGCTGCTTCCCTCCTCGGCATGAATGACCCGTCGACTCTAAACCTCGCCTACCATAAGCATTTACGCCAGCAAGGCCAAGCCATAACACGGCCGCGAACGCGCAAAGGCCTCCTCGTACGCAGGCCTTTGACACCAGTCAGCGAGATATTTTCTAATATTTCGCCTATTTCCTATTCGATTAGCAACGGTTCGACTGTAACTGGAACCGGCTGTGGCTCAGGCAGTGGGGGAAACCCATCCAGCACATCAGAGGACTCAGCGATGAGGGAACTACGTCTGGGGTTGCGAAGGTGCATTCACATGTTGATCGCAACCATCAAGAAAGGTAGTCTGGGCTGTGTGATGAGATTAACTGATACGGAAATTGCGCTTGGGGGAGGTAGTGGTACAGGCTTCGTTAGTGAGACGTTGGATAAGGAGTCCATGTCTGTGACGATGAGTCAGTTGGGCGATGGGATGGAAGAGGTAACCGTTGACCCTGCGCTTGTGAGGGCTTTGTGCGAGGTTGTGAGGTGTACAGAGGAGGGGTTTGTGGGGAGTAGTGGTCTTTGATGCGGCGGGTTTTCTGGCTGTGAGAGCAATTTGACGAGCAAGAGACAGTCTTCTGGTTTGTTTTGAAACAATAATAATTTCTAAAGTTTCTGGAAGGAATTTTAGATTTCTTGGGCTGGCAAAAAGCCGAAAGTTGGAATGGGGAAATGGTATTTAGGCCCGGCAAAGTTTATTTTGTGGGATGGCAATCTTGTGGCTTTCGAGGTGGTCGTGTATTTTCTTTAATTCTGTATATGGTCGTATGTGTTGTATTCAACAGTTTTTCAACTTCCAGCCGGATCGGTAGAATGGCTAACCATTTACTGTGGTTGGTCTCGAAACCCCTGAAAGTCAAGTAAGAACCCAGACTCTCTGGTGTGCCTTGTCAACAATCCTTTCACTCTCCTGACAGCACTATTGACGCAGCCAGCTGTCAGCTCCCCATGCTGATCCATGCAGCTCCCGCTCAGTATGCATTCCCCTCGGGGCCCCTCGGGCCCCTTGGTCCGTTCCCAACCGGAGCCAAGCTCAATGCTCTCCACACCTCTGGTTCCCCCAGGCCGATTGCTTCGGGCTTGGTCTGTCGGTTACCTAGACGAGTCTCCACCCCGTCCCGACACCATCCAAGTGAATGGTGGTCCGGTAAGTTGTAACTGAGGCAAGACTGATTTAAAAGTTGTAAGTGGTCAGAAGGCAAGTATTGGCCACCCATCGTCAGTCTGCTGGCTCTCTTCGCTATGATTATGGAAACGCCGGTCATCAGAGATGTCCCTAATGATGCAGTTGTAAAAAGTGATTCGGATGTAGATGACATATAATTCACTTCAGTACCGTTGTTATATTTTCTACGTTAATAGTATCATAAAAAGACAACATATCTAGAACATCAAGCATAATTATCTGACGGCACAGTGACGTCTCATTATTCTCTCCACTTTGTCAATACGCTTCATACATGCCATGCCATGGTGCCAGTAGGAAATAGAATGGAGGAAAAGAACTGAACTTCAGTCCTCTTTCCACCAATCCCACGTATCAATTTCTGCTATTATTACCTTGCCCCTCTACTGTTGCTTCCATCTGAGTCTCCGGCATGAATAACAAAAAAAAACGTAGAACAACAACGGGCCAAAATGAAGGGTGAAAGGGTGTAGGGGCATAGGGGCAGTAACAAAGGGTAGTGGGAATGCGTTAAAAACCAAAAGGGGTATGAAGCCATGATAAAACAAAACCCGCTCAATGCAATCCGTCCTTTTTTTGGCCGTGTGGTATTTGCGTGTGCAGTGTGTATGAAAAGTGCCGCCGCTCCATCTTTCCCAAACCTTTTGCTGCTGTGATGTGGTATCCCGTCCCAGAAAACGTCCCTATCCCATGCAGCAATGCAAATGGCCCAAACCCATGTTTCCTCCTCTGTATGTTTGTCTTTTTTTTTATTTTCCTGTTGTTTACCTTCCGTGTTGAAATGAAGAAAAATATCAAGGTAGTGTTTCGAGATCCATGGTATTGCCGCGAGGTGAGGCAATGATTATGTTGCAGACCGTTGAGATGAGCCCAAGAGACTTGATAAGCGCACCACATTAGTCATAGAGTAGAGGCAAACGAAAGCTGTTCAGACATCGCCCGCCGTTCGCCCTTCCCATATTGGAGCTGCCTCTTTTGGAGGCCAAGGATCCTGCTGTCCCAACTGGACTGCATGTCTGCATTGAACCACGCTACTCTCGCCACAACTCCGTGCGATCACCCAGTCAAGAAACGAAAGAATGAATGAGCACCCCAATCCGTATCGCTGACGCCCATCTTTGGCATGATGGATGATAGACGCATGTGACGCCATAGGCCATGATGTTTCATCCCTTTAGCTTCCCCATCCTGACCTTGCGCCCTGCTTGCCATGTGTACCAGATATGTGCGAAGAAAACCAGACGCGGATATAGCCGTGAGACGAAATGGCCCGGATCAAGGACCTGCCGATCAGCCCAAGCATGCTCTTTCCCAATGCCCAAAATGACGAGTGGAAAAAAGCAGCCCTCTAATGAACCTGATGCCCATTGCCACAAAACCAAGCCAAATGGCCAACAAATGCAACCAGACATAACATGACCAACACGATGTCATAACATAAAAATCCCGGGGAATCCGTTGAGCACACCAGACAATATAACGCCTGAACCCAAACCATACCGTGCGCCGATGATTGTACCGCAGAAAATACCGGCAACTCCATAAACAACCGCCACTGGTGCCCCCCATTCCCCGGCCAGTGGCACTGTTATGGACAGCGTCCAGGTATTGTAATGTCCGAGATCCAATGGACCGAAACCGGGAAAAATTAAAGAAGCCCAGTGAAAGGCATGCTAAAGAAAATGGCAAACCGAAAAAGGAACTCCAAGAGAGAAACCATCAATGCCGTTTCATGCGGGGTTCTCGTCGTAATGATTCTCAACGTCCCATCATGTAGGCCGGAGGGTAGCTTGCTGCACTCGGACCGGACATAACCGAGTTGTAGCCACCATAAGGACTACCCCATGGGTTAGTGTGTGGGGTGGCTGTAGGCGAGCCGTACATGTTGGTTGAGGCAGCACCCAGGACAGCTGAGGGAGCTGTGTATCCGCCACCACGAGCCACACCTCCGAGGCCAGGAGGAGCAGTCAGACCAGGCGGAGGACCACTGGCAGTGGTGAAGCCGTTGTTTGCACGGTTCGCAGGATTGTTGGGATTTTGGTTGGAGCGGACACCGAGTGGATTCTTAGAAAAGCTGAGACGGATGCCGCCCTTGACGCTGTTGTGCAGAGGTTGACCGTAGAGTTCATGCAGAGCCTTCGTAGCGAAAGTAACGTCCTCGAACTCGACGAAACACATAGGGCCGTTGGCCTTGGTCCTGAAGCAAAGACGCTTGTAGCCACGCTGCTTCGAAAACATGGCCTTGAGCTCCTCCTCAGACGTATCGTGGGGCAGGTTTCCAACGTAAAGGGTATTGCAAGGAGGGTTCTGGTCCGCTGGGTTAATCGGCGGATAGTGCCGACGATACGGGGGCTGGTGATGGTAGCCCATGCCAGGGCCGGACGGCCCCATCGCTGTTGGCGACATGGTATTAGGATGGCCAGAAACACCACCAACACCTGGATGGCCATAGTAGGGTACTGGCGCCGGGGGCGGAGTAGGGTTCGTGTTCAGCGACAGATTGGCCATGGCACTGATGGGCAGTTGAGGAGCAGTCTGACGCCGCTGCAACCCGTTTTCAGCAAATCCAACCGGATCGTTAATGAGTTCCTTGGTTTCATCATCATCTACAGAGTCAATCAGGGACTTGCTGGTGATCTGCGAGCCGTTCGCGAGGTGGTTGCCGATCGGTGACTGGGGCCCAAAGATCTTCTGGTAAGAAGATGCGTTCGCATCGGACGTGGTAGCACTCGGAGGAGGCATCTTTTCGAGAGCCTGGAAGGTGCCGTTGAACCGAGATGTTTGCCGGGACGACGGGGCCGTGGGAGCCATCGAAACACCGGTCGCTGCGGACGTTGTGGGCAAGATCGAATCGGTGGGGAACCGATTGCCCAAAGCCGTAGTGGGGCTGGAGCTGCCCAAAATCTCGACAACCAGTTCAGCATCGTTGGTGATGTTCGACTTGCCATCGAGTATTCTCTTGGCTTCCTGCGCGCCGGCGGGGGTCTTGAACTTCAAAATGGCCGACCGGAAGCCCTTGTCATTTGTTACTTGCTCGACGGGAAGAAGCTCGACATCCACGAGGTCAGTGGAGAACACCATCATCAAACGCAGCGACTCCTCAGTTGTGTTAGCTGGGAGGTTTCGAATCAGCGCCGACGAAAGGGTCGGAGGGGTCACAGTCGGCGAGCTTCCCAGCGGTTTCTTGCTCAGATCGCGCTCGGGACCATTTGCGGCAGAGGCGAGCGACGATGGAAACGAAGACTGGGACGACGCCGCGGCTGGTCGGAAGGCAGGCGCCGGCAGGTAGGATGGAACCGCCATGTTCTTAGTCGCAGTGGTGGTCGCTGGAAAGGCAGTTGAGCGGAGCGACGTAAGAGGGGCAAATGAGTTAGCAGCAGTGACAGCGGTCGTCGTAGTCGCAACAGTCGCGGTGCTTGCGGTGGCGGCGCTGGTTGTCACAGCAGTGTTGTTGCTGTGGTTGTTATTGTTGGCTGACGCGCCAGAAGATGCACTGCCTGAGCTACTGTCGCCGTTCATGCCTTGCGATGCATGCAACAGGGTGCCGTGACTACAAAGAAAGCTAGAGCGATGATCGCGCTGATCGAATGGTCAACGAACGAGTGGGAACGCGCAGATTGTGCGGCGACAACTTGGAACTGGTGGAGAAGCTGTCAGATACCGTAGGCGGGAATCACAGGGAGGTGCGGATAGCGAAAGCGTCGCTGTGGTTTTCGGTGTCGCTTTTCCGTTTTGTCGGCAGCGCGACAGCGAAGACCAAGCGAACGGGGAAAAAGGATCAAAAATGGAGGTGTCGACACTTGCGCGTGCAGAGTTGAGACAGGATGCGGAAGAGTGCTGTGCAAGCACCAACTACCAACAGGATGCCACTGCGCGACGAGAGAAACGACTGTGAGGAAAAAAAAATTGGGGGTTGGCGGAAGACTTGGTGTGGGATGACGAAGCGGGAGAGGGGGGAAACGGGACCTGGGGGGATGAGAGAAGAGGCTTGGAAGGTTTGTGGGAAAGCGAAAGAGAGCTGTCACAACCCAGAGCCTAGAGGTCCAGGGCTCAGAGACGTCCAGAGCGGGATTTGGTGGGTGGAAGGCCGGGCGGGGCCCGATCGAGCGCACCAGTCAATGGGGAAGCTTTCCGTTCAGGGTCGCTTGTGGCTTACCCAACTGCTGGGTGTGCACCCAGCACACGCTAGCACCTGCGCATTGCCAGCGGTGCAGGTAGCGACGAGGGTAAGAAAGAATTCTAGGGCCGAGCTTGCCCGGATATGAAACCGTACGGGTAATTATGGTAACAGTGTAAAATACCTGAATATTTACGCACCTGATACCAGCCCACCCAGTGGCTCAGCGGTTGTCCAGTCTGAAGTCCGTTGTCGTACGGCGCTTTGAGCTATGTGTCGCGTGGATAACGCCTGCAGATGGGAATCGTAGGGAACTTGCTATTGCGGGGACAGGAATCAGGATTTGCGTAGTTGCTGGGAGTCGAGTTGCGGGCGAAGCATGAAAGTTGGAGAAAGAAAAACTGGAAGTCAGGCTGAAGATAACCCCGCGCTGAACCTGAAAGAGCAGTCCGCGCGCCCACACGGCAAATCTTGGTAATAAATATGGAAGGAGCGCTGATCAAGCAGAAGGCCGATGCTGCCTTTTCTTGTACGCCTTCCCGGTCTCATCCAAGGGGTAATGCTCTCGAGGCCAAACGATTGGACACGCGTGCCCCTCAGCGGGCAAACCTGAGCTCGAAGAACACGGGTTGGATATGAGGAGCAGAAGCAGGTTCAGGCGCTTTCACTTTGAGCAGCGTAGCGGCAGGGTAGCAGTTGAGGCACAACCTTGGGCTAGCCAGACAGAGCGCGAGATGAAATGGATGGCCTTGGTTTTTTCATCGACCCCAAAATGAGAACAAGAAGCGGATTCATTTCAAAATCTGGAGATCCTGGCGTTGCACAGGCACGCAGGAGCGAACAGGCTCGTTCTTGATGACGCTCAGGCTCCCGACAACAGCCGTATTTCGGCTCCTGCAACTCATTCAACATCAACCTTCCACGAGCTGGAACATGCCTCACAGTAAGTGCGAAAGGTCGGCTTCTACTTGAAATGTGCGCTGTCGTTTCTTGCCTTTACTTACATTACCTTTCGTGTTTCCAGATTACGCAAAGTCTGCGACGGAACGCGGTGATGGAGGGGCTTGCGTGCCGGCGACGGCAAGCCCCGGGAGTATCAGGAAGCCGGTGCAGGCGCTCGGTTGATGTTTGGAGAGCTTGATGGGTCCAGCCAGGTGTCCTGGTTGGCTGCAACACATACAGCGCTAATCCAAGTTGGGAATAGCATATTCCCTCATCAAGCTTAGCGTCCTTTGGAGGGGCCGCCTCACTGGTCCATCCACACGCATACCAGGGGCAAGGGCACGCCATTCGCAGAGCGCGCCGCAGGTCGCAACCCTGCCTTGCACGCAGCTTCGCCCAGTGGGAGGATCCGCGACAAGTCTCCTGCAGCAACTCGATATCAGAATCAAGTTCACCTCGCAACCCTACAGTAGACCGACGGAATGTTGTCCATATCAATGGCACCTGGAGACACGGCGGACGATCATTGCATTATACGTGCTCATTATAGGGCCTGAATGCCATATTGTTTAAACGCTCGCTGCTTCCTCACCGGTCCGGCCGGGTAACCTCGCAGGATGCGGCCAGAAGACGCATTTCATCCGGCTGCTTGCTAGTGATGCAACCCTACCGTGTCGGGTTGGCGTTCCATCACGCGGGTTGGCGTGCTTCGAGGCTCTGTCACCCTGCATTGCGTCGCGTCGAGTTCGCCAAGGCCCGCGCCTTTATCTCATATTTTCTCGTTGGACTGAACAACGCCACATTCCATATCTGACAAAGATAGGTTGAGATATGGACAAGGCGCCATCCATCGAGATGGCCAGCGCCGGGCCTAGCAGCAGATCTTCCGCACGCCCATATCATCGGCGTTGTAGGGCGGCATCTGCCGAGATGCTGCCTTGGCTTGCGTCCAAAACCGCACGCCTGGGAAGATGGTGGGCGGGGAGAGTAGCGATGATGACCGGTGAGGAACGCATTCCTGGTGTATCCTGACGCGATTATCAAGAAATAGGGCACCAGAGGGAGAGCATTTTGTAGACAAGAGTAGCTGCAGTGTTCTGACACCCACAAATAAGACGTGGCCCCGCGGGAAACACAACCCCATTTGCATCTCACAGAGATCTGGGATCCTGGCGAGACAAGTCTTTTGTTTTTTTTTCGAGACATCTAGAAGCGCGAGAAGTCTCCCAGAGGGGCCGGCCAATCTATCCGGGCCTAACAACCGGCGGCCGCTCGATTGCCGCGGCCAGTTCGATCCCGCCGTCATGGACACGGGTCTGCAAGGTGGGGAAGAGCGAAGAAAATAACTTGATCGTTCGTCCCGAATTTTCATGATAACTGCATCGTTTCTGCAGGCAGAGCTACAAACGAAAAGATTCAACCTCGCGCCAACTTGAGGTGTGCACAGTGCAGAATCATGAAAATACTGTGTCTTGGTGGGGGCTATGGTTCAAAGCCCCGATGATCCACCAAACCCACAGCGGAGACTTGGCCAGAGCCCTTTGTGGGGCCCCATTTTCTCCATTTTCTCCACAAACAGGATGGATCTTGGCCGTTTTTGTCAACTTGTCCGCCTCGCCAGAATCCCTCCGACAAGAGGCTCGAACCAACCAGTCAAGCTCTCAAATGATGATCGCAGCCGCCCTTTATCAGTGAAATAGAATATGTCTCCGCTAATGCTCTGTCGAGTATTTGTCAAGGACTTCATGTTGTTTGTTGGCCGCATTGTACAGTGCAATTGAGCGACCAATCGATCTTGTCAGCCACTTTCTGTTTAAGTGAGCAGGCAGCCGTTACCTATATGTTTTTGACAGCCTGCACATAATAAAGGCAGTAAAGCTAGTCCATGCTATAGTTGATGTCAGAAGAATTAACCGGCTGTTATTGTGGTACTGTGTATCCAAGACCACAAGTCCCCTCCTATGTCCAGGCATCGTCCCATAATCTACCTCCTCGGGAGGAGCACCACACTTCACTTTAAGGGACGAGCTACATCTCTATTTCCGGTGAGTATGGAGGTGGTGCCTTCTTGGACGAGTCAATCTAGTTTATGAGTGGGTGCCTGCTGGCCTACCTGCCTTACCGATATATGTACTCGGATTCTCGCGACCGCTTCGGCTTGATGCTTCCCAGCGTGTCAGAAGATGCAGGATTAAACTGAATCCGAAAGCTTAGCCGAAAAAGAAACGGTCCCAAGAGCAATAGAGAGATGCAGAATAGCTCGGCTCGGCGTCTGATTTGATTGCGAGCAAGCGGTTATCATTTTTCGTCAGTGCCAGCATCCCTATTTCTTCCCGCCTTGCCCACCATCGAGCAGTGTGTGTTGACCTTCTCTGGCTGAAACAAGTCGGAGAGCTGCCTCTCTTGACAGGGGGTAGGAGGCAGTATTTGGGGGCCAGCCACGCCAGTCCAATTTCTGGTTCGGCGACGGAGAAGGGAAGGGAGGGCTGGACACGGAGAGGCAGGAGAGACGGCTTTCTCACCCACCCACCACTTGCTCACCACCAGTCTCACTGCGATAACACGCCGCCCTGTCTCTTTATCGTTGGGCATCCAACTACAACCCAATCCCCCTCTCCTTTTCATCTCCCTAATGGGATGTGATTCCACACCATCTCGAGCTAACTTGGAATTCGGGCGACGCAGAGAAAGGCCCTGACACATAGGTTACGTTGAAAGTGAGGACACAGCCAGTGGCTAGTTCATTACAGTTTAAGTAGGAGAAGGAGAGCCCTTGGGACTCTCTATCCGCGGACTTCAGTCACCAATACCCAAGTGGCCCTAGACATATCCGCCCCATATTAACTACGTACCTATGAGTTGGTGCCTCCAGCAAGCTCTTCATTCCCACTCTCGACTGCATGGTAAGAGCCACCTCTTAGCTCTGGAGTATAGTAGCTTTGAGGTTCTCTTGAATGCCTATCGAGCGGCCGCATTCAGTTATCGCCAAAGCCAACGCCCTCTCCTCCGTCGAGCCGTACAGCTATTTGCTGTCCATTTACAGATCTGTATTGAAGGTCGCACTGCTGTCCGACAAGTCCCCATCTCCCCAGTGATAGACGGGCAATCTTGTCCCCGTCGTTGCACGAAGCGCGGAAAGCGATGGCCGTCTGAGGCTCCTATGCGAAGAAAAAAACGCCCAATCCTTGATATGTAATTGTCGTTACTCAATCCAGATGATGCAGGGGAGACGTGACGGGGATCTCGTTGGTCATCAAGCTCTCCTGTTGGTTGCACTCGCCCACGGCAGGAGGTGCAAAGCCATTGTGGAATGGAACATGGCCAAGGCTGTTGCTGCTGTTCAACCCCAAGTGCCCGACACTGTCAGAATTCTCGAAGACTCATTGCGGGCTCTGTGGCATCTTGGTCACAAAGGAGATTTGGTAACCACACAGCGGACTCGCTGGTCACGCGGTGCCTGTCGCTACCTGCCAGCGAAGTAGGAAAGCAAGCGACCGAGCGGTACCAACGGCCACAAATGCATCAGCAGCCCATCAACGACACCACTGAGTAGTTGTCTGCATCTCAGATGCTTCCTGACATTCCATGAGATTGCAGATCCTGTGCAGGCGCCCTGAATGCAGTCCCATGTTACGCTTGGGAAGAGCTACAGCCTTTAGTTGTTGGGCACATACAGTCTACATTGTGTCCAGTGAGCTTCTCTGCTCGCTTGTGGGTATGCTACAAAGTATCGTCTGTCCTGGCTGCACGGTGTGCTGGGTCGTGCAAAGTCACACCGAGCACCGAGCCAACTAGAATTGTCCATAACCTTTGGTCCCCGCTGTGCTGTCTGCTGCATAGCCGTTCGAATTGCGCGATTCATAGAACCCCTGCTCGTCTGCGAAGAGCAATGCCACACCACCTTTTTCCCTTGCTGAATAGACATCCAAATGTCCTCCCAGAAGCATTGAACCCACGACTCCCCACTGCTGGCTCTGAAATCGTTCAGGCTGGCACAACCATTGCCTTCTTGCCACCCAAAGCCCTGTCAGATGCGTAACCCACGCACGGGCTGATCACCGACCGACCTTCAGACCGGAGCGGGCGCTAAGACACCCCGGCCGCTGAACTGCCGATAACGTTGTGCTTGTTTCTGATCCGATGGGCCTGCCGCGGATCAGTTTTGATCAGCGGTCCCAAACACATAAGCAAAACGTCGCGTGCTGCTTTGAGAAACGCCGATCTGTCTACAAGTAGAGGACTCCTTATACACAGTGGAGGCCTCCCTATGCACGAGATCCCCGGGATTCGAGCTTCCGGGTACCGCTTCCTCGGGACAGAGAAGCTGAAGAAACGGGTGCTAGAAACAGCTGATGAGCAAGCAGCTCGAAGCTTCCAATCGCTACCTACCGCAGCATGTGCCATTATAGGTCAAGGTACTTGGGGGTGTGTATGCAGTGTGATGTGCTGTATGTCTAGAGTACAGGACACAGGCCAGGCCCTTCAGATCTCGGTTCAGCCTTGTAATTTAATCAGTCATTCCCAATGACAGCCTATTCCTGCCATATCTCAACACTTCCCAGCCACAGCGACAGTCTTGATTCTCAATCCAGCGACATCTCCACCTCTCAGGAAGACAAGGAGGGCCCGACGTCAGCCAGAGTGTAATGCCAATGGCATATGGATTAGAGGGGGGGGGAAGGACCCAGCGTGGGCAATGGCGAAAAGCTTGGCGGGCTGGACCTTTCTTGCGCATTGTCCAGCTGTGATGTGGTTGGAAGGCACAAGCCTTCCGCATATCGCACTTTGGCTTCTTCAACCGCGTTGCCTACTCCTGCAATCTTAAGCAATTACAGACTCCACACACCAAAAGTACCTAAGCAAATGATGTTTGGCTCTGTGTCCCGTTAATCTCTGAAGCAAGTCAAGAGATGTTTCACTTCTTCTGCGTCAACGAAAAAGTTTTCACATCCTGTCATAAAAAAGGTAAGGCATGGCACGAAAAACTCGCTGCTGAACCTGTGAAAAATCCAGCCAATCATATCCCCACGACATGCCAAGTAATACGAACGGGGTTATCTCAATTGCAAAAGAGGACCAGCACGCAATCACCTGCGTGCAGGCTGTGTCACATGATTTTGTTTTTGCAATCACTAACAGTGCTGGTGATGAGGACAACACAAAGTCTTGTATGCCCTTGAGATTGACGTTTGAGTAGAACAACAACATTTCAAGTAAATTGGCATGTTGCTATCTGTGTCCGATATAAAAGTATATGAGTCAATGATAAAGCGAGTGAGCATAGAGGTAGATTTCTATAGTTAGAATTTGACCTTATATGTTTGACGCCCGGGGGGCTTCACAAAGCTCTTAGTCAAACACTGTCCCACAAACACTCAGAACTCAAAAGTTATAGATGTATATGGCAAGGAAGTTGTCTGAATGTTGCTATGAAGAAGAAGTGTTGGTGTGAACGAAGCGTTAGAGGAGTATATATGTACACATGCTCATCCTCTCTCGCACCTTAAGGCTTGCAGTCACCTTGGGAACATAGACAAACGATTCTTTCTATCAACGATACTTAAGAAGCATTCGCAATTTCTTTACATATGACCAAAGTCAGTAAAAACTCGTCCTTCAGTCCTCTCTACCCCGGACAAGCCACTGAGGGTGAAATTAGCAGTTGGGTCGGTGATGACCAGAGAATGCTCCACGTTGTATATTTTTGTCGTCAATTTTTTTTCCCTTTTTTCTCCTAAGCTTTTCACTTTCTGCATTAAGTGCAGCCATGCTGCACGGAAGTGTAGAATCCTTCCAGGAAGACATTCTATGAGTTAAGCGACTAGAAGATGGAGCTATGACTTAGGTTTCTGCAAACTATTTGACAGAATACTAACAGAGAGCCTAGTGACTTGAATCTGGTTTGTCAGATTTTTTCAATGTTAATGTTAGTAGGCTGCACTTATGTTGCCTTTTGTGCTTTGTAGCCTGCTGGGATGCTTATTATTCGAGCAATTCCTGCTCCGTCTCATGGACATCGGTCCATATTCATACTGTGAGTTTGCAGCTGTGAAATCACAGTGAATGCTGAGCAGGTCCAGCTTTATGTTTGTAATGTAGCAAGAAAATCACAACACTGAGAGCCATGATTCTTTGGCTTAACTGTGGGTAACAAGAATGTTTGGATTAAAGTGAGCTGGCTAACACCTCATCTGCCACATGGGTATCCAACGTTACCAGATTCTTTCCGGAGCAACTGAGCAATGTAACCCTCTGAAGGTCTTATATTTACGGCACATGGATTCATGTCTAATGAAGAATGTCGTTTCGGGAATACCAAGTCCCGAGTATCACCACAGTGTAGAGTGTCTGACAGTAAGATAAGACAGGGCTGACACAAAGCTGATATGAACCTGGACACATTAAACACGGGTATAACAGCCAGAAGTTAATTCAATCAATAAACTCTATATCCTTCACATATACCAGAGATGCATGTCCAGTACATTGGTTTATATACCCCAAGGTCCTGAACTTGACCAGAATCCGTTTACATACAATCTCTCCATGTTCATCTCCCATGAAGATCAAGCACGAAGTATGAACCACTTAATTCCTCGAACCTCCTTTCCTGCCAGTAAATATCGCCAGCAAGTCCTTTGCTAGCCCCCACCAACCCCTTGCCTGTCGCATGAGATTGATCATCTTCAAGTACCTCCAAGTGAAAACCTCCACCCGCTCGTAATCATGACCATAGACTTCCCAGACACCGTGAGGCTGTACTGGATTCTGCTTGGGCATTCCCTCTTCATCGAAAACGACCCTTGGCCCAATGGCCAAGGCTCTGCCCCGGATCTCTTCGTCAGCCACCAACCTAGTGGCAGCGTTCACAACATCCTCTAGCTTTGCAAGCACTCCTCCAGCGAGAAGCGCATGAGCTGCTGGGGGGAGCAAAGGCGTATCGACAAAATAGGGAGCCAGACAATTGACCCGAATCTGTTGGGTTGACCATGCGGTGGCTCTCAGCGTCCGGAACAGGCCGATGACAGCATGCTTGGATGCAGCATACTCGGTCTGGCCGGGCAAAGGAAGCAAACCAGCAATAGACGAGATCAAGAGTATATGACTGTCGCTGCCAGCACCTTTGTTTGGCTTGTTCAGGGGGAGGAAATGCAGGGCTAAGTGTGTGGTGTACATGACACCCATAAGATTGACATTGATGACGCGGAGAGGGGGTGGGGAAGGGATCATGTCAGATGATGAGAGGGAGGACGTAGGGAAGTCAAAGTGTTGGCCCGAAGTCGGGTTAGCTAACTCGACGATACCGGCCGCCGCGACAACAGTATGAATGCTGCCGGACGGACTTGAGGACATGGCAAATCGGTAAAGGGAAACTTGGTCAGCCCAGCTGGTAACGTCGCAGTGCTGGTAAACAAAGGTCTGCGAAGGATAGGCGATGCGAAGCTCAGCAGTTAGAGCCTCTCCGGCCTTATCATTGACATCCCCCAGCACGATGTGTGCACCATGGCGTGCCCAATGACGAGCAAAGGCGGCACCAAAGCCAGATGCACCGCCAGTGATAAGAATGGTCTTGCCAGCAATGGTAGAAGGGTCGTAAGGGGCAGTACAGTCCACCGGTGGGGACTGGCCGATTAATTCAACAACACTCCAAGTATCATCCTTAGGTGGAATGTTGGGATTGGCAATGAGAACCATGGTTGGCAATGACGAGAATTTCGGGATCACTCAAAACTCTAGCTGTACACCATGATTAGTTGCAGGTTAGTTGGATTAGAACTCAGAATCTGGACTCACCCTAAAAGCTTAAAAGTTGCGAGCAACTAGTTAGGCATTCAACTGCAGTGAACCAAAGTTTAAGACTTAGTATTTAGCGGTGCTCAAGAAAAATAAAGACACTGGACAACTTCATCTGCCAGTGTCTTACGGTGTGAACAAGATAGCAGGATGGTAAAGAGACTTTCAACGGGGAGAACTGATCTTAACGCAGGATGAACGGCAGAAAAAGAAAAATCCAACCAAGAGCGTATCATCGGCGCACTGCACGCTGACGGTGTGCCCAATTAAGGCAAGCCAAGCCAGCTGTGGCTGTTTAGGTCGCCAGGGGCCACAAAGACTTCTGCCTAACTGGGCGAAACTGTGCATTATGAGATCAAATACACCATGTTAATAGTCTTGGATCCATCAGCATCTGTGATTTGATCTTAGGCGTGAAGCGATTAGGACCTGGACTCTGAACGAAGTCCGGTGGATGTTGACCGCAGCCCCTAGATCTATCTACCTTCACTGGGCATATCCGCAGCACTCTCAACAAAGGTACGCAACCACGCAGCAACAGATATTCAATCACTTTTTGAAATTGCACTAAAGACCCAGACTAAATTGGCAAGTTACCTGATCAGTTTCACTAAGGAAGGATCGCAGAACTGAGATGATACTGAAGAAAGAGGTGCAACAGTGTAGATGGTACAGCCAAATCGAGGGGATCTATGAAAAAAATCCAAGCAAAACTGTGTCTGAATAGTCTGTGTCAATCCAAACTAAAATCATACTCCTCAGCCTACGGCTTAAAAGAACAAAGACCAAGGCCAAATATCCCGACAATACCAATTGACAACTGAAGAAGCAGAAGTGAGACGGGCTGCTGGCCCACCGTCAAGGTCACATCGCTCCCGCTGATGACAGCGCTGAGTGGGACATCAGGGGTCGACCCCACCACCCCACCAGCTCCGATTGCGGGGCACGATGGCGGGGCAGTGGCCTCAATGGCGAACCAAAATCTCGATGCTCCAAAAAAACTGTCCGACACAATCACGAGATTGACTCACCTCCTTTTTGTTCGCCCGATAGACGCCTCTTGAAGCCTTAATTCGAGTCCAGAAACTTCCAGTATGTCTCAATTACCGGTCAAGAAATGCGGTATGTTCTGTCTGCTGCGTCATGCCTACAGTCCCCACATGTTCATCACGCTGACCATGCGATGCTACAGGCGTCCTGGGCTGCACTGGCTCGGTGGGCCAGCGCTTCATTCTACTGCTTCAGGAGCACCCGTCGTTTAAGCTCGTTGCTGTCGGCGCGTCCTCGCGGTCGGCTGGCAAGAAGTATCGCGATGCCGTGAGGTGGAAGCAGGCGAAGCCCATGCTTCCTGAGGTCGGAGAGCTCGTTGTGCGTGAGTGCAAGGCCAGCGAGTTCGCCGACTGCGATATTGTCTTCAGTGGCCTCGACAGCGATGTCGCTGGCGAGATCGAGAAGGAGTTCCAGAATGCCAACCTGGCCGTCTTCTCCAACGCGAAGAACTACCGCCGCGATCCCCTCGTGCCCCTCGTCGTGCCCACTGTTAATCTCGACCATCTTGAGATGATCCACCACCAGCGCCGTACCCTCGGCCTCCAGAAGGGCTTCCTCGTCTGCAACAGCAACTGCGCCGTCATCGGTCTTGTCATCCCGTTCGCTGCCTTGCAGGCCCGCTTCGGAAAGATTGACACCGTCTCTGTCGTCACCATGCAGGCCGTCTCGGGTGCTGGCTACCCAGGTGTGAGCAGCATGGATATTATTGATAACGTTGTGCCCTACATCGCTGGCGAGGAGGATAAGCTGGAAACTGAGGCGCAGAAGATCCTGGGCAACCTTAATGCTGATGCAACTGCCTTTGAGGAGCAAAAGACCCTGCGTGTCTCGGCCGCCTGCAACCGCGTCCCCGTCATGGATGGTCACACAGCATGCGTGTCTCTGCGGTTTGTTCAGCGTCCCCCGCCGACGGCGGATCAGGTTAAAGAGGCTCTGCGCGAGTATGTCTCCGAGGCCCAACGCCTTGGCTGCCCTTCTGCCCCTAACCCGCCCATCCGGGTCTTCGACGAGCCCGATCGCCCCCAGCCTCGTCTGGACCGTGACTTGTCCAATGGCTACACAGTGAGTGTGGGTCGTGTCCGGGAGGATGAGAGCGGCATCTTTGATATCAAGTTCGTTGCCTTGAGCCACAACAGTAAGTATTCCCATCGCCAGTGACAAAAGAGTGATGAGGACATGCTGACTTCTGTCCCAGCCGTCATCGGTGCTGCTGGTTCGTCTATCCTTAATGCTGAAGCTGCTGTGCTCAAAGGTTATATCTAAATGCGTTTTTGGGTTCGATTTCAGCGGCGTGCGGGTAAAGACTAATTAAATTGGGTTCCGAAGCCCGGTTTCAAAAGGGCCCAAAAGTTGAGATACCAAGAGTTTTTGGAGTAGAAGCCCCAATGTGTGCAATGTTGACGCCTTCTAGAAGCGCCAATCACCATGTGTTCTTGTGTTCTCTTGCGTGCAAATCTGGACAAATACCCTTTCTCCCATGTGGATAACCAATATCTGCTCAACCATCCTGATTCGGCGCGGTCTGGGGCATTGTGAACTGCCATAGTACCTAGGTGTTGAAACTGTATTTATTTTGGTCCAAGCTGCAGGTCAAACAACGAACATTTGGGCGACAATGCCAGAAGTTGAGATTGCAGCGTTGAGCCTGCCATGAGTGCATATTGACAAAACGTACTCACCGAAGATACCGCACGACCCCCCTTATCCATGTTCCATTGTACGTTGGTGGGGTAGGCTTCGGGAACTCGAGTTCGGCGAGGAGTGAGTTGAGTATCTGTGTCGCCACCGTTAAGTGGTTCGCCGGCGTCGCTTCGTAAACATGGCTGACAAAAGGGTCGCCTGTGGGAGCTTGGGGCACACTACAGCGAACTTCCGGCCTCGGCCAGTCCGTTCCTTCACAAATTATACGGAATAAAATACTTCAAAGTCTAAAGAAACCAGGCCTTCCCAGCAAAGTTGCGTTTGGGTCGTACAAGGCATGTCATGGAGCAAGGAAGGCCAAGCATGCCACGGGATCCGACAGTTCGGAAGTGCATCAGCAGCGTTCTTGGTAATCATGGCCATCGCGTCGTGGTCCCGTGAATCAACTCATTGCACAAATGCACTTCCTGCATATGGGTGTGCTAAGAATTGCATAAGACTACCCTAGGCCAGGGACTTACTTGAAGCGATAACCTTCAGGATGTGCAACTCCAAACTGCAAGTCTCCTTCTGACTGTCACAAGCTGGTGTCTCGTGGTTTCGACGACTTTGTCTCGGCGTGGGTAAACAGAGGATCTAGTCCTTTATATTCTTGAAACTCGGTTGGTTTATGCGATCGTTCAGTTTCTGCTGTGGTCAATGAAGTTTCCCTGAGCGGCTAGCTCTGCGTTGTGATTGTTGCTGCTGAAACAGGTCGCAGATCTGCAAAGATAAAGGAGTTTGGCTTAGCGAGTTGGATGCCATTTCTTGGGATCCTTGATTGAGCACATCTCCTGTTGAACCAGTGTTGCGACATGATGTAGGCAGAAGTCTCTAGAATTGTTTGAAGGCTGTGCAGTTCAGCGTAATTTTGAAAGTTTGTTGGGATGATGGAAGAACCGTCGATGTTGAAAGTCGAGCCGAAAGATCCTAGAGCCCATCTTGGCGCGCGTTTGAGGGCCCGCTCTCGAAGCTTGGGCTGTTAGTTTAACTCGCCCCAGTTTGGCGTCCACCCCACCAGGGATCCAGCTATGCACCCCTGGAACCGGGAACTGCTCACACAACCCTCGCAAGTCGCAACGGTCAGCTCTGAGCATCGCATCCTGACTTTCAAAATCCCAGCACCGGGAGCCCGCAACCCAAGACAATATTGGATTGGTTGCGAGTCCCGCATTTGAAGCATACTGTCTCCTAATGATAGCACTTAATCTGACATCCGCATAACGATCGTTTGTATCTTCCGAACCTCGGTTCCTAGCTTTTGACGACTTCCGTGCCGCTATCGACACCACAACAGCACACGCTACACACCCGACTCTCTCTTGTCCGAGGACTAACTTGAATTCGCGCCTGTGCCCGCGCAATCCTGCTTATCCTTACTCCAGCCAGACATGGCGTCGGCAGAAGTGAGGGCAGTCAGCCCCGAGAACGGAACGGGCACGACGGATCAACCGTCGACATCAGCAGGACCTGGAGCTCAGAAAGCGAACGACGACACCAGCAAGCTCGTTCAAGATGTCTTGTCCTCGGAGGTGCGCAACCCAAACAACCGCTGCCTTTGAGCACAAATCTCTTGCTCTCGAATCGTGGAGCACGCTGACAAGCTCCATTCTGCAGATTGGCATTTCTGTTATGCTCAACCGGTTGAAGCAAAGCATCACCTCGGCAAAGGTCGGTTCGCAGTCTTGCTCCCAGATGCTCAAGATAACCCACAGAACCATTGTGTTTGCTGATACTTCTGATCCATCAACAGGAGTTCTCCCAGTTCCTTAAGAAACGCGCCCAGCTCGAAGAAGAGCATGCCAATTCGCTCAAGAAGCTCTGCAAGAGCTCCCACGAGATTATGCAGCGCGGCGAACACCGAGGCGGCACTTTCGGCAAGGCTTACGAGGAGATGCTCATGGTCCATGAACGAATGGCCGACAATGGACTCATGTTTGCCACATCTCTGCACCAGATGTCCGAAGACTTAAATGAGTTGGCCCAGGTAGCCGACAAGTCACGGAAAGGCTGGAAGCAGAGTGGTCTGGCTGCTGAACAGCGAGTTGCAGAGCTTGAGGCTGCTATGCGCAAGTCCAAGTCGAAGTACGATGCCCTTGCGGAGGAGTATGATCGCGCCCGTACTGGTGACACCAGTGGTCGTCAGGGTGGCAAGATGTTCGGCTTCAAGGGCCACAAGTCTGGCGCTCAGCACGAGGAGGATCTTCTTCGTAAGGCCCAGGCAGCGGAACAGGACTACCAAGGCAAGGTCCAAGTTGCTGCATCTGAGCGAAGTGAGCTCGAGGCGAAAACACGCCCTGAGACTGTCCAGGCCCTGCAGGATCTTATTAGGGAGTGTGACTCAGGATTGGCCTTGCAAATGCAGAAGTTTGGTAAGCGTTTTGCCAACAGTTGCTGGGGAATTATGGTTTTTAACATGGTTTGCAGCCTCCTTTAACGAGAAGCTGGTCCTTAGCAACGGGCTCAGCATTAGCCCTCTGAAGAAGGAAGGCAATGAATGCAAAAGCCTTCGTGAGTGTATTCTCGCTATTGACAACGAGAAAGACCTCAACGACTACTTAATGAGCCATCATCCTAGGCTCCAGCCCAAGACCGGGCTCCCCAAGTATGAAAAGAACCATGTATGTTATGTTTACGATCAACAAAGATTCGCAAAACAGATAACTAACTTTAAATCCGTTAGCTTCTCGATGCCCATCGGACCCCAGCAGCCTCAACTCAGAACATCTCGCAGCATCAGGGGTCTAGCGGCGGTTATCAACCACCGCCGAACATGTTTCCTTCAAATTCACGGTCAAACACTTTCAGCGAGACTCCACTATCTACCTCTGCACCGCTGGGGCATAGCTATGGGCAGAGCGTTGGCTCAGTGCCTCTTCTCGGCGGTGCCACGCGGCCATCATCCCAGCCTCAGCATGAGAGAAGCTTCAGTCATGGGAATCTCCTAAATCAAGCCAGCAGCAGTGGAGGCCAACAATATCGTAGTGTCATCCCACAGTCACAGCCATCGAATGTCCGGTACAATGGTGGCTATGGCTCAACAAGCACCTCTCAGGGGCCTCCACAACTCGGTGTTCTTCCTTTCCAATCATCACAATCGCAGCAACCGCAATCACAGTCTTATGGCCAATCACAGCAAGGTTCCTCATCTTCGACTGCCCTTCAAAGAGCGTCACCGCCCCTCGGCCCACACCTTTCCCAGCCAGTGTTTGGCGTGTCACTGGCTAGGCTTTATGAGAGAGATGGGTTGGCGGTGCCGATGGTTGTGTACCAGTGTATCCAGGCTGTAGACCTTTTTGGCCTGAATGTTGAGGGCATCTATCGGCTCTCTGGGTCTCTGCCGCACGTCAACAAGCTTAAGCACCTCTTCGATACAGGTGAGTGACACTCGAACTTCAAATATCACCACCTTGGAATGTCCTAACCTTTTACAGACTGCCATTCTGAAAATCTTGACTTCCGTAACCCCGAAAATTTCTTCCATGATGTCAACAGTGTCGCTGGTCTACTGAAGCAGTTCTTCCGTGACCTTCCCGACCCCTTGATGACACGTGAGAACTACCAAGCCTTTATTGAAGCAGCTAGTAAGTCATCAATACCTCATCTTCAGGTAACTACATCAGCAACTTACGCTTTCGTCAGAGCACGAAGATGATATCGTCCGTCGGGACTCTCTCCATGCTATCATTAATAGTTTGCCCGACCCCAACTATGCCACCCTTCGCGCCCTCGTGCTACATCTACATCGCGTTATGGAGAACTCAGCGTCCAACCGCATGAGTTCTCAAAATCTTGCCATCGTCTTCGGGCCTACTCTGATGGGTACCGCACCAGGCGGCAATGTCGCCGATGCCGGCTGGCAAGTGCGGGTGATTGACACCATCTTGCAGAATACATTCCAGATCTTTGATGACGATGATTAGAAGGTGTATTAAGAGCTGATTTTGAGCAGGCGCACTTGGATTTTTCGTAAATGGGCGGGGAAATCTGAACTGTTGAGAGGGAGGGGTAATTGTACTATTAATTAACATTGAGGTATGCTGGCATCATTCTCAACTCCCCTCCCCATATCTGCCAGCTGTACACTGCACCGCCACATGAACACGCACCTACCTAATTCACTGGTTGAATACGGTGAGAGGCTACCAAGCATAGGGTTGGATGTTTGGCTTGACTACTTGGTTGATGCATGGCTTTGCGAAAGGGTTTGAAAGCATGTCATTGCATTTGAGTTTTCGGCCTCTGCATTGCAATACTGCGCACTAAGGGATACTCTACTGCTAAATCTTGGGTTTCACGGAATCTTTTTCTGGGTTGCGTTATTTAGCTGCCATTTTTCCCACTGTCTGGTTATTTCTACAGTTACCTGCATCTTGTTAAGGGGCTAGCATATTTTGGTCCTTATCAGACCCAGGGACATCATGTTGCGACGTTGCAAGGTCATTTGTGAGCACAACATCAAAAACCCTTTACATCGAGTGCATGTTTGTGTAAATAAGTAGCAGAGGGCATTATAACTGATAGGTAAAAGGCGCCAACACTCAACAGCGACGAAGCCAAGACAACGCTCCACTGCCCGGACGCCAATGCCCCGCAAAATTTGAAATACCAAGGGGAAAAAAGGCTAAAAATGTAGCATACAAGCTCCTCCGGGAAGGCTCGAACTTCCAACCTCCTGATTAACAGTCAGACGCGCTAGCCGATTGCGCCACAGAGGATCTTTGTATTTCGTCTGCCTAATATGGCCGAAAACAATGTTTTCATATCATTAGAACCTCGTCGCAAGATCTCATACGTCTATTCTGCAAGGGCCATCTCTACAAGATCGCCAAGATGGAGTCATTCTAGACTTCGATTCTTGATTCAATGAAATGCACCGTCCTTTCATCAGTACCTTTTAGTGATAGAGACTAATATCATGGCCTTCCGGTGATCAAAATACCCTCTTTTGTTTCCCAGACGGTGCTGGCATGCACATTAGTACTCGTCAAAGGAAACATGAAAAAACACCACTCATCATAATACTTATTACTCATCTATGTACCAAACTACCCAGGTTCATACATGGGATCACAAACTCATACAGCCACTCTACAGCCCAGTTTACTGTGTCGCCCCCCATCTCATATTGATCTGTTTTCTCCGGACCTGTAGCACCGAACCTGTTAGCAGCCGCTTGCTGAGGTCTCATGAAAAGGAAAACGGAAGATATCAACTTACTGCCGGTGCCAACAAGACCACACCAACCCCCAACGCCACAACTGTTCCTACCAACCCGATCTTGTTGAACCCCTTCCCGAGCATATCATATACAAAGCTAGGCGCAACCCTCGATCCGAAAACATCCACACGGCCAAAAGCAAATACCAAACTAGTACTCTCTACAATCGCCGGGCACGTCACGATCTTCTCCACACCGATCACGTCCCTCTGATGGGTAATTACCGTCTTCGGATCGATCTCGATAGCCGGGTGATACCGAATCAATGCCTCAGCCTCAACCTCGGCGGGAGTCGGATCGCGGCCGACAGGTCTGCGTGGATCAAGCACGATGCGCGGGATACCCGCAATGGCGTGCGTCTGCGGCAGGTAGGCCAGGACTTGGCGCGTGGTTACGCCCTGCCGGGTCTGGGTGACCTGAAGCGCGGAGAGCGGGGCGGAGATGATGTAGGACTGGGAGACAACAGAGGGACGGACGGGACCGTCGGCAGTGGGGGAGTCAAGGGGGGACAAGGATGAGAAGCTGGGGGAGTTGCCGAGGGGGCCGCGGCTGTTGGGGGTGTCGCTTTCGTAGAGGTCGGTGACAATGAGGTGGTAGCCTTGAGCGGACTTATGGGTGGCAGCGTGCTGTTGGCCGGGGGAGTAGGAAGATGGAGGAGAAGGAGGGGCAGTTTCGCGGATGGTGTACTGAGCGAAGAAAGTGCAGACAAACCAGTTCTCGGCCATGACGCATTCGATGGGCTTGGTACCAGAAGTGTCGACACCTTCGTACTTTGCTGTGTGCAAAATCTGGCCCGAAATTGTGTCCAGGAGATAGATGGTGAGGGTATGAGCAGCATCGTTGACGGCTGCAACAACGATGGTGTTAGGGTTCAGGTACTTGTACTTGACCGTCCGATCGGAGAGGACGCGGCCAATTGAGGCGACAGCATCATGAGACGGCCTCGTAGCGATATCAACAATCTTCTGGCCAGGAGGAGGAACAAACGTCCATGAAGTGGCTTCGTAAGACGTTGTACCGTTGGGAACGAAAACAATGCCTTTAAGCTCTCCCTCTTCGCCACGCGTAACGACGGTTTGCTTAGGGGCTCCATAAGTGGGCAGCTCACCAATCTTGCCCCCACGGCCGATCCGGATAAGTTTTTGACCAGAATGTGTGTCGACAAGAGCAGCGCTTTGGGTGGTTGCCTCTCCGCTAGGCCCCTTCGATTCGATAATCTCACCCGTGAGGGTCTTGAATACGACAAAGTCGTTCTGAGCACCAAGGACGGTAACCTCTCCTGCCTGCTCGTCAACTCTAATACCCTTGACATCCCACTTGGCACCATTAGCGATTTTGAACGGCCGCTTCTGCCACACAATGTTGCCATGGTTACCAATGTCAAGACCATAGAGCATCCCGCGCTTAGAAGCTAGGATGACCAGCTTGTGGAAGCCAAAACTATCTCGCGTCAGCCTTCCAGCGTGGGCGGGAACATCAGTGCCGAGGATGCTACTCATCACCCTTGAAGGGATGGCGCTCAAGTAAGCCGGGAGATATTGAAGGTCGTTCACATGGCGCTTGACCCGGTGAATATAAGCCTCGAGGGGGTTGCTATGAGCCTCCTGCTCAAGCGAACGCACCAGGTCTAGGCCCTCAGGAATCTCAGCGAATGTGGCAGCAGCGCCAGCTGTCATGCCCTCGGGACGGGACCAGGCAACGTTACCATTGCGAATCAACACCCAGTCATCCATATCCGTGAGCACAGCCGCGCGAACGGCATAGCTCTCCTCGAGACCTGCCCTCTTGACGACTTCCGAGACCCCGTGGAGGGCAATCAGCTTAGAGCCATTCGTGCCGAGCGGCCAACGAGCGAGGATGCCGTGGGACTTGGACGATACCAAGATAACCTCATCCTCAGTCACGCGGGTAAAGTATACGTTGGCGCCATCCGAGCTAGTCGAAAAAGCGCCGGGACCAGCAAGATGGGGGAGGCTATAAGCATGTGAGACAGTTTTGGTCTTGAGGTCAACATGATAGACATCACCGCGGTGTCCAGTCGCTGTCCTTGTATGGACCAAAAAGTGCGGTAGCGACTGCACTAGATGGGGCGCATGGATCTCGACCGACAGAGTGCCCTCGGGAAGGGGAAACTCCTGGCGTGACTTGGTGCCTAGCACATTGACCATGAGCGTGCGACGGGCATTATCGGTCCAGGCTACGACGGGCGCAGCAGAGTTCGCACCCACAAACATGACATCCTCTCTGCGATGCACGTCTGCCTTGGAGCCGAGCACTAATTCGTCCAGCTTGCGACCCGTGGCTGTATCCAGCATGATGACCTTCAGATTATATGCATCCGCGGCGCCCTTAAGGCTCACCACGAACACTTTCTCGCCGTTGGTGCTGACCTGCAGCGGCAGATCGCCGGTACGCTCACGGAAGGCCCAAACAACAGAGCCGTCTTCGGCATTCAACCGCCTTAGGGCCGTCTCTTTCCCTCCTTCCTCCTCGCTCAGCACCAGAACATCCTTTCTTGTGCCATCTTCGGCGCCCGTTAGCTCCATCACTTCCAGATCCCGCACTACGGCCTTGTCACTACCAACCCGAACCCTAAAGCGACTCCTGCCCGTGATTGCATCCCACGAGCCCAGCTCCCCGTCGTACACGCTCACCACCCATCCCTCGCCTTCTCCAGCCCTCAAGAATCCATTCGGTTTCCCTGATATTGTTCCTCCATCTGTAGACGTAATCCCTAATGAACCGAGGTTTTCAAGCAAATCCTGTCTCCATACAACCTCGCCGCTGCCTGGATGGACTGCAGCCAGAACGCCAACATCGCTGAGCGTGTAAAGAAGACTAGCGCGGTCGGTGCGTCTCGGGCGATGGAAGAATGTCGTCTCGCGTAAGGGTAGGCCGACGAGCGCATGGTGGTAGTCAATGTGGCCGACTTCATCGGGGAAGATGGCCAGGGTTGAAGGGAGTGCGATAAGAAGGGGGAGGAAAAGAGATCGAACTGGCCGCATCTTGTATTCCGCGGACTGTCTGAAGCTATGTGGCCAGCTGTTGATTTGTTTAGACGATTCTGGCTGTCGCGGGGGGCGGGAGTGGCCGCGCTTCTCGCTATCGGCGGTTTGTTTTCTGGTCGTTAGGATGTTGTTAAGTACCGTCAGGTTGTCGAGTTGGCCTGCTCCATCAGGTATCCGTTGTCAGCCGCGTCTCAAATTCTTGGAGAAAAACCACCTTCCCGGCTGCGGTGGTGTCGCCGACAGAGCTTAGGCTGGAGCTTGGAGAGCTCTCTGGTGGGGAGCGGCGGATCAGTAGTGACGTTTGAAAGCTGCCTCAATGCCCCGTGGCACCCTAGTTGGCTGCTTGATGCGTGGTCTTGGCGCTACCCATGCCAAGACAGCTGCTGCTGCGGGATGGGAACTGTGATGTGGCTTGAGCATTTGGAAAGCAACCAGAACACTAAAATGGTAGACTCCCAAGACCCTATTTGAGTTCTTGTTTGCTGGAACTACGGGAACAATCTCAGACACAATATGTGCCATGCATACATACATACACCTATAATCCGACAAATGCTGATACAGATATAGAAGATATGCCCTGCCGAAGCAAATGCCGACAAACAAATGCTGCCTCCGCCCCCTGGGTATCATGCCAACCATGCAAAGCGACCCCCCTCCCCTCCCAAGAACCTGATGAAAGATCAATGACCACCTACCACTGATGCTGCTCCGCGATTAAATCACTTCCTCCTCCACAAGTCTCTTCTTTTCGACCTTTTTCGGAATACACTTCCACGAGCAACCGATCATCAAGAACGGCACCGGCCCTTCACTGTCCCTGTCTCCGGCAAACAACATCTCACCGTCACCTTCGCCATCAGCTATCATAATCATCTGTCCAATCTCACGGAACTCGACCCACTGGGCAAGCGGGATGATCGTCTCCCGCCCGCACACCGAACACCGCAAACCGCCGTTTTCGCGTATCTCAACCGCCTGTTCAAGCAGCCGCAAGAGATGCGGTGGCCAGACGTCAGAACTCTGACGCATGATAGCCAACGTCTCGTCGGCATTCTGCTTCTCTGCACATTTCTTGAGGGCAAGCTCCAGGAGCGACTTGGGGCCCTGCGGGTTGACTATCTTGCTGGTGGCGGCACGGTATCTGAGCTCGCGATCAAGTGCCATGGGGGTCTCGAGCTCGTGGAACGGCTCGATCGGGAGTGTGGTCCGTTTTGGGTCGTTGCAGGATGTGGGTGGGAGCTCGAAGGAAGTATGGGCGGACGCAGTGATGTCCATGAATTGCACAGGCGTCCGGGCATACAACTTTGTGCCAACAGTTGACACCACCTGCCCGTCATCGCGGACAGCATCAACGCCTAGGGTGAGTTCTTGATATTGGGCGGCAGCAGCAAAGTCGGGCACAAATGGCTGCGGGCGCCAGAATGGATTCGGGTGGACATGAAAGTAGCGAAGCTTGCTCCCCTTGTCCAGGCAGTTCAGCCATTCACCGGGCAAGTGCCGCAACTTATTCTGGGCAATATTCAACGTCTGAAGATTCTTGAGACGAAGCAGACTCGGCGGGAGAGTCGAGAGCTGATTGCCCCGCAAGCTAAGCACTGTCAGATACTCGAGGTTTAGCAGAGCAGGAGGGAATGCTGTCAGAGCGTTGTTGCCCATAAACAATCTGATCTCTGGGTCCCTTTGCTCAAACGCAACATCTTTTGTCACGTTTGGGATGGGTGTGATGTCCCCGATGGGCTCAAGAACGCCTGGAGAAACACGCTCCAGCCCTAAGCCGCTAAAACGAGAGTCAATTCTCGAAGCCCGGAGCATGCAGGGTGAGACAGGAAACGGAAACTGTTTACCTAAGATCGACCGACTCTGTGCCATCCTCAACACAAGCTTGAATGATTTTTTGCGCCGCCTGTTCAACCTCGGAGAGAAAAGGCCGAGGGGGCAGGAGGGTGACAGGTCCAATAGGGCCCAGTGTCAGCTTCGCTGGCAGAGGTGCCAAATCGATGCTCTCGTCCGAGTCGGTCAGGCTACTATCCTCATTCAACCAGACACCACTGTCAATCTGTCTTTTCAGCTGTCGCTTCTCAGTCGGTTGAGAGGGGTCGCCAGCATGCTGCCGACGTGGCGGACGATAAGTTATATCAGACTCATCGCCGAACGCCGAGTCGCAAGAAGCAGGGTGCTGGTCAAACCAGGTACCTTTGTAACGCCTCTTACGCCGCCCATTTCCCTGATAATTATCCAAGGCTGGGTCGTCGTCGCTGGAAAACCAGGCGGGGTCACTTGATGTGGACGAGTCCGGAGGGGCAGCCTCTACATGTCTGCTCCGTTTACGTCGACCTCGAGCAGCCGTCGGCTCACCTGGGGGAAGAGGAGGAAGAGTTGGTTCTGGGGCTTCCTCTAACATGCTGACAATCAATATCGTGGCCTGAATGTTTGCGTTTTGAGGAAACGAAGGAACGCGGATTGTTTTTGTGGGTCGAGGGTCTCCTGTCGCCAGGTCCAATTTAATTCATTGAACCAAAAGCATGTATGTCAGAGTGGGAGGTTTTAAACTGCTATAAATGAAAGTGATTACAAAAAAAAATCAGTAATATATTCAGATGTTTGGGATTCAGATAGGTTTTGGTGAAAGAAAAAGGGTGAGTAAGCACGAAAAGTTGGGATGTCGGCGACAGTACGCCAACATGTGGAAAGTCGCGTGTCGCGTCTTGGGCGTCTTGCGATCACCAAACAGGGCACTAACACGACGGTTTCCCCACACCCGTGCAAGGAAAGCATGTTGCTATTCCCGAAACGCGCTAGCGCGGCTCCTGGAGGGCCCACCCTAGCCCTGCCATCCGAGTCTCATCCGCGGTTCCGGGACTCTGGTCAGGGTTGCAACCCCTCATCTCCAGAACTCAAGTCTCTCCTCGTCATTGCGTTTGTCTGTTCGACAGAACACCAATCATGAGCACGGTTTGTGATTCCGCTCTTCCAAGTTTATTATTTCCTGGACTCTTGTAACTTTTAAATTATTTTTACAATTGTGACTAATTAATGAACCAAGCAGTGAGTTTTAGAGAACTGCATCGTCCCGTTTACGTACATGTCCCATGTATGACGACACCTCTGAACTTGTCTATCAACTATTTCCTACCAGCCGACCGATCATAGAGAGCATATGCTTTACTTCGTAAATAATCAAAAAGCTATAATCAGCAAATCGTATACAGAGAAGTAGGCTGTTCATGGCGTCATGACATTCCAAGTCAACATGAAGCGTGATGTACCATAACTAGCACAAAGTAAGGTATCTTGCTCTAGCCCAGAGGCAGGCTGGTCCAAGCCTTCTGTCCAATGCAATTAATCGGACACATCAATATTCGTTTCATATCTGAGGATTATCAATACATGCCGCTCGATCTCCTCTGCCACAAAAAGTGATCGACAGCACCACATATTGCTTGTAAAGGCGTACATGCGACAGCTCTTTTCACCTAGTTACACTAACGCATTTTTGTCTGCGCCAATCCTTGGTCTATAGCTACACACTGAATTCATTGCTCAAACACGCGTATTAAAGCACGTGTGAAGAACATCCAAGTGCAGCATCAAGTAGGCGCAGGTATTGGCACTTTGGCAGTCTATCTAACTGGTCCCTGGTCTTCGGGGAAACAAGACTTCTGCAAGCTACCAGGACGAAAACGTTTCATTTGGAAGGCTCAGGAGTGCATAACCATACGGTTATAATATCAAGGTGCTGCGGAAACACAGCATCCAAAACACTTGGAAAAATGAAACATTTAATCATATAATATTCCAGGTGCGAGGAGGACCAATAGAGTGAAACACAATCAGCAACCTACAGTAGGTAGTATCATATCTCTCAACAAGTATAGTCTGAAGAGAAACGGCAGTCTCTAGAATGTCATTCTGCAATGTGGCAAGGCTTACGAGTCATTGAGCACAGCTTAGACATGAAGGGTGCATTCAATCTCTTAGTCAGCTGCCACAGTATCTGATAACCACCCATAGTGTTAGTCCCGTTAATCTAAGTATTGTCTTGAGCTATCACATGAGCACCTATGATTTTCATTCTATTATAATTGACTAGACGTTCCGTTGTTAACTCTAAGCCGAGAAAAGAAGAAATAGAAAGCAAGGCCAGATTTCAATCAATTAGCTGACCCTATCATCTCTTTGGGAGGTAAACGGGCCGAGACTCTTTAAAAGTTTATGAACCATCCACGGCTAAAATCGGCCAAGGGCGGACTTCTATACCGCCCAACCTTGCCTGCTAATACTTATTCTACCGAAATTGTCCCAAGCAATGAACGAAACTGTAAGGCCTTTTTGTTCCTCATGGTGCTTCTTAATTATCCTGCCGAGGGAACGTCTAGAAAAGGCAGCGCTCCGTAGATAGAGAGTCCGAAACTTGATCGCCCAGGGCAAGCAGCTCTCGATCACCCACATTGTTGAACTCGTCAGGAACCTGGTCAGCTAGTTTTAGGAGTTCCTTTTCCTCTTCGGGATCAAAGTCGCCAAACTCGTCATCAGTCTTCTTGTCTTGCAGATTGCTTGCTTGCTGCATGGACGGGACTGCACCATCCTTATTGGCGTTCTTTTCCTCTTTGCAAGAGGTAACTCCCACTTTGGAAAGAGTTTCATGTTCTTTGAGGCTTGCCAGACAACCAATGTCTTCCTCCTTCTCTGTCATGCCGCTCTGTTCCTTATTGAGAAGTATTGCTTCAGTTGTTCTACCTCTCATTGCTCTCTGGTACGACGGAGATCGTAAATGTAGGTCAGCCTGTGCTTCGGGCCCAACCAAGCACCGCTCGCCCATAATAAGGATCTCATGCTCAACACGTTTGTGTGGAGGTTCGTCATCCTCCTGGGTTAGATCAACCACAATCTTGCGCTTACTACCAGGGCGCACCATCTCTGCACCCTGGAAGGTCTCCTCCATGCCCCTGTCCCAACCATAATGGCAGGGATTGTCATCATGTTGTTTCTCTTTCTTTTGCGTCGTGATATCAGTTGTAGTGAAGGTTTCAAGTTCGCGCTGACCAGCAGAATTGCTGGTGAACTCTAGCTGATAGCCACATCCACCTCCGCAAACAAGGACAGCTTGTTTTCCATGGAAGGTGTCCTTGAGCTTTTCCACCAACCAGCCAGTCACACATGCCGGGCATTTCTTGCCACTTTCACCAGGAGCCTCTCCTGATTTCTGCTGCTGAGCTTGTTGAACCAGCTGAGTCTTAGCACGTAACTGAGCCTGTCTGAGAGCTTGCTCCTGCCACATGACAGGGTCTTTGTTGATTGGATCCTCATCCAGAACCTCCCAATACTTGCATCTTAGGTTATTGCTGCAAACGAAACGAAACTTGCCAGCGTGAGGTGATGTCCCATAAGGCTTGAAGCGACTGCGAACACGGCGACCAGTTTGGCACATGGGACACAGACCATATTTAGCTTTAGCAAGTCGTGAATTGCCATTGCCGGTGGGAGTACCTGGGGAGGAAGCTGCCCTTTTTGAGTCAATTTTATTTTTGCCGTTGCTACTCGTGGTCGGAGAGCCCAATGGATTGGACTCTGAGCCAAGAGTTTGAGACGAATGGGCCGACAGCGCCAGACCTATCTTTGAACCCTTAGCACCTTTTTTGTTTGGTGTTGCTTGAGCAGCCGGATGTGCTTTGGCGATGCGCCCGTTGGTAGTAGACTGACGTGTCCGTGGTGTTGGAAGTAGTGGTAAAGGAGCCACTTGGTTTGAGTAAGAAGGATCTAACCTTGTTAATTGGTTGGCCATTTTTTTTAAAAAAAAGAATATGTTATCACACCTATGAAATAGGGAAAGATCTTGCAAAGAACAACTCACCTGCATGATCTGCCATTTCTACGTCGGTCGGACTTGGAAGTCGACAACTCGAGCTAGTGTATGAATGATGTTTTCACAACTTCTTGATAGTCTGCATGTCCTGCAGTGGTATCGCCTGCTCAGTGATGCTCTCTGAAGGTATGGCTTATTGCTGTGCTCTAGATCTCACAACCGAGTAGCTTAGCGGTCTTTGAAAAGTGCGAGATATGTGAGGAAGTCGGTATGGCAGAAAAGTATGCAGTCTCCTTGACTCGATCGGTCGGAGAAGAGGCCGACTTCAGCAAAAGTGTCTGTGCAATAAAGCTCGGAAAACGAAAGCTTATTCGTGTTGTTTCAGACTGCTTGATAGCCTATTTGTATTGAGTTGGAATGCTTTCTGACAAGAGGTGATGAAGAGCTAGAGCACCGGGCTGGAGATGTCCCAAAATCGTGTCGTGAAACTTTTGTTAATTGAGGTGTCGTGCAAGATTGTACCATAAAGTGTTGGCAGAGAGGAATATGCGTGTAGAAGGGTACGGAGATGGGGTTGAGGGCATGGCTTGGGGAAAGATTTTGGCGGTTGCTGATTATTTTGACTGTCAACCATCGATAACGTACGAAGGCCTCGGACGGAATCCAGCTGATGATCTCCTAATTGTGGACTTGCAGCTTCGTCTTGCTGCTCCATGAAGCCAAGTCCTGCCTGCCTGATTGTTTTTGAGATTCACCATTTGATAAATCATGTGGCTAGTCAAAGATTAATCATCTGGCTGACACTGACAGACAAGCTCAGTGGACCAATAGACTCATCATGAACTATCTGACTAAGATTATGCGATGTATCTCGAAAGGAATATGGAGAGACAAATAATACATTCCTAGGGTATTCTGGGAGGGAGAATTTGACCTTTCAGGTGCTATCACTACGTTCAGCGATATTAGAAACTCAGGTTGGACATGAAATGAGACAATAATCTCTCCTCATATGTGATAATCTGGAACCAGTAATGAATCTTTCTAGCATCCATCACAAAAGGATCAAGGCATTTGAAAGTAAACAAAGATCAATACAGCTGTCTATTGACATCTATTATGAACACGCTTGTCACAAAGGGTCATTAAATCCCATCCGTCCACATGCCCAAACAACCCATTCCGACATTGAACCTGAAATATCACCTATCTGATTGTCCAGTTTTACCTCCAGAAAATCATGGAAGCAGCCTCTTAGGCGTACGTGGGTAATACGCCGCAAGATGCACGCTAGGCAAGTTGAGGTACCATGCAACAACGCGGTCCAAGCCAATACCACCACCTCCATGAGCAGGGACACCGGCTTGCCTGAAGATATCTACATACTCTTTGATACCGGGGCTGTTGGGGTCGATACCCTTGGTACGAATACGTGCCTCCAGTTCGACAGGGTCGTTAATACGCTGGCCACCAGAGCAGATCTCCTGACCGCGCATGAACAAGTCATATGCATTGGTGACCTTGGGGTTGGCCGGGTCCTCCTTGGCATAGAACGGACGCGCGCTCTCAGGAAACTTGTCGAGGGTGTAGAAATCAGTGCCGTATTTCTTGCGGACGAGGGCTCCGAGAGCCTTCTCCTGGGGAGTGGTCATGTCCTCGTCATCACGCACGTTGCGGAACTCCTCAGGACCCTCCTCCCGGAGAAGTTTCTGGCCCTCAGCAAAGGTCAGACGTACGGTCTTGCCAGGCTCGGGGAATAGGAACTCCTCGCAGGGATAAACAGAGCGAACAAGGGCGATCTCCTTGGCACAGCGCTCCTTAATATTCCTGAAGATGTACAACAGGCAGTTCTCCAGCACATCCTGACCGCAACATTAACAATTGCTTCAAAAATCGGGAAAAGAGCAGGATAAGTTAACGTACCAGGACCTCATGATAGTCCTTCTTGATTTCCATTTCCATGTCGAGACCTGTAAACTCGGTCATGTGCCTAGGGGTATTCGAGTTCTCGGCGCGGAAGACCGGGCCACAGCTGAAAACACGCTTCCGACCGCCGGCGATCTCAATCTGCTTGTAAAACTGAGGAGACTGGGCTGTCAAGATGTGTTAAAATAAACATATCTTCTTGAGTGAAAGACTAGTCCTGTGCTTACCAAGGTAGGCCTCCTTGTCAAAGTATGGCAGACGGAACACATTTGCACCACCCTCAGAAGCAGCGCCAATAAGGCAAGGAGGCTCAAACTCCTTGAAACCCTGGGACCTCAAGTACTCCCGGTAGAGCTGCTTCATCTCGGCACGGATATCAGCAATGGCCTGCTGCAGAGGGGACCGCTTGTGCATGACTATGTTATCAAGATGAGTGAGCATCGAGGCAGCAGGAATACCAGCTGGCTCAGAAATGCTGAGCTTCTCGACTTTCTGCTCAACAGAAGCCTGCTGTTCCTCATCACTGAAGTTGGTAATAGGCCTGTTTGCAGCAGCGAGAGTCATGCCAAGCATAGCAGGGGCAGCGGCATGGAGATAGCACTTGGTGATGTGGAGCTCGTAGTTCGAGACGGTGCAGCCCTTAACCGGAACAGCGGGCTTTGCAACAGTGCCCTCAACAACGACGAAGCTCTCGGGGTTGATAGAACCAATCCACTTGGCCATCTGGCGACTGACTGGATTTCCCTCCGGGCTGGCAGTGGCAATGCCTTGGATTGACCAGTTACCCTCCTCTCGCAGCTCGACGAAAACCATCTTAGCACCCTGCATGCGGGCGTTCTGCAGCCAGGCCCGAAGCTCGACGGTCTTGCCAACATGCTCCTCACCAATATCCTTCAGGTGGATCTCAATGGCGTCGGGAGAGATTTGCTTCTCAGGCGACTCCGGGCCGTAGTTTTCCTTTGCGTTGTCCTCACTCTGAGCAGCGTTGGCAGCAGCCTGCTTTGCGGCCAGCTCAGCGGCACGGCGGGCCTTTTCGGCCTCCTTCTTAGCCTTGGCTTCCGCCTTCTTAGCGGCTTTCTTGGAGATCGTCGCGCCCTCACCCCCAGGGGCAGGCGCTGGTGTGCCTGCAAGAGTGCCGTCAGGGACCGCGGGCGCAGGTGTAGCAGCAGGCTCCGTCTTGGGGGCCTCAGCTGGAGGAGGAACGGGATTTGTGGGTTGTTGGTCAGCCATTGGAGCTGTTGTTGTACGGGTATGCGGTGACTAAGTTTGGGAAAGTTGGTAGCTGTTTTTGACTGATGCAGGAGAGAACCGATCTGATTTTATTCAAAGAGCTTCAATGGCGCGCGGCTGGGAAATTTAAGTCACTTCAACCGAGACCTGACACAGAATGAGAGGTGAGGGGCCGTCGCATCTTTTCGGCGGGGCATGGAGGGGCAAACGTGTGATCTTATCGCTGCCGGTGGAGTAATCGTTCCTTGTGTAACCCTAACCCACCGCTATTTCTTGCCAACGCCATGCCAGCCATAAAGACATTTCCATGATCTTGAGACAGTACAGCGTGAAGACTACTGAGAAGAGCGTGGCTATGTATGAAGCCATCTGGTGAAACATCTCTTATCCTATCATCCAACGATTGTAGCTCTATCTTTCAGCGAGGACGATTATGTTCTTGCTAAAAGCTTATCGTAAAGCTGGATAATACGATATCGAGGTAGCCTCTACTGAATTGAGCCCCTTAGCGCAATCCTTATCCATATCTTATCGTAAGGTAGTATGTACCCAGGTAGCTCTTGAGGACAGGCCTGCAAGCAATTTACGCGACTGTGACTTTGATCAAACTTTCTGATTTCATTAACCACCAAACCACCGCAGCGCTTACCGAGTCTTCACCCACGAAACAGGTTTCGCGAAAATCATGGGGCGCAAACGCAAACATAGGGCCATTGTGGCCGATGACAACGATCAAACCTCTACCCCGGGCAAAAAGCGATACCACTCCCAGAAGGACGACAAACCTGCCCGCGTCGAAGGCAAACGTGACCCTGTCTATGGCCAGCGATTTGCCTTCCCTGGCCTTGACAGCGATGATGATGCTAACCTGATTTTGGACGATGATGTCGAGCAAGAAGATAACGGCGACGTGCTCGCCTATCTTCGATCTGTCCGGTATGGTTCTTATCATTTCATCTTTGGCATCGATTAACCGACATTTGCTGAACAACACGTTTTCCACACACCAGGTGGCTTTGGCCACAAAACTTGAAAATATCTTGGGCTAATGGTAAGTATGTTACAGACAAGAAGCGAACAACGTCCCATCTGTCCTGGTAGCACCCAAAGCGGGCCCGCAACTCCCTCCTCACCTCCAAACCGCCGAAGACAATACCGATCACGGCATCTACAATAATGGTGTGGGCGACTCTCGCGGATACTATCAAGATGGCGCTTACACCGCTGCACCTTCTACTCCCTCAGTGGACAGCTCAGATCTCAACCTCGAATATGGTAAATGCGACCCGTCCGACCCGGACCAGGTTGCTCGTCTCCGAGCACTCGCACGCAAGTCTTACTATGATGCTATCCTCAACCGATTCCTCTCCCTGCGCGCCGTGCTTCATCGCAAACCCCCGCCCCATCTTATCGACGCGCTGCCGCGTGAGAATGGTACATTTGTGGGTTCTTTTGGCCCAAAGACTCCAACATTTCGTGTCTGGTCGCACCGCCTGCGGCATACCGATCCGCATCCCGTACAAATCGCCTCGCTGGACACCCAGAGCGTCCTAAAGCTTATCCGCATTCTTCTCGGCGGCAAGTTCATGCGGCGCGGCCATGCTCTGCGCGAGCGCACCAGCCGCTGGATTTGGGCTCTTCTTGCGCGGCTGCCGCCCCGCGGAGAGCTGCGATTCTCCGACATTGGCTGGATACGGGAGCTGGGTAGGCGCGCCATTTTGATGATGGTCAGCTTGGCAGATGTGGAAGCATTACAGGAACAGGTCAACGGTGACTTGGAAGGTGAGCAGTTGGAGGGAGACGCTGATAACGATGCTGAGGAACCCTATGTGGCCGAGTTGGTGGTGGACGAAGAGGAAGAAGAGGTAGCGCCCAGAATACTTCGTCCTACTACCAAGTCTTCTGTGGCAATTGCATCAACTCCCAGGACCGACAGAGGGGAAGATATGGACACTAGCTTTGAAAAGAGCAAAATCGTCAAGAATGACACCACGAATGGTCCCAATGAGGACCCGAGCGCCCACATTGAAGCTGCTAAGGCACGGCTCCTCGCTCGACTTGAGGAAGCCACCGTCGCAGGCGATCAAAACAATCAAACAATCAATGAAGATGGGAAATCCGAAAAGAAAGGCGGGTACGATGAACAGCAAAAAGCTGTCGCTGTTTCAAGGACCCGACCTAGGAATGAAGAAGGTGAGGCCAATGAATCAAAGAAGGCTCAAAGCCTTCAGGCAAACAAAGCCAACGATAGTTCCGGTGCCGACGATGAGAGGCTCGAGCTAAACATGCGAGTCACTCTCAACATGATTCTCACAGTGGCTGGTGAGTTTTACGGGCAGCGCGATCTACTGGAGTTCAGGAATCCGTTTCCTGCTGTTTGAGAACGCCTTGATCTATGGGTGTTTCGCATCGCAAACGCCTGTTGTCCGCTTTGAAAGAATGACACCATCTCGCGTGTATGACAGATGTCTTTGTTTCTTGTTGCATGCGGAGTTCAATTGGGGGTAATTGACCGCAAAGAGTGACCTCAAAATCACACTTTAAGGCCTTATTCTGGTAAGGGGATCACAGCAACAAGCTGAGGATTGTGGGACATGTTGTAGGTTGGGGATAATTAATTATATATTGTTCGCTTGTGCTCACAAGACAAGCTGTAGGCAGCTTTCAGAAACGATAGTACTGAGCCTAACGCACTACTAAAACCTCTGTGAACTTCCACCAACAATGCGAGAAACTCCATGAGCCAACCAACGTCCAACTAGGGTGAGAAATACCGGCCAGTTATGGCTCCGGTATGATGAAACTGATAATCCATTACCCATGACAACCCATTATCCGAACACCAAACCACCAACGCCCAAAAACATGCAGATAAGCACACCACCGACCTATAACTACGTCTTGCTCCAAGGGATCCTCATTCGGAATCTCACTCTCATCAAGTATTTGTCATAACTTTGCCAGAATCAAGATGACAGGGCACATTCACTCGACATCCATACCCCCACTGCCCCTGATGCGATAGTCCAAGAATGGTGCCTCCTCAAAGTCATTCCCATCGACGATCATGAGGCTTTGTTGCTCCATTCCCTTTTGGTGCTGCTGCGCTAGCCGCGAGCGCCTAGGCACGGCCAGCACGCGCACATTATCCCAGCTCCCAGGCGACGGCACCACACTCCTCGGGGAAATCTCATCATCAGGCATGATGTTCCAACCCTCGCCCGTATTGAGACGGAATGGTCCCGCATGCGGGAGAGACAAACTGGATGGGTCGTTCTCTTCGTCTTCCGGAGTGAAGAAACGCTTGCGGGGCTGGGACGAGGTGTACGGAGTAGCGCTGCTGGCTGTGCTGATGACCGTGTCTTGGCTGCAAGAAAGGCCAGGCACAGAGTTTTCATCAGTGTCGTCGTAGGCCCGCGAAGAATAAGAGGGCTGATAGAGCAGGCCACCGACTTTATGGATGCCACAGAAAGGCTCAAGCTCGCGGATGGAGGAATTGTAAGATGTCTTGATCGGCGTCGATGACGGGGCGGATTGGGCAGAGGGAGCACTGACACCATTGTCTGACCACAAGCCCAGGCTGGTGTAGGTGCCGGTCTTGTATCCCTCAGGAATGGCCTTGCGCACTCGCATACCAACTGTCAACAAGTCGGTTTGAACTTGCGCCGGGAGAGTTGGGGCGTTGAGTGGATTGGTCTTGGTCGAAGGCGGGGCAGAACGATTCGACGATGCCGGGGACGAGATTCTTTCGAAATACGATGTGATTTGGCGCTGCGAGGGGTCGCTGGCAGCGCCAGCGAACTGTCGTTTGACGCGAGGACCAGTCATCGTGTGTACAACTTGATGATGGTATGTATAACCTGGGCTTGAATGAACGACCACTTTCAATGCTGGAAAGTCTTAAACTTGAATGCAAAGGTTGTGCAAGGCTGTCAGAAAGTCCGTGGAAGAGCAGATCGGACCAAGAGAACCCGGAAGGTTGGGCAAGTGCTGAGTGGGGACTCTCGAATGAGGAAGTTGCGCGTCGAGCGCGTCCTGGACGTGTCGGTGTTTAATTGAAATCTGCAAGATATGATTGGTTGACGGTGCCACTGGGTGGTCTTGGTACTGAGATGGTGGGGTTGCGGGAACACAGAAGCGACAAGGTGAAACCAGCACTCGGGATTCGACAGGCGGAGCTTCTCCCTTAAAAAGAGGGGCCCAGCTTGCCAAGGCGTTGCTGCAGTGATACGCCGGAATTATCCCGTCATGCAAGCCCTCCACACGGATATTCAACCCTGGTATCCTCTCAGCAAGAAATACCCTTAGCAGGGATTTATTTTGAAGATAGGAGTTATGAATGAGCGAACAGGGGTGCAGTGAAACACTTCGTTGGCACAAAGTCGTTGCCTGTGACGGGCACAGCAGTCAGAATCATCAGTTGTGGATACTCATCGACAGGAGTCAAGCAAACCAAGTTGAGTCAAACTAGGCTATGAAGTACGGATGCTCATGTATCAGACAAGGAATGGGTTTACGGAGTGCTGATTGACAAGGTGCTCCAACATGACTGGCTCTGACAATCTCTTCCTGGGGAATAGACGAGGGTTGAAGTACAAAGTAATAAGACCAAGTGCCTAAGCCTAACCCAACGTTGAAACTCATTCAAGGCATCATCAGTCATGTTTCGTGATATATCATGTCGATAAAATGGCATCCTTGCACAGCATCAAACACTGGATACCTATTCAACTCTGGTCATGGAATGTCGTCAATTTCGTCGCAAAGCGAATGCAAATTCCCGTTTCTCACCCATCACATCGGCGACGTCCCCGGCGATTCTCAGCAGTCCACATCATCGCACTGATCAATCTAACACCGGTCTGTGATAGACCGATCCGATCGATTTGCTCGTGAAATGCTTTGTGTCAAGTTATCCCCCAATGTTTTGTCATGACCGCCTGGTACAGCAAAAAAGACGAGACGTAGCAGAAACGGAGATCCAGAGAGAAAGTCGGATCAGTGGCTGATGCTAGATATCCGGACCCCAAACGCCCTCCCAAATTGCTTTGCGGGATGATTTTTGGTGAATCCATCCTCTATCCGCAAGGAGATTGAATTGACCATGGAGAGTAAATGTCTAGCCGCCCGACTCATAAACAGCCTTGCATGCCCCCGAAATGACTCCATTACCATGCCATTATGCCCAACCAAAGAAAGGAAAACAGCCCTAGGTAGACCGTTTACTTTCTCCGGAAGGAGCAGCCCTCAGTGAGCCGAGCCTTACCGCCAGTCGGCTGGCAGAGCACGTTGGTGCAGCCTTGGCAGATGACGACAGTCTGGGCGTGCGAGAAGACAGTTGTAATGGTAAAGCAGCCCGGGCACTTGACATCCATGAAAAAGGAGCGGGGAGCAGGCACGAGGGTCTGTTCATTTGTCAGTATCTCGGCAGACAGTTAAGCATTGATGTTGTCAGGGGCATACCTTGAGCTTGTGCTTGCGGGCCTCGGAGGCCGGGCTGGGGTTGAGGAGATCAACAGCGAGAACCTTAGAAAGACGAATGTGTCAGCGAGTTGTCAATCGCCATCATTTGTTCTCAGTCATCGTTATCGCTGCTGCCCATCCTGCCCGCCGATAGGTTCGATGTCGGTTTGCTCAAGGGCCTCGGGGCTCATAACCAACCGAGTCCAAAGTAGATATCGCCTTTCTTCTCCATCGCAAAAATGCCGTTTTCGACTTCGGTTTCTCCATTGCGTTCGATGTGCCGTCGAAGTCTACATGGGAGTTTTGTGTGCCGGTGATGCAGCATGGTGCGGGCAGGAGGGCTCATGATCGACAAATTCGGCAGCATTTCGAATCCTTACCATCTTGACTGATTATTTCAGTTTTCTGAAATGACGAGCAGCAACCTTGTCGATGAGATTCGATGGAGTTGGCGGTAGACTCTGGCTCGTTGATGGTTGCGGAGGGGATTTTCTCGAAGGCCAGCGGGAACGAAAGTTCAAGAGGCAAAATTTCGGTCTGTGAGGAGCAAATGGCAAAATTGGCTGGTCCGGGTCACAGCCGCTTAGGGCTTGAGCAAATGACCAATCAGAGTAAAGAAATTCCCCAGTTGGAGAACTGAAGTGGGGCCCAAACTTTGGGTGTTAAGGTCCACTAATCGGACAGTGCTTGATCACTGTGTATAGTCGGGGCTTCGGCGCTGTTTTGGATGGATTGTTGTCGTTGAAGCGTTGCAGCCGTTGAGTGTCCTTTTGATAAAAGCACCGATAGCCCTTGGATACATAAGTCATCAGAGTCTTTCCATATAACATGTGTCATTTATAAGACCCAAAACTGCGGTTTTGGTTGCTTGAATCTCGTCAATCACCCGAAGTTCAATAACGGGATGCCTGGAATCCATGCTATTGCAGACAGCTTCAATTAAGAAGGAAAGTGATTGTACTACCAAGGACTTGTTAACGTGATGTAAATAAAGATTCATAACATTAGTGTCCTTGGTTTACCTATCATATGGAAGGTCAGGGTTAAGTCACGCAGTCCCCTATGATGGTTGTGTTACACGGTCCTTTTACCCTTGAAGACCAGGATCTACGGCGGGGCAAGCAACGGAGGTGGGGTGGAGTACAGTTCAACACGAGCCTCCGGGAACCTTAGACAGCAATCATCAGGCAGCAAACAACTTCACAGCCATCTACGAGAACTGATACCAAAGAATTTAAACGTATCGACGCACAAGGACCTATAGTATCATTTCCATATCGAGAGTTTTCAATATCCAGCGCTATTAACAAACACCGTCCCTCAAAATGGCAGCACCCGTAGACCAACGCATCGCCGTCACTGTCGACAACCCTGACGCCGATACTGAATGGTCAGACCGACGCTTGCCGATGACACACCAACCCCCAAGCTGACTCACGCCTTGATTCACACAGGAACGACATTCTCCGCAAACACGGTATCCTTCCCGAGAAACCCCCCTCCCCGACACCTCTCATCGAGGAAGCCATCATTGAAGCGCGCCGCCTCGCACACGAGAACCGTCTCGAAGGCAAGGACCTTGACGAGCTCGATGAGCTTGAAGATGAAGAAGACGAGGCATTCCTGGAACAATACCGCCAGAAACGTATGAGAGAACTTGCCGAGCTGCAACAAAAGTCCATCCATGGCTCCGTCCATCCCATCTCGAAGCCTGAATGGGCGCGTGAAGTGACGGAAGCGTCACATCAAGGACCCGTTTTCGTCAACCTGACTTCTCCCCAGGGCGATGCAAACCCGGAGTCACGTGTATTGTCTGCGCTATGGAAGCAGGCGGCGCGTGAGTATGGCGAGATCAAGTTCTGCGAAATCCGTGCGGATCGGGCTATCGAGAACTACCCAGAGCGCAATTGCCCGACCATCTTGGTGTACAGGAATGGCGACATCGTCAAGCAAGTTGTCACCCTCGCAACAGTAGGCGGAGTACGCATGACCATGTTGGATCTTGACAAGATCCTCGTCGAGGTTGGCGCTGTGCAAGAGGGCGACTTACGTGTAGTTAAGCGGCGCAGGGAAGCTGAGGATGCCGAGGAGGAGAAGAAAGCCTCAGGCGGTGGATCAGGAGGGCTGAGGATCGGTGGTAGCAGAGCAAGACGGGGAGCCAAGGAGGACGACGACGACGACGATTCTGACTGGGACTGAGGGTTTCTGGACAAGGGATACGGGAGCATTATCTCCGTTGGTTTAGCCACTCAGCGTCTGCCCCATGAATTTTATGATGTCACGGGCAGGAAACACAACTATTGAGGGTATCCGACGCAACCAAGCAAGCAAGAAACAGCAGCATCGCCCTGGGGAAATTCTGGATGTGGCGGGCGGTTGTGCAAGTACAACAGGCCCTAGCCAACACACGTACCGATGTCGAAGCCCTCATGAAGGGATAAGGCCCGCTGTTCAGGATTTGGGATAACTCGCATGGTCGATCTTGTCTGAACACGGGGTCGACGCACCAAGGGTAGAGCTCCTATTACTCCATTACTGTTGCCACTTCTGTTTTGTAAAGGCGGCTCTAAAAGCATGAGGCGGCTGGATCAAGCTTTACTTAAGTTTAACTAGGTACCTCGGGCTGGTACTCGCCTGGTCGTAATAACCTTTTGTTTGAACCTAATAACTACGTAAATTTCATAATGGAGCACTAAAACCTTGCAACCCCCGATCATGAAGTGGCAAAGCAGTGGCGCTGTAGAACAAAGGCTCTTGCGCGCGTGCTTTAAAACGTAACACGTATGGGAGACCGGCTTTCATTATCTTCAGAACGGGAGAGGGCAACTTTAACCTCATCGTATGCCAGGAAGCAGATAACATCGACGTAGCTTCAAGGGTATTACATTGCGGCACTGTTGCATTGCCTACCACGGACCATCACAAAAGGAAAATGAGAAGCAGTTATTTCATTCGTGGATGAATCAAGATTCCTGCCCCTCCTAAAACCTTCCTGTTAACTCTTCCCGCCAATAACAGGAAGTCGGGCATGAGAAATCCCGAACGCCATCTCCATCATCTCCAGCCCGCATTAACATTATCCGACGACCATTACTCCGTCCTTCATAAGACCCCGAACCTCATTCACATCATCCCGATGCCAACCAACCATTCATGCCCAAGAAGCCAGAACGAAGAAAGAGGGGAACAGAAGAAGCCGTTCGCTGCATCATGTCCGGTTCAAATCATCAAAACAAACCAAAAAGGGTCGCAGACACTGACTTAGTGTGCCGCTTCGAGCGTACGCCCAACCTGTCCGACTAGACCAGGTTCGGGACGCGCTCATTGCTGCACGAATAAAGGCTGATGTAATTGTCGCCACGGGAAGCGCATCCCAGAATCATGCGGTGAGGATGGAAGGCGGTCGTGGCAATTGGTGAGGCTTTGCTGCCTTGCAAGAAGTTTGAGTAAGGCTCCAGACGGGTCAGCTCGTTACCGTCGAAGTCAAAGACCTTAACCATATGGGCAGATGTGCCACTGACGAAAAAAAAAAAAAGAAATTTGTCAGTTAACCATCCCTACAGAAGGCAACTTGGGAGGTCATGAAAACGTGTACTTACACAGCAAACACGGGGAGGTGTTCATGTGTGCTCGCCGTCCTTAGAATCTCCTTAGTACTCTGGAAGGTCTTGAGCGGCTGATCCATCCGAATATCCCATAGACTGATCTTGCCGTTTCTGCTAGCCGAAAGCAGCTCGCGCTGGCCACCACGTTGCATATGGACTGACCTGACCCATTGTCTGGCATCATCCTTCCACTTCCGGACCATAGCTTCGTGTGGGCGTAAGCGCGAATCGAAGACACGGATGGCGCCATCGCCAAAGCCAGCCACGAAGATGTTGCCCGTCATTTGATCTGAAGTCAAACTAGTCACACATGAGCCCGATCGAGCTGGGATCTCGTGTGTGCAGATCTCTTGACCGGCACTCCAGATGCGGATGACCCGCTCATCACCCGCGACGAGAACGCGGCCATTGACCTGAAGCCATTCAAAGACCATGCCGGAGTTGACATTGGAAGGGACCATATGAGTCAAAGCACGCCAAGCTGATGCAAGCTCAACCCGCTCATCGCTATCATAATTGTTGTAGATGCGGATGACACCATCCGAAGAGCCAGTCATGAGAAGGGCTTGGTCATCCTCATTGATGAAGCACAGGTCAGATATCTTGGTGCCCTCTGGGTTGCCATTGGAGAAGCGACTCAGGCGAGCATTTGTCTTCCAATCCCAGACAGTAATGGTATTACCATCGTCAGCTACTGCCACGCAATTCTCGAACTGGTGGAAGGTCATCTTGGACGGCTGGGTGCCGTTGTTGATCAGCCCAATTTGGTTATTCCACCTGTGAGTGCGAGCATACAGTTTTTGGGGCTGTGTCTCTCGGAGAACTGCTTCATTGCGCGACCGCCTCCAGAGCCGTTGGTTGTATTCATGGCTACCGGGCTCTTCAGCTTCCGGGGGCTTCATCTGAGGCTCCCGGAAGTATTCAGTAGACCACTCCAAGAAGGTGCTGACCAAGGGCAGAGTTGGCATTTCCTTAGGCTTCCGCTCTTGGTACCCGGGACTCAGGGGCTCTGGAGCAACATGGTAGGCAGCCGGCGGAGCCACCTGATCAGGCTTCTCAGGAAGAACATTTGCAGCGTTCAAGCCCTTCCGACTGCGTTGAGACGAAGACCTGTTCATACCAGGCGCCGAGGTAGGTGTAGATGAGACACTCGACGTCGAACTGCCGTCTGACGTGACACCCAAGAGAGGCCCAAAGAGATAGCTGGCAGTCCGTTTTAGCAAGCCTGCCGACGGCATCGGTTGTGCAGGCGCCGCACGAGTACCTGCGGCACTGCTCCTTTGACTGTTGTCACCTCGCGACACTTTGCTAGCGCGCCTGAGGATCTCATCCATGAGCGTCTGTGCCTGCGTGCCAACGGGAGAGTGCAGGAGCGCGTGATGAATGTAATCGACGATAGTCGTGGCATCTCGCTGGACTTCAGGGTGGGGGTCAACGCTCATGATGCACAGGTGCTTCCAGATGGCAGCATAGAGGGAATCGTGCGCAACACCGTATGCACTCGGTTTGATGGTGCCATCTTTCTCGCGATTCTCCGGCCGGGCATAGTGCAGGCCCATCTTGTGCTCGAGGCCGTCCTCAGGTGGGGGATACAGCATGTACTCCTTCTCCTCCAGCAGCTGCTCGTAGGCAGCAACAAGGAACTTGTTCTCGTAGCGGAGAACGAAAACCGACCAAAAGACCAACAATTCCTTGCGGACAATGGGGCTTCCGTCAGTAGCCATCTCAAGCAAGGCCCAGGCAATTCCTTCCTCAAGTCTGGCTACCTCATCCGTTACCTCGGGAATCCCCAGGAAGGTGGTCATAGCATGAATCATGGCAGCCCGGACCTCCGGGCACGAATCTCTGGCCAGAGCGGCGAGCTTCTGGAGCGCGTTTTCTCGAATGCCTCTCCACTTCGCCTCGTTGAAGTCCTTCCAAAGCTGGCTGATGCAGAGACACGACCACTGCCGCAGAAGCGGGTTGTCTGGATGCTCAGTGTGATAGAGGCAGGAAGTCATGATCTCCGTCGAGTTGCAGACAACCTGACCGGTCTTAAAGCCTTTGCACAGCATGGACAGGATGAAAGCGCACATTGCTTTGTGCTCGTCAATAACAGAGAGCCCGACAACGGGAATGGTCTCGTTTGGCCGCATAATGGACGAAAAGTAGGTATAGCCATTGTCCTTGATCAGGTCCTGCTGGCATGAAATATCGACAGCCAGGATACGTGTCCAAATGAACACCATTACTGGCTTGAGTTCTTGAGCGGCCGATTGCAGCAGCTTCAACACATAGGGGAAGATGCCAATGCTCAAGGCCAGCTGAACCGCCCATGGACCAAGATCGAGGAATCGTCCCAGTAGAATCAGCGCCCGCAGACGATGCTGCTGACTAAGGAGGACCTGAAGCACGACTGGTAACTGCTCTGGTGGCTTTTGAGCGGCCGCATCGCCTCGCGTGAGATAGATCTCGAACGCGGTAAGCTGCTCCGTGAAAAAAGTCGAAGGGACGTAGTCATAGGGAATGTTTTCCCTCTCCTTTCTCTCAAGCATTGGAAGTTGAGCAAGGGCCATGTCGACGGCATGGTCCCAAGCCTCCCACAGTGGATGCCGACGGGTATCAGGTAGCTCGGGATATGACTGGGGATGGCAGCCATAAACAGGCATGATGCGTTGAGCAAGGAGGAAATTCCGAAAGAGTGCGGCAACTAAAGACAATCAGCAAGGTCAGCACACGGATCTGAACAGTCCAGTGGGAGATTAGGAAAACATCAGGCTTACCCATCAGGTCTTGACGGAAGAACTTCCGGAAGAGGTCCCTTGGAAGCGTTGTCCAAGCAATAGTATCTGTAATTGCTGTAAAGATCCAGTTGAGCTCTCCGAGTGGCGTACGACGTTCCTGAAGCCTCCCGCCTAGCTTTCTTGCTCGCTCAGGTGTGAGCTTTGTCTTAAGAGGATTCTGTAAGACAAAAAACCACAGCGCCATCTCGATAGGGGTGGTCAAGCAGCACGTGAAGAGGTCTGCAGGGAGCATTGGATTGGTCGGCAGGTTTTCTTTAGAGGCGCAAGCAGCGAGGTGGATGTACGGCCTGAAGTTCACCTTCTCGTAGCTCGGATCTTTTGCCGCCTGCTCTTCCTCCTCTTTCTCGTGCCTTTCGACGAACTTGTGGTAGTTTTTCAGGATGTTACCTGCTTCGGAGCAGTCCCAGACGAAAATGGTCGGCGCCTGAAGCCACTGTTGGAGGTCATATAGGGAGACTGGAATATACTGGGTGTAGTTCTTGTTAAAGACCCAGATCTCGCCCGACGCCGTTGGCTTGGGGACTCCATGCCCGTTGTAATGGAACAAGACACGCTCGTCCTTGGCGTTGCGGCGAAGAGAGATGCAGAACTTTTTGGTCTCCTCGATGGACGGATCAAGGTACTGTTTGCACCGAGTGCGGATAGCAAGGGTTTCATATTGGCTCTGAAGAGCCTTGCCGATGTTCTCCAGAGCCTTGCTGACCGGAGGAATAGTTGGGTCTTGCCAGGCCTCGAGTTTGGCGCCCGGGTTTGTTCTAAGTTGATCTGGAGGCTCAACGCCAATGTTAAGGCAGACGGCAATTGCAGCAGACACGGTCTTTAGCCGATCGCGCATGCGCCAGTCCTGGATCTCGAAGGTGGGAGACTTGGGTTTCCCGGTTGTTTCATGACGCTTGTCGGTGAAGTACATGTACCAATTATTGGCAAGTTGAGAGATGATATCCTCAGACTGATAAGCTTCTTCGAAGCCATGTCTTGCCCCGTAGGCATACTGCTCATCATCCAAGGATTCATCTTGCTCATGGCGCAAACCACGCTCGCTCTTCGATCGAAGCAAAGGGGGTTTCGCCAGTTTCCCAACAGCACCGGAAGGCCCCGACTGTTCTTGGTCTTCATCTTGACCACAGTTTATTTGGCTGGCTGGATTAACACTCTCTTGTTGGTCACTCGGCGCGCTAGAAGGGCGGCGGTGGATCTGAACTGGTGGCACAGCCTCAGATATGCCGTTGGTAATTGGTTGTGCCGGTCTTGTAGGAGCGGCGTAAGCTGCAGAAGGTGGCATCGACCGCATACCTGTGTAACCATCTTGCTGAATGCCCGATGCCTCGGCATACTGGGCCTGGAGGTGGGAGATGGCCAGAGTGGTCTGGCGCATGAAGGCCCCAGGATTGCGAGCAGGTGAGGAAGCGACCGATATAAGCCCAGCAGAGGGCCTAGTAAGATGGACTGGGTGGTGTGGATGGTGATGAGCGTATTGAGCATTCATATTGTGAGAGCCACCAGGCTGTCCGTGGTTGATCTGGAATTGACCGGGCTGTTGTGGGGGACCTTGATGAGGGCCGTGGAGAGTGATCGCCGTCATAGCTGGTCGCGGCAGTGAGCAGAGCCTTTGACTCGGCCCCGTATATTAGTATTAAGCGGTCGTTGCTATTGCGATGGACGGGCCGATGGGGAGTAGGTAGATTGAAGCCGTTTTGACAGATGCTTAGAAGTGGTGGAGGGGCACCATGGTCCAAGAGCGCCGTCTCTCAAGGGTACTGTTTCCCGAGATTCTGTTTTGGAGCAGACGATATACGACTATGACTTGAAGTCAGAATATACAACAACGTTTCCGAGATGCAATGAAAGATAAAGTGCTGGCGTTTCTGAGAACATAGATGTGGAACAGGCGACCAACCTGAACCTGTTGGGGACGCCACAAAGCAAAGTTCCCGATGTCTTAATGAGTCGCAAACACGGCCATACACAGCGATAGGACGAAGGACGACCCCTCTTTGATGGAATAGAACTGTCAGATCAAGTAGGTAGTCCTCTGTTGTGCACAAAATCAGCTCTAAGAGCGGAGATAAAAAAGGTGAGCTTAGATGGATCGCAACCCGCTTGGCCGTGCTTGACGTCGGCACGTTGGCGCGGTCTTGAGCGTTGACTCCAACAGGCGCCAGTGTGGAGCTTCCTAGATCCATTTCTTGGTCTGACCATTACGCAGGTGGGGAGGGTGTGGCTTGTAACAAACCAATCAGCGTGCGTAGAATATGCAGCATTGGGTCGCTTGGCAGGTTGAAGCACGTGACAGGATATAGAGGAATCTGGTGGATTGCAAGCGCGCAGAGCGCCGGGAATCCAGAGCGCTGGATGAAAGAGTTGTTGGATAGTCGTTAGAGCCAGAGTTGACTGTGCCAACTGTTGATCAGATCTGTCAACAACGACTTAGAGTTTGTCAATATGGTGAGAATAAAACCACCCGCTTACTTGAAAAGCGCAGACGTATCTGTAGTAATCAACAACTCTGCAATTTGAAGTCAACCTCTTTACACACACCTAACCGCACGAGTACTTGTATCGTTGATTAACATTGTTGTCGATCTAGAAATCCTCAGCCACATATTTGTGATCGCTTTGCGACTTCTAACAGCTCTGAAATTGTGTTAGACTTTCCAAAGGCTGTGAGGGATCTCTTGGAGACAGTAGAGCACGCCATAGCATACAATCATAACGGATTCAATCTAACAGAGGTCACATACAGCGGTTAAATAGACAAATCAGTCGTAAGATAACCACCTATAAATGCCAGATTGTCGTGACCTCAACACATTATCTGATCGATCAGTAAGAACCTTTCAGAAAGCCAGGAAGCCTGGAGTTGGAAGTCTCTGACAGTTACAAAAGTAACTAGCAGGCTCACACAACTCAGGAGCGTATAAAGCAAAGAGAATGAGATATCTCGGTCGCTTCTTTCATCACCTGATGTCCAGAGTGCATACACAGTGTACATACAACCGCAGTTATAGCCCTCAGCGCTCGCTAAGAAACATGAAACAATGAGCCCGCCCAGGAAATTGAGGGATGTGACGCTGAGAGGGGCAGCCCGCTCGAAGGTTCACAGTACAAACTTAAAAAAAAATATATGCGCATAGTCAAAGACGACACAATCAAGTAACTTGCTCTTGGGACTGCATACCTAGCTGGGTACTTGATTCGGTGCAGGACAGCTAAACAACAATTGGCATCGAGATCTTACAAGGGTCTATTTGTTTGTGTGAGTCCTTTTTTGACGTACTCAAAGTTGCAGTATCTAACAAGCATGAATTGTGCTATGCTTTTAGTAGCAGGCTCCCCAGTCTTATGTAGGTCCTGTTGAGCATCGGTGTGAACTTGCCCCTTGTCGTAAAACGGCATAGGGACATGTATGTAAGCTGACCATTTGCTATCCAACCACTTTCACAGATGCTACTTGCTCAGCCAAAGCCGATGTTTCGGCTTAAATATGTTCATTTGATGGTCTGGTCCAGTGATTCAGCACCGCCATGGCTGTCGACAGGAGCTCTTGGCATAAATCGCTTTCGTAAAAGTAGCACCGTGGCTCGCACAGTCCAGCTTCACTGTGTAGGAAGATTTTTGGACATGACAGCACTTTGAGATCAGATTGCAAAAACTTCGGCACCCAAGAAGTAGGGTTTAGACGAGACTTCAAAGATATTTGCTTAAAACTCTGAAAATACTCAAGAGAGTTCAAGATATCGATGTCTGTCGGAGTATATCTGTGAGAAGTGGTCATTCTCCACGATCCTCAGGCTGTATCCCGCCAGGGCTGCGCGCCTCGCCGCGATTGGTGTTCTGGAAAAGCTCCTACCCCTGAACTGTTTGGCCCATCTCTGCCCCTTTTCAACCTTCGGACTGGACTTGCCCCGCAGACCCCTGGGTTACGGCGCATCTCATTGGTCGGCCACGTTAGTTTGCTGTGGAAAATCAGGTTTCCACCTGTCCCTTCCAATCCTCGCGCCCTGTTCAGTTGCTGAGCCTTGCAGCGGGCGACAGCAGCGCTTCACTGTGAACGGCGAGCTTCCACAGCTCCTCCCGCGCCCCGACCTTCACCCTGACAACCCCCCAACATCCCAGAAGCGATCTGCCCGTGGGGAAAGCTTCAATCCCGTCGTCAAGGTTCAATATCTTTGCCCCCGTCCATCATCCATCATCAAGGTCGCGGTCCGCATAGGTGGGCCGCCAGAGTCCAGTGTTGAGAATACAGTCGATCAGCTGTAAGCAACAGACAAAAAGTACACGCTCGAGCCCGGACGTGCGGTCGCGACAATCTGGGCCTTTGGCCACCGCAGCGCAATCGTCTGTCCGTTTTGCGTCCCAAAACCTCTGGACCTCCAGGCCTCCTAAGTCTCTCCTAGACACCCAGCTGCCTTCAAGCCAGTGTGCTCCCCTTTTTTTTTCCGTTGACGCGCTATCCCCTTTGGGTCTTCTGAGCATAGCGCCCTGTAGCGCTACGGACAAGGAGCCCCCTCGATAATTCTCGACGAGGAAAGAAGACAGGATACGGGTAAAAAAAAAAAAAACGAACAGCCGCAGACCCCAGCCGCTGCTTGCCAGACCGGACTGCTTGAACCACAGCACTACCAAAATTCGGGCTGCTGCCGCGCCGACTCCACTGCCGCCGCCAACGGATTCCGCAACGACGCCAGATGCTCTCCCAGCCATCGCTGGACTCGCTGCCCCCGAGCGTCGATTCCGAGTCTCTCACCGGCATTCTCGTCCGCAGTCCCGGTCCTCCATCCGTCAATATCGCTTGCCCACACCAAGCTACACACTGTCGCCCGGCGTGTCCCCCCAATTGAGAAACGCGAGGCGCTTCTCCCTGAGAGTCCGACACCGTCATCGCAACAGTTACCAGCCTGCTTCACCCCGACAATCACCTCAGGGCAGATCTCGGTTCTGGCGTTTCGCGATGGCTTTCCTCTTCAGAGGGAAGAAACACCAGGACCGGGCGCTCCAGAGCCGCGATGGCCCGCAGGGTCCTGGGTCGGCCATGGGCGGCGCTGCTGCGCGCGTGAGAGATGAAAAAGGTTCGCGGTCAACGCCGACTGGCAGTCTCCATTCCCTTGATAACGAAGGGAGCATGGGCAGCCCCGACCAGCCATATGGCCGCCAGCGTGGGCAGAGCCTCGATCAACCTCAACAGTCACAGACTTCGCCCCCTCAAATGCAACTCCAGCAACAATACCCCGGCGAACCACCGGTACGTTGTCGCCCAGTAGTCTTGTTGTGGCCGTGACATGAACCTCTTTTATGACATGTGTAGATAGTACGTATCTAACGTGAATGTTATTGCAGTACCGAAACGGTGCTCCTCCCCTCTCTAACAATCCAAATGCTTCGCTCTATCCATGGTCGCAACGCCGATTGACCTACACGACGTCACATCCAAGCCCATTTCCCCGATATGGTGCTGCTGTCAACTCGGTGTCCTCGAAAGAGGGCGATATCTATCTAATGGGCGGTCTCATCAACAGCTCGACCGTGAAGGGCGACTTGTGGTTGATTGAGGGCGGGAGTCCAAATCTGGCTTGCTACCCTTTGGCAACAACAGCCGAAGGTCCTGGCCCCCGAGTTGGCCACGCGGCTCTGCTAGTAGGAAACGCTTTTATCGTGTTTGGCGGTGACACCAAGATCGAAGAGACCGATATATTGGACGAAACGCTCTACCTCTTGAATACATGTAAGGCCCCATCTCCTCGAAAACAAGGCAGTATCTAGACCTGGGTTGCTTACTTCCTCCTCTCAGCAACGCGGCAATGGTCACGCGCACTCCCTCCTGGACCGCGGCCTACCGGTCGCTACGGCCATACATTGAATATCCTAGGCTCCAAGATCTATGTTTTCGGTGGCCAGGTGGAGGGACTCTTCATGAATGACTTATCAGCATTTGATTTAAACCAGTTGCAGAACCCGAACAACCGTTGGGAGATTCTTATTTCCAACGATCCTGCTCCTCCCCAAGGAAAAGTGCCCCAGCCCAGAACGAACCACACCATGGTGACGTACGGCGACAAACTATACCTGTGAGTTGCTATTTCTTTTCTCCGATGACGGTGGCGGCGCTTGCTGAGACTTTCTAGGTTTGGTGGCACAAACGGATACCAATGGTTCAACGACGTCTGGAGCTATGATCCTGTGACCAACTCCTGGACCTTGCTTGACTGCATCGGGTATATTCCGTCCCCTAGAGAAGGCCATGCTGCGGCTCTCGTCGACGATGTCATGTATATCTTTGGCGGAAGGACCAAGGAAGGCGCAGATCTCGGTGACCTTGCGGCGTTCAGGATTACGACTCGTCGCTGGTACACGTTCCAGAACATGGGACCGTCGCCCTCTCCCCGGTCCGGACATAGCATGACAACAGTTGGGAAGACGATTGTGGTTCTTGGTGGTGAACCAAGCTCACCAACAGCATCCGTAAATGATTTGGCGATTGCATATTGCCTTGACACAACTAAGATCCGGTACCCCAACGATTCAGGTGCCAGTGGACCGAGAACGCGCCGTCCGAGCGATGTCACCTCGCCGAGCTCTCGTGGTGCGGCACCATCGCGCGATGGTTCAGCTGGTGCCTCGGAAAACCGCAGGTATACCGGAGTTCCCAGTAACAATCCTTATCGATCTCCGCCTGGTGGTGAATTCAGTCCTCCCAATGGCCATCCTTCGGGGCCGAGTAAGGTGCCGAGATCAGGGGGTCCGACTGGCCCTTCTGGGCCCTCTCCTCAGGGACAACCTCCGAGACCAACCCAGGTCGGTGCCGTTCCTCGCCCACGAACAGCATCACTAGAACGCCAAGAACAACCTTCACGGGGTTCTCCTATCACGTCTCCTGTATCCCAGCAACAACAACAACAACAACAACAACAACAACAACAACAACAACAACAACAACAACAGCAGCAACAACAACAACAACAATCCACAATCCCTAAGGAGAGTGATGACGTTGCTGCCAACGGTCGTCGCACCCCGAATCAGAACCCGCCACGGTCTTCATCAAGACAGGCGGATGTTCAAACCCCAGATGCTGCCAAGCAAAAGCCACCCAAACCCTCTGGGAACCAAGGGCCCTCTGACAATGCTACAGACTCGGCACCCAAGCAAGTAGGCCGACCCGTGTCCCCTCCGCCCCCGAATCGTCAGAACAGCAACCCGCTTTCAAGGAGATCATCGACGAGGAACTCGCAAACCGTCGCTTTGCTGAAAGAACTAGACGCAGCGCGGAACCGGAATGCATGGTACGCTACTGAGCTAGAGCTGGCGCGTAAGAATGGTTACATTCCCAATGTGTCCCTTAATCCGGCCCTTGACGGCCGTGCCATGGATGCATTTGACGATGACGATAAACCGCTCATCGAAGCCCTACTAGCCATGCGTAACGAGCTCGCCAATGTCCAAGCATCTGTTGATAAACAAGCCGTGCTGGCTGCCAAGCAGATTGCCGAGGTGGAGAGGCAACGAGATGCTGCCATCCAAGAAGCAGCCTATTTGAAGGCTAAACTGGCCGCTCTTCGCGGAGGCAGCACGGCTGGCACTCCGCAATTCGACGAAAAAGATGCCGAGGATCGCATCGGTGAGCTCAGCAAGAAGCTTGCGTTTGCGCTTAATTCCCAAAAGGAACTACAGGATCAGCTGGACCGCCTTACCATCGAACATGAAGCGGAGAAGAAGGCAAGGAAACTCGCGGAGGACACTGTCACTGCGGCACAGAAGAGATTGGCGGAGCTGGAAACTTATAAGCAGCAGGCCAGCTCTGATCTCGAAAGATTGAAGTCGGAGCTTCATCTGGTGCAACGGGAGGCTCGCGAGCAATCGGTCAATGCAACCGAGGCGCTTGCGAAAATTGAAATGTTGCGCATTGAGAAGGAAGCGTTAGAGCAGAAGTACAGTGAAATTGTTGGGAGTAGCAAGGAACAGTCTGAAACTTTTGAATCGCTTCGCCAGGCTGTGGCTGCTTCGGCAGAAACCAAGGCTCTGCTGGAACGCAGGTTGGATGAGGAGAGGGCACTGAGAGAAAAGGTTGAAGCCAAGCTTAATAAGCTCAAAGCAGAGCATGAGGCTCGGACTGCGGAATTGGTGGCGGTTACACAGCGCCTGAGGGATGCCGAGGAGTTGGCAGAACAGCATGCTAACGAGGCCCGCGTGCATCGGGAGGCTGTGTTGGCGGGCCTTGACAAGATCGCTGCCAGAGACGCGTCTAAGTCAGACAAGGTCGACAGTGAGCGACTCGCGTCCCTACAAAGTCAGATCAATGCTGCCAATGCATTGGTTAGGAAATATCAGCAGGAAATTGACAATGCTGCCGACAAGCTGCGTGGTGCCGAAGAGCGGATCGCAGGGCTCGAGGCCTACCAAGAACAAGCTAGCCGTGAAGGTGTCTCCGTCCGGCGCCAGCTCCAGAGCACGCTTAGAGAGGTCCAGTCTCTCCAGGCTACTAACGCTGAACTGAAGCAACAACTCGCCAAACAGCAGCTTGAGGCGAACGCCATGTTAATCCAGTACAATGCCCTTAAGGACATTTTGTTAGAGCGCGGCATTTCCCCGACGGCTGCTGCTGCGCGGGCACGCAGCAGTCCTCGCGGTACTCCTCGCGAGGGATCGCCCGAAATGCGTCTACGCGAACTCGAACAACAGCTTGCTGAGGCCCGGAGTGCCCTGGAGGAGGCCAAGGCTCAGGCGGCACTACAGCAGCAAGAGTCGGAGTCTCTCTATCGGGACAAGCTTGCACAGCTCGAGAACGACTATCAGTCTACTGTCCACTATGTCAAAGGTACCGAGAAGATGCTCAAGCAGCTCAATGAGCAGCTTGCCCGGTACAAATCCGAGAACAATCGGCTCAAAGAGCAGGTTGTCGAGCTCGAAGACAAGCTTTCCACCGAAAGGTCGGCCGCAAAATTGTCAGACGCGCCCGCAGATTGGGAGACTCGGCAGCAGCAGCTCCAAGGAGAGATCGACCGTCTGCAGGCACAGCTGCGCGAGAACTCTCAGAAGTTCGAGCAACAGATCACGTCGATCCAACAGGAGCTGGCCGAAGTCCAGAAGGAACGCGATTCGGCGCTGGGAAAGACAGAGGAGGCCGTCCGCCGTCTCGAGACCACGCGCCGCGATCTCGAGACCCTGCAGCAGGAGAACGCCCGGCTGGAGCGTCGCGCTATCGACGCGGAGCAAAAGGTGACCACCCTGCTCGACCAAGTCGAGATGAGCGTCGACAACTTCCGCCGACGGAGCGGCCGCCAGGCGACAGATTCGGGGACCTCTGGCGAGACGATCAGCGCCATTGCTAGCGCCAACGCGACCAACGGCGGAGGGCCGGGCCACACTCGCCAGGAGTCGCTCACCGATGTGGAGAGCTTGTACAGCAAAGGTGACGCTGCCACTCTGGCGAGCCGGCGCAATAGCTTGGGGCTGGGCGCCAGTATCGGGGATGCTCGCAATAGCGCCGCACTGGACAGTCTCGCGAACGAACTTGAGAGCCTGCGCAGCCATTGGGAGCAGAGGAATTACCGGCTGAGCAACACATTTGATTTTGACATGCCCACGCCGACGGCTGCTTCTCCTGCGACGGCCACAGCCGGTGGTGTTGCACCTGGAAACGCTTCGGCTGGGCTGAGCGAGAGCCTGGCTGATTGGAGGAAGAATAGACTGGAGGAAGAGCAGCGGGATTAATGTTCCAGGAAATGGGACCTTGGATGAATTGTTGCAGTGTGCTTGGGAATTGAAACCTTTGCGGCTTTGGGTTGTCACTTTTTTATTTTCTTCTGTTGTATAGGGGAAGCAAGTGATTAATAATCTTGTGTTATTGGTGTTGGCTGTTACCTGCGGGACACAGTTTTCTCTTCTTTGGGGGATGGGTGAGGTATTATCTCTGCTTGTCATTGTTCCTTTCAAGCCTTTTGTGGTCGATTTACATCATACCACCAACGAGGTTGCCCGACTCAGTCATTCCTCTTCCCCCTCAAACCCTTCCCCCCCCTTTTTTTTTCCAAAGTTCTCTTGATTCCCATGTGTTTGTGGTTAGGCTGGCTGCAAAACAGGCGTGCCCAGCGCGCATTAATCGTCCTTTGTTTTTCCACTATTGCTTTTCAGTTGACTTAGCTCTTTTGTATTACGATTATATATACGCTGGTGATGGTGAAGGAATGTTGGAAATGGATGATGTATGGATGTCTGGATGGTTGAAATGAAGCTGGCGAAGGAATGGTTTGGTTGGACTTGCTCTTAGACTCGAGTAGGTTTGTGACAGACCCAGTTGGTTTGGGCATTGTCAGCCAAGAGGGGTTCAAGGCATTTTGCCTTTTATTCTGTTTTCTACCGGAGCTAAGTAAATATACAAGGGCCTTTTGTCTCAGTGCTGCTACCTATTGTAAGGGTCCTGCTGCCAGTTGAACAACTATAATTCACCAGTTTTCACTGGTAATCTTCTTTACACTATTATGTTCGTGTTGCCTATTCAGCCGTTGGTCTATGTGTAAGCTCTTCTGGATTTTGCCTGACTCCATCACTTTATGGGCACCTCATTCGCTAGCCAAATGCAACTGTTAGAATAACTCGAGACCAAGCAATTGAGCGTTGAGCTGTTGTTTGAACCCCCACTCCTTAGCGCAGCGGGACATCCATTGGGCACCTTGGTCAAAGCAAATGTGTCCTTCCGCTCGCTTATAGACACGTTTTTACATATTGCAGTGAAACCGAGTTTTCTCATCTTAACCAGTCAATTTTTCCAAAACCAGCCACCGTACCAAGATCAGCAGTGAACGAGGTGGGGCTTTCCGAAGCTTTGTTGTCGCTCTTGAACGCCTTTTCGGTTCTGTGCGAAAAGCTTCTGAAAACGAGAATCCCCTCCCACCCTCTTCCACATACACCTTTGCTCTAGAAAATCTGTGGTAGTGAACAAATCAATATCTAGCCAAAACAGAGTATCCTCATCAATCCTCTACCCGAGACCAATCACGTCACACCCCATAAGCAACCATGGCCCTCTCCCCAATTGCGAGGTCAACACTTCAAGCGGCTCTCATCAGTGCCATATCCAATATCCTCGCTCAGTTTATTGCTGCTCATCAGGCTGGGGTATGCTTCTTCTGCAGTTTTGTGGTATACCTGATTCATGGACTGACTGGATTTTAGCAACCTTTTGCCTTTAACCCCATCCCAACACTCCAATACACACTCTACGCTTTACTTTCTACCCCTCCAAATTTCATGTGGCAGGAATACCTCGAGTCCATATTCCCTTCTTACACTTCTCAGGAAGATGGGGATAACAAGAGCGAAATTAAGCGGATGCAAGAACAGCCTCGTTTAAACAAGATCAACACTCTTATCAAGACCATTTTGGACCAAACCTTGGCCGCTGTCCTGAACAATCTCGCATTTTGCCTGGCGCTGGGCGGGATGCGGATGGGTATGGCTAAACAGGCAAGCGAGTTTCTCCGCCTGCAACAGCAACACCATTCGCAAAACCAGTCTCCTGCTGGGAGCTTTATTCTCTCACTGTTACTGCTGCTTGAAGCTTTTTCGAAGACGGGGGGTCCGATGCGGTATGAGGACGTGAACTGGGCTGTGGTCTGGGAGCAAGCGAAGAGTGAACTTTGGGGGCTCATGATCGTTAGCTGGCAGTTTTGGCCATTGGTCAGCGTGGTTAACTATGCTTTCTTGACGAGCGTAGAGGCGAGAACGCTGATAGGCAGTTTGGCTGGTTTGGCATGGGGTGTGTATCTGAGCCTGTATGCAGGGGGTAACTGAAGCGGGTGGACAGGATTGAGAAAGAGAGAGGGGCTACTATTGCTTTTATGCATCTTGCCCTCTTTCTCATGACATGGATTGATGACAAAACATTGATTGCTGGAACAACTCGCAATACGGGTTGAGACTTTCCAATCTTGGACCAAGAGAGATTTCATGCTTAGTGATTCTTCAGCATTATGACCTTCGTTCTAGAGCTATTCTAAGTCATATACCCGTGCCCCAACAACCCGAACTATGGAAAATGGAAAGTGTAGAGATCCCTCACGTGACGAGCCAGCCATAAGAAATCGTGCCTGCGCGGCATTCTTCGGTCCGTCGTCCTTCCATGTCTAGCAGAGGCCCAGCCTGGGCTCGGAGAAGAGAGACGTAACCATCATGGACCCAGAGAAACACCAAGAGCAAACGTGACGCTAGCCCACATCATTATTCAGGTACAAAGCAGGCAAGTGAAGGAGCACATAACCGGTACCCCTTCAGCAGCCCGGAATTAGACAACACTTGCGCTATACATGTCTGTATCATACAAGCCAGTGTTTGGTGATACTTCTCTGCAGGTGCCTGCCACATCAACCCCACATAGTTTGACATTCATGGCTGTCGTATTTGAGTAGACAGCAGGAAAAGCTGTGATTTCATGACCGGCAGAGGATCCACATGAAAAAAAGTTGGACGATATAGGAGTAGAAGAAGAGGAACTGCGTTCGCTGGTTCCTCTTGGCGCGTGAATCAAGTGGGTGCATGGTCTGCATGGGATTCCCCCTGTCGTTATTGTTCTCAGGGAGGAGGACATATTTCAAGGAACGCATCTGTCATGTCTGTTAGTCTCTGAAACCGTTCAAAGGATATAGAGACCGAAACGTACCAAAAACAAAGAATTGGCCAGAAAGGTGTAAAGAAACACCATCCATCCAACCCAGCCACCGGTTCCCTTGCCACCATTGACAATCTCAGCAATAATGATAGTCACGTTGATGCCGACAAACTTGTATCCTGAGTATGCCACCAAGTCCAGCAACTGGCTCTCGTTGGAAATGCTCAGAAGATAGCAGCCAAGCTTCAGGCCGAGAATCTCGACGATTTGGACTACTACCGCGGTGGTCGCAATGTAGCCAAAAAGCTCGGGCTGGAACTTGCCGCGCAAGCCCGAGATTAGCGCCTGGAGGAAGATATATGTAACCAGCGACATGACTGGGATGTACATGTCCGGACTATTAATGTCGTCGCGCGGCGGCAAGTAATACCAATTCTCCTGACCGGGGCGACCACCTCCTCCAGGGGCCTGACGGCGCGTCCACGGCTTGTGTCGCCAGGGGAACAGGACCAGGAACAGTTTTGAGAGGACGTAGCTGTTGGTCACATTGAAGTAATGCTTGAGGGCGGTCACGTTCACGAAACGGTTGACCTAGCAGTCATGTTAACCATAGTTCATCCTAAGCAAGCCCTGGGTACTTTGATCCTACGTTTTGCTCAAAGTATTCTTGTCCATGGCGGAATGCAGACTGGCCAAATTGTGTTGCGATCTGGGCGGCAGGGTCGTTTATGAAATTGGCATAAGGCCCAAACATTCCGGTGCCCGACGGCGCCTGGTGCTGTGGCTGAGGTTGGTAGGGGCTACCATCGTACGAAGATGCTAGCGGTGGTGGTGACCGGAGTTGTGGGACAGTCGAAACGTGTTGCGGCACGGGGTGGTGTAGCGGGGGCGAGTGGCTGTATGTTGGTCGCTGCATCGTCGGAGAGTTGTGTGAAGCTGTCGAGGGCTGGAGGGTCGACGTCGAGCTGAGTCAGGTCGCCAGAAGCATCGATTGTCAGAAACAGAGTAAAGGGTCCTATCTCGCGATGCTGGCCCGAGGGTGTGGGGTTGCGTCGGATGTTGGATGTTTAAGCGTGGTGTTTCTGGACATGTGTTTTTAGGGAGCTCCTTCGCTGACGTCCCCCTGGGCTGGAGCTTCGGCAAGGCCAGAAAGATTGGCTGGAGCCTCCCGGTCTTGGCAGAGCAGGCTGAGCGGGACTACTAATGACGCAGCACACTGATCCTCCAATCACGACCTGAAATCTTGTCGATAAACTATGAGGCCGCGCCGTGTCAGTGGCGCCGCGACGACCCTTAGAAAGAGGATCCAAGAGTTGACCAAGTGGCAGCTTTGAGGGATCGCGCAGCCTATTTCCAGCTTCCCACATCAAATCGCACAAGGTCGACGTCTGTGCTTGATCGCCAGTCCGAAATGTTGGATGCATTTGAGATTTTAACCACCTCGGGTGTGGTTCTCTGGTCCAGGACCTATGCACCCGTGAACCCGTCGGTCGTCAATGATTTTATTACGGATGTCTTCATTGAAGAGAAGAGCGCGGTGGCGGGCTCCAAAAATGGCGGCTCTGCAGCCTCCAACCCTCCATACAAGCACGACCAGCACAGTCTACGGTGGACATTCGTGAAGGAATTGGGTATCATCTTCGTTGTAAGTGTCCTGCACTTAGGAGATAAGATGTCCCACAGGATGTATGGCATACAAGGTGCTGACTATCCTGGTCGCAGGCTGTCTATCGTTCTTTACTACATCTTCCATGGGTTGACAAACTTGTCGACAATATCCGGGCCATTTTCGTCAGCCTATACAGCGAACAATTTAAGAGGCCTAATACCACGATTATCGAATGCATCAACTTTGACAAGTATTTTGACCAGCAGCTGCAGGAGCTTGAGCAGACGGGTTCTAGGGTTGATGCGCGCGTACCCAAGATTGAGGCACACTCCGCAGATGAAGAAGAGCAGCCTTTTGTTCCATCACCAGCGGGAAAATCTGAGCAGAAGGCTCCTATTGAGTCAATCTCCCAAAACCATTCGCGCCCTACCACTTCCAGCACAAGCCACCTAGTCGTGCCGAGACCAGGTCCCGGGGGCAAGTTGTCAAGAAGGGCCCGAAAGCTTCAGAACAGTAACTCGGCGCCTGCTTCTTCTGGCGATGAGGCCCCGTCGCGGAAAGGCAAACAGGGCAAACTTGTCAAGCGCGGCAGGAAGTGGGATGCAGATGGGTTGGCCATTGAAGATGACGGATCGGATGTTCAACTTGACTACTCAGCGCCTGCCTTGACGAGCGACAGTGAGGCTGAGGCCAGTGGGAGGGCAATTAGCATCGAGAGAGTGGATGCTTCAACCATGGGTTCGAGAACTAAGGGGAAGTTTGTGCTCAAGGATCTGGGAGACGAGGTCCACTCTATTTTGGCAGACGCGGAAGCCAAGAAGAATGCTGAAACAAGCTCCGAAGCTTCGAGTGGCATTGTTGGCTCCAGTTTGAACGCTATTGGTGGCCTTTTCAGGAATTTTGTTGGTGGGAAGGTCTTGACGAAGCAGGATTTGGAAAAGGCTATGAAGGGGATGGAAGAGCATCTTCTTAAAAAGAACGTTGCCCGTGAAGCCGCGGTGCGTCTTTGCGAGAGCGTTGAGAAAGAGCTGATCGGTGTCAAGACCGGAAGCTTTGAGAGTAGGTCGACTCCGAAAGATCATGCTCTACCATAATGGCACAGTCACTAACACCATTGCGCGCAGGCATCAGCAGAACGGTCCAGAAGGCCATGGAGGCATCTCTCACTAAGATGTTGACGCCAACCTCTTCCATCGATCTCCTTCGCGAGATCGACTCGGTCACATCTCCCCCGCCCACTTCGGGTCGCCAGCGGCGGCCCTATGTCATCTCCATTGTAGGCGTTAATGGCGTGGGAAAATCAACTAACCTGTCCAAGATTTGCTTTTTCCTGCTGCAGAACCAGTATAAAGTTCTCATTGCCGCGGCTGACACTTTCCGGTCCGGTGCGGTCGAGCAGCTGGCTGTGCATGTACGCAACCTCAAGGAGTTGACGGCCCGCGAGGGTGGCAGGGTCGAGCTGTACCAGAAGGGTTATGGCAAGGATGCTGCGGCCGTCGCCAAGGACGCCGTTGTGTTCGCCGCCCAGGAAGGGTTTGACGTGGTGTTGATCGACACGGCTGGTCGTAGACACAATGACCAACGGCTGATGTCGTCACTCGAGAAGTTTACCAAGCTTGCAAAGCCCGACAAGATCTTGATGGTTGGTGAGGTAAGTTATGCTTGTTATTACGTTCTCTATGAGAGATATGTTACTGACCTGAAGCAGGCTCTTGTGGGCACAGACTCCGTGGCACAGGCAAGGAACTTCAACGCCGCGTTTGGCGCCGGCCGTTCACTAGATGGCTTTATCATTTCCAAGTGCGACACTGTAGGCGATATGGTTGGAACTTTGGTCAGCATTGTACATGCAACAAACGTTCCTATATTATTCGTCGGTGTTGGGCAGCACTATTCAGATCTGAGGAATTTTTCTGTCAAGTGGGCAGTTGATAAACTCCTGAGTAGTGCGTGACTGCTCAACTTAAGATAATCCATGTGCGGCAAGGTTGGAATACTAGATAATATATGGAATTTTTCAGCTTTGCTGATCCAGTAACAAGCTCTCCTGAATAGTGATTACTTTAATAATCTTGTCTTTTTGAACTACTGGGCCGGCGTGTCGGTGTCAGCTTGCAATCAGCCCATCCTCGAGTCTGCTGATGGAGGGGAGCGTAGGACAGACCGTAAAACCCTTGAGACCAGAGTCAGGGTCTCAGGGATAGGGTTGATTTTTCAAGATGGCGCGTCACGTGTTTACGTGAAGCTGCGTTGAAGGCCCCGCGGTCATTAGCGCGTCGCCCATGCAGCTGAGGAATTACGTATACTTCCCTTCTTTTACCACCGACTGCATTCGCCAGCTACGGCGCCATGCCAGTTCCCAATGGCATCCGATGCTCTCACAAACCCTGCTCAGCCGGGTCAGCACTCGTATGCTGACTCAGCAGGTCCTGCAGGCGGGCCTCTCCCTTCTGCTGCCCCTCCACCCTCGACACTTGCTGCGCAGCTCGTGGAGAACATCTCGACTTCAAGCACCAGGCTCACACGACCCGACGAGACTAGCGAACTGAAGCGCTTGTTTGCTGCCATCGAAAAAGTCAAGAATGACCCAAGCTGTTTGAAGACTCCTGAGCAGCGTCTTGAACATAACCACTTGCTCGTCTATGTTTGTGGCAGTGTCCTGCTCGATAACCTGAAGTTGGACGATGCGTTCGCCGATCGTGAGCGTCTTTGCAGCGAGACATCCCGCGCCATAAATTTCCTCAAGGTCACAATTCAAGAGACGCCCGCGGTATTGAAATGTACCACCGATGGGAGGACTTTCATCCACCGCGGACAGGAGCCGCTGTGGGTTTGGATCTTGCCTAAGGTGCTCCGAGTTCTAGGACATCGGAGATTCATCTCTCTCTCAACAGAGATAAAGAATTTTTGTTGCGAAGTCTTGAAGTTAGCCATGGGGAATGAGAAGCTATGGGACTTGGCTCCGTTGCTGTTGATTTACCTTAGGACAAACCTAGGAGGTATGTAGGCCTTGTTTACATGACGTCATATCGAAGTTGCGCTAACGTATACGCTGTATCTAGCCATTCTCGCTCGCTATAAGTCTTCGGATATGACAAACTTGCAACACGGCCCTTCTGCGATCACCCTTCCTCCCAACGTTTTTTTTGAGACCTGGAATGGCAGTGCACCACACACTTGCACCTTCACTATTCCCGACGGTGAACATGCTCTACGACATGCGGTTACCCTCGCTACCATCATTGCTGACGTGTCCATCTCAAGGACACACGAAGTTCAGCAAATTTCCCCTCATGATCAACAGTTAGCTTCTCTTTTAGATTCCTTGCAATCCCTGAGCTCTCTCTTAGCTGCCTGGCCCATGCCGTTAGGGATTGGATTGGCACCCATGATTCAAATCCCTCTCGATTTGGCTGAGGCCTATAGTAATTGTCGGAGAGTAGAAGGAGTTTTGAGCCACAAAGCCAATACATCGCTGGTATTGGTGTGTGCCAGTTTCTGCCAGGCTTCAGGCTACCTGGCGGCTGAAGATGAAGACGGTGCATCTTTGAGGCGTGTCTTCTGTTTAGCTCTCGCTCATTTGGCAAAAGCCTCTACCAACCATGAACCTACGGCAAGGCTCGTGACCTCTGTGCTACTTCCACTGGCACAACGACTTACTGCCGACAACCCTGCTTTGGGTGCGAGCACTGATGTTTGGGTAAGTTCCAAGTCGCTTGCCATCTGCAAAGTATAGAATGTCTTACAAATAGCCAAGAGGTCTGTTCAACTTCTCGTTCGCACAGTAGCTGGGTCAACTTCGCCGGAGCTCAGCGAGGAGATTGCAGCAGACAAGTTCATCGATACTCAGTTGCGTCGGCAGGTTCAGAAGCTGCCGCTTAGACGGACGCGGGAACAGCTTGAGCTCCGGCCTGCCAAACGCAAGAGATCCGATAAGGGACCATCATTAATGTTGGACGTAGCAGGCCGCCTGTGTCGGTTGGTGGGCGCTGATCCTTCCAGTCAAGTGGATGCTCTGGAATCTCACATAATGTTTGTCTCTTCTTCTTAGAGTTGTTGAATCTGAAGCTAACAACTACCAGGGAACGATACCCTCAGCTGAACGAGGATGATCAATGCTATCTGATTGATCTCGTCTCCCGGATCCCCTGTGTCGCCGATGAGACCCTTGAACTTAGGAAGAGGAGCCTGTCCGCAGGTGGGAACTTCCATTGCCCTTCATGCTCCGATGAATTGATTTTGTCTCCTGCACCATCAGGTCGACACCAGGAAGTCAAGCATCTTGGCATCACTCTGTTCAGCAAGATAATTAAACTCCCGAGATTCATTGAATCAAAAAAGCCTCGGGTGTATGCCATGATTTGCCTGCGACGCATCGCAAGGCATTCAACGGACGAGGATTTTTGGGATCTTGAGAAGTCCGACCCTGGTCAGTGGTGCCTGCAATCGCTGAACAGCTCCATCCGAGAGCTTCGCATTGCCGCTGGCAGGGCCATTCCGGTGTTCATCACGGAGCCCGCTTTGGCCACGATCAACAAGGAGGTTATCAAGCGGAATCGTACCACTGTCTTGGCTTTCTTGCGATCTCTTTCTGAAAAGGAGTCCCCTCGGCTTCATGAGACCTGCATCATGGCTTGGGCACAAGTAGGCAGAGTAGTCGCCGATGACGAGCTCAATCTGGTTGTCCTCAAACTTGTCGAATATTTGGGGCATCGGAATCTGACAGTGTCATCCTTCGCCTTCAACGAAATAATTAATCTTGCCGAATCTAGAGGCCAATCACCATCACAATTGTTTGAGCCTTTCTGGTCTAACCTCGGTTTTGCTGTTGTCAAGGACCTAATGACCAGGCCCCAGACAGCACGGATGGTTGCCGACCTGCTTCAACTCAGTGTGCCGGAACTTTTGGAGTTATTGCAGAAGCATGCCCTTCCTTGGCTTGTCCTTACCAAAAAGCGCGAGGTTATCCGAAAGATTGCCGAAGCTCGTGGCGAGAAAGAAGAATGGCAGCCGTGTCTCGATCAAGGGAATCTCCCCTCGATCCTAGCCCTCCTTTTGATTCAGGATACACCCGATGTTGCTACCCATGCTATGTCTTTACTTGGACATGTTTCTGAGAAGATTGCCAACAGTGAGCTAGTAGAGCTCCTAAGAACAGACCCTATAACCATTGCTTTGGAGTTGTTCAAGGCCGCGGCTGATTCCAATGAGAATCGGAAAACAAGGGCAAGTAGCTAACGCATCCTTCTATGTTGAACGGAGGAATAAGGACTAACAATGCGTAGGTCAAAGCTGCTCTGACCACCATGGCAACCCTTCTGTTAGGAGATCAGAACGACAAACGAGCCAAAAAGTCTCAAGTAATTGGGCGCTATCTTCAGCAGCACGCCCTTGGTTTAGCACAACGTCTGATCGAAGTGATAAATGACACCTTGCAGCTACATCCGCCAGTGGCGGAACAGAGGAGGTGTCTTGGGGCTATGGAAGAGATGATACGCATATGCAAGACTTATGTCTGCATTGCCCGACCACAGGTACGATTTAACCTGTTCTTTGTGCTTCGATTCTCGTTTCTTAGCTGACAGAATCCCCAGATCTCTGCCTGCCTGCTCTCTGCAATGGCGTTGGATGATCTCCGGTCTGCTGCCTTTTCCTGTTGGGAAGCCATGCTTACCTGCATGGAAGAGGCTGATGTGGAAGCACAGCTTGAGACGACGTTCTTCATCATCGGATCGTATTGGAAGACTTTTGACCTTGCTACCAAGCAAAAGGTCAAATCTCTAATATCGACTCTTCTTGAAGCTCACCAAGCTCTCTTGCAGAAGTATGCGAACAGGCTGCCTTCGTTAAGACACATCAGTGAGCTTTCCGATTTGTGTACGGCACTCGATAATCTGCGCCCACCCTTAGATGTCAGAGGTGCCTTTGGCATCTTTGCCGAGCGCTTGAAGCATGAAAATCCAGGAGTGGTAGAGCTTGCGCTTGTTGAGCTGAACGCCTTTCTCCAAAAGCACCAAGATTACGTCCAAACATCAGCAATCAGCGAGCAGCCGGATACAGTTGTGACTGCGCTAGTTCGTTCCCTGCTTGACTGCTCTGCCAAATATAATGGCTGGCAAACGGACATTCCTCGGCTTTGCGCTGAAGCCATGGGGCTGATCGGCTGCCTCGACTCGAATCGTGTTGAAACAACGCGGGAACAGAGACAATTCGTCGTTGTCCACAATTTCGAGGATGCTCGAGAGACCACAGATTTCGTCGCCTATATGCTTGAAAACGTGTTGGTCAAGGCGTTCCTATCGACAACCGACACCAAGTTCATTGGCTTTCTTTCCTATGCCATGCAAGAACTTCTCGAACGGACCGATTTCAAATATGCTGCTGCGGATCCCAAATCCGAAATACACGCGGCGATCTACAAGAAGTGGCTCGCGTTCTCGGATAACACGCGTGAGGTGCTGACGCCGTTCCTGTCCTCAAGGTTCGTCGTCGCGCCTATGCCTCCTCAGACGATAGAATATCCTGTCTTCAAGCCAGAAAAGCCTTACGCCGTCTGGGTGAGGGCATTCGTTCTCGATTTGCTCCGCAACGGGCAGCATCCGTTTAGCCAAGCCCTATTTGAGCCCCTCTGTCGGTTAATCAAAGTCAAGGACCTTGTTGTTACAGAGTTCTTATTGCCTTATGTTGTTCTGCACGTTATCGTAGGACAAGATCATACAGATGCGTTCAGAAAGAAGATTACTGCTGAGTTGACGGCGATTCTCCAACACCAGCCCCCTGAAACTGCCTCATATGTTGAGAAGGAGGACGCCAAACTCTACTACCAGGTATGAAGCCCAATTGTGTTTACTTCGTATCATTACTAACTGATAGTGAAGGCCGTCTTTCGCATTATTGATTACTCGAGGAGATGGCTGCAAGTCAAAAAGTCGAACCATAAAGTCTCAGACAGAGACCAATCATGGATCAAACGTGTTGAGGAGGTCATCGGCTCTCTTGATCCTGAGCTGATGTCACAGCGAGCAATCGACTGTAATGAATATGCTCGAGCTCTGTTTTTTCTGGAACCGCATATCGAGGCCCGAGGGAAGCACCTCACACATGAAAGGGGGGACAGGATGTTGCAGTCGTTGCAGAACATTTATACTAATATCGACGATCCCGACGGCCTTGAGGGAGTTTCTGCAATTTTGCAAAGCATTACGCTGGATCAGCAAGCTCTCAACCATCGCAAGGCTGGCCGCTGGACTGCCGCGCAGACATGGTATGAGATTCGGCTCGCCGAGTCGCCTGATGATCCAGACATCCAACAAGATCTTCTTACATGTCTCAAAGAATCCGGGCAACATGGTTGGTCACTTCATATTACTCCTTTTTGGATTGTAGCCTTTCTAACAAGATATGACAGACGTCTTGCTAAACTACGTAGAGGGAATGAATGTTACAGAGAGCAACGTGACTAAGGTTGCGCCTTTTGCTGTTGAAGCTGCCTGGGCGACAGGAAGGTGGCAAACTCTCGAAAAGTACTTGCGGTTGTACAATGCGGGAGACGTCTCAGAGATTTTCAACCTTGGCGTCGGCCAAGCTTTGCTCTGTCTGAAGAGCGGAGATGTTGCGAAGTTCAAGGAGCATATTCAGATGTTACGTGACAAGGTGGCTGGCTCCATGACCTATTCGGCAACGTCGTCGCTCCGGGCATGCCATGATGCCATGCTGAAATGTCATGTCTTGAGTGATCTAGAGTTGATCGCAAACGAGAACCTCAAAGGAAATGGCGATCAGCAGGCAGTCCTCGCCACACTGAACCGTCGGCTGGAGGTACTAGGTGCCTATGTCAGCGACAAACAGTACTTGCTTGGCATTCGCCGAGCCGCTATGGAGCTGATGAGGTATGGTTTTCTATGTTTCGGGCACCAGTGTTCTGCTCTGACTTGTCACAGGCCCAGGTTTTCAAACGAGGACATCTCTTCCCAATGGCTGGCTAGCGGCAAACTCGCGCGGAAAGCTGGTTCAATGCACCAGTCATTCAATGCAGTGCTGCATGCTCAACAGCTGGGCGATGGTTCTGCTACCATTGAGCATGCTAAGCTCCTCTACAAAGATGGACACCATCGTAAAGCCATTCAAATCCTGCAGTCGGCCATCGCCACGAACTCTTTCATCACGGACAATTCTGCACTTACTCTTCCACCCACTTCGAGCAAGGGCCAGGAGACCCAACGGAGTCTCTTGACCGCACGGGCACATCTTCTGCTTGCCAAATGGCTTGATTCAACGGGCCAGACGCATGCTAGCGCTCTTCGGTCTCAGTACCAACAAGCAGCGAAGACGTATCCTCATTGGGAGAAAGGCCACTATTACCTTGGCCGTCACTACAAGAAGCTACTCGAATCAGAGAAGGCCCTCAAGCCGGATGATCAATCGGATGAGTATCTTACTGGGGAGATGGCGAAATTGGTCATTGAGAATTACTTGCGGTCTCTCAATTTCGGAACCAAGTATCTCTCTCAGACTCTACCTCGTATCCTCACGTTATTCCTCGAGCTGGGTACTCAGGTTGAGAACATACGAACTTCGGAAAGCAAGATCACCGTGACGCGAGAGCTGCACCAGCGCAGGAAGAACATCCTCATGGACCTCTACAAGCACTTCCTGAAGCACATCCCGAAGATGCCGGCATACATCTTCTACACGGCGCTTCCGCAGATTGTGGCCCGAATTGCCCACCCCAACCAGGAGGTGTTCAAAGTTTTGGAGCAGATGATTCTTAAGGTGATCGAAGCTCATCCTCAGCAGGCTCTCTGGAGCCTGTTCCCTCTCATGACGACGAGATATTCCCATGAGCGCCGAACGCGGGGTATGCAAATCCTGCAGGCCGCTCGTTCTCTGTCAAAGCGAGTGGAAGGTGCCGATTATGACCTCAGCAAGCTGATTCGGATGGGTGAGAAGCTGGCCGAACAGCTTTTGGTTGCGTGTAACACAGGAGAGTTCCAGAGCAACAAGACCATCACAGCAAGCATCACAAAAGATCTGAACTTCAACCACAAGTGTACGCCGTGTCCTCTGGTGGTACCAATTGAGGCTTGTTTGGTGGCCACGTTGCCGACCCTCACCGACAACGTTAGGAAGCACAAAGCCTTTTCTCGAGATGTGATCACAATCCATTCCTTCCTTGATGAGGTGTTAATCTTGGGCTCCCTGGCGAAACCCCGCAAACTCACTGCCAGAGGGTCTGACGGGAAGCTATATGGGTTGTTGATCAAGCCCAAGGACGATCTTCGAACAGACCAGCGTTTGATGGAGTTCAACGGGCTGATCAACAGGTCTCTGAAGCGGGATGCTGAAGCAAGTAGGCGGCAACTCTACATTCGCACTTACGCTGTTACCCCTCTGAACGAGGAGTGCGGCATTATTGAGTGGGTCAGCGGACTCAAACCACTGCGCGACATCCTGCTTGCTCTTTACCGGGCGCGAGGCATCTCCCCTAACTATGGAGAGCTCTCGAATAAGATGCGTCACTCAATGATGACCGGGGACATCCGCATCTGGACAGACGACATCATTCCCAGCTTCCCACCTGTGCTTCCTGAGTGGTTCATTCAGCAGTTCCCCAATCCCTCGGACTGGTTTGCTGCCCGGCTCAAGTATACGCGCTCGTGCGCCGTCATGTCCATGGTGGGCACCATCCTGGGCCTGGGTGACCGGCACGGGGAGAACGTGCTCCTGGAAGAGGGCAACGGCGGCATCTTCCATGTCGATTTCAACTGTCTCTTCGACAAGGGCAAGACATTTGCACAGCCGGAGCGTGTACCCTTCCGTCTAACACACAACATGCAGGCGGCCATGGGTATATACAGGCATGAAGGCCCTTTCCGACATTGTAGCGAGCTGACACTTCGGATCCTGCGACAGCAAGAGGAAACGCTCATGACCATTCTTGAGGCCTTCATCTACGATCCAACGTTGGATCTGCAAAGGACCAAGCGGCGCCAGCACGATGGCGGCGTTATTCGGATGGATCCCAACAGCGTGGTTGAGACTATCCGCCGCAAGGTGCGCGGTCTGCTGCCGGACGAAAGTATCCCTCTCGGCGTGGAGGGTCAGGTTGAGGAGCTGATCAAGGAGGCGACGAACCCGAAGAACTTGGTCGCTATGTACATTGGATGGTGTCCGTTTTTGTAAATGTTTTGTCTCTGTATCTGCTAGGGCGTTTCAGGGGTTGTTTAGGTCTTAGGATGACGAGAGACGGGGATGAACTGGTCGCTCGGTCGTAGGATTATTATTGACACTGTGTGGTATTTCGAATTGGCATAGGAATGTATGGACTATGATTCAAGCATCTCTATCTGTAAATAAAACAACAATTACATGTGGAATTGCATCGGTTGCTATATCTATCTTGTACCATTTGGCACTCTAGTCAGATCGTCTTGTTCAAATGGCTGTAGAAGAGAGAAAATTGGCTGCTATGGAGGGGGTCGTTCCTCTATAATCAGGGCTGTTCGGGCCCTGAGGAGGCCGCTGCTGAGTGGTGGCCCCACTAAAACGCTAAGTCCTAGTCCAGTGCACTACCTTTTCTGCTCAACACCAACCTTCGACCTTCTTTTCCACAGGGTGCACCTTCCTATCTATCAGTATAATACCATTGACTTTTTCCATGATTGTTTGCAGCGTGTAATTTCCTTCACGTATTTATTTTCTTTCAATTTTAGGCTACGATACGCCGGAGTTTGCCTTCCGAGTACCTCCCCCTCCCCCCTAAAGCCGTGCGTGAATCGATAGAAAACCAGTTCGACGCGTCGCGCCACACATTCTTTCTTCCCTTCCCTTCGACCTGCGCCTACCGCCATTTGCGTAGTACAGCGTTCAACGCCTGACAACTGCATTTAACAATTTAATTCCTTAACGATACTTCAATTGACTCTCTGTCAACATGTCGTACCGCATTGGTAAGTATTTTTTTTTGTGGCAAATACCCTCTTGTTTGCTTTCTGATATCGATCATTCGCTCTTCCAACCCAGCTCTTGCAAACCAACTTCATGCTCACCGTTTGAGTACTGCTGATATGGAAGCCTTCTGGAAAGAAAAGCCGGACAAGTCATTTCTCATCGGTGTTTTCGTCTTTTAAAACCTCGATTTCCTCTATTGCCTCAACTACTTAGCACAATCGCTAACTATATCTAGAAATCTGCCCCAACAACCGCGCCCTTTGCAGAGACAAGGTCTGCAAAGAAGCCGGAATCAAGATCTGCAAGGGAGAGCTCCGTTTAGGGACCTGGGTTGAGGTCCAGGACCATGGAGCTTGGCATTGGCGCCATTGGTACTCATTTTTCAATCATGCAACCTCGTGGCAACAGTCACGGGTGATTCTCCTGGTTGGCAATGTGGCTGACTTGACATTCACATCAGGGGATGTGTATCGGGTGAGCAAGTCGTCAATATGCAGAAGAAGTACGCGACCGATAAGCCCGGCGAGTACAACTGGGAGGCAATTGACGGCTGGGAGGAGCTTGAGTAAGTCTGCTTTTCACATATCATCGTGTAACTGGACCAGATCACGCTGACCATCAATCAGGAACTTCCCCGATGTACAGGAGAAGGTGAAGCGCGTCATCAGGCAGGGACACATCGATCCAGAGGACTTTAAAGGAGTAAGTTGTTCCGTCAACTTCACCTATCCGCGGCCACCGCTCTTGACTTTCGCTTCTCATCCCGCTTCCTTCTTTTTTTTTTTTTCTCACTTACATTTCCCTCCGATTATCTTTAATGTCTTGCTTCGAGATGCTGACTAGATATTCAGGACCCTGAGATGAATAAGCCTGGTCAAAAGGGCATTCGTAAGAGGAAGAGGAAGGCAGATGACAATGAGGAGGAGGAACAGGAGGAGGAACATGTGGAGCGTCCCACCAAAAAGTCCAAGAAAGGTGTTAAGAAGGCCGAAGTCAAGGAAGACCCGGCTTCTGCTTCCGAGGAAGTCGCAGAGAAGCCGAAGAAAGCTGCCAATGGGAAGCGCGGATCCAAAGTTGCTGTCAAGGAAGAGAACGTTGATGATCAGAATGAGGGCGATGCCGAGCCTAAGAAGCCCAAGAAGGCCGGTAGGGGCAAGCGTGGTGCCAAGGCCATCAAAGAGGAGGAGCATGATGCGGAGGAGGAGCACAACAATATTAAGACCGAGCTTGGGGCCCTGGTTGAGGAGCCAAAGAAGAAGGGCTCCAGGAGCAAGAAGGTGAAGAAAGAGCCAACCCCTGAGTCGGAGCCCGAAGCCGAGCATGTCTCCAAGGAACAAGAGCCCGAGGATACACCCAGCGAAGAGAAAGTAGAGGAACCAGCTCCGAAAGGCAAGAAGGCCCGCAAACCCAAGGTGCAGGCTAATGAGAAGCCTGCATCTGCCCCCAAGAAGGGTCGTGGCAAGAAGGCGTGAGTTTTCTTCGACTCTGACCTACCTTCAGATCAGTTCTAACTGGCGCAGGACGGCTTAATTCTTTCTATGGAAGGATTCGTTGATATTCTTTAATATTGCATGGCCTGCAAGTCTGTCTTGATAATCTTCCGCTACATGGTGTGTTGCAGGACCATGGTGTGTGTAATTTTCTGAGGAACTGGTGACCAAGAGAGCTCACTGCACAATGTTCAACCGGGGTTATATGCATTTTGCTTCTGTGCTACCCCTCTTTTGCTAAGAAAATGACTACCTCTGGTGCCTGTCGAGCATCTGTTTGATATAAGGACGATCATCCTATACACTGAATTTGTATCATTCCTGCCTCATCCTAGCGCTATATATGCGCTGCCTCGTTGAAATATTGGCCACTACGGTTTGGGGTACCTTGCGCAAGCCCAAAAGCTTGACTTCTCCAGCAAACTAGACGGCACTGCTGGACACCAGCTGTATGCATGAGTGGATGGATCAGAGAGGTATTAGAAAAAAGTAGCAATCGATAAGAAGAAGCAAAAAAAACAAAGACAGAAAGGGAAGGAGAAAAAAAAGAGAGAGGGAGGGTGGGCTACTTCATTTTCTTCACCGTGAGAGAGTATCGAAAGCGGATGAGACTTTTGGGAGAGGCTGAGCCCGAAGACAACGGTGATACGCGGTGGGTCGGGAAAAGAGGTTCACCAATGAGCCAAGCTACGGTGGAGTCAGGCTAAGGCAAGAAATGGAGCCGTAAGCGTGCTTTCGAGGGGAAGGCAGCCGCCGCGTCAAGGTGAGGCTCTTGGCCGGGCTTTTTGCTCTGTCTTGATTGACCATCGACCAGGAAACACCAATACTTTACACTACATGTACCATCTCCATTTCAAGTCTTGAAATCTCGATGAAAGATTATGTTGACCGAACCCAATGTCTACGTGTCTCACTAGAGAATGCACAAAGTCTGAGCCCAAAGTGTGGCTTTGTTATACAAAGTTGGTGTTGAACCAACATACAGTTCCAATGCACTTACGGAGTGTCTCTGAGGCACCGCTATGCCCTGCTGGCCCCAGGTAGGTTCGGCGCCAGTTTCGTCGGCGGGTTCGATATTGTCCAACGGTGAAGTTCTCCGAGTGAGGGCATCAGCCCAGAGCCCCGCGCTAAACCAGAATTAGTCTAGGGCCGATCGAGAGGCGCAGGCAGGTGAGCAGGCTACCCAGTCATCATCGCCGCGAGGAAGGTAGTGAGATGCAAGATGGACGCATCTTCCGGAATCAAGGACAGCGTTGGTTGTGTTGGTTTCACGTTCGAGCTCACTGCAGGTGATTGTCCAGATTTAGCTCTGGTATCAACACATCAACCGGCCGTCATGAGTAAACATGACCAGGCCAGCTGCCCAGGCCTGAAACCGCTTGCGCCGGCCGGGAGAGGGCGGGTATCCAGGCCAGAGGGGGGGTCCTGAGGGGCCAGGAAGAGCAATCGCCGGGCCAGTCATCGCTTGAGATCAGCCCCGAGGATGGAAGGTTTACGGCAGCATGAGGTGGAAGCGCGCTGCTTCAGGAGCTTGCCCGGCGGTATTTGCCAAGCTGCTAGGCTGCTAAGAGCTGGCCAACAGCGGCTCTGCGTCGTGCAAAGCTCCTCCTGATTATGCCGCGCGCTCCTGTTGCAAAGGCGGCGCCTGTCTTTGTTGTCTCGAGTGGTCCCACGGGTCCCCGTCGCTCGCGTCTGGCTTAATACCAGCACGTCTCCCAGCTCCAGCTCAATAAGAAGCTATCTTGACTCCAGGAGTCTAGGATACGCACAGCAATCGACCAGAACTACCGAGCACAACCGAGAATCAGGAGATACCAGAGAAATCGAGAGGGTTGGGTGTGCCAAGGTGGTTTCGAGTCACACTGCAGCCGCCTTCGTGCATCAAAAGGTCACCCTGCCTGCCCCGCCTTGGCTCGTGGACTTCACAGCCCCCAAGGGCTCCAACAACCAGCCGGGGATCCTTCAGCTTGCCTGCCCGTCCGCTTGCTGCCTGTCCGCCGTTCCCAGCCTTCCGGGACTCAATTTCCACTTTATGCCCAACTTTTTCTTGTGAGCAAGAGGCGGCTTCGGAGTCATAGAAAAGAGAAAAACGGAAGCATCGCCCAGAAGCCTCACAACATCCCCTAGCCATCAGCACACGACCGCGTGGCAGTTGGATTTTGGTCAAGCTTCACCGGCTCTCGGGTCGGCCCTTTCCGTCTTCGAGCCGCATCAGGACTCTTTGACTGTTCCTCTTTGCCTGTGGTGCTTGATAAAGCCCAGATCGTCGTGCCCCGCTTGAGCACTTGTTCCCGACAGGTCAAGCAAACCAACACAGCTCGCACAACCAAAACTCCCCACAACTCACTCAAAAACCCTCCCTCAGAAGCAAAAAAAAAGCAAATCAAAAAAAAAAAAAGAAGCCATGTCTGCGAGAAGCAGAGTCGACGAGTATGGTTACATCCGTGAGCCCCGGCGTGCCCGGGAGTACGAAGAGCGCCGGTACGAGATCCGTGAGCGGTCGCGCTCTCGGGACCGGGTGCCTTATTTCCTCCGCGAAGAGAATCGCCGCCCAGAGCAGGGTCCGCTGGTGCTCCGCGAGCGCGAGCGCGAGATCGTCGAGCGACCAGTCCGAGGCCGGTCTCCAACTCCTGTTCGGGTACATGAGCGGGTCATCGAGCGCACCAGGAGCGTCACCCCGCCCCCTCGGCCGCCGTCGAGGCGTGACGGCCGTGAGGAGGTGCGCATCCGCCAGGTTGTGAGGGAGTCCAGCCGTGGCCCGGGTCCAGAGAGGATCCGGTTCATTGATTCGCACTCGCGGTCCCCCTCGCCTGTTGAGCGTGAACGGATTCGTATTGTCGAGAAGGAGCGTGCTCCGAATCCCCCCCCGTCCCCTAGACCCACGACTCCCCAAGTCATCCAGGGCCCCATCATCGAGAGACAAGTCATCACTCACTATCGGGATATTGATCATGGTACGTGGCAGAAGTTCGTGCTTGACGTCGATAGCTCCAGTGCTAAACATCTTCTAGGAATCGTCCCTGCGCATCCCCCGTCTCCTCTCCGTGAGCATCGCGACACAGAGATTGAGATCCACACGTCGCGGGGAGGGACTGAGGTCGGCATCCATCGCGCACGTTCTCGCTCCCGGGTCCGTGGCCGCTCCATTGAGCGCCCTGTGATCCGGGTCGACGACGATGCATCCGTCCGGGTTGATCGCAAGCACTTGCATGTCGACATTGAGCGTCGTCGTAGCCTCTCCCGCACCGGCGGCCGCCGTGCTCATTCTGCTGCTCCACCTATCATCGATCACTCATCCTCGTCCTCTGATGAGGAGTATGAAATCACCTCCCGTATCGGTGCCCGCAGCCGCCCCGGCGAGGCTATTGGCGGTAGCACTCGCAACTGGACCATCATCGACGTGCCGCCGGGCACCGAGCGCGTTCGCATGGATGGCGCCGGCGGTGCCTCGGCCGAGGTCACTTGGTCCAAGTACAGCGGTGTGAGGAGAACCCGTTGGATCCCTGACCGCGACGAGGAGAAGGACAAAGACTCAATTGTATCGTCTACCACCACGACCACGACTGTGTCGGAGCGAGAGCGTGGCCGGGTTCGCAGCCGTTCTCGCGATCGCCGTGTGAGTGTGTCGATTAACCTTGATAAGAACGACGACCGTCGTGAGCTCGAGGTTGAGAAGGTCACCGACCGTCGCATCGTCCGCGCGTCGAGCACCAACCCGCCCGCCAAGCGCCAGCCGGAGACCTGGACCGAGATCACCAAGGACCTGGTCTGCCGCGAGGCAATTGAGCAGCTGGGCTATGAGTACGAGGAAACCGACTGGTTCTACTACATCGTGGAGTACCTAAGCTATGTATGTCCCCTTTTTCTTCGTCCCCCTCCCCCCCCCCCAACCAACCAAACACCTAATACTAATTCCCCCCAACAGGATGAGGTCTGCCAACTGGTCGACCTCTCAGACCGTATCCGCGCCGAGCGCCAGCAGCGCGCCCGCGAGCTGGCCTGGGAGCGCGGCGAGTGGCGTCCCGTCGACGACTGGGACCTGTACTACTACCGTGACCACGAGGACCGCCACCGCGGCCGTGACCGTCATAGTCGCCGCCATCACCATAAGTACCGCTATGCGTCATCGACCGTCGACTATGACGACGACGGCGACTCGCGTGTCGTCGAGCGCGAGGTGGTGTATGATAGCCACCGGTCGAGGTCGAGGGGGTATCGGCATTAATGGTGGTAGTAGGGCTACCATTGTGAGTTAAGGAAGGGAAGGAGGGAAGGGACTTGTAGCATGGAATGGTTTGGATGGAAAAAGTGAGATATCTTTTGCTTTTGCATGAGCATGACCTGCTAAAGTTTTTGGATATCCCTCGTTTTTTGGGGGGGATTTGTGGTTGTTGCAAGTCTGTGTAGAGGTTGAAGGCATGTAGCATGGATCTGTTTGTTTATGGCTTTTTTTTGCTACGACTCCTTCTTTAGTTTGCTGTCACTGCTTTGTTTGGTTTTGATTTATGATGATGATGATGTTTACGAGGATGATGACTATGATGACATGATGACATGATCATGTTTATGATGGTTGCTAGATGTCTTAGCCAAGTATGAAACATGGATGATTTAATGTTTTCAGGAGAATGAAGGAGAGTTAAAGAGGCTACAGGTAGTAGTTAGGATGCGTTTGGCGTTGGATATACCCTATCCTACGACCGCTCATCGTTACTAAGCATTGGTTCTTCAGACGATTACAAACCCTTGACATTTGAAAGTGGTGGCTAGCCCCGAGTCCTATTCTATAGCATCTATGAATTGGTGAGAGGCTTCTGTTCTTCTCTGGATGTCTTAACTCTTCCATCGATGGTGCCGTCACGGTTCAGAAATTCAAACCATTTTTTCAGAGACGTCTGTCATGTGATCTGGACATGCAGCTGCCCCCAAGCATAAATCATGTCAAATGGCATTATATTCTGACGGATTTCCTTTTCTCAAAGCGGGACCCACTTCCCTTCTACCGGTCGTGACCAGACCAGTGCCCTCCTGTCTTAGGCAGCGGGCAATATATATGGTCTGACTTTACACGTAGAATCATTGGATCACGCAAGAAGATTTTACTCCTCCGGCGGTCCACGCGCCAGTACATGCTTGGCAACGGAGTCCAGGGAGCTCTGAGCCCCGGGCCATATCCAGTTGCGCCGCACACGTTTTCGGCTGCCATCGACGTAGTCGGTCTGCGCGCCCAGTTCCAGTTGGCCACCTTTGGCCGGATTGCGCCCGAAGGAGAAACGGATGCCGAAGCGCATGGTCTCCGGGTCGACAATTCCCTTGCCGTCGATAAGTGGCATCCAGCGTGACGGCGACGGCGGAAGGTCCCCGAGCATGCCGCCGTTGACGGTGGCCTCAACGACCAAGACGGCCTCGTAATGTGCTGCCAAGGCCCGGGGGATTGCGGCTTGGAGATAGGAGACGACCTGGGTCAGGCTGTCGTAATCATCTGTGCTGGGAGGACAGGTGGTGGCAAGGGGGTTTTGTGCGCCTGGGTGTAGGGCGGGTAGGCAGCAGATAGAGAATGCGGCACCAGTGAGTTGTGTAGGCTTAAGAAGGATTCGGATCCGGGAGTCGGGAGTGATGGTGATGTCGAATTGAACGGCTGGTGGCCGGGTAAGGATGGTATAAAGGGATGTGGCGGCAGGGGCACCAGGTGGTGAACTCAGCAGGGGCTCCTTCACCGTCATGGAAGAATCCACGCTTGCAGACCGAAGGACGCTAATGTGAGCTGACAGAGTCTGCAGACATGTTTGTATGGACTGGTTGTATTTGTGATAGGAAATAAGAGGTAGGAGGATGGGATACGTGCGAGGCGGACCCTTGTTTATGCCAGGTTCGGAACGGCGTAGCTCGTTCATCCGGTGAGCATGGCTGAGGAGTAAGGATAAGGCTATATTCAGCGACTCGGCCATCACGTCTTGTGGCCCTTCTTGCTGCTCGTCCAAACCTTCTTCTTCCTCGCCAAGGGTCGCTAACCTAATGGAGACAGTCGTTGAGGCATCCATAGTGTAGGTGATAGACGAGGGTTCCAGATGGACGCCCTGGTTGAGTAATGTACGTGCCTCCCGATTGATTTCATGCCACAACTCTTGGGCAAAGATGGTATCTCGCATTTCCTTTACGCGGTCTTGCAAGGGGGCATCGGCAGACACAGGTGAAGGCAAAGACGACCTGCCAACGATACGACCGTCCTCGAGGATGCGAACCTGAATTCGTTGCGATTTGTGTCCAATGCTGCTGCGGTCCAGGAGCACCGAGCCATTGTCTGCGCGCCTCATGGGCGCAATGCTCACAGCCTTAAATTCAGGGGCAGCATTGTTGAAGCCGAACTTGACGCCCATGGTTTGGGGCTCGCGCGGCATACGCGAGGTCTGCCAACCATCGTTTCTGACAGCCAGTACCTCGGACCAATATTTCGTCTCGGCGGCGATCTCCTTCTGCAGTCTCTTGGAGGCAGCAAGGGCGGTGTCGGCAGCCTTGTTCAGGTCCATCAAGCGCTTGCCGATGGTGACCAGCTTGTTGTCGGGAATTCGGCTCTGCGTCAGCGGCGTCGGGGCGTCCAGCATGGTAGCGCCAAGAGTACCGATGCCAACTAGTTCTCGCAGACCGGGACTAAAGGTCGTAACGGCCTGGCCTGGATTCTCCTTGGACAGCAAGAGGGAGACGAAGTCGAGGGCATACAAGGTGGTCTGGCGTGTCTGATCTATGACGCGCAGCATCTCGTGCTTGGCGGTGATGATGTCCTTAGCATCGGCCGGCTCGCCCTCGTTGTCAGAGGGAGAGCTCTCCATGTCAACGTCTTCATCCTGGCCGACGCCATTCTTTTCTTCCTCGACCTTGCGCCTGAGTTCGGCTTCATTGAGGACGCGAAACGCATCGGGATTGATTCGTGCGACGAATTCGGCGATGTTCTGGGGGCCGCGTTGCTGCGTGGGAGGAACCTGGAGTATAAACGGCCTGTCGGTCATTGTTTCGATTTGTTGCCGCAGCATCAGTTACCCAACCGTGGGTTGGTTTGACGTTCGGATGGCAGGCGGGCAGGCCAAGGGTCGCCAGGTTCGGTGGTGGTGGCGTGCAAATGATTGGCAGCAGCTCAAACTCCTTTGGGCTGGTCGAACTGGGATGGTTCCTGAAAGCACGTGTTTGGCGACTGGCGGGCTGGGATCCCGCCAATGTGTGGGCACGTCACAGCAACGACCAGATCCCTGTCATATGCCAAGCCTGCCGGCGAGAGCTACCCGCACCTGCCCCCCACCTGAACTCTGGACCCGCGTGGGAGCTGCCCGATGTGGGGTCATGAGATATGGTGGGGCATAGGCAAAGATGTCAAGCTGTTGGGAAGGAACATCAGGTTATCAGTTGTTCATGGGTCTAATACGAACCACTGGATTGGAACAAATGTCAGTCAAGAATGGTAGGAATGGTATTTCGCTTTCATGGGCTTGAAGTATCAGGCTTTGTCATCCCGAGATTCTCGGGGGACGGCTGCTTTGCTGGCACTGAGCTCCCACGACCCCACGACACTCGGCCACGCGCCCGCCGCAAGCAGTCCATCCACGACTCCTGGCTGATGGAGCGTCGGAGAAGCAGCGCAATAGATCATGGAGCTTGCGGCGACTTGGCCGCCGAACTGACAGCGCGCTTCCCGGATGATCCCCACCCCATCCACACGGTTTACATAAGGCGGTATGTCATACAGCGGCGCACTAGGTACGACGTAGGTAACTCCTTGACAGTGAGGCTAGCAAAACCCCTCACTCCGATGCGGAAGCAGCGCCACAACGTTAGCGGCCAGCCATGCCGCATGCCAGCGCGCGGGCAGCAGCAGCAATGGGACTGCAACGTCGCGATGTCGGAGTCCCGACGATGGAGCTGGACGCTGGTTGCTGAGGCAGTCAATCGGTAGCCGGATCCAGCAAAAGAAAACGGTAGAAAAGAAAAAAAAAGACTCCGGTGTTAGACTCGCCTCAGGAGAGGAGTCGAGACGCCTTCGCCGAAATGCGAAATGGCAGAGATGAAGTAATTTTGCTGCGGTGCCCCTCATTGGCGATAAGATAAGAGCTCCTGCCAAGCAAGGTCGATGGTGGTGTTAGGTGCCTGTTGTTTTTGTGCCCTGCTCGTCCGACTCGTGAATTGCATTAAACCTCGACGGACGCCGCTGCCCAGTCGAGGTGTGCTTCCTATTTTCTGCGTCTCACCGGCCTCCAGCGAGGGAGCCCGTACGCAGTACTTAACTCCGGTCACCATTGGCTGCACACGGTCAACACCAACCCTAGTCCATCCCAAGTTCTCACAACCATCGTCTCCACTGTACGCAGACTCGCTGATCGCCTGCTACTCTGTGCCCCGCATTCCGTATGCCATTTCCTAATCTAAGTAACTTGAGCTTTTCCTTTAGGCCCTTCTCTTCCATCGCCCACCACTTCCACGTCCTCATCACTTTCGCCCTCTTTTCTATCCCTATCGGTCTCCTTCTCCTTGCCCCGCGTCGGGCCCGCAACCATCCTCTCTCTTCCTCGTTCCCCTCCGACGCCCAAACTACCGACGACGACAAGGACGACGAAACCGCTTCCAAGATGGCACCCAAGAAGAAGATTGCCATCATGACGTCGGGCGGCGACTCGCCTGGCATGAACGCTGTTGTGCGTGCTTGCGTACGCATGGCCATATACCTGGGCTGCGATCCCTACTGCATCTACGAAGGCTACGAAGGCCTAGTCCGCGGCGGCGACCTAATCCGGAAGATGGAATGGCACGACGTCCGTGGCTGGCTCTCTGAGGGCGGCACCCTGATCGGCACTGCCCGCTGCATGGCCTTCTATGAGCGCGAGGGTCGCCTTGCTGCCGCCAAGAACCTCATTGCCCATGGCATTGATGCCCTCATCATCTGTGGTGGTGACGGCTCTCTCACCGGGGCCGACCGCTTCCGCGCCGAATGGCCCTCGCTGCTCGACGAGCTCGTCGAGAAGGGAGAGTTTACCGAAGAAGAGGTTACTCCGTATAGGCATCTCAATATTGTCGGCCTGGTCGGCTCCATCGACAATGACTTGTCGGGCACAGATGCCACAATTGGCTGCTACTCGGCCCTGCAGAGGATTTGTGCTGCTGTTGACTTGATCGAGGCCACTGCCTCGTCCCATTCTCGTGCTTTCGTCATCGAGGTTATGGGCAGGCACTGTGGTTGGCTCGCTTTGATGGCCGGTGTCGCTACCGGAGCTGATTTCATCTTCATCCCAGAGAAACCTAGGGAGGACAACTGGCGAGAGGAGATGTGCCGCATTGTCGAGAATGTGAGTGTCTCTTCACGTTGTATCATGACAGTGATATGAGATGCTGAATAGTGATCAATGATCATCACAGCACCGGAAACGCGGAAAGCGCAAAACTATTGTCATTATCGCGGAGGGCGCCCTCGACCGAGAAGGCAACAAGATCACTCCCCAGATGGTGAGAGACCTCCTTGCCGATAAGAACGGTCTCGCTATCGACACACGCATCACTACCCTAGGCCATGTCCAGCGCGGTGGCACAGCCGTCGCCTACGACCGGATGCTCGCCACTTTACAGGGCGTTGAAGCCGTCAAAGCCGTGTTGGATGCCACCCCAGAAATGCCAACATGGGTCATTGCTATCACGGAGAACAAGATTGTCAGAAAGCCTCTGATGCAGGCAGTTCAGGACACCAAGAAGGTGGCCGCTGCCATTGAGAGCCAAGATTTTGATCTGGCCATGTCGCTGCGGGATGCAGAGTTCGCCGAGCAATATAGGTCCTTCATGATGACTACGGCTGTCCAGGTGAATAAGGAGATGTTGCTGCCAGAAAAGGATGTAAGTCGTCGTCGTCGTCGTCGTCGTCGTCGTTGTGAAACAGTTCAGAACTGTGTACTTGGCAAAGCATATGCTGATGACGAGCTCCCCAGCGCATGCGTATCGGCTTCATCAATGTTGGCGCTCCCGCTGGCGGCATGAATGCTGCAGTCCGTGCCGGCGTCGCATACTGCTTGTCGCGCGGCCATGAACCGATTGCTATCTACAATGGCTTTGCTGGATTTGCACGGCATCATGATGATCAGCCAGTCGGCTCTGTCCGTCCCTTCGACTGGCTTGAGGTCGATGGCTGGGCTAGCAAAGGTGGCTCGGAGATTGGCACGAACCGTGAACTGCCGAGTGAGTCTGGTATGGAAACTATTGCCAACTTGATCGAGCAGTACAGACTCGATGCACTTTTCCTGATTGGTGGCTTTGAGGCCTTCCACGCTGTCTCGCAGCTGCGCAAGGCTAGAGACCAGTACCCGTCGCTATGCATTCCCATGACCCTGCTTCCGGCTACGATTTCCAATAACGTGCCGGGCACGGAGTACTCGCTCGGCTCGGACACGTGTCTTAATGAGCTTGTCGAGTATTGTGACAAGATCAAACAGTCTGCTTCGGCCACGCGTAGGCGTGTGTTCGTCATCGAAACTCAGGGTGGCCGTTCGGGTTATATTGCCACCCTCGGCGGTCTTGGTGTCGGCGCGTCAGCAGTTTACACTCCTGAGGAGGGTATCACTCTCGATATGCTGGCAACTGACGTTAAGCACCTCAAGGACGTTTTTGCCCATGATAAGGGTCAATCACGGGCTGGTCGGTTGATTCTGATCAACGAGAAGGCATCCAAGGTGTACAATGCGCGGTTGATCGCTGACATCCTGCGCGATGAGGCTCACGGCCGGTTCGAGGCACGCGAGGGTATTCCCGGCCACATGCAACAAGGTGGTGTGCCATCGCCCATGGACCGGTGCCGTGCTGTTCGCCTAGCCATCCGCTGTATCCAGCATCTCGAGCAGTTCGGCCGCGGTGTCCACAACCGCGTCAAGAACGACCCCATGAGTGCCACCGTCATCGGCATCAAGGGCGCCAGCGTTGTCTTCACTCCCATCCAGAAGCTGGAGGAGGAGGAGACTGATTGGCCAAATCGCCGGCCCAAGACCGCTTTCTGGCTGCCCTTGACGGAGATTGTTGATATCCTCTCGGGTCGGCCCAAGCACAAGAAGCCTGAGCCGGAATTGACAGGGCTCAAGGCAAAGGATGTAAAGAGAGGGCTTGACGATCTTTGAGGTTAAGTGAAGACTTAAGACGCGGAGATCGCGGAGAAGGGAAGGGAGAATGGAGTAGAGGGTCTGGACTTGGTTATATCATGTCATGTCTTACTTGTTTGTGTTTGGGCCTGGCCATTCTTTATCGCACATCAGAAGCATCTCCCAACACCTACGTGGTAGTTGTGGACTACTTTGTTCACAAGATAAAAAACATGGGAGCCTACATTCATATCAGTTTAGACTTATGAAGGTCCATATATGGTCAGATTCAAGCTTATTCACTTTTTGGACTGTTCATTCGGGGTTGTCAGTTGCTTCGACCCAGCGTATCCGTACACTGCAGATGGACCAGCTCATCCGGAGCAAGCCGAGAGTTCCAGGTTCAATGCCCCTGATCAGCCCAACGATCTCTAGGACGGCCCAGACCGTCAGCCGTGAGCTTGTTTGCCGCCTTACTGTCATGCGATCTACACAAGATCAGGCGCTCTCATGTCAGGTTGGCTTCAGTTAAACGCAGCGTCGAGACAAGAGGAAAAAAGAGGGAGGGGTGGATGGAGCATTGTGGTTGGCGCCCAACCTTCATCCTGTTGGCAGGTCGCGAGATTGTAGGTACGAGGGTGGCTTAGTGAGCGTTGTCAGCAACCTCTTTTTTAGAATATGTTCATGCATCGAACATCGACCGCTCAATTCTTTTGGGTGAGACTCGGTGTCAAAGCTGGACGAGGTGCCAGCAGAGTTAGCCAGTTAACAATGTATTACCGACTTCCCATAGACGGAAACTCTGACGGTATTTGTCGCCCAGCATGCATTGTCAGCAGGGGTTTTGTGGGCTAATTTTTGCCTGTCCCAGCCAGTCGAGTTGTTTTGCATGTGGGCCAGTGGAATTTTGCCCGCATTTCATGCAGCTCGCGATTGAGCCAAGCTTTTTTTCTGTCGCGACATCGGCAGGGTTCGCGAGCCCCGGGCCAACGGTTTGTGGTTGTTCCCACGGCTGGTTGTAAGCACTAGAGATGCACCTGTGGCTTGGTTTCGCTGCCTGTGAGCTGTGTCTCGGAAGATATTGATGACTGTTGATGCCTGGAGAGTTGGCAAATCACCAATACTAGGTAGCACATTGGGAGGCCCGTTTCTATCTCGGGTCGGTGTTTGAAGGAATGAGGTCGACAAGTTCACAGCGTGTGCCGTCCGGACGGTAAAAGAGAGAAGAGCCTCAAGAACGGAAGCCAAAGCAAAAAGCGGGCCTGGCGGGGGTTCCCGCAAGGGTCTCGACCCACCTACGATCCTGACCACCTCTCCCCCCTGTCACCAGCCGCCAAACCGCGTAGACAGCAATCCAGGCGTCGAAAACCACCTTTTCCAACCCGTTCCTCGTTTCCCCGTTCCGTGTACAACGTGACTGCAACAAGAAGCTTCCTGCATTTAAGATGGCAAGCCAAGATACGTCGGTATTGGCCAGGCAGCCGCAAAGTTGCAGCACGGGGGAAACAGAAGCGAAAAGCATATCGCGAGAGAGAATCATAAAATATGCAAGTTGATATGCTCCCGGTGACTAGACTGCTTGCTGCCGTCAGCAGGATCCCCTGCCTCGTCAGCTCCCGGATGCTGCTTTTCGGTTGGATCAATCCTCTTGTACCTGCTCTTGGCTCATCATCATGAGGACCGGGATTGGGCTCGCCTGTGCTTTTTTTGACTTAAGCTTCGTCCCAAGTGCTGTCGACCTTCACACCATCTTCTTCCCCTTTTCCCTCATCACCAGTCCTTCTTGTTTTGTGATTTTATCCCACCACCCTCCCAGTTCAGTTCCTTGGTTCCCTGGACGAGGGTTCTACTGGCAGGGGCTATCGGTCATTGCTCCGTTCTCAGGAGAAACACACCATCTGGTTCTGTCCTGCCCATTCTTGGCCCTGTGATTGTGCAACAGGAGCACCAGAGAGATCTGGCCTTCTGGGCGACATCATCTCCTGTTGATGCCCGTTCAACAAGCCTAACCTCCCAGCTACGTCGCATTCATGCCTGCTTGGTGACCTCGACACGTTCTCGAAGGTTGGCCCCGACGATACCCTTGACATTTCCTTTGGTTTAGCTCAAGGTTTTTCAATCGCGGCAATATTTGTTCTGAAGTATGGCCTCACTTCTGTGGCGATTATTCCTTCTTGCCGTAAATATCTCCCCGAGCCGTGCAGCAATCGCAGCATGGTGGAACGAGCTTGGACCGCAAGTCATTTTGCAGGACGAAGCAACCGGAGACATTCGCTACAGTGCCTGCAATGCCTATGAGCAAGCTTGGTATTCAACCAACGGCGAGAATTCATTAAAACTCAGTCACAAGCCCAAAAATGGCACACCGTTGGCTGGGGTTGGGTGGTATACCCAAGCCTATACAGTGTATGTGATGGCTTGCCCCCTTGAAATGCTTTTTGTCCAGGAAGAGAACCGTGTCTTGCTGACCGTCAAGCTAGGGCTTCCATATGGTATATTACTGAGTTTGATGAGATTGCTAACACTGTAGTCAACTGCAATAACCGGACTGGTCTCTTTAGGAGTGTGGGCAACTGAGTCGTCAGTCGAGATGCGCCCAGCATCCATTCTAACAGCGGTCTCGCCGCCATTGTTCTCGGCGAATCAGACGGATTCCGCGTTTACTACCACGACAAGGATGGTGCTATCAACGAGCTGAAGTATGATCCTAAAAGAGATGAATGGTCACATAATGGCTTCATCACCAAAGACATCAGCTCCTTGCCAGCCTTGGCCGCCACGTTTACCAGCAAGGAGAACATAACAGTTGTTGCCCCGAGGGATGATAAGACCATCGGCGTAACCAGGTACCAAAAGGATGGAGATTGGCAGAGAAGTATGTCTGCAACGTGCTAGATACCTTACTGTGACAGAGATCTGACAGCTATTAGCAACTTTCCCATACCCGCTTGACAGTGATATTGGCGTCACTCAGGAGACCGACAGAACAAACATCACCGTGGACACTACCGCCGCAGTCAACTTCACTCTTCCTGCCTGGGACGGAGCCCCTCGCGGCATTGGAATCAGCGTCGACAGAGAGCACACCCGTTCAGTTTGGTATATCGGCACCGACAGGGCCCTTCATTCGGCGTACAATGGAGACTGGGTCTGGCACCTTCGCGAGAATCAGACCGAAGAGATTTGGCCCCTGGCCGACAAGCCCAATGCCGAGCTGGCTGTTGCAGAGATCGCCAACAAAAACACTGTCTTCGTGTACTATATCGTCAACGGCAAGCTGGCCGAGATCAAGTACCTCAACGACGCCTGGCAACCATGGAATCACGTTCCCGAGCCACCGCCGATCCCAACGACCACCAATACCGCTCCGGAATCGACAATCACCTTTGCCGGCGACGGTAACAACGGGGACGACGACTCGTCTGGTCTGTCCACAGGCGCCAAAGCCGGAATTGGCGTCGGAGTCTCTCTCGGCGCCATCGCTCTCGGCGCCATCATCGCCGTCCTATTCCTCATCCGCCGCAAGCACAAACAGCAGCAGCAAACCCCGCAGTATACGCCCTTCTCGGAGACCGCCTCAGGCACCCTGGCTCCCGACACGCCCGCACCCGCGTACGGCACACCCTCGACAGCTGTAGTCGCTCCAGACGGGACGGTGTTGAACGGTGACTTCGTGTGGGCTCAAAAGGAAGGAACGTACGGCCTTGCGCCAGAAGTGACCGAGCTCGACGGCCGGGAGCGCAGTGCGGAGCTAGATGCACGGCCCGTGTACGAACTTCCACATCAGCCGTATCCGCATTCTGAGGAACTGCAGGCGCGGGAGCCGAAGCCGAAGCAGCAGTGATATTTGCGTTGGGGATCTAATACACGTTGAATCTCACAGTGGGATTGGTGCCAACGGTGGAATTCTGGAGAGAAAGCTATGCCAGAGGGGGGAACCACAGATCAAGCATACGCTGGTCACGGAGGGGAGTCGGTGCAACAACAGGCATCTCCTGTCTTACAAGAATGTCTCATTTTCTCTCCTTCTGCACAGGTCGTGAACATACGTACATTTCGTGCTTCATACAAAAAGCCGCCGAAGTAGACCTTCAGGGAATCGACAGCCGTTTGTATGACTTTCCCAAGTATGGTCGCATCGGAATGATTGGTATTTGGGTGTTAGATAATTTCGCCTTACCCTTTCTTGTATGTACCTGTTTATGGTAATATATCTTCCTTTTCAAGAAGATGTACCGGAAACTTCTTTTGCAGTTTGTCTGGATGTAAATCTCCAAGCAACAAATGATCATCAAAGGTCCATCTTGATTAGAGTCGATTGAATATGTGGAATTCAAGCCATACATAAGGCGCGGGGAGAACAACACTCTAGCAAGTGTGCTAAACCACTAGTCTCTTCACCAATAAGTAACCTCTAGGTCTCAGGCATATTCCTATATCTCACGGTCCCATATTTAGAAATCTTATACGGCAGAGTTGCTGTAAACAGCCAAACACGAGTAGTACTAGCACATGAAGAAGAGCAAGCGCGCATCATAAGTGAGTGATGCCCAACTCACAGGAACAGTCCAACATTACTGGGCAGCGCTCTGCGGAGCAGAATAGTTCTCCCAAAAATTCCATTGCTTAACCTCCCCTTGGACCAACACCAAATAGGTATGCCAGCTCACGCTCACTCAGCCTTCCGAGTTGTTTCAATGATCCCTCGTCCAGTGCAGCTTCAACCAACTGCCGTTTCTCTTCTTGAAGTGCCAGAATGCGATCTTCGACAGTTTCCTTGACCAAAATACGGTGCACCTGCACATTCCGTTGCTGACCGATGCGGTAAGCGCGGTCAACAGCCTGCATCTCAATGTATGGGTTCCAGAAGGGATCGCAAATAATGATGCGCGAAGCCATCGTCAGGTTCAGACCAGCATTCCCGGCACGAAGAGACACTAACATGACCCTATTGCGCGGGTTTTCGGCGAAGTCCCGTACCACTTCATCACGCTGGTTGCGAGGCATGTCGCCGGTGTAGCGGCAGTAGCGCAGCTTAAGCTTGTACTTGATTTGTACCTCAAGCAGGTCAAGGAGAGAGGTCCATTGCGAAAAGATAATTGTCTTTTCGTCTGTCTCTTGAAACTCCTGGAGGAGACCCATTACCTTTGTGACTTTTGTTGAATCCATCCAATTGTCCCGAAGGTAGTGCATGTAGCGACGTCTGGAGTCTTTGTTCCTGGAAGCCTCGGCTCGAAGCTTCGTCAGCATCTGAGGTTGGATTTCCTCGGCCTTGGCCTTGCCCTTTCCTTTGTCTTTGCGTTTCTGTAGGCTTTTCCCCTTCCCACCTCTTCTTCCCTCCATGGGCTTCCCGTGCCGAGTTTCCTCCTTGATCCTCGCGAATGCTGCGATTTCGGCATCAAGCTTGGCGTCCTCGTCTTCTTCGGCTTCGCTATCATTGATCACATCATCGTCCGCCACAAATCTAGCAAGGTTGCCCTCGTAATCGTCCTCATCGTCCAAAGAATCGCCCTCGAATGAACAACCCGACTCGGAATCGGAACAAGAATCCGCGACTTTATCAACTTCGTTATAAGCGGCGTTTGTTTCCTCTTCTTTTAACATTTCGGGCATGTGAATTTTCCGGAATGCGGCGAGGTTGGTAATCTTTTTGGGATCAACTGGGCCACGGCAAATGGGACACTTGAAGGCCCCATGTTCATTGCCGTACCGGATGTTGCTTTGCGTGGCATCGTCCGAGAGACGAGTAAAACACGCGGGACAGGTGTCATGACCACACGGGGTTAAGAATATCGAATCCGAAACCGCATCGAAGCAAATTGGGCAATCCAAAGCATCGGCAGAGGGGTCCGTAATCCGCTCGGTCTTGATTCGTTCGACCACAGCATCATCCATCCCTTTTGCGACTATCACCATCTGGTCGTTGTCAACAATATCGGCGCTTACAGTTTCGAACTCTGTCAAATGAGGATGGCAGCAAGCCTGACGAAGTCGCAACAGGAGAACAAGAATGTTGCTGTAGTTCTTTCCAACAGTACCTGCGCGGAGATATTTGTTGAATTGGACACGTGACTTCGTTTCGAGCTCGGTGTAGAACTGTCTTTCATCTTCAGAAAACTCCACATTTTCCTCGTGTTCGATTTTGGAGGGAAGTGTCAAGATAGGCTTGCCGTCAATCTGAGAGTTCTTCATCCGTCTGAGCATAATTGCTTTGAGGACAGCTTGGAGTTTACGCATTGAGGTTTCCCTTCTCAAGTTTGTTCCATTCTTGCTGGCGAGGCACCGGAATGCCTGGTCATAAGTTAGTTGGACGTACCCAAATGGCTACTACAGGGATGTAGATGCATACCCCTTGGAACGTTTTGAAGTCATTATATGGCCTGATGCGTAGAAACCGGATCAACGGGTACAGTTCTGCCACCGAGTTCATCATCGGCGTTCCAGTCAAGCACCAACGGTACGTGGCCTGGATCTGGTGCACTGCCCTGGAACTCTGAGTATCCTTGTTCTTGATAAACTGGGCCTCGTCAAGAATGACCCGATAAAATTTACTCTTCGGATGGAGGATGGGACACTTCTTCAGAAGTTCCTGGTCGTAGTCAGGCATATAATTTGGGCAAGTTTGGATTCGCTCCGAGATGTGGTTTTCGTATTGTTTCCATTCCGAGGCAATCAGACCATAAGAGGTGAGAACAACGTCGTAATTCTTGATCTCCGAGTAGGACACCTTTTTCCTCTGGTGAAGGAGAAGAACGCTCATGCTGTGAGATGCCTTCAGCTTTTTCTTCACTTCCTGTTCCCATTGCTTGATCAGGGCAACAGGACCGATGATCAAATTTGTCTACTGCATGTCAGAATGTGTTTAGCTCAGCAACTGTCAGCTCTGCGACACATACCTTGACATTGCGATCCGCAGACTGGCGCGAAGCAATCAACGCCAGGGTTGAAATGGTCTTACCGAGACCCATATCATCTGCCAGAATCCCGCCTTTGTTTGTTCCGTCTTCCATATCTGACATCCATTTGAGGGCTAGCTGTTGATGCGGGTAAAGGGGATACCTCAGGGCTTCAGGGGTTTCTCCACGCTCTTCCTCCGGGATTTCCATGTCATGGCGTATATTCGACAACAGTTGGTGAATCTCTTCTGCTGTTTTCCTGGGATCATTGACATAATCATCGAGGAAACTGAGGAGACGAGAGTCCAGAGGCTTCCCATCTGCATCAAGCATGGTGTTGAAATCGTAGCCCTTAACGCGATTTATGGTTGCTATCAAGCTTGTAGAAGCTCCGTAGCCTTCATAGTCATCTGAGGACTCCCACCAGGATGGCAACCGCGTCCCATTGACCGAGAATTCTGTGTCGTCACGAGCTGAAGAAACTGGTTGGCTTGACATCGCAGAATTCCTGTAAGATTCTTCGTTGGTGAAAGTTCCCGCATAAGCCGAGGTGAGAGGACCCATGGGCTGTGAGGAATGATGGTAATAGGTGTCTGTATTGAAAAAATTCGGCTGGTTTGCTCCAGAACTCTGGTTCTTACCGAAGGTTGAGCGCGGTGATGATTCAGAAGAATAAGCGTCGAATGGCACGTCGGCAACCGTCTTAGGTATCTGCAGATGTTGGCCATTCTCACTAGACTGCGATTGATAGGCGGACAGTGAACTGGCAACCATGCTTCCCCCTTGGTGAGATATAACTTGGCGTCGAGCCCACTCAATGGGTGGGATGTTAGGGTGTTGGGGGTTGAAACCACTTGAGTCCAACGACCTAGCCCCAGTTTGATTTGGCATCATAGACAGCATCGGCGGTGGCAGCCGAGGAAAGGAGGGTAATGCAGGTCGAAATGCGATAGTCGTATGCTGCGTCGAACCGACGCCTGTTGCCCCTCCGTTATTGGGCTGAGAATCCCAATGACGATGGTGCCTGTCACTTCCAAGGGCAGTCTTTGGACTGTCTGGAGTGGCAGCATGAGGGCCGTTTGTGCTTTCTTCCTGTTTGACCTGCACAGTCTCTTGGACTGGTGTTGAACTTTGAACTGGTCTGCCAAGAATCCTACTGAAGGCACTTGCCGAGCCCGATGATGAACCAGATCGAGAAGATATGTCCCGCGATCCAGATTCATTGGCTAGTTGCCACGCAAATGCGGCGTCTCGATCAGCTTCTTCCTTCAGTCGACGCAGACGCGCTTCTTCTTGTGCCTGCCGCTGAATAACTACACGCCACTCAGTTTCATCGTCCCTAAATTGCCGGTCAGTACAACAATGGAGGTGGGGTAGTGATGTCAGTCAAAGAAACAGGGAAAATGTTGATGAACCTAGAAGGCAGCGGCAAGCCCAGGTCAAAAACTCTCATTCATAAAAGCGTGAACGTACCCAGTAAGGTCGAGGATGTCTAAGTCATTAAGTTCAACATCATACCCGAACGGCAAGTCTTCTGGGCTTGGTGTGGTCTTTCTTGACTTGGAAAGACCCCAAGCAAGAGTATCAACATCGAGATTCGAGCTACCAATAGACCGTTTCCGCGAAGGCAGGCGAACATCCGACGGTGCGCCACTCCCAGAAATCGGATGCAGTTGCGACATATTGTTGGAAGACATGGGAAGAAGGCCCTCCAACTCAACTAGTCAAGGATCGAACAAATGAGACATCAGCAAACGAACCTATAACAGCACGTGGATTTGAAGGGGCAAACCTTTTTTGCGGCGAGCCTCAGCGAGCTTGCGTTGGGTCTTCGCAATCTGAGCCACGACAGCTTCACTCTCTTCTTCCCTCGACGCGGACCAAGGTAGCTCTCGCAGAGAGATTAGGACAGTTCGCTGGACGTCCAGGTCGCACTCAAGGTCATCAATCAGAGATAAAAGCTCGCCAACCGAAGAAGGCAAGTTGGTAAAACCTGTTGAGGGGTTTGTTGTAGATTCCGCCATAGCGTGACCGTAGGTAGCCCGAAGCAGGCTGGCCAGTGGCTATGCGCGGCTGATGCAAGAGTTAAGAAAGAACCAGAGAAAACGAGGCGCTGTGGGCAAAATTTGGTTGGGTCACGCTCCAAGGACTGAGAGGTGAATGTAAAAGAGCGCGGCTCCAATCCACAAGGCAGTGAAGGCACCGAGGGGCTGGGACCTGACGCTGGATGTTTGCAGGCCGCAAGCGCTGGTGTCTCTTGCCGAATCAGAGGAACCTGGGCCACTTGACCTACCATGGATAATTCTGAACTACTTCCTTGCTACCCGACCGTCTTCCATCCAATCCAATTTGCTGGCAGATGATAAGGTAGGTGTTTAGCGTGTGTGCAAACTGGTCGTTTGCCTCGGTTGGTATAATGGGATGGGTTGTGCTTTGTCACTCGTATTCTTGCAGGGCAGCAGGTAGTAAACGTCTTAAGGCTACAATTCAGGCGGCGGTGATTGATCGAACCTAAGAACCTGGTTGTCAAAGGTTTGACTTGGAAGTTTGGGGCGACGGAATGGAATTGGGATGGGCTCTTTGGACAGGGTGGTATGTGGACAACCATGGGCTCCAATTCCAGGTTACTCCTCCAAAGATGGCACTTAAAGTACATACAGCTTAGAGGCACATGTGATGCTTCAAATTGGCGAGTGCCCGGGAAATCTGAAAGGCGTTGCGAAGGTCTGACGCTGCCCAATGCTTTCCCGACTTTCTGATTCTGTCACTTGGCAACGAGGCTCTCGGTCCTTGCGGGAAAGGCCCAGGCGCGCTGCGACACGCCTCGCATACGTGGGAGGAGACATCAATTTAAAAGGCTCGCTGTGTAGCGTTTACGCGTCGAGCTGTTCCTGGAATGTGGATCTCAAGAGCGCTCGGGAACCAATCACCAATAGGGAACTATCTAAGGCTTTCCAGGCAACCAACAGAGCCCCAGTGGATTGTTTTGCTGGGACAAGGCTCTCAGACACAGGTACAGATGACCGTTAGGTAAACTGAGAGTGATGTTGCACGAGTTAGGGTTTCACAGGCATGGACGAAGGAATTCCGTTTCTAAAGAATCAAGAATAGGCAGATAGGCGAATATGCGCTTGCTGTTCTTGGGTGCGTAGATATCCTCGATTTCGCAAGGTGGCTATCAGGATCGCTTCCCGAAGGTTGTGTGATCCAATGATAAAAGAACCGTCGAGGGAATGGGAGATACGAACAGATTACTAATGTAATTCTCGAATCCTAAGAAGCCATCCGAATTTGAACACCGAACACGCAAATTACAAGCCGAACAACTTGTATCAATCGAAAACCCGATGGACAGGCCGAACAATACCCAAAAAACGCCTAGTAACACCGTATACACTGAAACACCACAAGCCACCCGAACTCGCCATTTACCCTGCAATACATCACCTCATGCTACAACACACGTTGCCTTTTATTCACGACTCTTCCCGTCTTGCGAGGGCTCGGCCCCCGAGCTATTACTTCTTCCCTGATCAGCCGGACCGGTGACTTTGTCCCACCACGAGCTGACTTTACCTGTAAACCAGTCCCAAAAATCCTTGACGGATGATTCGACCTTGTTGACAAATGACTTGCCATCACCGCTGCTGTTCGTCTCACCGCCTTCTTGAGGTTGAGAGCTGGTCGGTTCTGGTATTGGCGGGTCTACCCCTACCGACTTAATAGTAGTAATAGGGTGCGTGAGTGATTGCGGAGAATCTGACACAACTGGATTGACGAGTATAGTTTTCGTTGTTGTTGGTACATGAGTGGGTGAGACGGAAGGTGGGGAGTTCGAGGCTGAGCGAGTTGTTGCGGGCGGATCTGATGGTGTTTCGGGCTTGGCTGCATCTGGATCGCTGTGCAAGCCAACAGGCCTTAGGGGAAGGCGCAGTGTGCCGTTGTTTGGAGCTGGGACAATACCGACAGAGTCACACAGCAGATTGTAAACCTCAATGTTTTCTAGGAAACAGCGTCAGTTCTACGAACTCTTCGAGACTAAGTCGGGAGATACTCACGGAAAGGGTTGAGTCGACTGTTAGGGGGATGCGGGAAAGCCGGGCCACGAGCAATGAAAATTGCCCTCATTAAGGGATGTTCATGGTCATAACCGTGCAGGCCACGCGGATGGTAGGTTTCACCTTTAGCTTGTGCCTCTTTTACATTCATTTCGTCCATCTTGACAAGGGCCCAGCCGGCTTTGGGTATGATCCATAGTGGTGCAATTCGTTCATTATGTGAAAAATGGTAGCGTTCCGGCATGTTGACGTCCCGAAGGTAGACATCAAGATTTGGGTTATCCTTTGTTTTCTGGATCACCTGGTTGTAGATAGCTTGGAGCTCATTAGGGTTCTTGGGCCGCAGGCCGATCAGCGGCCATCCATCGATGTGGTCAAATTTGCTCAAGTCGACAATGTCTTCGAGCTGTATTAACCGGGACACATCAGTGGTCGCCATCCCATGGTCAGATACCACAATGATGTTGACTATATTAGTCAGATTCCGCTGGTCTAGTCCGAAGAGGAGCCGTTCAAACATTTTGTCCACCTTTCGAAGGGTGGATCGTATCTCAGTGCTGTTCGGACCATACTTGTGCCCATCTGAATCAACATTTGGCACATATGCTGCCACAATTTGTGGTCGATCGGGATCAGGCTTGTCCAAGAATTCCAAAATCCTGTCGGCCTTGGCTAAGAGATCCATTCTGCCGTTATACGGGTCCACATATGTCGGTTCGACACCCTGGATGTGCGACTGGCTGCCCTGCCACATATGTATGGCGGTTTTCAGTCCTTGCTTTTGTGCCGTTACCCAGAATGGCTCTCCTTTCCACCACTTGGGATCGCGACTCCGAGCAGGGTCTGTGTAATAGAACTCCGCTTGCAAGACAGGATCCCAGAAGGTATTTCCCACAATTCCATGAGATTCTGGATAAAGCCCTGTGGCAATTGTGTGATGATTCGGGAAGGTGACGCTGGGGAACGATGGCAGCATATATGGCGGCGAAACCCCAGACTTGACTAAAGCATCAAGGTTCGGTGTTAAGCCTCTCTGCAGGAAATCTGCACGAAACCCATCGAGGCTGATGAGAATGGTGGTGGGAGCAAACAAGGCAGTGCCGTTGCTGACCAAGTTCTGAGATAGTCGTGAGCTCTTAGTTCCAGTTGAGAGCTTCCATGCGACAAGAACCAGGATGGAGAAAGCAACCCCGATAATGGCGTAAACAAGCGCCCAAGCCCGGCACCTGCAGGATCGCCTTGCTTTCAAATCAGCGCGATGCAGCAAGTTCCGCCTGTCTAGTTCGTCGCTGTCTTCACGGTCGCTGCTGGAGCCTGTCTCACTGCCCTCCTTCATCCCGCCCTCCTCCATCTCGTACATCAACTCGCCATCCTCTCCATGCCGCGCATCAGCAAACAATCTGTCCCTCTTAGCTTTCCGTCTTGCTCGCCTAGCCCTTCTCTTTTCGAGGCGCAGATCTTCTGCTGAGTCATGGATGCTGGGGGCAGGTGGTTGTGCAGATGGGCTTCGCGAGCGGTTCCTCACTGTCGAGGCATCACTCAAGCGTCTGGTCAGCAACCTTAAAGGGTTCGGGATGGGCAAGCCAGAACCCCGACGCTCGCGGGCCTGCTCTCTCCGGGCCTCGATCACTAGTTGATCTAGTTCCTCTTCCTCCATCAGGACTAGCCTGTCGTGGGCAAGAAGTTCGCGGCTGTTGCGAGCACGCAGCTGACGTTCGTCATCTTCGCTATCGGTATCTTGGTCGCTGCGGATAGAAACGGCATCGGCATCATATTCGGATGGAGAGAGGAGAAGGGCTGGATCACGACCAACTCCAACTCCAGCAGCAGGGGCAGTTAGTTTCAATGGTTCAAGCGGCATCGTATTAGGCGCATGCGTGTGGCTAGGACACTTCAATTTGCAACTCTCAGGAATGCTTAAGTAAATTGCCAGAAAGCTTGCTGGCAGGTTAGTCCGCCATTGCACAAAAAAAAGGACAGCCGCAATAAAGAGAGAAAGTTGGGTGATAGCGCAGCAATTACAAGCTGGAGGGCATTGCAATGCAACAAGTGATAAGCATGTGCTTTGGTCAAACAGAGCAAGCGCCAAAAAAGCAGGCGCGCACCTCCTGGCTCTGTTCTGCTTACGTAATTAACAAAATAATCAGGGTTAGGGTTATTTCGGACGTTGGTTCAACCCAGCTGATGCTGAACAACCAGGACCGGCCCGGGTATCTGCCATTGAGCATTTCATCTCACAAACAGCTTTGAATTGTAATCAAAAGGCTGTTTTTTTTTTTTCACTGGGCGATGTGTTCACTATGTGGCGCCTGTCTTGGTGGGTTTTGCTCCCAACTCTCAATGGAGAACCACACTCGGGCCAGCTGCCAGCATGCAACTCGTAGAAGTCGTGAGGATACCTTCAACATAAAGGTCAAGTTTTCCTGACTCCAAAGCCTCAAAAAGCCCATTAAATTTACTAGAATTAGCTCATCTGGTATCATTGTCTGTATAAGGATAGGGGAGATAGAGGTCCATGATTTTCTCATGTTCCATCACTGTTTTCCTGAGACCTCACCTTCAGGATAAGAGCCAGTTGGTTCCAGGACTGGCAGTGGCTTCTTCCATAAGTTCTCTTAACATTAGATGTTTGTTGGCTCAAATTCAATTCGATATCATTCACTATATAGAACATTATACATGCTTTTCCATTAGGAAAATTGGGCATCACAAGCACCAATGTCTTTTCCTTGATATGCATGCAAAACTAACATCATAATCAGCACCAGCAATAACCATCATTTTCCTCCCAGATTATTCCCTTCACGTCTTTTCCTCCCTTCCACCGCAAGCTAGGGATTGCTTCATCTACGCGCTCCTCAAAAGTAACAGCTACATCCTCTTGATGCTTGTTACCAACACACTTGCAGCCCAGGGTGATTTCTTCATCCGGATTCCAGACAACCACCCTGCTCAGACCATGTGATGATGCTTCTGCCACTGCTGCCTCCAACAACACAGATATATCATCGACTTGCTGTTCTGTAGTGCTGTTCTGGGGGCATCTGACAATTCGAAGCACCCGCAGACGTTTCTCAGACCAGTCGTGTGCCCAGTATGTCCACGCTCGACCATTTGCAGTGATGGCACCTTTGATGAGTGTGACACTATTCTGACCAGAGGAAGCTACTGAGAGCAACCGCTGCTTCCCAAAATCGAACTCAGCCCGCGCAAGTTGCCAGTCGATCAAGTCGAAGGTAGGAAGGAATGCTACCTTGGTATGTCCATCGGCAGGTAAATTGTTGAATTTTTCAACAAGATTTTGTTGGTCCCTCTCGCAAAGCTCACGAATCTCTTTTACATCATGGAGAGGACGTGTCTTTGAGGAGTCAATAGGCTTGAAACACCGAACAGAATGAGGAATAAGGGTCAATGTTGCCTGGAGGCTGGAGAAGGCGACCCAACCTAAGCCAGCATAGTAGTTTTTGCCACTGTCGATGTACAAAGCGCTGCAGTCGCTGTCTGCATCCATTCGTTCTTGGACACGCTGCAGCAAATAAGCAGCCATGCCCACACGACGATACATCGCGTTGATGTAGATACTAGTGATGCCGTAGCCACTGCCTTCTCTGGCGGAGCTTCCGTTCCCGTCCGAGATCAAAATAGGCTTGCGAATAGTCTCACAGCTGGCGATAATCTGGTTTGGGTCGCCGTCGAGATATAGCACCCACACTTGGCTTTTGCCATCCCGAGTTAGGCCTCTCTGGGACATATATTTCTCTCGCTCAACATAGTGAGACGGGTTCTCATGTGTTGCTGAGGCTTCAGCGCCCAACTCCCACACAAGTTGACGCTGTTGAGAGTTTGCCTCAGCAAAGATAATGTTGGAACTCGTAAAACCCATTGACTGAGCCATTGGATTGCCTGCTGACGCTTGTCGTCTGGTGAGGCGATGTCGGTTTCCGGTGTCTTGAGAGGTCAAGATTTCGAAAGCGATGATTGCAAATAAGATTCAATCATACATAAGAACGGGATGCGACCTTAATCCGGGAGTTGCAAGACAGGGAGTGGGTCAAGGTAAGCAAGCTTGGGCACCCTGATGATAAAAAGGTGCCACGACCTCACCGCTCTCCAGGATTCTCGTAGCCGTAAAAGGTAAAGGATGTTCGGGATGGTAGAAACGTTTATGAATAGATGAAGCTTGAGTGTACTCACGCCTTGAGTGTTCGTTAAAACATGATTTCTTTAGGGCACAGCTCCTAAAACTTGAATGTCCTGAACCGTGAAGAATTGGGATGCTCAACATGGTCAGACATTTTCCGTATTACAGAGAAACTAGCCGCCAGCGGCCGTAGATTACCGCCTGCCGAACATCAAGTCGCTTCAAACGGGGCTCCAAAGCTTGATGCAAGCCCCGATTGGCAGCATGCTGGAGAACATGCCTTATATTGGTAGGGGTACTTGATTTATCGTATGCAGGACGCGGGTAGGGCAGTAAGCTCTGAGAAACAGCTCACATCATGATTTCTGTCAGCTACCTGCACTACATGGGCAGGGAGCAAATGGATCCGATGCTAAGCAAGTAATCTAACTCCACTTGGAGATTGTCGAGCCAACCATTCCCGAACACAGGAAGGGCTAGCGGTCACTTGACCTCAAGGGAAGTGCTGCGGCATTCAACGCTTCAGCTTGGATATCCAGCCATCAAGAGCGGATTCTCCACGTATGACAAGATCAATGATGGATTCTAGACGGTGTACAGATGAAGGAGATTGGAAGCTTCGCAGATTCTGAAAACAGAAGGTTTAAGCAATGAAAACATGCCGCGAACTGTGCTGGATCAACAAGCAACTTTGGCAAGGATCTCTGCAGACGGCCAACAGCCTTGCTGTATGAAGAAAATCCGGGGAAATGGAGACGGCACTTGGCGTCCAGCAGCATCCGGAGCTGTGTGGAGTCTGCGGGTCGCGGACCTCGATTTTTGCATTTTCTTGTTCCGGGGCCAAGCCCCGACCCGTGGACCCTTCGTCTCCGTGTTCAGCCACAGAGACGACGCATGATAAGGCCCACCTGTGGCTAGAGCTATCGGAACCGGGACCAAGGGTTCCGCAAATTTTGGCGAGCCCTGCCAATTACCACGACGCGCACAAAAATTGGTCAAGATATCGGTGAACGGCAGCGACTTGGATTCTTTGACGGCCCCGGGAACAGCATCAAAGGTACGCACGACCCTCCACTACACTGTTCCTAAGAGTCCGCACAGTGGTTTCCCTTTCGAAGTTTTCTTATTTTTTCTTCAAATTTCGCGAACGTGGACAATAGCCGAGTCTCCGATTATCACTGACACATTTTGCCAAATCAGAACGTCGTCACAATGGCAGAGATCAACGTTGAAGCGACTTCGTGGCGCCGGGTCGAGGTTGGCCGTGTGCTGAAGCTCGAGAATGGCAGCCTGGCCGCTATTGTCGAGATTATCGACCACAAGCGCGTACGTGCAACCCAATCCGACAGCCCTGCTTGATCGACAACTATCCGAAGCGTCGCATACAAATTGAAGAGCAAAGAAGAGCAAGAGACTAAAATGCTGGCTGTCTAGGTCCTCGCTGATGGTCCCTCCTCCGACCCTAAGCTCGCCACACCCCGCGGCATCGTCCCCCTCTCCCGGGCCCTCCTCACTCCCATCGTGATCCCTAAGCTTCCCCGCGGCGCGCGGACGGGTGCCGTCAAGAAGGCCTGGGAAGCCTATGGCGTTGATGCCAAGTGGAAGGAAACCAACTGGGCCAAGAAGCAGCTCCAGCAGGAGCGCCGTCAGTCGCTCACCGACTTCGACCGGTTCAAGGTTATGCGTCTGAAGAAGCAAAGGCGGTTCGAGGAGCGCAAGGCTCTGGCCAAGATCAAGGCTGCTGCGTGAATTCGCTGAGACGGGGCTGCGGCTGCTGCGTTAGAGGGCAGAGGGAGCGTTTGGCTGGTTAGGCATGGCTTTTTCTGGGGTGAATCGAGGGTATTCTGGAACGGTCTGCAATAACATCAGCATCCGGGTTTGCTGGGTTTCGTCTTTGCGTCGCTTTCGGAAAACCTGTATGTCACATTTTAAGGTGACCGGCGTCATATGGAAAATGCGGAATCAAGCCAAAAAATGACAACCCCAGATGGGCTAATGCCCATGCTCCAGACGTGGTGCCAAATCACCGTTGCGGTCTGTGAGCTCTCTTAATAGAATACCCCCAAAAGCGTTGTGGCGGCAGTTTCCTCCGATCTACATAACTTTGGGCAACTTGATTCTTAGGACAGGCCCGTAGGTTGTGCACTGTCTGTCCTTTTTTCTTTTTTTGCCTGTAAGCCATGGAAGTTGCAATTAAATGTTCACCCATTGTAAAGGGTCATTGTTGGGGTGCATGTCGATGACGGATCCTAGGCTCCAGTGCCGAAGGCAGAGAGGGGTATGAGCCCATTGATTACCTAATCAGGTCTAGTGTTACCGAAGACCTGCGGAATTGACAAGCCCTATCTGAAAATTGGGTCCGAACATTTCTTCCCACCACGCCAGCGAGCTTATTCTTTACCCCCGCATCTCGAAGTCTAGCGGCACTTCTTACCATCAATGTAAGTAGAATCTAAGCAGCAATTCATGGACGCTCTCTGAAACAAAGCTCTGCTACAAATGAAAAATCTGCAAACGTTTGTGGCAACTTTGGGCGGGGCGGGAGCAATTGTTCTGGATGTGTGGGAGCCGTGGGGAAGCTGACCGAGGCTGTGATCTGCTAGCTCTTCAACATGGCTGAGACGCGCGTCGAGGAAGTCCCTCAGCAGAAGGAGGAGGAGACCAAGAAGGTCACCGTCGAGGAGCAGCACGAGGACTCCTCCAGCGATGAGTCGGAGGGTGAGGCTGGCGAGACTAGCGTCCCCGCTGGTGCCCCCGCGGTTATTCACTCCCGCAATGAGAAGAAGGCTCGCAAGGCCATCGAGAAGCTGCACCTTACTCGGGTGCCGGGCATCACCCGTGTCACCTTCCGCCGCCCTAAGAATGTGAGTGCACTGGCGAAGGAACCTTACTGGCGTCCGACTGCTGCAATTCCTGTGAAAGGGCATGCAAAAGACTGCGCAGCTAATGGGCATGGATAGATTCTCTTTGTGATCAACAACCCCGAAGTGTACAAGTCTCCCAACAGCAACACGTACATGTAAGGTTGCCCTTGAGAAAACAAGGTTGGTGACTTAAAGCACAAGCTGACCACATTACTCGCAGTGTGTTCGGTGAGGCCAAGATTGAGGACCTCAATGCTACTGCTCAGGCCGCTGCTGCCCAGCAGCTTGCCAGTCAGACTGCTGAGCATGACCACACTGGCCACGCTCACGACCACAAGCACGAGGAGACCAAGGAGGAGGAGGAGGACGATGGCGAGGAGATTGACGCGACTGGCATTGAGGACAAGGACATTGAGCTTGTCATGACCCAAGCCAATGTGTCGCGGAAGAAAGCCATCAAGGCCCTGAAAGAAAACGACAACGACATAGTCAACTCGATCATGGCATTGAGCGTCTAATCTCGATCGTGCGCACTTGAGAGAAGCTGTCGGTATCTGACTTGATACGGGACATAGATCCGGTAAATCAAAAGTCTGATTAAACTGTTGTTACCACATGCTCATATCACATGTTCATGGATGAACTCGCCTTTGAATGTAAATTGTAGAAATTCTTATCAGCAATGAGGTGTCTGTAATGAAGCAACAGACCCTACCTAACCTGCTTTGTAGAAGATGTTCGGGGAGCTTTGACCTTCAGGGTTCAACTGATCTTTGGGAACGCGGTTGGGATGGGGTACAGAGAGGCAGACCACTCGCACGAGACGCTGCATGATTTGGGCTTATGGAGAGCTATGCCAGTACCTGTAAAAACTCAAAAAGGGTTTCATTTTAAAGACGCAGTAAACTGAAGAAACATAACTATGAGATGGGATATCTATTGGATGTCTCGAGGAGATTTCCCAAGCAACATTGAACCTGCTTTAGATTAGTGCAGAATTCGTTTCCAGGAGTCCGACCCCATACTTGACGGCTGCCGGTTCGTTCCGGACGCACATCACGTGACCTGATTTCTGGCCGACAGGAAGGTTTGCATGCATCGGCAAACCTCCAAGTCCTGACAGCGACCTCATCTCCACTCGCTGACCTCCTCATAACCACCGCAAAAATGGCCGCAGTAAGTCCCCAGTGTCAATTCATGTTGTATTTTTGATGGGAAGCTGTTCTCGCGCCCATTGAAAGGCTGCGGGTAGTTGGTGCTGCAGGATCCGCGCGTTGATGTACTGAGCTAATTTTGGTGTCTGCTCCTCGTTCCCGAAAAATTGTAGAGAAGCGCAGCTCTCAAGGTCGATTGGGCCAAGATCACGACGTCGCTCGGCCTGCGCGGCCAGACGGCGGCCAGCTTGCAGGCTTTCAAGAAGCGCAATGACGACGTGCGCCGCAAGCTGCAGCAGCTCAAGGAGCTTCCCACTACCGTCGACTTTGCCCACTACCGCCGCGTGCTCAAGAACCAGGCTATCGTCGACGAGATTGAGCGGCGCTTCAACGCCTTCCAGCCGGCGACGTACGATCTTAACCGTCAGCTGAAGGCCATCGAGGCCTTTGAGGTCGAGGCCATCAAGAACGCTGAGGCCACCAAGGAGAAGGTTGATCTGGAGCTCAAGGACCTGGAAAAGACCCTCAAGAACATCGAGGAGGCCAGGCCGTTCGAGGACCTTACCGTCGACGAGGTTGCTGCTGCGGAACCAAGCATCGACGAGAAGACCACCAAGCTCGTCACCAAGGGCCGCTGGTCTGTGCCTGGCTACAAGGTCCGTGTTTACTGCCGTCTTCCTGCGACTTCATGTCAAATTGAGAATGCTAACTCTGCTGATAGGAGAGGTTCGGCGATCTTTCTGTCCTCTAAGCGTTCCGTCCGTTTCCCCCATTTTCTCCTGTACTCTAGTATTGTAGATAACCTGAGCGCTGGGGAGGGGTCAACGATGGAGGGGACAATCTAACACTGTTAACCGACTCTTTCCGGTTCTGAACATATGTCATCCGTTTTGACACGACCATTGCCTTTATCACCCTTCTGTTGCTCCAGTCGATTCATGTTCAATCTAGATTTTATGGCTTTCCTGATGCTAAAGGCAGGCAAGGGGTTGGCTCGCAACTCGAGATTCAATTCTGGAGCAAGTCTGTAGTGAGTGCCAAGTTATATCTGATTACCAACTACGCCCTGCTTGAGCGGAGTAATTGGAGTCGTCATTGGACTGTAGCTGGATTACATTCCTTAGGCATTTTGTTATTGATCGAGTTGCCGTGGAACATTAAGACTACAAAACAAAACCCTTGATTTTCTGTCATGGAACTCACAAGAGGACCCTGATTAAAGCTATATAGGAATATGTGTACGTATAGTTTGCTATATGTGTTTGATTCAAAATCTCCGATCAAACAAAGTTCCAGTCTTGTGTTGCCGGTCGATGTTCTCCGTGTAAAGGTTCAAAATACTGGCATGTCTGCGACTAGGAAGCTCTGGGTCATCTCAAGTACCTCTCTATACCAAACTCACGCGGACTGACTTTCAAGCAAGCTCATCCCTCAGGTGTGTGGAGTATATCTGGAAGAACCCAAGACCAATGGCAACCCTAATTCTAACTTATACAATTTCAGAACAAGTAACACGTTTGAGGCATTCAACGGCTTCATATCTAGTAAAACTGCAGTTGAGTTTAAGCAATCTGTTCCCATCTAAGTCACTGGTAGCATTTTTCCCGATGATCACATCGTTTACACTTTGATTTAGTCGTTTCGCCCAAAAAAAGACAACAGGTACAGGTTACAGGGCTTGGGGAAGTCTGGCGAATACAAATGATAGTCAACTATTCCAGAACTTGCTTAATGACTTCGAAACAGCACGTAGCTACATCAGCTTACCGTGTCAACCAATCCGTGGCAAACTTCAGGCCAGCAGCATAGAGACTGCTTTGTTTACATCAACCCCATAATGGGATAGCTCGTAGAAATGTCGAGCAAAAGTTTCAGGGGAACCCTAACCCTGACTGAGAAACTTTGTGGTGCTTGGCCCCACTAAGCTCTGGTGGCCCAATCGCATGCCTGCGAATCCAAAGATCTGCTCCGAGAGCACCCGAGAGAGCTTGAGTGGAAGCCCCAAAGCTTGACCGTAACTGAATCACTTCTTCTTTGTTAACAGTGAGGCACGCATCAAACAACTAACAAATAAATATTTGCCTGCAAGATGGCCGTGTTTACGAGCAAGAAATACATGTCGCAAGCGCGCTCCAATACGTGGGGCGCGCGCTACCGTTCAGCAATGGCCAAGCATCCCTTTTTGCTCTTCGGGCTCCCCTTCCTCACTGTCATCATTGGCGGCTCATTTGTCCTGACCCCGGCGACAGCCGTCCGATATGAGCGCTACGACCGCAAGGTGCGGCAAATGACGCGCGAGGAGGAGTTGGGTATCGGAAAGAGCGGCAGGAAGGTAGACATTCGTGAGGAATACTACGTATGTTTGTCGTTTGGTGCCGAGCCTTTGCTGGATATATGGTTGGCTAGTGGACGGGCTAACACATCCGACCAGAGACTTGCCTATAAAGATCTTGACAATTGGGAACAAAAACGCGTCAAGCGCTTGCCCGGTGAGCCCGACGGCACCCTCTAAGCGCGCAGACTCGTGGGCATTGTTGCAAAAGGTTGCAACTGCAAAAGAGCAAGTCGCGCCGGGGCTAGCTTCGTGAAACAGCGGAGCTCTTGATTAGTTTGGCCCGATCGTTTGTTGAAAATCTTCGCTTTCGACGTGCTCATGACTCTGTACGGCTGAATCCCCATCATTGTTCTTATCTCGATCTTCATTTTTCGTGCCACAGCTGGGTTTCTGCAGCAGCCAGAGGTCTCAACGAGCAGTCTGCTCTTCAGTGTCTCTGCGCCTTAACCGCCGACGGTTGGCCTACAGGCTCCCTCACACACACTTTTTGCGCCGCCTTTAAGTCCCTGGAAAACGCGGTCGGTCCATCGGCGCTGGGGTTTGGCATCTAACCAAGCAAAGGCTCACAGAACGGGGTATACTGGACATGTGCATGCATGATCCATCTGGAGCCCGATTCGGCACTCGAATTGTTGATCGCGGAGGCAAAATTAGCAAAATACGTCTCATTAACCGATCCAAACAGCCACTTGGCATGGGTCGCACCGAGCCATTCAATCAAGACATCAGAAACTTTGTCCTCCAACACACACCACACGCTTCCCCCAACTGTTCGCAAGCCCTTCCAACGCATTGATGGTGACCGGGGGCCGAAAAGCAAGGGACGCAACAATGTCTGAGACCTTCGCCGAACAACGGCGGGCGGCTGCAGACTTGGGAGATCGGGTATTAGGGATGATGCTGTTGATGGCAACTGAAAGGGATAATCTACACCATCTACTGATCTTAACAGCCCGCGAAAATTGATTGCCTTAGGCCACTGTTATAAAAAACTATAGTGTATGCTATGCTGCTGCTGACATATGCTTCAGAGGTTCCAGGGCACCTAAATTCGAGGCGCAACAGGGACGTTGCTTCAACGCCTATGTAATCATGACCCCGGCAGGGTTTCTTTTCCAACTTAAATACTTGTGTTGAGAAACTACAGCCGCCTGTGCGCTCGAACTCCTGTCATAGGTATCAAAACCGTTCACCGATTATTTCGTGTCTACCTTAACAAGCCATTCTAGTTGTTCGGCTTGACTGTTAAGAATGCTCTTCATTTTTGCTTGCTTCACTCATACTAGGATAAGGGCTCCTTGTTCATTCGGAAACATCCTCCGAAGTCTGACAAGTCTGTCTGGTTTGCACGGACCATCTGGTATGTTTCATGATTCTCCACTGCGGTATGTAGACGCTGGCACATCGGGCTTTTTTCTTGTCAGGACTTGTCAACATACTGTTCCCAAGCTAGGTCATGATTGTACGTAGTTTTCTCCTTACCCTGCAGATATGCTTCTAAGTTCCATAATACATTGTAAGTATCTATTCGTGACGCGACTTCTCACATATTCACGGTAGCAGTCAACACGAACAGCTTCAGGAAACGCTTGCCGTCAGGAGTCATCAAGATAACTAGGCTCGTATTAGCGTGGCCTGGCGAAAGATGCAACCTTGATAGCAACATATGCAATCTAGCCTCTCTTGCAACCACTACATCTGATAATCATCGGGTTGACCCAGCTGATAACTGTCATCAAAATAATGTATACGCCTGACTAATTGTGAAGTAATTGAGCATTCCTGTCTCCAAGTTGTTTGTGTGCGCCCGGGGAGCGTATCGTCGAGTCATTGATAGGACGATTAGGACGATCAGCTTCCCCAGCTGATCCGCGGACAATGTGTCACCTGATGTGGTGAAGCCGTTAGCCGTTACTGGTGATGCTACTTGAGAGCAACCAATATGGTAGGACATAGGGCGATCAAAAGATAATGAATGGCCTGGCCGCGTTTGTAACGGTCACGTCGATGGAGACACCCCTGATCATTGGTGGCGATGATGCACAGACATGATGCGAAGATCGGTACTTGCGAGAAGGCTCTATGACTATCTCGTAAGTTTTATGTTGCTGACGTAGGTTCAATGAGATGATGAGATGATGAAATGACAGTATAAGGTTGCTGAATGCGACAGAAACCCTCCAAGGGCTAGGTGACTCGGTGGCCTTCAATCACTGACGTCAATAACTCCGCGTGGTTCTGGAGTTAGGCGTAGCAGGTACTTAGGTAGGGTTCATCTAGAGTGTTCCTCAACTATCTTTCATGAGGTGATTCCATTGTTCCTGAACCGCTGAATCAACCACACTCTCGCTCAAGCACATCCAAACTCCACTATGTCCACAGATATACCCCCGTGTCATCAACCTACTGCTAGTGTATCCATAGTGCAAACCAGACGCCGACCTCTGAAGAGTCCACCAACACACTTGACTGGACTGGGGGAGAGGTTTATCGTAATATTGCGGCTGGTGAACGCGCTGTTCAGTCCAATCAAGAGCGTTAATGAAGAATTTTCTGCCAACCCATAGGTACCTACCTAAGTATGGTGTGACTCTAGGAGACGTCAAACTTTGGGAGCAAGCGAGCAGTTGAGACGAGAGCGGTCTGTTTGCACAGCATTCAAGTACATGCAGCACGCTTGTATATGCTGCCTGACTTCGTATATTCGGTGGGTGCATACGGACTTTCGTAGCATGGCACTTGGGCGCATTGCAGGGAACGGTGTACATGTAGGTATGTTCAGCAACAGATGCGGCTTGTGCTCCGTCTTTTTCCACTAACAGACGAGGTGCGGTGTGGTGGGGGGGTTTGGTTTGCAGTTACCTACTGATCTCTCCACCATGCCGACTCCCACATACATAGGCGGTGAGTAGCAGATAAAAACCGCTTGCTACAGCAGGCGCATCATCCCCCAACTTTCGAGTTCGCGACCTTTAGCTACAAGGTACCAAGATGCTCAACTCATTCGAAGTCTTCGACACTTGTACTGTGTAGCTATGGCACCGAGATATCGCGAATAGGCACTTTGGCTCTTCCGTGATTCCTTGATTCGTGATCCATGCCAATTATCCCTAGTTGGTATCCTACATAGTGTATACTTCTTTGGGCATGTCAAAGTTAGTTTGGTACTTCTCACCACCCTTGAACCAGAGTCGGTGATGTACAGGCACAATCAAGACCCATATCAATTTAGGTGAACAAGTCACTTTACTTCTCTCTAGGAAGAAGCTCCAAAACAGCTGGTCCTTAGAAGCAAACAACAAACCGATATTAATACACTCTGTGATAGTCAAGAACAGGGTTTTTAGTTGACTGGACCTTTTGCGAACCGACTTATTTCAGGTTGGGGTTAATAGCTGGTCTGCATTCTCGCTCCCCAAGCGAGCACAGTCGGCAACGAGAGGACGTGAGTTGACATGGGTGGCGAGCCGCGAATGCCCGCGGCAGAAAACCCATGTAAATCCTGGTTGGACTTGCCGATCCGCACCCTACCCCAGTGACCCAGACATTGAACGAGCGGGGACGGCTCCGTCCAGCTATCACAACGATGACGTCGGCGTGTGTTTGGCTGTGGTGCGGGTTCCCACTGCATAAAACACCCGTTTTCACAGTGCGTTGATGCCATTCAAATAGGCAAGTACTTGTAGGAGACAATTCTCATTTGGCTTTATTGGATGAGACAAATTAGTCTCTTACGCCCTCAGAGAGGCTTCGGGCGTGGTTGTTGACTGCTACCGATGGTTATGCAATCTTCAATATTTTAGCGACAGGCGACGGCTCTCCGATGTGTGCGTTGTGCTGGCACCAGCGCAGGCGATCGTGGCTTTTTCAAAGCGACAAGCAAGCCCATCCTACGTTATCGGTGGACGGCTGAGCTTTCGACTTCGGTGATCGTCCTTTTTGCACGCCCCGCTTGATGAGCGCTGGTGGGACGTCTCAAGTGGAGCACAACAGCCAGTCTTGGCCGGGCTTGGCGATTAGGGCTCCCCTCATTGCCCCGCTCCTACTGACCCCTGCCCCTGTTTTCACAGGCCTTGGCAGATATGGTGTGCAGCTGGGAAACATGTGGCCGCCAGACCACAGCCCAGCTCTTCAGAGCTTTCCGTTCTGAGACGGCTGCAGCCATGGATGCGCCTCCAGGGCTGCAAGGTACCACACCGTCTTGGTCATTGCACTATGGACACGCCAGATCGGCGTACACCGCCGTCTTGTAGCCAAGAGCGCCGATGATGTTTATATATTCCAACGTTGTCCCCTCGCTGTCCGAAGCAGGCCTTGTTTTTAGCCTTCTGTATGGCTCTCCTACCTGGAGTGCTAAGTAGGTTTTCAGCCGAGTAATGCTGGGGTCCGATAAAGCCTGTCGTCGACAAAGACGTGCAAACGGGAGAGCCAACAATTGAAAGCAACGCAATCTTAAATAACGATTGACCGCTGCCGCCTGCAAACCGAGCTTGACCGTACCCATTTGCTTGGAACCGAGAAACCTGCTTCCTCCGTGGCTCGGCTGCTCGAAGTCCGACGTCTAACACAAGACACAATGTTGTGCGGAATCCAGAGCTCCCATAACCATCACCACCACCCACGCCGCTATTTCCTGCAACGATTCAGGAGCCACAAGAGCCTGAAGGCCTGCGCCGACTGCGACTATCCAGGCGCCGCTAGAGTCATCAGAAAGCATACAGACTCTGACCCAAACTCTCTGGCCAGTCCGCGGCCCTCTACCACCAGCCGGCGATCCGAGATGTTTGTCGACTGGGATCCCTTGCGATTACATCCACCCACCACTCCAGGTCCGTCTCCACCACTTCAGCCTGAGGAGTTTGCTAGCAGGAGACATCACTGCCACCACAGCAACGATGAGCTTCGCCATGTCCATTCCAACCGAGCACTCCGTCCGAGAACATACACCTCACCATCATCCGGCAACACAGTAATCTATGACGGTTTTGACTTTGGTTTCACCTCTCAACCCCAGCAACACCCTTCGATCCCAACCATTCTCAAAACTCCTCCTTCAAGAGGTCGAGCCCCTTCACCAGCTCCAAGTGACATCAGCAGTGGAAGCAGTTTCCGACGACCCTCATCCTCGCTGACCTCGTTGTCGTCTGTTTCCTCGACGTTACCCTCCTCAGAAGACGAGGAGGAGATGATTCTCAAGGTTGGTGGGCTGGCCCCGGCGCCACAATCGTGGACCCGACCTCGCCCACGGCCGAAGGTCCAGCATGAAGATGATGGTTTCGATGAGAGCGGAGAGTTCTACCGCCGGGGCGGATGGAAGAGACGAGGGATCGTCTTTGTAAATCCGGACGTTGACCTATCCGGAACGGGGCAATTCATGATCTAATCACTCTTTTGACGTTGCCTCTTTCCTTATCACGTTCGTTTCATTTGTCTTATTTCCACTACCACCTTGTAATCATCTTTGGCCGATATGTGAGATGCCGGACGTGTAACAGAAGGAATTGGCATTGCATTGATGGCGTTGGATATGCATGGACTGCAATATTGGATGGGTATACATACTGGCATAATGGGCACAAAAAGCTAGGGTCTTGGGATCTGAGGAACATGCTATAGGGTCATGACCATCAGGGCGGTATGCATTTTGCGGAACTTAAGGGATTACTTGTCAAACATCAAGAGAGTCAGTCATTTGTTGATCGTCTGCACAACACACCCAAAATACCATGGACGGGGACATCTTATCATGCCATTACGGCAGGCAAAAATACAACCTCTCTTGTAGTCGCTTCCGATATGACCGCTATCTCATGCTGATAATCCGGATGCTCAGACGTAGGTAGTGTGTATCGTGTTGATCAGAACCCCTCCTCTGCCGTGCGAAGCCATCATCTTTCAACATATAAACGGAACCTTTCTGAGAAAAGATCGGGACAATACGCCAGTGCCAAACTGTACAACCCGATTTGTACGGAGAACTTCGTATGCAGCCGGAATCAATTGATAAGGCATCCTTCTGTTGTATGTACCTGGCTGCCCCGAAGCAAAGCTGCCCAAAAAGTTGGGCAGTGTTGGACATAGTGATGTTTTCACTGAAAATGCCTCTTTTGAATTTTACTGCGCTCGAGGCTCCGCCATGCTGCCGGACTGCGGCAATGCTGCATGGCGCTAAAATCGCAACCTCAAAGGCAGAGGTATGTACAAAGCACGTATCAACAGTCGCAACTGGTAACTTAGGAGGTGCTGCCGCGTGGACGATGCGAGCGATGCCTTCTAGGAAAATCTCGCATCTACAACCCCAACCCACCAGTGGCCCCACACCGTCAGCTCCACAGCGCCGTTCCAAAGCCTCTCAGCCCATCCACGAAAACCGCCCTTTTTTGGTATCCAGTTCTGGTCAGCCCGGCTGTGGACCCCTGTCGAGCTTAAGAGCTTGATCTGTGTATGAAAGGCCCATCCCCATCCGATGGAGGCAAGGGACACAAGAATTTAGGCTGCGCAACCACGGCGCAGCAGGACCAACACCAGCTCACCAAGACAGCCACACAACAGCTTGCGACACCAAAGGAGGGTCAAATGATTTTTGGGCCTGTGACTACTTCGCTCTTTGGAAGCAGGAGGCGCGAAACCGGTGTCGATTCCGTTTTTTTTTTGACAAATCTAAACCTTTGACAGATTGATGAGTTCCTGTCCTTCGTGTGTTACTATGATATCTGCGCCACCTGAATGTGACAGGATACGCGGTCTTCAAGGTTCTATCAGGCGTTCTCCTGCAGAGACAAGTGCTGAAATATATCGAGGGAAGAAGCAAGGCAAAGTTTGTTCGTACAACGGAGATCTCCCATCCATGATCGATCAGCACCCTCAAAGGGGTGACACAACTTTACCGTCCAACTATATTGTTCATCTTCTAAGCTCATGAGTGTGAACTTTAACCGTTTCAGGCGCTTGATCTTGATAACAAGAAAAAGAAAGAAAGGATGGCCCAAGTATAACAATAAGCCGCCACCACGCTTTAAGTGCACATGACTAGGCCATACAAGTCATAACTCTGGGTCACACGAATCAATACGTTGCCAAAGCAGCTCAGTACGCCCCCTTTCTGGGAGCCCATCCCGGCGCTTGTACCACGCTCACTGTAAAACGCGAAGTGGCCACCGGAGTGCGAGCCCACAGGTCCAGAGAAGAAATATGTGCACCGCCCGCATTGAGAGCCCAGAGCAAGATGCCGATGGTGTTGTTCCCTCGATAATTGAGAATACCCTCGGGCACAGGAAAAGTAGTTTGCGGACCGATGTAAGAGATATATCGACCGAATTCTAAATATTTGGACCAAGACAGAAGGAGGTTAGTAAGCATCACAGCCGCTTAGTTTTCCGACAAGCAAAAATATGAAAGCCATTCTGAGAATTTAGTGTGATGAGGTACCTTGCTAGGACGAGCGTTCTTCCTGCTTGTCTCATATGCTTCTGTATTTGTAAAGGAGAAAATATCGATTAATTAAAAGGAAGGAAACGAGACATATGGGAGGTCACAATGACTTACGCCACCCGTTGACAAACAATAGTGCGCGATAACCCCCAGCTAGGTTGGAATCTATCGGGGGGAACTCGAAGTTCAGTGGAATATCCCATTTGTCAGATGGTAAGTCCAACTTGAACTCGGCCGTGTAGAACGCTACTCCGGGCTTGTCAATGCCTTGAAATGGCGATCCAGGCAGAAATTCGTTCCTCGGCGGACCAGGCAAGTGGAAACCCTGCCTTTCAGCATAGAATCCGCCCTCGTTGAGTGGCCCCCGCGCTTTATCAGCATATCTCTCACCCCCGAGATTTCCAGTTACCTTCCACAAGATCTCCGGACCGTCGCCGGCCCAGGTAACAAAGTTGTACGCCATAATACCCCGTGGCTGCTTCATGTCATCGCCGCCAACAAGCCCATTTAATGCAAGACCCATGTTATCGACGACAACGGTCAAAATGTATGTCTCCCCTTTCCGCAACCCCGCAATGGGGTAGGTGTCATCATGGGCAGCTGTGTTGTTATTCCAATCTACTTTCCCTGGCCAGCTGCCCACAAAGGTGCTGTTGAGCCAGACGGACGACGCAAAAACAGTGCCACCTTGGGTTACGATCCGGAACGCTGTTTCAGTTCCCTTGGCGATGAACCTTCCACGGAAGATCAAGGCACCGGAATGGAATCCATAGTCGGAGCCATATAACGAGGTTGGTGTGAGTGGGGGCTGTCGAAACGTGTTGTTGGTCGTGACGTTTGCCTGCGGCCAGGCAGAGTCATCGTACCATGGCTGAATTTCTGGAAGAGAGTCGATGTATCTCCAGTCAAGCTTTGTCAAGTCGGGTAGTTCAATGGAAGGCGGCGAATAGGCAAAAGTTGTTTCCCAGTTGCCAAGCTCGTTGATTGAATGGGAATCGATATCTGCCGAGTTAATCGTCACTTTCGTTATTGTTTCTGGGATGCCAATGATCTCAACATCCGTAGTGGCGTTGAAATCGGCTCGAATATTGAGCTTGTTGCCTTCGGATATACTAGCTGAGCGCACCAGATAGGGACCGTTGACGATCAAAGGTGGATAGTCTTTGAGTTTGGTAACCCAATAATTATACACAGCATTGCGGTCTAAACATAAGTGCTCAGTAGGAGTAGGTGGTAAAGCTGTGAGATATGAAAACTTACCAACAAAGTATAAATGAAGTTTGCCAGCCTTGAGGTATAAGCGTTCGGTTCCGCTCACCATCCATTTGGCGTATAGCAGCTGACCATCTGGATTGACGTGAACTCCAGGACTGAATACAATATCAACATCGTTTTTGTCCTTCACATCCCGCTCAATTAACACTTCATGAGTTTCGTCAGCATTCCCATACAAGATCACCACAGTGCGGGATTCGTATTGCTGCCAGGTAAAGATCTCGGCGGTGCAGTAGGTAAGGTTCGCTGGTCCGACCGGGTAATCTGTCACATAGATCTTGGAGTCGCGCCCAGAAAGCGTCAATTGTTGAGAATCATAAACAGGAATTGTTTTGTATCCCCAGGATGTTGGGAGCGTAATGTTAAAGGATAGCGGCCAGTCGCTCCTAAAGTTGGCATGTCGAACAACGTAAAAGCTCCCATCTTTGCCTGTGATATTAGTGACGGCAATCCTGGAGTCGGGAATAAACACTCCTTGTGTATAATTAGGCGATGGGGTTGCTGAAAGATATCCGGGAGAGACCTTGAGGAAGTTGGCAAACAGCTTGAGTTCTGAGTATTTTCTTCTGGTGATTGTCCGGTCCTCTGCAATTGCCTATGATTGTAAGCGTGGAAAACCCCCAACCGAGAGGAATGTACTCTTACAGCAGCATAGTCATATGAGGTGTATCCACTGTCGTAGCCCAAATTTCCCCAGTTTGTCCCACCAAACATCTGCAGTGTTGTAAGCATGGCGACCGTTGAAAAACTGGTTGTTCTCTCAAGTGCTATCCGTTGTTAAAAGAGATGCATACCATGTAGATGTTGAGGATTGTCACCCCGGAAGCAAAGGCGTTCTTTAAGAGTATCCTAAGGGAGTCGTCATTCATCCTCTGAGCACACCTCGAAAATCCCGGTCCTCCCCAGTAGTCAACGATCCCGCCCTGAGAGCAACGAATTAGCCATCTTCATCTGGATGCAGGATCTTATCAAGTCTAACCTGAAACTGTTCAGTATTAGCATTTACCCATGCATGGAGCTTGGACAAAATTCTTGGTTTCCACTTACTTCCGGGATCGCATGTGGCGTTGACGGACTGACTTTCTCATGCAGCCGGTATGATCCATCAGGCAGAGACGCATTGTTCCATTCCAGATCATTACAAGAATCTTTAAATGGATTCTCGCTGTGACCGTAGATATCTACTTGGCCGACTCCCGTACCAGGGGCATTATGTCCAGCTGTCCAGATGTCATTGTTGATGAACGGGACCACGACACCCGCATTTCTTGCTTGGTTTTCCACATATTGCATGTAACCTGGATCTGGAAACTGGAAACCAATGCTCTCCCTTGCTACACTTTGCAATGTCAGTCCACGTTGGGTACTTTCATCTATGGGTTTTTCTCCAGTCCTACCTGTATCCATCTTCTGGCTGGTACAAAACTACACGACCACCGATTGCCAGCTGATTCTTAGCAATGATAGAAGCGATATTAGAGGCGTAGCTAACCGGCACCGGTATCTCTTAGTGAATCTTCAAAATAGACAGAAAGGTTTGGTACCAGCTTACTTGTTTGTAGCTGCCAGGTAATCCCAATCTGCAGTCCTCACATGCCCAACCAGCCTTTGCAACCAACCTGGCAACCCTCCACCTGAAACTGCTGCATCTGAAAGCTCCGAAGTCAGTCGGCCTGGATTGCTTTGTCGTATCCCGTTTTGATCACAATAACAATCAAGACCAGGGGAATGCAGCAGATCAAGAACTTACGGATATATGGTCCAGGTCTGGCAATAACCCATAAGCCGAGTTCCTTAGCAGCCTTGAAAAAGTCCGAGAGGTCAAACACACCGTCGGCGCGAAACACTCCAGGCTGTCCTTCGTACAAGCACCAAGGCACCTGGAAGGAAACCGTGTTGAGCCCTGCGGCGGCCATTTTCTCAAGCACATCGAGCCATAGTGATGGGACTGGCAGTCGGAAGGGATGAAATTCGCCAGAAAATAGTATCTCACGGGATCCTGTGATTACCAATGATCTGTTATCCCAGCTGATAACGGGGATTTGTGGGGAACGGTTGAGGAGGATATTCCTTCTAGAAAAACTCGTAGATGCACCATGAAGAATAGAAGAGAGCCTTGAGAAAAGCTTGACAATTCCATTGGCAGAATTGTTACTTGCTTCTGCCCCAGTTCTTGAGTAAGGTGATTGAGCAGGGTTGACTGCAGCTAGGGCTCTTGCAAAGTTGAGTACAGCAAGGACCGGGACCAAGAGAGTAAATTGGAGCCTCATTGAGACATGTAAGATTAATTAGATGTATAACAATACCCAAGAGTCAACTCGGAGACATGGGGATATACATCGATATTCGAGGAAAACATGCATGAGGGGCTAGGGAGATATGTTGACTTAACTATTGGGGCCATGAAAATTGGGAGACGCTAACCTGCCGCTTATTGTGTACAAGGGCTTCTTGTATGACTACCTATGCTGCCTATAATACTAGACGATGGAGATGCGATTCATGGACACAAGCATTGTGATACTCGTCCAGTCCACACTATAATCATCTTAGAAAAGGACTTTGAGCAGAGTTTGTGCACACCGAAGAAAAAGTACACTCCACTCTATCAAATACTTGTACATATATGCACGCCATTTAGCCGCCTTGAACTTTTTTTTCTCCCGCAGCCCCAGGGTGCTTGAGTAATGGATGATAATGCTGTTTTAATTCTATATTGTATGGGATAAAACTACAAAATTTCATCTTTGAGAGCTGAGAGACATTGAATCCAAGCCACGAAGCAACCATCTATATAATACATACCAAACTTTGTTGCAAAACTGACTGATCAATCTCAAGCTCTGGTGCCGCCATCTCTTTCATTGTTGCCCTGCCACCCCCAGTCATCTCGCTGCCAAACACCGAGGAACCCATACACTGTATGTCGTGGAACTCCTCAGTTCAAATGTGGGACAACCGACTTGTGGAACCAAGACTCCAAGATCCAACGCCATCAACCCACATTAAAAACGTCTTGATCTGAATAAGGGTTGAAATCCAAAGTCACAGTTCTATGTAGTCAAAAAGATTAGAAGATCAGTAAATAGTGTATGGGCCGTGAAAAGATCTGTAAACATGAAGAAAAGCGACCTATGTGATTAAATGAACCAAGGCTTGGGCAGCAGTCCGACTCTCGGTATGGAAGCGAACAATGAAGAAAGGACTAAAGACTTGCGCCTTGAGAAAGAGCCTGCAACACGTACACCATATTCTTGTACTCGCTCTGATTGAATGTCTATTACTGTCATGAGGCGTGTCAGGAGGGACTGGAACCACACATGGCGGTCAGGTCTCGACTGTTCGGGTCCGATGGTCGTCTAACCGCGAGCAGATGCAGCAGGATTAGTGAGACATGAAAATATCGGCAGACAAGCTGTTTCCAGTTGTTGCCCGTCTGGCATCACCTGTCGGTTGCAAGTTCTCTCCTTTAGTAACCATAACTGATATGGTCGATGGTACTTAATAGGTGTTGCCAAATAGCTTTCGAGGTCTGGATCTGTAGGACATGACCAAAGCAGTGAGGCAGCAGTGTCAGAACAAGGCACGGCAGATGCGGTTGCTAGCTGTCTGACAAAAACACCAATCTCACCCGTCCACAAAATAAAGCAGGGCCTTGGTTATCCCCATTGCACAGCAGCTTCCAAGGTGCCCATAGTCATTCTGACTGTCGGCCGGACCACTTTCAAACACGCCATTGACTGTGATCAAACCTTGGGGCTAAATTTTGTGATCTGTAATCAGAACTGCGATGTCACAAAAAGCATTTGAATTAGAATAAAGTATATTTCTGTGTCCGAATTACCTATCAGGTGGTGTCTCTTCAGCAGCAGCGTGATTGTTGTCGAAGGAATAAGATTTATTAGATGCTGTAATATTATCAACTTCATTAGCGAACCAGGAACATGTCAATACATTATTAAGTTGAAAAGTGTGTGCAAATTATAATTCTCCTATCGCCTGTTGATGAGGGCAGACCAAAGATCGTGATATGTCTGTTGGTGGTTGGCTGATCTCGACCTTGGAAAGGTTCTTGGCATTTTGCACGCCCAGTTATCGTGTGCTGGTTCCAGAGATCTGGGGCTGATGCCAAGGAAGCCTGGCGACGGTGGGGCTCACCGTTTGCCTAGAAAGGCTGACCAATCGGAGCAGTCATAGCCTCAGCTTCAGCGCTGCAAGGTTGGCAGGTGGAGATTCAAAGTGGGCCCAAAGCCCGCCAGAGCGACATCATCTCATCGCCGTCGCTACAGTCTACGTCGAAAAGAACAGCAAAAGGACCAAGATCTACACTCGTTAAACTCACATATGAGCTCTGTGTGGACAGGAATAGTCGCAAAGATGTTTCGTTTTGTATGTACTACTTTCAGTTGGACTATTGCTAAAGGTGAATGAGAACATTAAATTAATTAAATTGGGCAGCATAAACCGCTCGACGTCATCACCCTCTTCCACAAGGCCAGCTCGCCTACGTCGGTCAGGCTGGCTGCTGTTCTTCAGCAGAGATCAGCTGCTGCAACAGAGGCATCGACTGAGGACAAGCCTGGAAGGCCCGAGTTTAAGCTTGAGATTACCGAGAACCCGCCGACTCCGGAACAGCTGCAGACAATCCTCGAGTATGCGGGCTCGAAGCGTATCTCAACTATTGTTCGCGGTGCCACCAACCAAGCAGAAGCATTGAGGAAGTTTAAGGAGAGCCCTGACAACTTTATCCGGCCTGTGGTATGTACTCACCCTGTTTCATTGACCTCTGATAGAAGCTGACAAGCGACTCTCTAGGTGGTAGACTGGAACAATGGCCAGGCCAGGGCTGGCGAAAACGAGTCTGAGATTCTCAAGATGCTCGACTCGGTACGCAACTAAGTGCAGAATAGAAGCAACCATCCCTTAGCCTTTATCCTCTGCCATCTCCTCTCCACTATGCTTTTGTTTAATTGTTGTACATACCCTTCATACATATGCTTTCATGCCTGAGTGGGTCAATCAACAAGGCATCTGAAGGGCGTGTCTAATTTGTCACATATGTGTACTTTGATGAACACAACCAAAATTGCAATTGGAAGTCAAGGTTAAGTCGGAAATAAACTTTGAAGGGTATGCGTGGGGAATGGTTGGCGGGGCGATCTGTTTTGTGCCATGGGTTCTATTCAACTCGTCGTCTTCCTATTGTTGCCCACTGCTTTTCTGCCTTCTTTCTGCACCACAATAACCAGAAATTGACAATATTTGTTTCCTAATCACCAATTTATTTCCCTCTCTTCCAGCCTACGAGATTCTCACCCTTTTGCCACCACACGTCTTCCCACCGACCAACCCTCTACTTCAACTTGCACTAGAACAATCCATAACTCATTCACTAAGCCGTGTGCTTTTGGGCTTGTCTTGTAACTGCTCTTGGTTCATCGACTGCCCTTTTACGACTTACTAACTGCCGACATTTTGTCTTAACTCTTTCCCCTTGACCTGGGCTCAAGAGAAAAAGCAATTCTGTTTTTGCAGTTGCCAGCCAAGGTACCTTGATACGACGACTTCTCTTCATCGCAAACAAAAGTTAGTTGGACTAGTCACCCTTCTTTGCGGGGCACTCTAGACTAACCGTCCTCCTACAAGTTTGACCGATCGATCATCAAGATGGCTGCCCCCATTCTTACGCCGGGCCAGGCCTATGGTGAGCCTGTCTGTCGTCCCAAGCTGCAGGGCAGGCCTCCTCTTGCCTTCTATTTGTTTCCTCCGGCAGATGGAGAGTGTCTTTTTACTTTGAGCGACGAGATCAAGGCCCCTCGTGTATTTGATCGCAAAAAAAATCCGATTCTCCCTCTCGATATTCCGACCTGGAGCCCCCTCGAGATCCAGCTCGAGGCAAACAAGATTCGCACCAAGCATCCCCATCTTGCTCGTCTCGTTCAGTGGCCCAGCTCCTGGCACTATCTTTACAAGTACTTCGACTCTGTTGACCTCTGGACCAAGGGAGCCTGGAATCTGCTTGCTCTTCTCGAGCATCTTGCCGAAGAGAACGAAAAGGCCGACAAGGAGGCCGGTTACGTTTACGAGGACAGCGCAAAGTCGACCAATTTTGATGTTGTCGATGACTGGGTTTGGAAATGGTGCTCTTGGGAAGAGAACCGCGATCTTCTGAGCACTTGGGATCGCCGCACCGACATCCTGAACCTTCTCAATGCCGCCCATTGGACAAGCATCGGGCCCATCTCCCCCGAAGACAAGGACAAATTGCGTAACTGCCTGCTCTACTGGCATGCCATGTATTTCAGCCATGATCCGCGCTCTCTTCCCGCCGACTATCTGGATAACCTTCCTCAGCTCGACAGAAATGGCGACGATATCACGGGCACTACACCCACTACTGCTGCACCGGCTCAGACAGTGAATGGTGAGTACTTTTTGCTGCGTTTTTATCCGCTTAGTTCCACTTATTCATTTGATCAACATTGCAAACAGTGACAGACAAATCGTCCGATGCCGAAACTGCCGTTCCTGAACCTACTGTTTCTTCTATCGCCAATGATGATGCTTCGAATTTGGCTGTCATCCCTACCACGGATTCTGCGGCCGAGGACGGTCAGACTACTCAGCAGGCGGTCATCATTGCGCCTCGTTCTGATATCGTCATTGTCAACGGAAGCAACTACAAGAAGTCAGTTGGTGCGTCCGCGCTTGCCTCTATGCGGAACTCGGCCTCTCCTGAGGCCCGAATCGGTCATCGCGCTTCCAAGTCCGGCCCTGTTCCTACCGATCGCTCTCTGGCGACCCAAGCCGCCAGCATCATGGCTCCTGGACCTTCCCGTCTCCCTATTCGTCACCAGCAGCCACATCAATCTGAGAAGCACGCCCAGCGGGCGGAGAAATCGCAGGCACAGTCCCCTCAAAAGTCCGTCATGGCCACACCACCCATGGGGCCCTCCAACATCAACATGCATCGTGGGGCAGATTTGATCCAGCAGCGTTGCTCTAACGCCCATAAGAGGCAGAGCGACACAGAAGTCTACCTCGCCTGCGACTGCAACCGGTGCATGACGGCTTCTCGCTCGATCCATGTGCGGCGCATCTCTTCAGGATCAAGCAATTTGAGCAAGGAGCAAATCGAGACTATTCTCACCAACTACTTCAGCACCTGGGGCCACGTCGAGGCTGTCGTCGCCAAAACGAAGGTTATCGACAACAGGAGGAGCTGCTATGCCAACGTTCGGTTTACCAGCGAGAAGAGCGCTCTTATCGCCGTAGCCAACGCTAACGACCGGCCCCTTGAGCCATTAAGCAAGTGTGCGTCCGTGTCACACCCGTACTTCTCTAAATGGTTTATTCCTGCCCCGATGCGATCCCCGTTCAGGAAGTTCCGCGAGCGAAACGACTCGACAACGACCAGGACGACCTGGCAATCATCCCCGAAGACCAGCAGCCCCGGTAGCAGCGGGCCCCGGAACTCTTGGAACACACCGCCCCGCGGAAGTCGTGGCATGATGCCTGTCGCGACGCCCAGCAGCGCTCGTTCGATCACTGTACCGCATCAGTTTCAGGGCAACGTGCCACCTGTGCACTTCTTTGCCCCCTCGGGACATTACTCGCGGCCTGTCGATGTTCCATATGGCCCTTTCTACCACCAGCTCCCCCCAAACCTTCACCAGATGACCCATGGTGCACCGCCTGCGCAGGCCTGGGCTGACATGCGGCTACAGCCCGGTTTTGTGCATTCGCAGACTCCTTTCCAGCCAAATCCATCACTGATGGGTCCTCCCAGGTCTCTTCCCAGCAATCAGGACGTTATGCCGGTCGTCCGGCACATCTTCCGTCAAAACGAACTGACTGTGACTGAGGAAGCTGTTTCAACTGTGAGTGACTCAGCTTGCAACGAGCGCTCCTCTTACGGTCAAACTAAGAACGGTGAAGCGAATGACATGCAGACGAGGCCTTCGATTGAGGATGACCTTGCCAACGATCTGTATGGGCCAAAGCCGACCAAGTCCTCTTCGTCAAAACCTGGATCAGCGATTTCTGTCCGTCTACCAAGCATGTCTCCCACTAGGGCTTCTTCTCCGGCTAATATGGAACCCGAGACCACTTCCAGTAATGAGAATAAAGATATACAGGATGGCAAGGACGACGGGAAGGCCAAAAAAAGTCCAGATCTTTCTATCTATTGCGAGGGGGAGCCTGTCCAAGCCTCAACCAAGGAAGAATCACCTGCCTCTCCAGAGGAGGATAACTCTGACCAGGCAATCCAGCGTAATGATGAGGCGAAGGAATTGCCGAGTGCTAGTGCTACTGCCGGCCAGGATAGGTCCTCCGATGGTCACCTCAACGGCAACAACTCGCCCAAGAACCCTTCGGCACTCAGCCGCTCGGGCAGCAGGAATAGCGTTCGCTACTCTTCTCGTTTTGATGTCGGGGACATCCGCCTTGAAGAAGGCTTCTCGGAGACAGTGATTCACCGCCCTAACCGTCGACAGAACATCTTTGCCGAGTGGATGCCCACTGGAGAGGACGGTTATGAGCACCTGAGTGATGGCCCCAACAATACCAACAGCCGACCTAGCCGCAACGATCGTCGTATTTATCAACATGGCAACTACCACAGGAAGCGGAAGATTCCGTTCTCTGCTGCCCAGTATCGAAATGCAGCTGGTGATAATCTCGCTGCAACCCATGTTTCGACTCCGCCTGTGCTTGCTCCTGTACCGTTGGTCAACCCCTTGAATAAGAACAAACACCATCATAAGAAGTCGTCAGTCTCAAACGCGGGGGCTACGACAAATGGTGGTGCTCAGGCGTCTACTTCCACTATTGTGGTAACCTCGGAGTTTCAGGAACAGGGTGCGCGACGCCTTGACCAGCAACCATGCAACGAGCAGAAGAGCAGCAATAATGCAATCACCGCCAACAACCCAAGGACGAATGTCAATGGCCCGACCAAATCTAAAAGGAATAAGCGCAAGGCTGCCACCGCCGCAGCTGCTGCAGTAGCCTTGACTGGTAGTGTGGGCATGAACGGTGCCAATGGCTCGTCCACTTCTACCAACACGACTGCCGCCAAGGCCAACGGCAACACGCCCACCACGACTTCTACATCCGTCACTACTCCGGCTGCGCATGGTACCACAGCCAAGCCCACTAACGGGACCGCCGAAAGCCCGAGTTCTGAATCCTCTCGCGCGGCGACTCCCGCAATTTCAGATTCGAGCGTCACCATCTCGGCCTCTCCTCGCGAGGTCCCAGCCCCGACCCGCGCTCGCTCTCGGGCGGGTGTGAGAGCTAGCTCTACAGCAGCCAACGACACCACCGTCCCCTCTTCTGTGCCAACCGTGAGCGCACAATCCACTACTACTGCTTGCACTCCTACTTCTACTTCTAGTGCTCTTGCTCCTGCACCTCCTGTTCGGGTGCCTTCCTACTCAGAGGTCGTCGCCTCCGGTGTGACAAAGAGCAAGAACGGAAACAATGCAGCTGTTTTCAAGGGGCAAGGGGAAGGCGGTGAAGAAGAAGAGAGAGGCGGACTCTGCACAAGCGAAGCAATTGCAAACAGAGTAAAGGCCTGATTTGTACGGAGGATATTGGCTATGAAGGGCGTGGTTGGGTACTAGAGAGACCAGGAGTACTAGAAACTAATCTATTGGACGAAGTTGGCTGCGGAAAGGAAAGGGCACGGAGTTTGGCGTGAAGGAAGTAGTGAAGTGATAAATGGTGGTGATGATGGAAGAGCTTTGGTGGCTCAGTCAACATTTGGTGGATAAGGTGTTGTCTAGGAGAGGGCAAAGAAGTGAGGTTCCGGCAAAACTTCTCTAGGAGGGGAGCGAAGGGCGATATGGACAATTAGGGTGAGATGACTTGGCTCTCTGCAGATGGTAACGGACGATGATAGCATTGACTTTTTTCTTTCCATTAAAGTCGATGCTAAAGATGTGATATCTTACCATTTCCCTGAGGTCATGAAGCCATTGGCATGATGTAGATGTCTGTCAACCAAGGTGGTACTTCATGAATGACTTCTTACTTAAGCTTACAATTTTAAGCTGATACTCGGAGTCACGGCCCTTCGAGGCTACCGTCACAAATAAGAGTTCCACTCAACTGGACGCGTCCAGGAATTGATCTCATGTTGTTTTAAGGAAAACACCTGATTACCCACAATGCCTGCCATACACACTTTATACACATACACGAACACAAACGCACATGTCTAGTGGTGTGCCATGTCATGCAAAGTATACCAGGAACCAAGGCATGCATTCTGTAGAATCCGCCAAACGAACTTACTGAGTGCCCTGTCTTCGCCTGAACCTCAAAGAAAACGACACAGCACCGGCTATGTCTCGTCTTTTTGGCCCTTTAGACTCAACGCCGAACATCGAAAATGCAAAACAACTTCATTGGAGTCAATTAACGTGATTATGGTCCTTGGTTGACAAACCCAGAGGGACACTTTCGTCGCAGACCCTGGCATTCTAACCAAATGAACATGTCTGCTGCCAGGAATTTGAAACAGTTACATCTCGCAGGCACCTATGATGAGCAGGATAGGTGGGTGATGTGCGACTGGATATGCTTAATAGTCCCAAAATGCTCTGCGAGCCATTGTCCCTTTCTTTCTTTCTTTCTTCCTTCCCTATACAATGCCTTTGGAATCGATCCTCTGTTATCTTGGCAATGCAATACGCCAGGTTGAGCGAGTACCAACGATGTCAGAAGGGATGTGTCGGTGGCTGGCATCATGCCTCACATGACAACGCAGTCGCCGTCTTGCTGCTTGGTCATCCGGCTACGCGAGATGCGTTCCCTAGGTCGCTGCCCGCCATTTTTGCCGGCACGCTTGAGCTCTTCCAGTCGTTCCCTTGCCTTTGGGAAGTCTTGGGCTGTTTAACGATTGAGCGTAAGTAATTCGTCGTAGTATTCATGCAGATGGGAGAAGATGACTCACCCGCTGCTCGCCAATACCACCTCTTCGCATCTTCCAAGTTAGGAGGAACACCAATACCAACTTCAGTGAAGTAGCCCATTGCATATTCAGCCTTGGCCAGCCCGGCCATGGCGGCCTTCCTAGCCCAAAGATACGCCTCAGTATCGCTCTGTTGGAGAACTCCCTCGCTGCCTGTCAGATACCAGCCTGACAGCGCCAGCTCGCTCTGATGCTCTTCCTGCATGGCGGCACGACTGTACCACATGATGGACAGCCGTGGGTCAATCGGACAGCCAAGTAAGCCATACTCGTAAGCACAACCCAAACGGAACTGGCTGAACTTGTAGCCCAGTTCGGCGGCCTGCTTGAAAAGCTGAAAGGCATAGGCCTCGTCGCGTATGATGACGTCGTTTGGCTCCGCGCTTTCATACAGAAGGGCGAGTTCATGCAGAGCATGTGGGTTCTCCTCGTCCGCACGCTCGGCGGCCCGTTTCAACCAGCTGATGGCTTCGCGCGGGTTGCGTTGCTGGCCCAAAAGTCCCTTGAGGAGGATCATACCCACCTTGTACATGGCCGGCGTGTCACCCAGCGCTGCAGCGCGCTTGTACCATTGCATGGCTTTAAGGGGGTCTTTGCGTGTGCCGCCACCTTCATCGTTACCAATCTCACAGCAGACGGCGGTACGGTACGCAGCGGCTGCATGACCGAGCTTGGCCGCCGACTGGTAAAGTGTGAAGGCGTGAGCTGGATCGGGCTCGTTGCCGAAAACAGCACGACCTAGACAGTCGGCTAAAAAGAACATGGCCTCTGGATTGTTAGCTTTCTCCAACTTTTTCAGGATCTTGTGTGCGTCGACCAAGTAACGTTCTCGCGAGCGAGCACGAGCCTTAGGATCTGGGAGATTGGGCACGAGGACATCGGCTGCTTCAACGAGCTTCTTTGCGAGCCGAAGAGCCGACGTCTGATCGTTAGGGTCATTTTTCACTATCGCCCGTAGCTGCTCGAGCTCCTCAGCAGTGACTGGGGGTTCCGCTTCCTTCTTCTTCCGAGGTTGGCCAATTGGTGGCTGTTGCTGAGCAGCAGAGGCCTGATCCTGCCCTTCAGGAGACTGGGAAGGGGCGGCGTTACCATATCCAGGCGCACCACCGTAGTTTCTCACTGGAGGAGGCCGATCACCCAGGTTGACGACTGAGCCTGGCATGTGGCCAGGACGGACTGGTGGAGGGTGCGATGGCAAAACATCTAGATGAGGGCCTGCTTGGGTTGCGGCTCGTTGCAGCCCAGGCCGATATGGAGCCGGGCCTTGTGGAAGGCCCTGTCCGGGGCCAGGTCCAAACTGACTTGTCGCTGACCGCTGGAGCAAAGGGCCATTGGGAGGACCTTGTTGCGGCCCGTAGTACTGAGCACCGGAAAGCTGATGATCGAACTGGGTCGTGGCAGAGCGATGAAGCTGCGGTCCATTCGGCAGGCCCTGATGCCACGGCTGAGAATGAGAGGATCCAAACTGAGCAGTGGGAGCCCTGTGAAGCTGGGGCCCATTCGGAGGGTCCGGCTGCGGTGCGGGTCCTTGGGGACCAGAATATTGATCATACTCTGGACCGCCCTGCTGGAAGTCAGACGGCGGGGGGCCTGCCTGCTGAGGGCCAGGCTGCTGGTAATCGGGTTGCTGAGGCCCGGGACTCTGTGTCCCATGTTGGTGATAGTCGGACGGCTGAGAGCTGGGATGATTGGGATCAGATTGCTCAGGACCATGCTCCTGCGGGCCTGGCTGTTGTTGAGAAGAGGGCGGCCCCTGGCCACTAGGTCGAGCTGCGGGGTTTTGAGCTGGAAGCGGCGGAATGTCTCCAGCCATCTCGAAAACGGCTGTTTGAGAGTTGCGCAAATTCGGCTGAGACTTAGCCCTGCTGATTTCAGGATATCTGCCGGGGCCACGTTGGGCTTGCTCCTGAGGAGTAGCCCCGCCGGCTTGCATGTGGTGGTCCAACGAGTTCCGAGACTTTTGAGACGCTAAAGAATCAAAATTCGGAAGCTCTGAGGCAGCTGACGTGGGATTCCGGGCGGGATATTCGTTGTTCACGTTGTCGCCATAGTAGTCGTAAAAATCATCAACGGACGGAGGGCGCCCGTGACCTTGATAGCCTGGCTCGGGCCCAGGCCCTTGCTCATGATTGCTGTGAGGAGGAGGACCATTGTTTGGCGGGTAAATTCTAGGGGGCGGCTGTCGCATTCCCTGGGATGTGCTCGGCCTTGGAGGCATACCGCGGCCAACGGGGCCGTTATAAGGAGCACTGTCACGATGAACGGGATCACCTGCTCTCATATCCATCTGATCTCTCATTGGCATGGTAACGCTCCGTGACGGAGGGGCAAAGCCTTCATCCTGAAGACCAGCAGCTGCAGGTGGGCCATAACCGGGTCCCGGAGGAGGACCGCGCCGCTGGTCAGGGTAGTCACTGGGAGAACGATATGCCTGAGAAGGTCCGCGAGATGGACCCATTGGACCCGGGCCGGAACCACCGAATCCGCTCGGAGGAGGACGCATAGGGCCATGCTGAGGAGGAGGCCCCTCAGGGCTGCGCGGGCCAGGTCTCTGTCCCGAGATGTCCATCCCCTCTATCTGGGACACGATATACCGCTCCTCTTCGTAGTCGGTCCTGCGTTGTGCGCCTGGGAATGTAGGGAATGGACCATTAAAGCCACTATTCCCGACGTTCGAGGAGCCAGAGTCACCCATAAGAGGACGTCCGGCTACAAGCATATCAGCATAGGCTCTCTTCTCACGGACGGTAAGGGGAGGAGATAATGTACAGCGGATGAGCTCACCATTCGGTTGCGAATTCATCGGACGCTCAGACGGACCCAGCCGTCCGTCGCGACTCGGAGGGGGATATCCACGACCACCGGGACCAGGAGGGCCAGGAGGACCGCCAGGACCCGGGCCATAAGCACCCCCACGGGGTGGGTAGGGACCTCCTCGGCCAGGACCGGGACCAGGTGGGCCCCTCATTGGTCCTCCTCTCCCTCCGGGAGGCGGCATTTGGGGACCCCCTCTTCCTGGAGCGGCGCCGGGCGCATTCGGTCCCTGATCGTAGTAATCTTGCGGGGGGTAGTTTCGGATCGGGGGGCCTCCTCTGCCATATCCGGGGTCGTCATACTGGCCGCCATAGCCTTGATCATAACCATTGCCGTAATTGTCGTAGCCATAGTCGTTATAGCCGCCGTCCTGATACTGATTGTACTGCTGTTGCGGAGGAGGTGGCGCGCTGTACTGCCGAGGGTGCCCTCCAGGCCCAGGAGTGTAGCTGCGCTGCGGAGGAGGTCGTTGGGGACCCGGTCCGCCGCCGTACTGCCCGTTGTATGCCATGATCCCAAAACGCGCTCAGACACGGCACACGCGCGTTCTGTTCGTGCAACGTTCTTGTATTATATTTTGGGGTTGCTTTCGTGTATCGTCTGCAGCGGCGAGGCGAGCCGAATCCCTCTTGCTCCGATAGTCTGATTCACTTCCGGGAGCTTGAACAAACAGAGCGGCTGTTCAGTCGGTCGGTTTGCTGTCTGCCATGCCACGAATTCGGACCGCAAAGATACAGTGCAGTCGCAAATCTGGACGTGAAGAGAAGCGGGTGTCACAAGGCGCCGTTTAGGACTTGTCGCATGACGAAGGGCGTTCGCGGCCGGCTGACAAGGAACGACGAGCCCGAGCCTCGACTCGCGAAGGTCAGCGCTCAGTTTAGAAAGGTAACTTTCTGTTGTAAGCGTGTGATGGCATGTAGACCAGCGCGCGGGGTCCGTTGTCAGTGTTAGGGTCACTTGTGAAGCAGGGAATGGTGCGATAGTGCAGCGGGTTTTACGTAGTCGCACTGCACTGCAGTGGCGGCGCCGGCTGCCTCTCGACTGCTTGGTTTCGAGGGGATTCACGCTCCGCAACCCCAGGTGACGACCTGGACTTGAGGGAAAGGCCGAAGCGAGAGCCAATTCCGGAACCGTCGGGCGCCGCAGCGATTCGGTCGGCGTCGGGTTGTTGGCGACGGAGACCGCGTGGAACTCGCTTAAGGGTCGGGAAATCGTGGATTTTTTTTTCCCAGAAGAGGAGGAGGAGCGGGATAAAAAGGAACCAAATACTTACAGCTAGGTCCAGGTCGGGCAGCACGGAATAGTCAGGTACAAGTACCGTGGGCGTACAAAGGGTGCGCGGGAGCAAAGCTGCCGAAGCCCTATGATGTATCAGCTTTCCAAAGGCGAAAGCTGCTTGAATGGGCTTATGCTGACGGATGGATGGAGGGTATGGGGTATGGGTATGGTCTCGAAGACTTCGGCACGTGGAAAGGAGATGGAGAAGGGCTGCAGGTTGTTATGTGATTATGTGGATAGTGCAAGATTTGCAGAAATCCAAAGTTGGTTTAAAACTTTGGGGCTGGTACCTCCTCTAATATCAACTTTAAAACGACAACTTGAAAATGGGTCACTGGGCAGATGGAGAGTGATGGACTGGATGCAGACAGACAAAGGCAGTCAAGCTGGGAAGGTACTTGCAGCACATACAACTGCTACAGCAAAATACATTGTCTCAGTACTGTGAGATTGACGAGAGTCTGGCTGCCAGTCATTGGGGTGCTGGCGGATGTCGGCAGTTAGTTCGATGAACGGGTTGCTGGGCTTGGGGGACCTCAGAGCTTGGGGAGCGGAGCAACCCTGGCGCCAGAGAGGGCAACTTAGGGAGGGCCCACCTGCACCCGGAAGAAGGGGCCAGGGGTTTGTGACATGCTGCCCCAAGTCCACAGGCACTGCAAGGGTCCTGGTGCCGTTGGGCGTTAAATACTTACACACACCTCATGCTGCTGGTACGAAGTAACCAAAAACACTTTGCTGACCCGGACTTGGCCAAGCAATGCCATTATCATGTAGAACTAAGTCTTTGAGCTTTATCGGAGTATAAGAATTCATGCTCATATCATGTTAACACAGGGAACTGCTCATTATTAAGAGCGACAATTTTCCTGAGATAGTTGAGCCCCCTGTTGTAGATTCACCAGGTATGCTCTAAGTGCCCCCGTAATTCGTACCGTACAATTCAGCGAAGCATCACGGTTTACATCCCGAACAAGCTGAAGGCTTTCCATCCATGCTTCCATTGAGTCTGCTGATCAGCCGCCTGAGTTCTCTTCAAGCAGGGACGTCCCAGGTTGTGCAGTTGATGGCCTTTCTGACTTTCTTGTTTGTTTGCGTCACACAATCCCTAGACCAGCGCCTAAGGACTCGGCTGTGATTTGACACCAACAGTCAGAGCGGTGCATCAAACATCTTGGTAGATGCTACTGTGTGCGATTGGGCCACGTCTTGGGTTCGCACTGCGCCTCCTGGATTCCCACTGAGCCTCGTGGTTTTTCACCAAAGGTACGTCATACCTGGATAGGGGGGGGTTGAAAATTCACATCACCCCAAATCTAAACATGGAAGCCAGCCATGACTCAGGAGTAGTGACACAATTGATGTTTAGGGCAGACTTGTTTATTGTTGTGGTTGTGGATGGATCGAATTCGCTTTTTCGACAGTGGCATAAGTGGCCAGGTTGAACGGCAAACAGCCCGAAGCCCCTCTACAGTGACGATAAAGGTGGTGGCTCGGGGGGTCACCAGCTCTTCTGTATACAGGAGCCCGGCCAGCAAAACCTGCGCACAGACCAAGCCCTTACCTCCCCTCGCCCAGCAGGGCGGTCAGGGCAAGCGCTTTTGCTGCGTGGCTTGACGGCTGTCGGCTGTCAACTGCCAACGGCCGATACTGGTTGGCGTCTGGGTAGCAATGTCCGTTTTCTGCTTGCCCATCTTGCGCACGCCGATTAAGGTGACCTCATTAAGCATCATTCATGAGTGGATAGAACAAGTGAGAACTTCACCTCACTCACTCCTATCGGTTTTCATTCCCTGCCTTGCTTACTCCAATCTGTAAAACTTGTTATCTTGAGTTTGTGAGCAATGGCCAAGAAACCCTTCAATTGGTGGCTATGGACAAAGATGGCAGTGGTGTGAGCCTTTTCTTCCATGTATATACCCTTTCCACCCTAAAGGAAGGTCCGACTGACAAAGCATGCTTACAGGGGCACTGCCATCATAATTGGCGGTCCAGCGTTTGTGAGATATGTGCAACCCACAGATGAAGAGCTCTTCCAGAGATACAACCCTGAGCTCCAGAAACGGAGTCTTGAGCGACGGTACGAGAGGCAAAAGGAGTTTGATGACTTTGTCACAAAGCTCAAGGAGTACTCCAAGTCCGACAAGCCAAGTATGTGTCAACCATTTTTGCAGACAGAAGAAGGCATAAAGTTAACATTAGATAAGTTTGGATTGTGCAAGCTGAGGCTGAAAAGGAGCAGGCCAGGAACGCTTCGGTTGCTGAAGCTCTCAAAATGGCCGAGGAAATCAAAGCCAGGAAAGAAGCCATCAGGAGAGAAGCTGGGTTACCGGCCCAATCTGGGTCATCTGAGGCCGGGAGCCGGTAATACAGCCCATCTGCATGAAGTAGATGATGTATTGCGCCTGGTGGTTATCCAGCCGGCTGTATCGATACTCATCAAGGCACATACATAGCGGGGCGTTGGAGTTTAGTCTTTTTCTGATGTGATGTACGGATGGATGCCCGGTAGTCCGGAGTGTAAAAAAGTAGCTGGGTTGGTCTGATCACCTGTGTAATATTATCGATACTTCCACTTCTGTGAGCCCTGGTGAGTGCATCCCAATAGCTTTGGTTTGCGGAAAGGTCATGGTGTTGGGAGAGCTTGGAGCATCGAGATTCAAAAGTCAAAACCAGCTTTGTTGGGAACTGGAGCTTGGCCCAGATAACAGGGGCTCTCGGTGAGAGGCTCGGTGAGGAGAGGTCACCGGTTGCCAAAGTGGGGTAAAAGTTATTGCGGCAGCGAAAAAATATCACAGGGCCCAGCGCACACAATTTCTCCAACCTCGGACGTCCAGACAATCCCTGAGGCATCCACGAGCCGAACGACGGTACCGCCAGGTGAAAACCACGGCCAAAATTCTCCCCGACAGACAGAGTACGTTTTGGTTGCCATTCCACAGCCGCGAAGGCCGATTTCTCAGGGCCCCAAATCCCAGGGCTCAATTTTATTCGCACCCGCACCAGCCCAGAGCAGCCCCAGACTGACTTGTCATTGATCCAAGCTCGACCCTCACCGAGTCTCTTCCGGCGTCCACCCCACCTTCCACCCCTCAATCCAGCACATTTTTCTCTCGCCAGCTACATCCAACATGGCGGATAACATCCAGGAGAGGCTTAAGAAGCTCGGTGCCACCACTCGCATTGGTAAGTTGTCCCCGGCGGCTTTGTTACTCCCCTTGCTGCCGCCGCTCTCGGCCCCCCCCCCAACTCCCCCACTCCAGATCGGCCAGTACGCTAACCGGCGCCCGCCGACAGGGTATGTCTAGACGTGATAAATCCCGCTGAGCGCTGATCGCGCGATAGCAATAGATAGAGTTCGCAAAGCATGACCAGAGTTCTGACTTTCTGCACCCACGACGTACAGTGGCAAGGGCACCCCCCGGAGGAAGGTCAAGCGCGCCCCGGCCCGGTCGGGCGGCGATGACAAGAAGCTTCAGCAGACGCTCAAGAAGCTCAATGTCCAGCCCATCCAGGCCATTGAGGAGGTCAACATGTTCAAGAGCGACGGCAACGTCATCCACTTCTCGGCCCCCAAGGGTGCGTATCCCGGTTGGAAGAAAGGGTCTGGATGAAGCAGCCAGGGTTGTTGCTGACAAGGCTCCTGCCTGCTTACACAGTTCATGCTGCTGTCCCGGCCAACACCTTCGCCATTTATGGTGCCGGTGAGGAGAAGGAGCTCACGGAGCTCGTCCCTGGCATCCTGAACCAGCTCGGTCCCGACTCGCTGGCCTCGCTCCGCAAGCTGGCTGAGAGCTACCAGGCCATGCAGAAGAACAGCGAGAAGGAGGCTGATGATGATGAGATTCCTGACCTTGTTGCTGGCGAGAACTTCGAGAGCGGCGAGGCCAAGACCGAGGCCAAGACCGAGGAGAAGGCTGAGGAGAAGGCCACTGAGGAGAAGTCTGCTGAGGCCAAGGCCGAGTAAACTGAATCTACCCCAAAATAAAATCTTGCCGCAGTTTTTTTTTTGCCCAGTCTGTTCCTTGTTCGCATCTGCTTGGGAGGAGCAGAGATTGATCTGATTTATTGTTAAAGGACGGCGGCGTATCTGGAATTCATTGCATCGGGTCCGAAGGGCAGGCCTGGGGCATGAGGGTTAGGAAGGAACAAGACTTGGTGATGAAAAAAAAAAAACATTCCAGTGCTCACTGGAAAGTATGTGACACTTTTTGGCAAGGCTCAAGTATTCAACCAAGTGCGTGCTTTTATGTGACGACACTTGGAAGCGGAGGAGAAAGACGCGGCGGCAAGGAAAAATGAGCTATTCGGTTTGAGTGGGAGCCAACTACAGACTAAACTCCCCATCGCCAGTATTCCTCGCCCACCCCTTTAATGCTTCCATCCTCACCTTTGCCTTGACCCGCTGCCTGCCTTCCAGCAGCCTACACTGCTTAACTTCGTCATACGTCCTTTTGGACACAGCTGCGGTTAGCTGTCCGTCCCCTAAAGCCGCTGCTATCTGTGTTGCAGTCTCCCACATCCTCCTTCTCGACATCAAGCTCGCCCCCTTGGCATCAAATGCTTTTCGTCCCTGACGCACTCCACCAACCAAGGCCTCATTCACTCCTCCTTGCAAGGTCCAGGCAACGGCTAAGTTGCTCGCAGTCATCTTCACTTCCTTGCGTTTCTCCTCACTTGCTGTTTCCACAATTCCTCGCCTCGAAAACTCAAACTCCTTTTCTGTAACTTCAGCCTTTAGGACATAAAACCCGTATCCCCCAGTTTGAGCCCACCAGTCTCTTAGATCTTCATTCGAAACACTATTCATCCGAGTCTCGAAGCATCTTTTCCATCCAACTTCATTGTACTGGGATGCCGGAATAACCACCGAAGATAGGTATAGCCCTGGGGAGGGCGCAACGAACAAAGCCGTCAAAGATGACAACACCGACGTGCACTGCTTCAGGGCCAATTTGTCACTACATGACTTGGATGCCGTTGGTGGAGCATCTGCCCGGGATGGTTTGCGACGTACGACGCCCAGGTGGGAGAAGTAACCGCGCCCAAGCAGCGTTGGTACTGTCGCTAAGTTCGTTGAGTCGGGCGTGGACGAAGGGGGAGGATGGGGTGATGAGCTTGATGATTGAGCTACCGATGGGGGGATCTGCCACGGAGTTGGGTCATCCTGGGCGGCCATTATCAACTCCATGCTAGCATCGCCGCCTTTCCATGGTTATTGTGAATTCGTCAGTAGGTTTCTCAGTGAGATTAACATAGTTGTAGGGGTTTGCTGACGTACAAGGGGCCTCAGAACAGTACATATGCAAAGTGAGGCCTTCCCGCCAGGAGAATGGCTGACCTTCCCATACAGAAATGCCATTATCGACGGGCCGTTTTTCAACAGTGCGCCGTTGGAGGAAAACGGATTCAGCGGTGCTGTCCCGGGCCAGTCGCAAGCACTCGTCCAGCAGAAAGCGGTTGAATGCGCGTAACACTAGGACTTCAGCATGCCAGTCGTGGATGGCAACACCATTTGCTTGGTTGAGCTTATTGGCAGGGAGACATTTCATGCCAGTTCTGATGGTGTTAAGACAGGAACCCTGAAGTAGGCTGATAGAGCGGGAAGAGCGCGATCAACGTACGCCAATGCAACACATTGTAAAAAATCTTGGCCTAGCCTCAAACGCATGTCAGCAGGAAGTTTTTATATGAATACTGCCTACCGATATTCCATAATTGCAGACAATACCTTTCACAACTATGCCACTCAATGGCACCCATTCATGGAGCCCATTATCACGAACCGTTGGCTTCCGCTTAGCTGGAAGTTTCCTGTACTGATCCAAAACTGCCAAAGCTATGGCGTCTGATTCATAGTCCATTATGGTTCTTTCTTTGGCCTTTCTTAAATTTGAGCGTAAGACAAAAATATCCTTAAGTCTTCGGCAACGTGGAAACTGCCTCCCCTTTCCCCCCTTTTTGGGGGCCTCTAAGCAAAACAACCTAGGGTTAGGGTTGTTGCTGCGAAGTCTTCCAATACAGCTGGAACCCGAGAATTGAATGCCACAGTTGGTAGGTGGGGCGCGTGGTCCGTGCACCCAACCTATCACAGAGCAGCCCTATCCCACAACCTGCACCAAAGAATTTGGCGAAAATCGACCCGGAACCTCGAACCTCAGAGAAGGCAACCCCGACAACGACAAGTTCGACAACCAACCGCCACAATGAGAACGTACGAGGATACTTTCTCCGGCCAGCGGATTTACCCTGGCAAGGTACGATTTCCCATTTCCCACGAGGGCGACAACGGCGATATCTCCCACCCCGAAGAGATAAGAACCGGCAGGAGGAAGATCGCTCCAGCGACACGACAACTGCGCGCCGAGGTCCAGAAAACGTCTATGAAAGTTCGGGGTGGGAAGATGTCAACAAATCGTCGCGGAGGAACTATGTCGAATTAAAATATCACGAGAGCATGATCTAACGAATTTTCTTAAACTATAGGGCAAGCTGTACGTCCGTGGCGACAGCAAGATCTTCCGGTTCCAGAATGGCAAATCCGAGTCCCTCTTCCTGCAGCGCAAGAACCCTCGCCGCATCGCCTGGACCGTTCTGTACCGCAGGCAACACCGCAAGGGTATCTCTGAGGTACGATCTTTCCGCGCCAACCCGAGCCTAGCATTCAATTCTCGAAGGAAGGGGTAGTGAAGAAAAGGAGGAATATGACATGATCAGCGGGGATTTCACATGGCAGACTTGAAAAAATCACTGCCCAAAGACAGGAATGCTGACGTCCGCTACAGGAGGTTGCCAAGAAGCGCACCCGCCGCACGATCAAGTCCCAGCGTGCCATCGTCGGTGCTTCTCTGGAGGTGATCAAGGAGCGCCGCTCGATGCGCCCTGAGGCCCGGAACGCTGCTCGCCTGGCTGCTATCAAGGAGAGCAAGGAGAAGAAGGCTGCTGCTCAGGCGGCCAAGAAGGCCGAGAAGGCGAAGAATGCTGCCGCTGCTGCCAAGGGCCAGCCCCAGGGCCGCGTCACCAGCAAGCAGGGCGCCAAGGGCGCGCCGGTCAAGGTCGCCGCCAAGAGCCGTTAAACAATTTTCTCCTCTTGGGGCAGGTTGCCGATCCGGGGCGCTCGGGGGGTCGCGGGTTGTGTGTAACGGGGGACGCAGGTTTCATGACGAGAGGAGCATAAATAGATATGACACGGTTCTCTTGCGGTCAGGTTCCTTGCACTGTGGCCGGAAGGAAAAACTCTGGAGTCGGACGGTCGGGACTGGGTTTTTTTTTCGCCTTTGCTCAACTCTCTTAAAGGGTTACACTCTCAGCAACATGTTGGCATGGATTTCGGAAGTGGCCGCGTTGCGACTGAGCCTGCGTCTCACGGGGCGTGGACATATGCATGGGTAGCGTAGGGAATGGCGACTTATGCATTGTCTGGAGGAACACACTGCTGGCTCCCATGTCTGACCCCTAGGCAGTGTGATATGAGTGAACATGCTCTGAAATGGCCCTTCATTGATGATTGGCGTTTCCTTCTCTGTCCATCTATCCTACCCTCCGTTCACTCCAACGCTGAGATTCTCAAAGCTTGCCCTGATTCCCAAGGACGGTCAGGACAGCATCAACGCCCGACTTCTCAGTGCTACCACGCACCGTGTCGACAGCGGCGTAGACGACCTTACCATCCTTGACTACGATAGCATACCTGCCGGTGCGGCCAGCATTGGCCCAGCCGATGCTGCTGCTGAAGGCAGTATCGGAATCAGAGAGGAAGAGCTGCAACGCGCAAGTCAGTATTCTTATGGAACAGGTACCCAGTAGCGCAGCAATAACGGGACAGAGAAGACGCACAATGCTCTCGTCCTTGATACCGTTCGCCTTGCCCCATGCCGACATGACAAAGGCGTCATTGGATGCAATGAACAGCACGCGGTCTACGCCGGCCTGCCGCAGCTGATCCAGCTTCGCAATGAAGCCCGTCACATGCTTCTCCTGGCAGGTAGGAGTGAAGGCGCCTGGAACGGCGACCAGTACTGAGGTGCCCTTGGCCAGGGCTACATAAGGTTTGTCAGTTGTGAGTCCGCCTCATTTGGGGTATTCATGAGTCCCTGTGTAGGCCTCACCCTCGCTGGCATTGTACTCGATCGGCCGGCCACACACGGTCAGGTCCAGGCTGCCGGTCGGCGGGATGTAGCTGAAGACAACGTTGGCGGGGAACGAGTCGCCGGGTTGGAGAGGGGCCATTGTGATGAGCGGTTGAGGTTATGGAATTCTGGACTGTATGAACGATCAAAGAACGCTGCTCCTTTAGTGCAAAACGAATGGGGAAGACAAGTCGCAGGCTGTGTTGACGCTTTTCTTCAAGTAGACACTTGTTCCTGTTTTCCCCTCTCTAACTGATCGTGGGGTCAATGAGGGGTTCTTATGAGTGGAAGTCGCCGTCAAAACCGAGTTAGGTGGAGCCGGTTGATCAGGATCCCTAGCTCTGCTTCACTGGCCCCCAACCCTCAACCTCCAGCCGCTTCCCGCTCAAGTTCTTGTCGCATATCATGCTCAGCCATGGCGTTCCCACCCGCAGCAGTCGCTGCGGATGCTCTGCTCTGCCGAGACCTTTGGTCTCCGAAAACCCCAGCGCGCGGGGGTTCATACTGTCCGGACCGCCTGACATCGATGGTATGGCACTGGAGATGCATGGTATTGCGCCATTGGGGAGCTCGATTAGCCAAGATGCTGCTGTACAGGTATCAGGTGCCGATGACAACGAGTTCATTCTTCAATTCATAACATAACAATAAGCAGAACACTTTCTATCCATTCTAACACACAGCATCTTCTCCATGACCCAATCCTTCCAATTATCAACAGGCACGCCGTCTATTCGACTGGGCGGCCTATCACCTAAGACCAAGGGTTCCAACCACTCTCGATCATGGCCACAACTTTCCGAGTCGCCTCATCAAGGTCCTCCTTGGGCAACCTCAGGGCGTCATTTGCCAGAGGCTCAACGGCGCCGTAGTCGCCTTGCTTGTACGAAGGGTCGAAAACGCTACTGTATAAAGCCTTGGCAAACCCGACCTTGTTACCCTTTTCCAATGCTTCAATGCCATCTTTCACGCGCTTCTTCGACGACTCATACTTGATCTCCCAGTCGGCATCTGTCGTACCCAACACACGGTTCAGACTGTCGAGCATATCGCGCTGTGACACTCGGAAGCTTCCTACACGCACCTGCGTGCCCAAGAAGTCCACCAGCGATGGAGATGCAGACGGCCCTTGTTGAGGCAAGCTAAGTAGCGCGGCCATGGCTCGTCCGCACTGGGCCCACGTGGTTGTCGTGATCGTGCGCTTGCCATCGTCAAAGAAGGTCACTCTCCGGTCCTTGATGTTGAATCCAAAACACTGCTCTCCCAACGCCAAACTCCACTCGTACCAAAAACCAGTTGCAAGTACAAACCACCGCAATCCATCGCTTTCGATCTCCGTGACCTTGTCCAGGAACTTCTGAATGTATGGGTACCGATCCAAGAACACTTGGTCGTAGGAGTTGCCGTTCGATTCTCCATTCTGAGAGTTGCTCCTGTCGATGGGGTAGCCGTACAAGTTGGGCACCACATACCGAACGCCCGCTTTCTTGGCCGCCACAACAAGCCTGTCATGGACTTCGAGGGGTGCCATGGTGCTAAGTGTGATGATGAGCACTTCCTGTCCTTTGAGGGCCTCTACAAGCGAACTCTCATTGTTGAAGTCGGACCGGACAACCTTGACGCCTTCAGGAACTTTTCCCTTACTCTCAGGACGTACAAGTGCTGTAACGGTGTGTTTACCGGTATTTAGCAAGGCTTGTGTGAAAGACGAGCCAATATTGCCCGTTGCCTATCAATAAATTGTTAGACTAGATGCAAGCAAGATTGCTGTGGCAACAGTTGGAGATTTGCTTACCCCAACGATGGCGACCTTCTCGACGTGTCCCGGCGTTTCGGACTTCATGGCGTTGAACGAGAATTTGGATAAATGTTTCGGTGTTGGTCTTAACCAAGGAGCTCCAGGCATATGTCGTGCTTGTCGTTCACTATAGACTGTAGACTGCAGAACAGAACGACCACATCATTTTGAAAGTCCATTTGTTTTTATATTTAAATCTAGATGTCAATGTGGAAGCCATTGCGGTAAGACCGATGGGAAGTTCGGAAGCTGTGGCAATCGGACAGCAGTGCACCGTTGCGATTTCCAATCAGCCATATATCATCGGGTGTGGTGCAGTTAGGTAATTATTTCAGCGACAGGGTACTCTGGGCAACTTATGACGTCAGACACGGCCTGGAGAATGCCAGTTGCTGACTGATTGTGGACAATAATCGATTGCTCCTGACTGACGGGCTGTCTGTGAGCCTACTGTACTTTGCACCTGCATCCTATCTCCAACCATCCTTCCAGTTCCTTGAATCTGGGACAACTTGAAACCAAGAGCAACCGAAGAGCTCTGGCATCTTCTTGTTATGACTCATGAGAGGCTGGGGAACAGTTGTACGCACTTCGGACTTAAGGAATACGCGGAGTTAAGTGATGAATCAATCTTCTATCTCGGTCATCAACTCACATGAATGTTTTATGATCATGCCTGAGAGACAGCCATGGCTGCTAACTAAAATCACTCAACCATTTCCCCTGTCGTTCACTCCGTTATCTGAGCTACCACACCTGGCAACCTTGATAGTTCATATTACCACATGTTATCTGCCCTTGTGTCACATGGGTGTCTTCCAATCACATGGAAGCTTTGACTGGCAGTCAAGCAGTCACTGACTGGAGGCACAGCGAGAAGTGGCAGACTAAAAAAATCATCTCAGTCACTTGGGTCAAAGATTACGGCGTTGATGTCATCATGTACGGACACCATTTGGAACAAATGACAGATCAGCACTTGTGAAATCTTCATCGTTATATCTAGCACGCTTTAGTCATCATAAGGGTGAAGTTACGTGCGGGTTTAAACTCACCAAGCCCATAAATACTGTGTCGAGTGGTTAGTGTTGGTGTTATAGGCTGCCATTATGGTTGTGGAGTCGGGAGTAATTGTGAACCTTGGTGGCTACCAGCAAAAGCAGGCTAACCATCACGTAATTCGATGACTGGTCAGGTTTTGTGACTCAACTGAAAGAATTCCTCTCCAAGCCCTAGGAATTTTGCCAAGCGACTACTCATATAAAGGCTATAGCATATATCGTCAGAATCATTCCCAAGTCTAATTGTATCAGACACTTGGGCGACCACCATGGCAACAATGTCCGAGTCGAAGCCCCCATTTCCTCCCTTCACATGGGAAGAAGCGCACCAAAAAGTCAAAGCAGCCCAGGCAGCATGGAACACCAGGTAAGATCACAGGAAGGTGATAACCATTGTTAAGAGCCTCTAAGTTTGTGTATGCTTATTTCCTGTTCTCAAGGAATCCGGAAGCAGTTCAATATGCTTATACCCCCGACTCCATATGGCGAAACCGCGATGTGTTCCTCCAGGGCCGTGAGGAGATTGTGCAGTTTCTGCGACAAAAATGGGCAAAGGAACAAGAGTATCGGCTAAGAAAAGAGTTATTTGCCGTGACAGATAACAAGGTTTGTCCAATTAGCTCTTCCTTTATTCCGCTCCTCGGCCAAGTTGAGCAGTTGCGGAGTTTGAGTACACTGTCTGACGACCATTTCAGATTGCAGTCCAATTTTGGTACGAATGGCATGATGAGTCTGGTCAATGGTGGCGTACATATGGGCTGGAGGATTGGACTTTTGCTGAGAATGGATTGATGAGAAAACGACAAATGAGCGGGAACGACGTGCGCATCACCGAAGAGGAACGTTGGTTCAAGGATGGTGTCGATGTTGACTCTGTTAGCATCAGCGAGAAGCACTGGTAGTTCAATCCGTACAACTAAAGTACATGCTAATTCGCTCTAAACATCCTCACTTCAAGCCGCAACAGTTACAGTGCTGATAAGCCTGGATAGGGCCTTCGACCTGTATCCTTACTATCCTAGGACTAATATCATTAAATACTCCGAAAGTGAAACAGACCAGTGGACCTTGCAACAATGAGCAAATGAAAGGGTTTCTCTCGCAGGAACATTGTCGCCTTGTCCTATACTGTGCATTCAGGCCAGATTCCTAGAATTCAAGACAGTCAAACATTTAGACTCTCTTTACAGTAGTTAACTATGTGGATAACCACTCATGTCCCTGTGTTCGCTATTTTCCAGGGGTCTCCTCTTAAAGGCAGCCGTTGAGATGGTTCTGCCGAAAGTTCCCAGTGCATGTTACACCTTTTCACAAGCATTGGGTTTTCTCACCTTCAGGAACTGTCTTTGCTCACAGTGTCAACTTGGAACATTCAAGGCATGAGATTGTCACTCGTTCAAAAAAAAAAAGTTCAAAGGCGTAGATGAAAACGCAACTCCTAGCATAATGCGAACTGTAGTTGTCATAGGGGTTTGCTGCGACCATTGAAACCTCCTTCTATGGCGAAAGTAATCCCTGGAAGCACTAAGCTTCGACAATATCATAAATGGAGTCACTTGCCCAGCATGGCTTGCTCCTTTATGCTTAGATTGGAGGTCACTGAGGAAAATGGAGCCTTGTGCCGTCCATGACTTCGTGAACTACCCTCTCCATCTTCGATCCCCAAGCCTGTAGGATCTGATGTTAATACAGTGACTACGGCCGTAATAGCCACAGCACTTGTCAGCACATAATGGCCTAGGTCTCAGGCCGCTCCTTTTGAGGTCAGTCTCGAGAATAGTCTTCCTCAGAGAAATGAGTCACTATGGATTGAGCAGCACAGCCAATGCAATGCCTTGCACAAGGTACTCGAACAGGAGGTGAGGATTAAGGGAGAGAAGACAGCATTGCGGCAAATCCAGGATGATTTTGTGGTGCAGAAACTTGTAATTGTAGTGTTAAGTGCGGGTATGCTGACAACGGTTTTTGTTGCTATGCCAAAAGGGAGCTTCTTCTAAGCATTATCCGAGTGACAGTGGGTTCCAAGGAGCGTGGCGGTGCTGTCCTGTAAAGTTCCCAGGTAGCACGGAATGTCATGATGCAGTGGCTAAGAGGTAGTGTCTAAGAGCGAGTCAGCCCCTGGAGTGTCTCTCGTGATTTCAACCTCCAAGCTGCTCCCAACCTTGTCAAGGTCGCAAACCATACAAATCAGAGCAAGTGGAAGATACAGGCGTGTCCATTTGCGTCTGTCACACCTTTAGGCTTTGGAGGGCCATAACAACACTACGGGATGTTAGAGTGGCTTTCAACCGGCGGCGGGTGTGTGTATCCGGCAAGGCTCGGGGTCGTGCTGCACCTCGGGTTAAGAGCTCGCCGTTTCCAGTTCAGCTGCAGGTTGAACGGAGAAACTTGCCGGGCGGTCTTTTGCCCGGTCTCGGGCTGCTGTAGTTTCCCTCGGTAAAAGCGGCAGATGACTGCGAGTGCTGCACTTGCAAACTTTTCATTAAAAATGAGAAGTTGCCATTAGAATTTTGGCTGCCCAAGCATGCAACGATTGGAGCTCTCCGTTGTGATTTAGACTTGTTCTTGCCGCTCAGGCTGGTGTTTCGGTGTTCGGTGTAAGTAGCAGCGGCGAAGAAAATACTCGATACACTTGCCTGTTTCGGCCCTGGAGAGCCTCGGGCGAACTTCCTGTGGGGATGGCGCATTATCGATAAGGCCATGGGGCTCCTTGAACCGACATGGAGGCCAGCGCCCGCGACACACCGGGATGAGTTCTACAATGTAAATCTGAGCATCCCAGGTTTTATAAGCCTCGACAGCACGCGGCCGCTTCGACCCCAAAACCCGCAATGGACTTCTTCCCTAAGAAACCTCCCTGAATTTCCAACAGCGGAAAGCACACCATGTCAGACGATATCTACCAAGCAAACGCCCCAGGATCAACCGAGGTCCCATCCCAGGCTGATGCCCGGGTTCTGAAGAAGCAGGACCAGCCAGATCATCGGCAGCAACAAGACCAAGAACATCCTCAGGGACAGAACCAGCAGAAGCAACAGAGTCGCCAGACCAATGGCGTGACCTCACTGCGCACAACGCCCTTCACTACGTCGACTGCGAACGGTCGTCCACGAACGGCCACAGACACGGCCGAGATCGATGAGACGCTGAGCCACCCAGGGTCCGTCCGCATCAACGTCAAGGGCGCCTTCATCGTCGACCAGGATGCCGGCACCCCCACAACGCCGACCGGCTCCCGTAGTGGGTCGCCCGGTCATCAGACAAAGGACATCCGACTGCCGAATCATACCGCCGTTGTCAGCCATATCGCTGTTGATGTGCGTATATTATCCTTTTTTCTCTTCCCACACTTCGCCGACTTCCCTCTCACTCCCGGCACGATGATGTCATCCCGCATTTTTGCCGTCCCCTGGCTAACGGGTCTGTTCGGTCGGCCTATGACAGATCGGTGGCACCCTTGCCAAGCTTGTCTACTTCTCCCGCGAACCGCACTCGGCCGAGCCCGGTGGCCGGCTCAACTTCATCAGCTTCGAGACCGATCGCATCGACGAATGCATCGAATTTATGCGCAACCTCAAGCGCAAGCACCAGAGATTGAATGGTGGCGGCTCCAACGGCAGGGCTAGCCCTCCTGGCAGCGACCTATGTGTCATGGCCACAGGCGGCGGCGCATACAAGTACTATGACAAGATCCGCGACGTACTGGGTGTCGACGTGATCAGGGAAGATGAAATGGAGTGCCTTATTATTGGTAAGGCGAATGCATAGTGAAAATTGCGCTGCGAAACTGCCATATGCTGACTGCATCACTGTTAAGGCCTTGATTTCTTCATTACCGAGATCCCTCGGGAGGTCTTTACCTATTCTGAGGCCAACCCGATGCATTTTGTCGAGCCGTCCGAGAATCCCTACCCATACTTGCTTGTCAATATCGGCTCCGGAGTGTCATTCCTCAAGGTTTCAGGCCCGCGCGAGTATCAGCGTGTGGGCGGCACCTCCTTGGGCGGCGGCACGCTCTGGGGCCTGCTCGGCCTGCTGACTGGAGCGCGTACTTTTGATGAAATGCTCGAGCTTGCTTCCAAAGGAGACAATTCCAAAGTAGACATGCTCGTTGGCGACATCTACGGCACCGACTACAGCAAGATTGGCCTTAAGAGCACGACCATTGCAAGCTCCTTTGGTAAGATCGCTAGGATGAAGCGTCTGGCGGAGCGTGAGGCCGAAGATAGTGGCGGCCTGCGCCACAGAGACCTGCACCATCCTCATTTCGAGAAGTCTGATAACGAACAACTTCTAGATTCCCAGCATCATCAGCCTGACCGCAGCCGACCTTACTCTGCTGCCGATATTTCGGTGGCCCTCCTCTATGCGATCTCTAACAACATCGGTCAGATCGCGTTCCTCCAGTCCCAGATCCACAACCTCAACCACATTTACTTCGGCGGCTCCTTCATCCGCGGACATCCCCAGACGATGAACACCCTTAGCTACGCCATCAAGTTTTGGTCGAAGGGTGCAAAACAGGCGTACTTCCTGCGTCATGAAGGGTACTTGGGGGCTGTCGGTGCGTTCCTAAAGCGGCAGCCCGAGAACTGGGGAAGGAGAGGCAGTTTCGAAGCAGCAGCGAGCAAGGATGCCCTTGAAGCCTTTAGGGCTGCTAGGGCCAAGACGAGAGAGACTGGTCCAGCGACAGCTGCAGTTACATCAGGGGCTTCTGGGTCTGCATTGAACGGGGGATCGAATGGGCCAACAAACTAAAGAGCGCGGTGCACAAGGTATGAAGGTTGGTGTTGCTTTTTCTGCTAGTCTTCCCTTGATTCACGTTGTGCTTTGGCGGGCGTTGGATGATATCCCTGATATTAAGGCTAGTTGTTTTGACGAGCGGTCACGCAGCGGTTTTGATTTTACTTTTTCTCTTCGTATATTTTTGTATTTCTCTGATTCCTGTCGCCTCAACAATCGTGCTGGCGTTTAGGTGGCTGGGGCTGGGAAGGCGTCTGGTTCGGTTGTACACAATTCCTAAGCTCTTCAGTTTTCTTTTCCTCCCCGTCTACTGTTTATGATACCTTTTAGACGTGGCTCGTCACGCTCAATATGTAGCATAGATCATAAAATAGATATGTGCAAGAACAGGCGGTAAAAACAATTATTCAAGTGAGCCAGATGGAGAGTGTCGCCGAGATGTATGACTCCATCCACGTGTAACAATCCATGCATTCCTCACAATCTTACAAGGATCTCTGTCCTCTTGGACCCTTCTCTATAAATCTCCCTTCCTACCAACGTTGCTTACATCCATCTTGCAAAGAAATACCATAACTAAGAGAAGACTCACTAGTAGTTCGGTAAATAACTGACCAACCAAATAAAAAGACTTCTGCACAGGAAACCCTCTCTCCATATACCCCCCACCACCCCGTTTAAGTTTGAATTAGCTCCGCTCTAATTCAAGTCAGCTTGTCGAGCCTTTTCGCCCCCTGCTTGTAAGACAGAAGCTCTTTTTCCGAGAGCAGCAAGGAAGGTCTGAATAGGTACAGGTTCTAGAGTCACTCTTAGCCATCTTCGTCCCTATCATTTTCCCTTTGCTTTCAGCATCACCCAGTTATATCAAATAGGTCCCAACCCCTTTCTTCCCAAGAACGTCAATACCTAGGTAAAGACATGACATTTACTCGGATTTCTGTGCCTCCTTTTCTTTCTGCTTGAGCGAGTATTGATACAAGCCGATGCGGGTGACCTGAACAACACCGACACATCCAAGGAAGAAGTTGACAGTGGCGAGCCTTCAGAGACAATATCAGAAAACCCTGCACACGACCGCGAGGTTTCGGGCTGACTGGACTTACAAGATGTTCCTGGGCTTAATGATCAGGCACCAACGAGTCCAGATCAAGCCGGTAGCAGTAAGAGCCGCATTTTGAGTGAAGGACAGCTTTTCGGCCGGACGCGCGAAATCAGACACACCAGCCAGAACAAGCGCCCATTTCATGATAGGAGCCCTAAGCAAGACATAAAGGTCAGTCGCCAAAAGAACGGTTGTAGGTTATGAGCGCAGCAGTACGCACCAGAAGTGCACAGTCTTCAGGCCTACGGGACTGTTCCACATGCGCTTGAGCCAGGGCTCCTCCGGGTTGGCGGCGGTACTTTGAAAACGGGCACCATTGTACTTAGGCCGGAAGAAGTGGCGGGCGCGGAATGCTGGGCGGGCGATACGGAAGAAGTTGCTTGACGGCGACATTGTATTTTTTGGCAGGCGCTTATGACTAGATGTCGTTGGAATTCGGTAGGGTGAATCAGTGTAATTTGTCGAGCGCGACAGCTGGAGATAGCAGACCGGGGCGTCGTGGGTTACGAAACAGGCTCCGGTCGTCGGATGAAGAATGCCCGCCCTTGTGGAAATTTTGGGGACGGATAAGCAGAGAAATAATGAAGGCTGCGGATGGACTGTTAGCCAGAGCACCACACAACTGTTGCGATGAAGCAAACCTACAATGAGTGGAGAGGAGTGCTGGCCGTGCACCTTTTTGATGGGCTTTGTCAAACGCGGGGGTAAACTCTGCAAGTCCTGAACTCGGATGGATACTTTCAGAGTCGCCGATGATGGAAGCAAGCAAGCTGCACGTCGTCACAGTGCAGCCCAGCCTGTCAACAGCAAGATACCCGTGGGGTGGGTCCCTGTTGGGAAGTCCGGGGTGTTAGCCCGATTTGACATGTGGTCTGTGCGCTTAGCAGCCTTGTGACTACAGCAAACTGCGGATACATGCATAAAATATGGATTAAATCATATGTACATCGACATGCCTTTATCCGTCTTGTCTGCAACTTTTCCACCGTCTTGGTCCGGTTGTTGTAGGCTCAAGCCTCATTGCACCGCCGCTTCATTCCAGCATCAGCCACAATTCTCAAGAAAGGCCGCGCTCCGAGACGGTCCGTCTCTTCGGGTTACAGTGGGACAACGGCGACGGCGACGACGACACAACGACCATTGAGCCACCAATTCCCTCCAGCACGCTAGGCGACGTGGGGACCACCAGCAGCTCAGAATGTCGGGCCGATATGCTTTTGCCAAAGGCGTGAAGGAGCTCCGGTTCCTCTTCTGCCAAACTTCTCAGCATAGTGCTGAGGCGAGGTGTGTTGTTGCTCTGCGAGCTACTTCTTGCTCAATTCCTTGCTGACACCACACTACATAGGTCATTCCTTAACCGCGCCTATCCGATTATGAAGAAGCACAACCCCACGATACCTATCTTGTTGCGGGAGGCCCAGGGCACCATCCCCAGGGTTTATGCCAGATATGGTGCGTAACAACCCTGTCAGCAGACGCTGTCGAAGCTCGATATGCTAATACCATAGCAGAGTTCGGCCGGGAGAAGATGGAGTCATTAGAAGGTAAGGTTTGATGATAGCAGATGTTGGCACAAAGGAAGAGAGTCGGGGCTAGGGCTAACGGTTGCACAGGACTCACAGACAAGCAGATCGAGGAGACCGTTGCCAAGCTTGTCAAGACGGAAGGAGCATGAGGATTGGTGCGAGACAGAGAGGGGAGGGAATGGACGATTGCTGATGACAGAGCAGTGTTATGAACGGTGCCGCGGGGTTGTAAATACAGCTAGCACAGCGTCTTCCCGCATTACGGCCTATCTTACAGCTTCTACACGCATGCTCTTAATCTCCCCATATTTCTGTTTCAAGGTCCAATAGTCTTTCTTCAACCGTTGTGCCATCGGTCCCTCTCGTTCGCCATGGGCGGAGGTGCTTGTGTCCCTGATATACTTGGCTTTCAACCCAGTTTGACACGAACAGATGACTTAATGTCTATTTCGTTTGCAAACTGGGTCATATTTACAAACAGTCCGACCCAGGAACCAGAGAAACAAAGATGCGGACGAAAACGGGTGCTGACCTGCCAGGTTCCGGTTCCATGCCTTTTTTTTGGCTGCTGTTAACCCTAACCCTTGGATCTCAGCTTTTCAGCCTCCGGATCTCTCGGGGCTGGGAAGACGAGCTCCTGTCCCCGCCTAGGTGGCTGGCAGTTTCACCAGTCTTCTCTTAATGGCTTCTGTTGTGTAGCCCTCCAACACATTTCCATCATGGCGAAGCTTTTCCGAAGTCGAAACAGCGCCCCCTGTATTGACCTTGACGATCACCACCTACAGTACTCATCGCTTTTAGATCCGAATGTCTCGATCCAGCAGCAGTCCGGTTTTGGCGGACGAAACGGGACCTTGTTGTCTGCCCGAGAGTCACACTCCAGGCCGTGGCTTGGTGCCGTAGAGAGCCGCTCCTCATGGTCTGGAGAACGTCCTCCTCCACGGAAGCTTGTTAAGGACATGAATAGCAGCTGCAAGCCAGCCTGTTCGCTTGCGCTTTCGGACAATGATGACGGCGAAAAAGAGAAGAGTCTCGTCCGTCGGCAGATCGAACGGCTGAAGGTGTTGTATCGAAGGGCCAAATGACCTGAGATGGCGTTTGCTACTATGTCGAGTTCTCAAACGCCTGACCTTTGCGGACCACTTACAGGCTACATGAACATTTAACCCTGCCACAGCATCTGCACCTATTGGGGATGGCAGCTTGAACACACATGAGCAAGAGGCTATTTACTGTCCTTTAAGTTTCGGTGTGGTCATATGTGTTAATGGCTTAATGGCTTATTGGTCATAAACGGCAACAAAAACTGCTACAAGATTAACCGGCTCTGGCGGTGGAAGCCCGATGGTCCGGTAGCCAAGAACTGCCAAGGCGGGTCCGCTCCCCACATGCAGCATGCCGGGCCGAGGTGCCTGCTTTGGGTATTTTAAGCCCGGCTGCCGTTTGTTTTGCCGGAGACGCCGTTGATCGAGACAAGAAAACCAGCGCAGAGAGCGAGGCGCTTTGCTGGTCAGGGAAGGGCCCCTCTGACAAGTATACCTAGCAAGTCAGAAGCTCCGATTTAACATCTTGCTTATCTTCCATTGTTTTCCGTCGACCGTCATGTCGACTTGGGCCTCCTTGCCCTTCCGGGTCCGGAATTCGGGTTCTGCCCCTGAGGGTTCCTCCATTGCCCTTAGCCTAGCAGTAGCCGCAGGCCTTGCAATCCTCGTCCGGACAACGCGGAACCTACTCCAAAGCAACCCAGATCCAGACCGTAAATACAACCTTCCCCCAAACGTCATCCCCTCGCCGCGCTTAACTCAGCTCCCCTCTTTAACTCCCACTGAGGTCGCCACCCTCCCCTACCCACCCGACGTGCTCCCTGGCGCACGCGACGTGCCAACACCTTATGGCACGATTCATGTATTCGAGTGGGGTCCTGTTGATGGGGAGAAGGTTCTCCTCCTACATGGCATAAGCACGCCCTGCCTGGCGCTGGGCTCCGTGGCCGAGGAACTCGTTCGTCGAGGGTACCGCGTGATGCTGTTTGACTGGTTTGGCCGAGGATGGTCAGACGCACCGGTGCCAGGGCTGGGCCTAGGGGGAACAGAGTTTGATGTCCGGTTGTACATGACACAAATCTTGTTGGTGCTCGCATCAAGTCCCCTTCCGTGGACGGGGAATGATGGGTTCCACTTAGTCGGGTATTCATTGGGAGGAGGAGTTGGGGCGGCGTTTGCAAGATGGTATCCGAGAATGGTTAAGAGCTTGGTGGTCGTGGCTGGTGGAGGGCTGATCAGGAAGGACCATGTCAGCTGGAGCAGCAGGATACTGTATTCGGCAGGATGGTTGCCGGAAGCCTTTGTGCGCTGGTTGGTTCGGCTGCGACTGACACCAAAGGACTCGGGGAATGGGAAAGAAAAGCATCCAGAGGAAGGAGGTGCTCTGATGAACGAGACGAGGATGGCAGCTGAGATCATTCGAACAAGGCAGACAGCAAGCAGAAAAATGAGAAGCACAAGAACAGCGACGTGAACGGCGGCCATGGATGGGACGATTCTGTGTTACTGGCAAGCAGGCCTGGATATACCGTTTCATCGGTCATGCGGTGGCAGCTGCGGCATCATGAAGGTTTCATCCCCGCATTTATCAGCAGCATCCGCTACGCCCCAATTTACGAGCAGACCAATGATTGGTGTGAGCTGGGACGACTGCTGGCGGAGAGGAGGGAGAAGAAACAAAGGGCTGTTGCTGTACTGGAGGGTAGTAAATGGGAGGACGTTGGGATGGAGGAAGAACAGGAGTTGCCTGGCTTGAGGGCCGGCAAGATCCTGTTTGTGTTGGGCGCGGATGACCCGGTCATTGTTAAGGAAGAAGTACTGCATGATGCTACTGCGGTACTGGGTGAGGACGGGTTTGATGCGGTCATCTTGAACTGTGGTCACGAGCTTGTAATGAGCAATGGAGCTCAGGTTGCCGCTGTCATGGATGGCTTTTGGAAGAGGATGTGACCAAGAGAGAGGAGCGCCGAGAGAATCATGGGTAGGCTGGTGAAGAAGTTGACGAAAAAAATTCGAGACAGTATCGTGATACCTGAGCCATTATGTGTATTTCGATAGCTGTCATAAATAAAAGTGGAAGATACTGTGTTTTAGCACACAACAGCTGCGAAGTTGGCTCAACGTCATTCTCTACCCCATATTGCCTGGCGAAAAGCCGCCCACCACAGGAGGCTGGGGCCACGCTGCCCCACTTAATCAGCAACCCGCAGGGGTTTCAGTTCTTTGATTGGTGTATGGGTTGTACATACAAGGAGACCCATCAGACTCTGCAAGGCTGTGTGTGAGGCAAGGAAAATTCCCAACCAACCACCAATAAGTCCCAGAACCACAAAACTACCGATTTGTTTCCTGTTTTCTGTGGCAACAAGAAACACTCTACCCTGATAACGCTGCAAAGCAATCTGCCCCATCATATGTCTTCGAAGCAGTAAACGGTAATACAGCTATTTCCTATCGAAAATGGCGACCGATGCCGCATCAGCCCCTCATTCCCTTACCTTTCCTCGAGGCATCTTCGCCAAACTCTCTCCGCACCCTTACCTTTTGCGGACTCTCTGCCCGGATCCCTCAAACAGCAGCAGCACTCCTCAGAGAACCAATGGACGCCGCCCCAACGAGGCCAGACCTTTTCGAGTTAACTTGGGCTCCCTCTCTCATGCTCATGGCAGTGCCCTGGTCCGTGCTGGAGACACGACTGTACTCTGTGGTGTCCGCGGTGAGGTGCTGCCTGTCGAGCGAATTCCTTTGTTTCGACAGCCGGATGTAAATGGCAGTGGAATTGGTGCTACCGTCGGAAGAGGGGAACTGAAGGAATATGATTTGTTAGTACCGAACATCGAGCTCGCAACAGGTTCAGCTCCTCAGTTCCTCCCAGGTGTTCCCCCTACAGCGCTAGCGCAGACACTATCCACACGGGTGTACTCACTGCTGCATTCAACGAGGCTGGTGAGCGCAGAGGAACTAAGGATCTGGTATCGTCCAGTTGCAACAAACAGAAGCAAAGAAGGTGAAGACGTGGAAATGGAAGAGGAATGTCAAGAAGAAAGTGGAGAGGAACAGGACAGAGTGGTGGCGTACTGGGTTCTGTATATTGACTTGGTGTTCTTGTCCTTTGATGGGAACCCTTTTGACGTGGCATGGGCGGCAGTGGTTGCCGCACTCCGTGACACCAAGCTGCCGGTTGCGCGGTGGGACCCCGATAGGGAAATGGTTGTCTGCTCGAAGACTGAAACGATGAAGCTTACGATCAAGGGTTTGCCCATTGCCTGCAGTGCGGCGGTCTTCTTGGAGAAGGAGCACGGCGAAGTCGCGGTTGGTGAGAAAAACCGTCACTGGATCCTTTTGGACCCTGACCGTTTGGAGGAGAGCTTATGCAAGGAGGTGATTACAATGGTTGTGGACTTCAGTGATGGCGAGACGAGAATAAGGGCCATCGAAAAACAGGGCGGCACCGTATTTGGGAGGGAGCTCATCCGCAGCTTTGCTTTGGTGGCTGAAGACAGGTGGAAGGTCGTCAAGGAGGTGATGAAGTGAAGTGAAAAGATTGGAAGAAAAGGCAAACGCCATGATATGATACCCAATACTACGAGCGGCTATCTGGGCCAAGTGCTTCTACACATGGGTGTCCCGTCACCTTTATCCACCCAAGGGCACCTGGCACAGACATTCAGTTACAGAAGCACATTGAAGCAGCGTCCAAATACAGGTACTCAATGAATCTGCGGGCCGGAGAGAGATAAAGGAGACTAGTCTGATTCAGAAAGCTCTGCCTTGGTCATAGCATGCATCGAGACAAGGCGTAAGACCTCTGATGTGTGCAAATCAGCTCTTCAGGTTCAGAGGGACGATCGTTCTGTAAATTTGAACAGACGAAGTCAATAGATAGCAATTAACATTATACTTCTCAGGTCAAGCCATAATGGGTGTTCACTTCTGGTTCCCTTGCCCTTGAAACAAGGTCGAGCAGTATTGCATATATATATCTTGATGAACTGTGTCAACCTCACGAACCGCTCTTACAGGCAAATTCTTCCAGAGCAGTAGATACAGGGAGACAGATTTAATCTGCCACTCAATCGCAAGTCCCTAATGAAAGGTACTCGAACCAGTCCGCAGTGGTGTGGGATACCTGCCACCGCGAGGGTTGTTGAGCGGTTGTTGATGGGAAAAAGGACAGCACGATTCCATGGTGCCAGTTTCAGATTTTTGGGGGGTCGGCAGGTGGTGGCCCGTGCTCTTCTCGGATCAAATTTCGCCGAGCGCCGTCCTGTAGCAGGCAGATTTGTTGCGACTCCGCTTCGACCCCAATTCACTCCATCCTTTCCTGCTCCAAATTTTCGTGGTCATCGCCATCTCCCGTCTTCCTTCAACTTCCACCACTTGACGCTCGACTGCACAGACAAGTGTGCTTGTGGTGGCGCACCCGTCCATGTAGAAATGGAGTCTCTGAGCGACACCCTTTGGGATGTCGTCATTTGCGGCACTGGTCTGCAGCAGTCGCTGCTTGCCTTGTAAGTCCTGCCTGCTCTCGACGCGACGTCCTCGAGTTCTCGTCTGACTGACTTAGCCTTGCCCCCTGAAGAGCCCTGTCACGATCCAAAAAGAAGATTCTTCATATTGACCCCAACGACTTTTATGGTGGTTCCGAAGCTGCTTTTAGCCTGCAGGATGCCGAGTCATGGGTCAAGGGGCTCACCGGTGGCTTTAATGGCTTCTTCAAGTCCGCCACGCTCGTGAAATCCGAGGGTACAACTGGCCTGGGCCCATCTCGAGCTTATTATCTGGCACTTGCACCCACTTTTATCCATTCACGATCGGCACTGCTTTCCCAGCTGGTCTCATCCCAGGCGTATCGCCAGGTTGAGTTCCTTGCCGTTGGATCGTTTTTCATCTTCAAGCCTGCCCAGGATCCTTGTTTTCGGCCTACTCTCACTCGCATTCCATCCACACGCGAGGACATCTTTTCGTCGACGGCAGTGTCGACAAAGGCCAAGCGCATGTTGATGAAGTTTTTGAAGTTTGTCCTGGATTACGAAGAATCGCCCCAGCTGGAGCAATGGCGGTCGCATGCCGATGCGCCCTTGACTGAGTTCTTAGGAGAGGTGTTCAAGATGGACGCCGAGCTACAGACCTATGTCCTCACCCTCACCCTCTCGCTGGACGGAAATATCAGCACCAAAGACGGGCTGGCTACCATACGTCGTCATCTTTCGTCCATGGGTGTCTATGGGCCAGGTTTTGCTGCTATATACCCCAAGTGGGGTGGTTTGTCAGAGATTGCACAGGTCTCATGCCGCGCTGGAGCTGTTGGTGGTGCGGTTTACATGCTCGGTTCCAGCATCAAGGAGATCGAGACGGTCCAGGAAGACAAGCTTCTTCGGCTTAGTCTTAGCAGTGGTGACACCGTGAGGACCCGATTGCTTGTCCGTGCTAATGACAGTAGTGGCTTCGGACTTTCCATCAGTAGGCTGGTTGCCGTGGTGGATTCTCCTTTGACATCTTTCTTTCAACCAACCGTTGAAGGTGCTCCCCGACCTGCTGTTGCAGTTGTCGCTTTCCCCACAGGTTCTCTCACGACTCCGGCCGGAGCTACATATCAATACCCGGTATATCTGTCCGCTCATTCCGGCGAGACGGGGGAATGCCCTAATGATCAAAGTAAGTGCCAAGCTCGTTTATTGGATACTTTACCCTGAGTACTATGATGAATCACATATGAATACACCTTATCTACATTGTCTGAGCTACGGCTTTGACGTCACCTACCTCTGACATTCTGAGTACTCAATATATCGTACCATTGGTTTTCTCCAATTCCTCGTCGTTAGGACATGGACGCTAACTCAGTCTCAGGTGTCCTCTACCTTACTACCCTTTCAACACCCGATTCAAATGAGATTTTGCAGAAGGCTTTGGATGCATTCCTTAGCACTGAAGAGGCTCAAACTTCCCACATCTTACTACGACTGCAATATGAACAGTCAGGCGGCTCCACAGATTTGTGCGCTGAGAACTGTGTGATAACTCTATCCGGCACCCCTTTGTCTCTCGCTTTTGACGACTCTACTCTAGATCCCGTGAAAGAAGCTTGGAAGCACGTCATGGGCGAGGGAGCAGTGGAGTCAGAGTACATGAACTTTCCTGATAGAGAAGGGGAAGCGGATGAAGATGAAGCCAACGAATAATGTCATGGTAAGATGGGGCTTCTAATCGCTGTTGCAACACGTATTTGACTATTAAGTCACTCGTTCAGACTTGCGCCAATGAGCGAGCCATGGATGCTGGACATCACATCCGGATTCTCTTTCAGGTGCTAATGTTAATGCAAACGTCTCTATCCACTACGCTTTTTTCCATAGGCTGGCAATTACTATAATTGATTTCAGAATAATATGTTCCTGTTTCAACACGTCTGCCCTTACCTACTATCATTACCAACTCGGAATTATCGAGAGAATTATCTCGAAATCGAGTCAAATCTGAGTGAAATAAGAAGCAAAGACTATGAACCATGCCAATATCATCCCCGTTAAATCAGATCGTCCATGTTTCCCATTGCAACGTCAGCAATACTCCCTCCGCTTGTTTGTGCAGAGCGAACTGTAAACGCCGGGCTTCCATCGACCCAATCATCACCATCAGAGATCTCTCCCCTGTCGGCGTAGTAATGGCTTGATCGAACGTCATCTTTGTATAGTATGAAGTCCGATGGAGTGAAAGACCAATCTCATTTAATGGTCGCCTTCGACTTCCATATCCTCTCCCTTCTACGCATGCCCATCGTGGGCACCTGCGGGATGCACATCAAGAGGGACCTCTACGCCGATTCGGATCGTCCCGAACGGCACTTGTCCTCCTTGGCCTTCCTGGGCAACACAAATGAGGTTCTTGGTCGCTAGTGTGAGCACGTGGTGGAAGGCCTGGGCTGCGGCAGTACAGGTTCGGCTAGCCTCGTCAGGGAAAAGCTCATCGAACGTGATCCATTTACATCTGTGCTTCCTGCCAGCTCCAATAACAAGCTCATCACCGGCGACGCGAACACCCCACTCACGGGCAAGGGAGACAAGATACTCAAGGAACTTGCGTCCGTCGCTGTCGAGAGCGGAATAGAGCACCTGTGAGGCTGCGCCGCTTACTTCGCCATGTTCATGGTAATGATGGAAGAAGTCCTGCTCGAAGGCAAGGCGCGGTGGAGAAGAAGAGATGCCGGGAGCTCCGGAATGAAGAACCGGGGCGAAGTCGCCAGTGCCGAAGACAGCCTGATCGCTGTAACGCTCTATATCTGGGCCCGGGACGACCATGGCGCCGCGGTGATGCAAAGGGCTAGCGCTAACCTGACGACTGCCAGCCCTGCTGCCTGCCTTGATGGATGAGCTGGGGACTTGAGACGAAGGGCGGTTCCAGGGGAGGTCGGAAGGTGGGTTATTGTCGCTGCCCAAAACTGAGCCCGCACGTCTGCCGAGTTCAATCGGAGGGAATTCATCATCATTCACGAGCAGGCCAGCGGCATCTTCATCGTGTCGCGGGAGTTGCTGTGCGGCCTGATCTGCATCACTGTTGCTCTCAGCACTGAGACGGGGACGAACACGACGTCCATGTTCATCTTCCTCGAGCTCAAGGGCCTCAAGGGCTGTGCGACGACGGCCGCGGACTGCATTGTTAGGTATGATAGCGACCCCAAGAAGAGATACTTGCAGACCCAGACCTGCAAATTGGTCCGCTAACGGGTGGATAAGACCTGGCACTCCTGTAGGAAAACCGACGCCACCAATGCCGCGACCGAAGATCAGGTTAAAGGCGTTCCTGCGGGCCTCGGCAGGAGTAACAGCATTGCGTGGACGAATCGCGCGTTCAGCGTTGGTGAGGTAGTCGGCGCTCCATGACTTGAGCTCTTGTCGAGTAATCTTAGTTTGATCGTCCGGAGTCAACATCGGACGGCGCCGTCGGCGTTGACTGCGCACAGGAGGCTGACTTGAATTGACCCCTTCCACCGCCACTTCCTGTCTGACCTGCTCGGGCTCCTGCCTCTCTTGCTCCACAGGCCGCTCTAATCGCACTGGATGTGAGTGCATCACAAGCACATCACTTCTACCTATGAGAGCATCGCCTTGCTGATCGAAGAGGAGGTTTTCCTCTGGCTGATTCAAGAAAACGCCTTCTTCCTGCGCTTCCAGGCTTGACTGATGAAGTACTTCTGGAGGTTCCATCTCCATCGCATTACCATCTGCATCAATAATGATGCCAACATCTTCAACTGCATGCAAGTGGCGTTCCTCGCCGTCAAATGGTAGCAGACCGTCGTTACTTTTATTCGGAGTCATAGAGTCTTGATCTAAAGGGTCTGGCAGAAGAGAATTACCGCTTAATCCGGGTGAGATAGACTGCGAAAGGTTGAAACCACTGATCGGAGAGCGGTGAAAACTCCGGATCGAGTCGTTTGACTGGAGAGGAGAGAGTTGTGAAGAGGTCTTTCTTGAGGTTTGACTTAATTGTAGCGCAACAGGATTCCCATCCTCGTCAAAATCGAGTGCGGGAAGGTTGATGTTTAGGTCAAAGTTCGGATCATCTTCAAGGATGAGTTCCTTACGCCTATAAACAGGTTAGCCACCATCAGGCGAATATAAGGTTCAATTCCAGAACTCACTTGGATTTGCCTGCTTCCGGGTCAAGGGAATCATCACAGTTCCTCAATGAGGTCCAGAATGCCATCATGTGGGCCTGAACCTTTTCTGCATCGGTCAGGACATAATGGCATTGTTGAGAATAGACCCGAGATAGCCCATAAAGTAGTCTGCCCTGGAGCCGCAGGGCCATGGGGGCATCTGGCTGAAGGATGGTTTCGCATGCCTTCTTCACATTGACTTCCTGAATGGCCTTCCGAGTGATCTTTCTTGTGCTAGAGCGCAGGCCGATGGTTGACACCAACCTAGAGAGGCGTGAGCGTGGTCTTAAGTCAAGACTCTTGGAAGCTCTTTGGCAGGAGCATGGTCTTACCAGACGGTTGCCACACCATACTGGTGATTAGTGAGAACTAGATAATGCAGTCAGTAACTTGACTTTTCGAAACGAGTGTGAACCAATAGCTTTCTCACTCTCGTGACTGTAGAACATGATGGCAAAATTGCGTAGTAATGAGATCCTCTTCAGAGAAGCAGGAAGACTGCCCCGGAGATCCTTTCCTACTAATCAAGATGATGGTATTGATAAAAATGATGGATCATAGACGATGGTACAGGGAACAACGTTGATAGGAGTCGAAGGATGGAAAAGAGTGCGATGATATTGAGGAGGGGAAGTTTGTGAATGAGTCGGAGAAATGTTTCGAGGAGAAATGGATACGGAGTTCGCAATGTCGCGTGGGGGACGCGGCCTGCTTTTGCGCGTTGTGGCTGTCGAAGGCCTGAAAAAATGGGCAGATATAAAAACCGGCGACACTTTGGTAGCTGGTAAAGAAGCAAAAGTACCGGAATGAAAAGGTTATTGCCTGGCAAAAACTCGCGGGCTTAGAGCTTTGAAAAGGTAACCACGAGCTTGGTTGGGTAGGGTTCCGACCTAGCTCTTAATGAAGGAAAGAGCAGTCAAGCTTGTACACGGGATATGTGGAACTATGTTACGGGGCAGATGAGCCTCAGGCAGAAGAATAAGAAGGATACTCGATGGCATATATTTTATAATAGGCCGAGTGTGAAAAGGCGTGCAAAATTTATCTAGAAACTTTCGCGAAGACTGGCGCAAAAAGTAGCAGAAATCCCAACCGCGTCATCTGAGCTTAGTTTAAACATTTACCAATCCTTTGTTGGTTGAGTTGATAACTACCTATAATAATAAGACACCACCCTTTTTGACAGGTCGAATAACAACAATGCAAGCTTGCAACACCGCAGCACAATGGCTACTGTGATGTCGACCCATGCTGAGAGACAGGTACCTATATAAGCATATTGGAAAAAGGCATGATTACTTTCAGGGGGTGCCAAGAGCTTGGATTGCCTAGCCAACAACACAAGCGGATAAACACTTATTATAGATTAGTTGAATGGTAGGTCTAACCAACCCAAGGCACCTAGGATGACTGGCAGGAAAAGCGTCAAGCTTTAAGAAGAACTTGCAATATAAATCTAAGGGTTTCTGACGCAGTAGAATCGTGTACCTGCATTGGCGGTTAAAAACCGGTTGCTCAGCCCAATGGGGACCGCCTGCTCGGCTTGAGACCTCTTTGCAGACCCATGTGGATGGCTGTGTCATACTGCTGGGAGCAGAGTGACGTACATATATGCCCCAAACCAGAGCTAGACGGCCCTAGTCCAGTTCTTCCGCCCCCGTCCCTATGAATTGGCTATTCATGCCTTAAGATATTTTAAGAAGCCCGCCGCACTCTCTGCATGGAAGCCAAGCTCTAAAACTTTATCTCCAAGTTCAACGGTCGTTCTCGTGACCCAGATCTCAGGTCTAGGTGAGGGTAGCCACTGCACTATTGGCCCATGGCTGGCAGGTTTCAGAAGACCTTCGTCAATGCTGTAACCTGGAGGCCTGAAGTCCGCAACCGGCAGATGTCAACTCCGGCTATGGAGGTGGTAAAGTGTGTGTCTAAGCCAGAAAAGATGGAGAACAGCAGAAAATACAGTGTAACACAGTGTGGATGAAATCCCAATGTTATCGGTATCATCGGCTGGGTATAGACGGTGGCAGTGTCGCCGGCCCTGACAGGCGTTTAGACACCATAAGACGAGATGATGCTCAAAGATAGGATGAGATCAACACAACGATGATGATGAAAGATGGGATCAACCCAAAACAGAACGGGTCTGCTATCTCAACCAATCACAGCAAAACGCTGTCTCTAGTGGTCCAATTGAGCCAATTATGTTGCTACGATAACAGCACTCAGCTTATCGATATGCCCCGCCTCAGGGTCGCGGGAGTGGGGAACTATGGGACGGAGCACACAAGTGGATTGCAGATGGCAAGATTTACACTGCCCATGGCGTCTTCGCCTCTGGGTACGACTCTGCGGCCACTGCATGAGACGGCGTTGAGGAGGGTGTTCATTGGCGCAATACAGGAGGGCAGACGAGGAGTACAAAAGGCCTTGCACTATAGCAGATTCCAGTGGAGATCTGTAAATTTTAAAGCTTGATCTTTTCTCCCTCGAAGTCATCCTCTCGGGACTTTCTCACCTAGGCTCGTCATTCACATCGAATCCTATCACTATTTCCCCCATCTCCTTCTTTCCAGCACCTCCCTCCGCTCAACCTCGCGGCCTCATACATCCGCAACATCCCTCAATGGCAGCTACACGGTTTGCAAACCTCCCTGCCGAGGTTCGCGACATCATTGCCAAGAGCGAGGCCGATGGCATCCCCTTCTGTGCGCGCACCGCATATACTCATCGTACATGGGCTCGTACCTTCAGCAGTCTTCCCGAGCTCTTCATCCAACCTGAATCCCTCGAGGAAATTGAGAAGGTCGTCTCGCTCGCCCGCCAATGCCGTCGTCGCATAGTCACTGTCGGCTCGGGCCATTCGCCCTCTGATCTAACCTGCACATCGTCCTGGATGATCAATTTGGACCGGTACAATCGCGTTCTGTCCATTGACAAGGAGACGGGCATTTGCGTCCTGCAGGCTGGAATCCGTCTGTTCCAGCTCAGTGCCGCACTTGAAGCCGCTGGTTTGGCGATGCCTTCGCTCGGCAGTATCAACGAGCAGAGTATCGCTGGCGCCATTAGTACTGGCACCCACGGCAGTAGCCTGCGCCATGGTCTGGTCAGTGAGAGCATCGTTGCCCTGAAGATTACGCTGGCAGATGGCAGGACAGTTTCTTGCTCTGCTGATGAGCGCCCGGACTTGTTTCGTGCTGCATTGCTCTCTGTCGGTGCCCTCGGCATCATAACTGAGGTCACTTTTCGCGCCGTGCCGGCCTTCTCGTTGGCATGGGAAACCACCATCGACTCTGACTCGCGCATTCTGAACACCTGGGATACAAGTCTCTGGACACAGAGCGAGTTCGTGCGCGTATGGTGGTTCCCCTACACCCGTCGCGCCGTGGTTTGGAAGGCTGATGTCGTCCCCTCTGAGGATCTCGCCGGCGGAGTTATCAAGTATTATGATCCTCCTACCAGCTTCCAGGACAGCCGCCTAGGATATCATATCTACCACAACCTCCTTGCTCTAGCACGCTGGTTCCCCCGTATTACCCCCTGGATAGAATGGCTTTTTACTGGACTCCAATACAGCTTCCGCAACGGCCCCACGAAGCTTGTCAGGGGCGTCCAACCTTCTCACAAGGCATTCCTGATGAATTGCCTTTACTCGCAGCATGTAAATGAGTGGGCCATCCCTTTACATAAAGGACCCGAAGCTCTGCGTCGTCTGGCCGCCTGGCTCAACCGCTTGCAACCTGGAGATCCGGGCTATGTCGACCACGGCATCCCTTTCAGCGCTGAGGGCCTCTATGTACATGCACCCATTGAGGTTCGCGCCGCCGATTCTACCGTGCACACCAGTGCGGAGCGTGGCAACAGACCCTTTCTGGACATCACACCTGTTAACGGTCCTGCGCTCTACATTAACGCAACCATGTACCGCCCCTACTTCCGCGACCCGCCGGGCGACACTGTCGAGCGGTACTACAAGGCTTTTGAGTGGCTCATGCGCGATCTAGGTGGTAAGCCACATTGGGCGAAGACCTTCACGGTTGCACCAAGCGAGTTTGCGCAGTGGTTTGGAAAGGACTGGGAGGATTTCATCCGTGTGAGGAACGAAGTGGATCCTCAGGGCATGTTCGTTGGTCCCTGGCACAGACGGTACTTACTTGGTCAGGAGGATCAAAAGGGCAAACTGGAGCTAGAGGAGCTCGGGTTTGAGAAGGAGAACGCGAAGGGAGGAGGATATACCGTGTTTGGACGGCAGAACTAGATAATGGCGTTCTGGAACGTGGGGTCCCCCCCTTGGTCTAGACGATTGTCACATTCGTCAGCTATTTTGGTTGTATATATACAATTTTCACAGCATAGCGCCGCGGGTTGGTTCGTAAGACGATCCGTGTAGACATTATACAGCCGGTCTTCCATCTTGAACAAGTCTAACAAGAACAAGTTTAAGCGATAAGGTCCAAAATCATGCAGTCTTCTCTATCGTCATGCTGTCTCATGTTTGCTCGTGATGTCCCCAAGTCTTTCTAAGCGCCAAGATTGAGCTTCTCGAGCATCTTGTCGATCTTCTCCATCAGCACATGATAGTTGACCGCATCCGATGCGAACTCATCTTCAACCACTTGCCCATTAAGCGCCCGGACACCGCCAAGGTCACCTCCAGTTTCAGCATTCGTCTTTCGTTGGCCCCGTTCCCCTTCTCCCTCCTCCAGACCACCAGCCAAAAGCTCACCGATCCCACCGCCCTCAAACCGCAAGCGAAAACGTTCACCCAGATAATATCGTATGTCGTCGAGCAGCTCGATTGTGTCGGTCTCGTGACGTTCGCTTTTCAGTCTGGCTGCGCTCTCGCGGATGAGCTCCGCGAACTCGTCCGTCTCGACGTAGTCTTCTAGCCGTGAGGCCAGATAGCGGGCGGCAAATTCTTCAAGACGCTGAATCTTGAGATCCCAAGCGGCATGAATAACATCGTACACATTAATGGGCTCTGGTTCGGGCTCTGACGTATTTGACCCTTTTGATTTAGGAGCACACGCCTGGTTCAGATGGGTCCGGTCGACCAAAACATTGCTGTTGCCGCTTCCGAGTGTCGAGATTGTTGCAGCCGCCTTCGTCTTCAGCTGTTCCAGCAGAAGCATATCTGCTGTGTAGAGGAGATCCAGAGCATGCTCTAGCGGGCAAGAGAATTTTTCAGTATACAGAAAGCGCAAAATGATCTCTAGGACCGGGGGGGTGCAGTCAACTGTGATTACGTGTAGTGTTGCTGTGTCATAGGCCTCCCTAAAGTCGGAGGCGAACATGGTCTCGAAATATGGGCTGCGAATCAGGAATGCTTTGTGTGCTGGAAAGAGCACCGAACGACGTATGCGCTTGCTAGTACCATTGAAAATTCTATGGCTGGATGTTGGTCCGATGGGAATGGTGGTTCCGTTCACAGGAATGGAACTTTCTTGATCGTGATCGTCGTTATCCTTCTCCTCCTCCTCCTCCTCTGGCGGTAAAGGCTCATCTGCCCTCAACAAGCAGTTGGCAAAAATGGCGTTATGGTGTGGCCATTTGACATCAGCAACCTCAGCAGTATCGACAATCATTTTGTGCTTGAGCACAGTTTCGTTGAAGAAGGCTTCTATTTGAGCCTGTGCGCGCTGCACCTCGTCTTGATGTCGTTGTCTTGCCAGGCGGCGATCATTTATGGATAACACTTCTTCCCATAACTTTTCTAGCTCAAGCTGCCGGCACAACTTGTCGATGCCGCTGAAAACTTCCTCTTCAGAAACTGCACTTCGTGGAGGAACCAGGTCACGAGGAAGTTCGCCAAGGTAAAGGTAGCGCAAGACAATGCGTAAAGCCTCGACAGGAATGCTCGGCGACACCTTCCAGGTGGTTGTCTCGGGAGTTTCAGAAAGCTTTCGCATGAAGTAAGGCGACCTGGCGCAGAGAATGAACTTGTGCAGGGAGAAGTGCTCGTTGGAGAGAGTCAAGACTATGTCAGAAGTGTGGGGAGAATCCCGCACAAGCAGAGAGGTAATATGCGAGGACCAGGGTTGCAAAGGGTCCGAAGACTTGCTATAGTCATAAGACAACAGCAAGTTCCGTATTTTGTCATTGAGCGCATTATAGACGGCTCTTTCACGCTCGAACGAGCCGGGATCAGCGATAACGCCTGGGCAAGGTGGTCAGCAACGATGCTCAGCAAGTATCTCAGGGGCAAAGAGAATCGACGCCAAAAAAAAAAAAAGAAAAACAAGAAAAAACACACCAGATTCTAACAGCAGCTGGACCAGCTCGTAATGGCCACATAAACTAGCCTGGTTAGGTCAGTCTCAAGTTTTGAAGAAACTTTAGGTATTTCAACCCAGAGGATACGGGAGCAGTTGATGACGCACAATGACAAGCGGCGTGTAGTCAAACTGGTCTCGCGCATTAATATTGATGCCGTTGGATATGGCTTCCTGGCAGTACTTCAAGTCTCCGCGACGACAGGCCTGCAGAAAGTCTTGGAACTCCCTGGACGTATCAAGGGGATGGTCATTTCTGAGCACACCAGCTCGTATCAGATTATTGTCCTCCTTGAGCTTGTTTTCTAACTCAAACTTTCGGAAACTCATGGCCCACGCGTGAGATGTTTAGCGGTCGGAATCAAAGATGCGGGTGTCGAGAAGGATTGAAAGGAGAGTTGGAAGTAACAAATGAGGGATAAAAAGTGGAACACAAAAATATTCAGCAGACCTCGACGGCACAAGTCTTTCTCTTCTGATAATTCTGAATCTCCAAGACTCAATCAAGTGAAATACCCAAGTCTTGCAAATGATCTTGCTGTGGCGCTAGAGACGGATTTGAGATGAAGCACGAGCCAGAAATCCAGGATGCCGCGCCCAAGGTGAGAGAGCCAAGCTGCTAGGCATTGGTCCCTCTGCAGACCCGCAAGGTCGAAGGGGCTCTTCGGAGTAGTGTTTGGAGCAAGTACACTTCACAAGTTGCCTTACTCTGATATCCGGAGATGGTTTAAATCCAGCTATACTTTGCCATATATCAAAGGAATATTCACTCAAAGCTTAGGTATCGTCCTCGATCAATGGTTGTCCTTTTAGTCTCTGGGTGTGAGATGGCCAATCCATGCACGCGAACTGCACAGTGCAGAGCAGCGAGACCCGTAGTAGCCACAGACTCGCCCTGACCATAATTTTGCAGTACAGGCAGTCAGATTGACCTGTTACAAACTCAGTGTAAGGTACCTAGGTAATCAACTCATACTTTTATGCCACTTGTCTGAGCTTAAAAATGGGAAACCCACAGGGTACACAGGTTGATTGTTGGATGTTGGCTCTTCGTGAGAGAAAGTCTTGATAGAGACTATGCACTGTGACCGTGAGCCTTGGTACAAAGCGGCTTTCTTTCTGGGTGCGATGACAAAGCCGAACTTGAGCCCCGCTAGGCCGCCCCAGCCGCTGTGTGACCCTCTCGCGAAGCACAGGTCAAACAGATAGACCCCTGTCTGCCCGGCTTGCCCGCACTGTGGGGCGTTATGTCTAGCTTGGCACGCGTTGCCCAGGCAGCGGCTGGCTTCTGTTGACTCTCCGAGATTTCGAAGGTTTCGATGCGCACCACGTCTGGCCTCTCATGCTTTCTTCCACCATCCCGGATGATCCTGCCATTCACACTTCCGACCAGCACTGGTCGCACAACGTCCGCCATTCACGATTACTAACCGGCCAAAGGCGAGCCTTACAGAAACCAAGAAAGCTCTATTTATGGCTTTTTCTCTTGGAGTCCCTCCACTGAATGCCAGGAGCGCATGATCTAACAGCACGACGAGCATTCCTTTGATCTGCACTACACCAGCTGCTAGTCACATTAGCATCCCACCTGCCGAAAACAAAAGTCAAGATCCAGATCCAGCCAAAGGCACAGGTTGAGACCGCATAGTCATCATGTCCGAGAACGACGAGTATGAGGTGTTGGAGAAGATTGGTCAGTTGCGATTCACCTCCCCAGGAAGACATGCTGCTGACACCTCTCTCTCCAGGCCATGGCTCCTTTGGCATTATCCGAAAAGTCCGGCGAAAGGCCGACGGCAAGATCATGTGCCGTAAGGAGATCAGCTATCTCAAAATGACGCAGAAGGAGCGCGAGCAACTCCACGCTGAATTCCAGATCCTGTCGAGCCTCCGTCATCCCAACATTGTCGGCTACTACCACCGTGAGCACCTCAAGGCCACGCAAGACCTGCATCTTTATATGGAGTATTGTGGCAATGGAGACCTAGGTAGGGTGATCCGAGACCTTGCTGCAAAGAATCAATATGCCGAGGAGTGGTTTGTCTGGAGTATCTTCACCCAGCTGGTGACGGCCCTGTATCGCTGCCATTATGGTGTTGATCCCCCGGAGGTAGGCAAGTCAATCCTCGGCATTCCAGCTCAGCGGCCCAAGCCACCACCGGGAGCGATGACCATTTTGCACCGCGACCTCAAGCCCGAGAATGGTAGGTGGAAAGTCTCGTGCTGCCCTGGTCATCCCAAGTCACGCACACTTGTACAGTGAATCCTAACATATGTTCGTGTTAGTGTTTTTGGGCGAGGACAACTCAGTCAAGCTTGGTGACTTTGGCCTCTCCAAGGTGATGGAGTCGCATGACTTCGCCTCGACATATGTCGGCACACCCTTCTATATGTCTCCTGAGATCTGTGCCGCTGAGAAGTATACGCTCAAGTCGGATATCTGGTCGCTGGGTTGCATCATCTACGAGCTCTGCACGCGTGAGCCGCCCTTCAACGCAAAGACGCATTACCAGCTGGTCCAGAAGATCAAGGAGGGCAAGATCAATCCTCTACCTGCCGTATACTCGCAAGAGCTCTTTTCTATCATCAAGGATTGCTTGCGGGTAAACCCGGATAGGAGGCCAGACACGGCTACCCTGCTCAATCTTCCTGTCGTCCGCTTGATGCGCAAGGAGCGAGAAGTCAATGACTTCAACAAGACGCTCAAACAGAAGGAAGAAAGCCTCAACCGCCGCGTCAAAGAAGTCGAGCAAAAGGCCGCAGCCCTGGAGCAGAAGGCTGCCGCGCTGCAGCAGGAGAAAGCAGCGCTAGAACAGCAAAAGGTAGCTCTTGAGCAGCAAAAGACTGCAATGCGTCAAGAAATCGAGGCCGCGGTCCGGCGTGAGTGGGAGGTCAAGGCTCGCTTGGAAATCGACCGACTGGTCGCTCTTGAAATCGAGCAGCTGCACAAGAAATTTGAACAGGAAGTGCAACTCAGGGTTGAGATGGAGCTGCAAAAGAGGAAGGCAACGATACCGAGCGAGGCTGATCGAACAGATCTCTCATCATCGGCCTCAGGGGCTAGTTCGTCCATCAGCGGAAGAAGTGCCGATAGCGAGCAGACCTCGACGACCGACGCAACTGATCTCACAGTCGAGTCTCCAGACACATCAATGCATCCGCTTAAGAGGAGCGTCACACGCACTCCGTTTACCAGAGCTCACACCATGTTCGCAGCGCCTGTTGGCACACCCATGGACATCGAAATGGCCTCGCCTTCGCCAATGACAGTCCAATCCTTGTCGCTCTCACCCCGGCGCAACTTCCTGGCGAAGCCACCGACAGTAAACCCAGGGAATATCTTCGCAATGGCAGGGGAGAGCAAGGATGGGGCAGCCCGCCGCTCTCTTGCAGACTCGGACACTGACGCCGACGTGGACGTTGACGATGCCAACATCGATGATGATGATATTGTCCCCTCACCGACGCGTCTAATCAAGCATAGCAACAAGAATCCGTTCAACCCAAAGCAGAGACCTCAGCTGCCCGCTCAGCAGACGGTGTTACCCTTCCACCAACGCCTGAAATCTAAGCAATCGACGGCGACTCAGGGCAAGACAGTCACACCCGCTCCCTCAAATTCAGATTTTTCCTCTATACGTCCGGTCGATAGTGGTGTCGCACTTCAGGATCGGTCTAACAGCCCGACCCGGCGTGTCACAAAGATCCCATCAACTATCAACATGCGGAATAATGCCACAGAAACAGCGACGTCGGGAAGCGGCCTGCTTCGTAAGCCAAGCCTATCCAAGAAAGATAGTTGCGATCACCAATCTCAAAACTCCCAAAATATTAACCCTAGCCAACCGTCCTGTCTCAACAAAATCTACTCTGCTCCGAACAGTATTAAGTCTGCTGCTTCGGTCCCGAGCATCACAACGGCGACATCGTGCGGCAATATCCGCGGGCGCACTCTTGTCGAGCTCCAGCAAGCTCGGGCTGGTGGCCGCCCGCTTAGCGCGGTCATGAGTAGCGATGGCCACAACCCGAACTGTGCTCACCACCATCACCATCATCACAACCACACCCACACTCACGTGGTGACCAACACTAGTAGTCCGGTCCGTGCATTTAGGGAACATGCGGCTGCAGCTAATCGCGGTATCGTCCCTGTTACCACGGCTTCGGCGCTAGCCTCCGAACCACCCGCGGTGTGGGATCCAGAGAAGGATGACATGCCAAGTCCATTCCTGGTCAGAAGGAAGCCTGTTAGGGCTTGAATTTCCTTTGGCAAAGTTTCCTCTCCAAGCAAGGTTGTTATATAAATAAGAAGAGATACCCATTGGCTGGTGTTAGCGGAGTTTTTCTGGCATTTTCGATCGTTTCCGGCCCATAACACATTTGCTATGGTGCCGCCTACCTACAGACCTACCTACTCTGTTCGCTCGTTTTGTCTTCCGTTTCCTTTGTCTGAATCCATATCACTTGCTGTTGTCATGAACGCTGTACATGGGGCGCCAACACTTCCAAGTCAGCTCATCTGTTTTGTGGGTTGGGGAAAAAACAAAAAGGGGGGGGGGGAATGAAGGATGGGCACCGAATGATAGGAGAGTGCACTGTTGTGTATCGACAGGCGGATAGAGAGCGCATCACAGCCCTGCATTGCATCGCAGCGCATTGCATATCTCGAGAAGATGACAAAACCTAGTTGATGGCTAATCTGTCTCCACGAGAAGAGGGGTACGTGGTTGGTCTCTTTTGTCTTGTTTAGGGAAAGACGAACCGAGGTCTCGGTGGTCTTACGCTGGTTAAGTGGTTGGTTGACCATTTCTGGATGAGAAACGGGCTAGTTTTTGTTTTTGGGAGTTAGGTTGGTAAAGGGGCGTTGGGGCACGGTGTTTGTTGGCTATTGTCCTTTTATTCCTCTTCAGGTCTTGTGTTTACTCCTGTATAGCATATTACCACTGCCTACCACTAGTTATTACTCCTCCAACTGGTCCTTCCTTCTGTTGCTGTTGTTCTTGTGCTGCATGTTCTGTGGGTCTGCCTTCATGTCTAGGTTTTGCTCATATTCATGCCCAACACCAAGTTCCAACGCCATCGATTCTTAGGATCCCTTTCTGGATGAGGGACAACCCAATAGTACGGGGGGTTGACTCCATTGCCACCATTCACCCAATGAATATTTGAACTCGACATGAATCTAAGCCCCTTACCTTCTCCAGTGGCCCAGTCGAAACCAATTTTTGTAGTTTTCCGCGGACTTCTATTCTGCTTGCTGCTGATTTAGTCTGGAAAAGCGCAAGTTCTTGTCCATGGCTCACGCTGCATTTTCGTCGATCCTCCATCGTGAATATTTCACTAGTGATTTGTTTTCTCCTTTCTCATGTACAGAAAAGAAAAAAATCTGCCACCCCTACCGACGTCACTGACAGCACTCCTTCCCACATTCTTGACTCAGGTTGTTGACCCTTGCCTCTTGGAGTGAGTTGACCATGACAGTTCAAGCTATCCAAGGTGGCTGACACCTCTTCACCTGTGAGAGGTGTACCTTCTGAAGAATGTTTTTGGATTGGGCAACCCAAGCATGTGGCCCTGTGGGTAGAGCTGTTGCATCACAGGCAACTGCTCTGAGAAGCAATCCATCCATATCTTCCTTTCCCATTTTTCCATACGCAGGGAGACCAAAACGGCAATGATAGAGGGGAAAGGGATGTGCGACGGAGTTGATTGGGTGTACTGAACACCTGGTCTCTTGACTCCGCTCTTAAGGCCGTTTATCATTAGATTTATCAAGTGAGCCTTTGTCTCCGCAGCTGTGATAAAAAAAAGAGCCAGACTCATAATTAGAAGTATCGCTATCCCATGCAGTGGTGGACGGGCCTTCTTGGAACTGCAGCTTGTAACAGTCCATTGCCACGCAAACGCCACGCGACATTTCCTCACTACCTGAACACTAGTAGGGGGCTTCCGCCAAAGAGGGGATTTGGTCACAATCTGCTCGACGGTCTCTCTCAGAGAAGCCAGGTCACGGGTGTCACATTTGGATAAAACATCCATGGTGAGCCAGCGCTTCGCAACTGTCATGCTTATTGAAAACTTCTACTTACTCAAGGACGCTTATACTAGCTGTATGTACGAGTGTTCTCGAACCGGTGTGTTGTCGTGAGTATAGAGTACACTACGGATAGTTGCTTGTCTCCTCCCTGTAAACTGAGTGGTAGCAGCATCGGATAGCAGTAGCCGTCGGAGAGAATACCTGTTACCAGCTCTTCTTGGCAGCGAAGCCAAGAACTTGGGTGTGACTTGTGGCTTGCCTAGCTGTTGGCATGTTCTGCCTTGATTCCAAGCCATCTGCGGGGGATGGACTTGAGGAGCAGCATCACAGGCCAGAAAGGGCCCAGAATAAGCAGCAGCCAGGGTTGTGATGCAGCAACGATCGAACGATTTTGCTGCTTCTTTTCGGCGCTTCGCATGTAGCGGCTTCAAAATATGGGAACTTATCAGCCACCACGCGCTCGCCAAGTAAACGACGCTCTTAAGCATATCCTACAGATACCCTGTATGCAGCCATCGACAATCCCTCGGTTAGCTATCTTTTTCCGTCTAGGTATTTTCCAGAGGTTAATCTTTGCTTTTGCAACCATGCAGGCCTGTGCCTGCAGCTTTTCTTGAGGGAGCCGCCAAGGCAAACGTGAGACAATTCGTGCAACGGCTGGAAAACGGCGCCAGCCTCGGCCAACAGGCAGTGGCCCAAGCTTTTTCCTCACGAGCGTTTTGAGATAGAATCCTGTTCCACTCTCCCCGCTCTAACCACATCACCCACCCGCTTAGCGAGTATCACGGCTGCGGTCTGTTGGTAAAGAAATCTTGGGCATCTTCACCAGTCAAGAACAACGATGGATACCTCGACAATCTCCGTTTCCTGATTAGAGAAAACAAGAATCACATGTGAATACAAACTTTGACCTCAGTTCCATCTCCAGATGAGAAGAGTTATGTTGACCAGCTGAAATAGGAGTTTGTCTGGAAATTAGTAGATAGGATCCCAAGACTTGATCTTGCTCCTCTGCCACGGGGTGATCCGCCTGCTAACTACCGAGCAGAAAGAAAGGCACCTCGGCATAGGAATGTGTTGCTTTCACAAGTAAGAATAGTCCACACCACCAGGATCTGTCACTGTGAAGACAAGGACTCAAAAGTTGCTCGATGCGGTGGCAACCTATCGCTGAAGCGGGATGCTAGCGTTCCATGATCTGCGGGATCAGCACTCAATATGTCGCTGATTCCAGATCTCAAAGAGGCATCTTGGTTGCTGCATCCGGCAGGATTCTTTTCTGTCATGTGGGGTGACATACGATCTTGGGGTTGCCGGTTCGGGGACCGACTGCTACCCAGCCAAACTCGTCAGCTCATTGTGATATGTGCACTACATAATTGACTTTCTAGCCTTCCCAGAGGATTGGAACTTCCGGTAAGGTACATTTGTGCTGAAAAAAGAAGTTGCCCCGAAGAGTGGTTTAGGCCCAGTCTACACCATCTTTGCCCAATCTTCAATTCCAAGTCCTCAGCCGAATTCTAACCCTTCCAGAATTGCATCCGTTCCAAAAAAAAAAAAAAAAACCATTGTGTGATCAAGATAATATGCTGCCTTTCAAACCCAAATGAGTAGAGCAGCAAGATTAGCCTGAAAAAGGTCATGAAAACCAAATGATTGGTCTGTCGACCATCTAATATGCCACCGACGCGAACCAGTGGTAATGCCAAGCTAGGGCACATGTGTAACATTCCCTGAATCGTCAGAATACCGGTTGTCTGGGACTATTTGGCATCGGAGATCCGAGACTGATCTTCTTTGGGCGCTGAAAGAAGCGAGGCTTCGCCACCCTTACTACCTTACCTTGGAACAGTGCTGTCAGTTCAACGTCAACTGTTGGTACCGAGGAGTGCCAAATCAGTCGTTATATCAAACGAGATACGATAATTTGGTATCTTTGGCTGTGAATCACAGATGGTCTGGGCACAGAATCGGGCCGCCCATGTCGTTAGCAGGTTGTGTGGTTGCATGCGCCAGTAATGGAAGAGTCACATAGTGTCAATTGCAAGCCTCGAGACCCCCCCTCCCCCTCTCCGGGATCCTGATACCGTAGGAAGCTTCTAGTGCCTACACTCAGTTACCTGCTCCAGCTCTTAACGTTCCTCTGCTTGCGTAGAAACCCCATCCTCATGGGACAAACGGCCCAGGTTCCCGTTCCAGATCGTGAGCAGGTATGCGAACTTGGGAGGACTTCCAGACTAGTAAGTTACAGTAGCTATGGGAAACGGTATGTTATATGCAACTTCAATGACCTACCGAGGAAAGATAAGGATGCTTCTCATTGACGATGCCTGACTAGGGAGTATGTACTTTACAAAAGCATTGTTTGGATTAAGTCTGTGCATACAGTTTGGTTGACTGTCCTATAGTTCAACGGTTTAGTCATGGTATAACCCCAGGTGTGTGCATATAATTCGGACTAAAGGACTCGCGCAGTTCAATCTGGATCCTGAGAAGGCATTTGATGTCCACATATGAGGCTGCCAAAATTGATCATCCTTACTGTGATTATTCAGTCAATAACTGGAGAGGCGTCTTAGATGCCCAATAGCATGGACGGGATATCCGCAGTGGTTGTAGTGAAATTAACTCTCGTGAGATCCGTTTCCGAAACTCATAATGCTCTGCAGCTAAAGGTATGAATATGTCAACAAGCCGTCACAGTTCCCAGACAGCAAGGTTGCTCCGAGCCAGCCCTAGAAGGAAGCTCAAAGACTCAGGGTTACACTAGGATCAGTCAAACCTTCGGTACCCGAGATCGATAATGACACCTTATACCCAGACTATGGCAGCCTAAGACGTTCGAACCGACCTGAATATTGACTTCTTTGAAGCTGTAAGATAGAGTAATCGCTTGGTAATCTTCGTTGCTGCGCAAGATCCAGCGCCGGTGGGGTTTGAGTAAGAGCTGGGGTCTAAACTGTCATGTTGTTACTCTTTACTTTTTCCAACACCAAAAAGGAACCGTCAGCTCCATCTAACGGGCCGCCAACTCTATGATCTATGTTTGTCCGGAACAAGAGTTGCCTCGACAACTGAATCTTGTCTTTAATGAGCGATACTTCGATCTTTGTCTTTAATAAGCCTACCCTTGACCAGACATCGCCAAAAACGCGTATTTTAGAGAACTGATCCGTAGTACATCAGCCTGCTTGCGGAATACACTAGCAGTTTGCTAGCCAGCGATGTAATTGATGACTGCTCAATGGTTTGAATCTTCACGAAGAGCATCGTCCTACGTAAGGTCGCGTGTCTTGTAGATCTGCTTGCGATGATCGACAGGCCGCAAACTCTATTCTTCCCGGGAAAACTGTCTGGGTTACATCAGTGGTGGGTCAAATGCAGCTGATACTTTGTTGACGAACGTAGTGAACTGCTCGGGAACGGAAACGCGATTCCAGATCTTGGCGTCACTGCCGTCAAAATGCCCACTCAAACGACCTTCGCCCACAGAGGGTCAGCGAGTCTTTTGCCATGAGGAACGAATGCAGAATGTGCGCTGATGTCTTGGTTGCATGTGAAAACCGATGAAAAAGCGAACATGCACCATGGATAAGCCCAAGACGTGCTGCCGTCGAGAAATGGAGTGTATGTACTTAGGTACTGTCAAAGATATGCCTTCTCTCACTTCTTGCCGCGTGATTTCGTGCACTGCGGTTTGGAATGTTTGGTGCAGCGAGGATATTGGTCGGTCACTGACGTCGTAACGTTCCGATGAGCTGTTCGGAGGCGGTGGTGGCGGCTCCGCCATGGTTGTCACGAAGCTGCCGGTATGCGTCCGAAATAGGAAGCTGGTTTGCGCTCTTGACAAGTAGCAGCGCGGGATTGTCCCGAGCCCAAAACGTCAAAACGTCCGTCGATCAAGAGCCATTCCAAAAGGGGAACAATGTTCAGGCATGGTGCTAAGCGAGGGACGCTAAGGAACGCCACGTCGATCGCCCGTAACGATGGGTAGACTTCAATTGGAAGACCACCGGTATTGCGTGCAGGGGAAGAAGCTCGACTGTGACCTTGGAATCCAAAGCACGAGAGCACATGCTGTGCAACGTCGCCCTCGAGGCACAAACTGTTGTAGCCTTAGGTTATATAACATCCATCATATAGGGCAAGCAATTAAAGAGCGTCCGAGGTACAGCCGCAGTTGCCCACACAAGACGCGCAACGTACAGCCACAGTTGTGAAAAGGGACGCTGGAAGCTGTGGGTGTCATCGGTCACAAGGCCCGTTCGTCGATAAATCAATGATATATCGTCGCTAACAAATACTCCTGGCACAAGTAGGCTCGTGCAGAGTGCCCGAGGCTGAACCACTATGGGTCTCGTAAAACAGCCAGCGAGTTGAGAGAGGGAATTGCCAGCATGTGCTTCCGATCAGCACATGCTGCTAGCGGGGGAGCAGCAATTGGCGAAATTAATGACATTAGGGCTCGCCGAGATCAGCCACGATGCGGGCTCTACATTAAAGATGAAGGAGCAAGCTCTGTAGTACTTGAATACAGTGTATTACTCAGCATTGCGCAACCTACAAGTCCACGGATTACCCCGCGTCGACAACGGGCCGGCCTTGCGGCTAAGGTTTGAAGCCAGGGCCCTGTGCCGCACGTTGCCGCAGATATGGTCGAGAAAATCAGCCTGGAACCAGGCTTTTCGTCGGCTGGGCGTAGCTCTCCCGAAAAGGGAATATGAAAGCTTCCAAACTGCAGGAAGCATCTGGAGAACGAATGCTGGTAATGACCATACGCTCTGTAACACCACCTAGTGTATGTACAAACCTGAAGACTGTTTGTGTGGCGTTGCTGTGGCTGGTAAATGGTCGCCCATTCAGAGCGGCTGAGAGGCCCACAGCGACCTAATAAAGTGACCAATGGGAGAGATGCCATCTCTTGCTGCTACACCCCACATCGACTTCGTCTCAAATCATGTGTGTTCTTTTTTCCTGACCGGAGGTGGGGGACACGGTACTGGGACGACCTGGGCTATCATCTTTAAGCAACAACACCTGGTATCGCGTCAAACTCCACTATAAAGCTTTTCGCCGCTAAGTTGCAAGTCGAGGAGTAATTCTGGACTTAAGGTGCACATATTCTTGTATGCGCAGGTACCCAAACCGCTACCGAGAGCAACTGGTCTCTCGGCACGTTCCATTCGTAATATTCAGGCCAGCTATTCTTTTCTCATAGTAAGTATAGGACCTATTAGGCTAAGCCTTCTAACTCATATAGGTACCCGAGCAGTCGGGAGAACTGCCAAATTTGTACAGCCATGATTATTGATGAGATGAACTCGCGTAAATTGGATCTTGTCGTTCTATAAGCAGCAGTTATTTGAAGCGCTTGGTGGAAGATGTTTGTGACTTCGGGTTCTTGAACTAAATTAGGTAATCACAGTCGTTCCGACTCTACAATTCTGAGAACAATGATATCAAAATCTCGTTTTGATTCTATTAGTCGAGCTATATCTCAATGATAGGACGACAGCAGTATGATGTTGGCTATTGATGACAATTTACAAGGTATTCAAGACTTCATCAACTGATAACTTATCATCCCATCCTCTATACTCATAACTTGTTGAAGACCATTTTGTACTGAACCAAGGTTATGGCACATATCTGGCGGGATGGGCTTCTCACCCTCCACACTTGTTCCAGTGTCCAGCTAGCACAGAAACCAAAGTGTTCCAAGCACATCGGGTGCACTAAGATGTCAAAAGATCTTCCTGCAAGCCCCTGCAACATGTCAAACATAGGTTCAGACGGGGATAACTCGTTCCGTGCCCACCCGAGTCTAATCCATGTCTCGCATCTCTCGACTTCAGACCCCTGAACCCCGTGGCCAAGTAAATTTAATCAGCCTTGGATGCACTTCTAAGTCAAAGACAATCGCAAGATGATCTCATAAGATTACGCAGCCTTGTTTCCGAGATCCGCCCTGGTGTTTCCTGGGGAACATGGGATGTTAAAGCTCCGATGATTGTTTCTCCACAAATACATGCCAGATGTACCCACTTGCAGAGACCCTCTTTCTGTATCTTAGTAGTGGTTATGCCAAAGTATCTCTCTCGCGACCGTCAACGGCTGTCTCAAAAGTCACCGTGGTTGCCGCCAAAGATTGTAGGATATCCCCGAAGTTGTCCCTTCAAGCATTGCGGATCTCTACCATGGCAAACTTAACTGAAGTAGTCAAAGCATTTGACGTGCACCAGGTTAGGTCAAACATCTACGCAGAAAAAGCAGATCATATTTGGCAGGGCTGGCTTCAAACAATTTGCTGATCGTCGATAGGGAATGCTCAACTTCCGTGGTATGTCAATAGCTGACTTATTGGGAAATAGGGAAGCAACATGGTAGTTTGTACTGTAGCCCAAACCACGTTAGAGAGTGCTCGGCTAAGTAGTCCCTCCAAACAGTAGGTAGTCATGGCCAAACCGCTTCTGAGACGGACGTTTTTCTCTCGCAGCAATGACATGGGGAGCCTGGAGGGCACAATAGACTCGGCAAGCCAAAGTATACACGACCTCGATCAGCGGGGTGTAGGATATCGCAAGGCGCCAATAGTAACTAGGTGGCAAGCGACACAATTGTAGACCTTTGTTTCATGTCAATCATAAGAGCTGCGAAGATCAAGAAAGACAGCAACGGCATAAGACCAGCTCAAATATCCGGTTACAGCATCTCATCCCCTGAAAGCTCGGCGGCGTTGCGTCGTCTCAAGTTTCAATGTCCGTGTGTCGTGAATTGCTCACAGGGGGTCTCAGGGTTGCAGACCAGGGCGCGATGGTACCTTCGGGTCCTTACCGAGCCGTAGAACACCCTCCATGCCAAGCCTTGAACCTTTTGGTTCCGTCGCATCTCCAGGTTTTGGAGCTGGCCTGTGCCTGCAGACGGCCAGCATTTCAGCAGCGATAAAGTTTTGACTTCTAGTTTGATGTGATGCGAATCCCTCAATAATTTTCCGCAAATTGCGCTGGTATACTTGTACAGGCAGAAGATTAGAAACAGAGAGTACCCGTGATTGAATGATAGGCGGTGATAAGTAGTGACTCCCGCTGGGACAGGCAAGGAGGCATGTATATAGATATCTGCCTAGTTATGAATTCAGTTGCCAACGACCTACTGTCCGTCCATGGGATGGTAAAGCTTGCGTATGCTTGAGCAATGAGTTCTTGCGGCTCTTAACTATTTGAAGTTTAGTTGATCAGCGTACAAGCACGTATCCAAAGCATAGCAACAGGGTACGGTAAGCAGACCTGTCTGGGAGCCCATGTCTGCTGTCTGCAGTGCACTTCATGGGTCGAACGTGGCTCGTCTGGAGCCACAAGAACATGCAGACTTACAGTAGCCCCAGCTAACTGGAATCAATAGCTACAGCACATGCTCTGTACTTATTCCGCACCAAAGGAGCAGGACACTGCACGTAGCGATAGGGCTTGACATTGGGCCCAGGCAGCGCATCAGGACGATCGTCGACACACCCAGAGTCAGAGCCAGCGATAATAGGGATGTTATAAGTCCAATCAGGTAACCTTGGGAGTTTGGGCCGAAGTTCGTTAACTACCATGCGCTGGGGGGGTGCGCCATAGGAATCGAGGAGGGAGGGGCGCCGGGAGGGGGTGTGGCTCCCCATGGGCTGCGATCCCTGGCCTAACACAGCATCCCGGGCTCTGAAGTCAGACCCACCGATTTTGTGACAACACAGTGGCCGGCAGCCTTGTTCCGGGGATGACCGTGCGGATTTGTGTGGATTTCCGCTTGATCGCCTAGCCAATTCCCCATGAATGTTCTTCGGGAGATCTGATAGTACAAAAACACCCTGGTTCCCCCCGCCCCATGCCATCCGGCTGCTAACAAGCTTCTTTGCCGATGCACACTGCTTAAATACTTATTCTGTCACATCCCTCCTCCCGATCACCAGATCGGTTCCTTGAATCTCAACTCTCTTCGTCTAGGCCAACCTAAACCCCCAACCCCAACCATTCAAGCCCAAGCAATTCAGCTTCAGATACATCGAGGTCCTTGCTGCCTTGACCCAACTACGATAGCATCGGTCGTGTGGGATAGTTGCTGGTTACTGTCTCCCCGACAAATTCGGCCAGAAGGATCCAATATGGCGAGCTCTACAGTTACAACTCACTTCGCCCATTCTCCGCCGCAAAATGTCCATTATGGCTACGTGTCTCCCCCTTCACCGCCGATGGATGACACGACATCCAAGTGTTCGCTTCCCTCTATTTCCAACCTGCTCGGCCTGGCAGACCAAGGCTCTCCCACTTCCGAAACCTCTCTGCAATCACAGCAACAGCAGCAACAACAACAACAACAACAACAACAACAACAACAACAACAACAACAACAGCAATGTACGAGACTGCCATTATGGTTCTTGTGATGTTCAGCTGCTAACAAGACGGACTCAGCACAAACATCAAAGCCTGAGACACGACCTGTCTCGACCGGTTATGGGGGAGTCACAGCTCCAGCATTACCGGTGCCCAAGACAGCCTTCCCTCCAAGTCCACCCCTGACTTCGGACTCTTCTTTTGATAACTTCAATCCTCCATCTGCTCGCCCTCTGAGCCAAGTATCGAATGGGTCAAGCTATTATTTTGAGACGACGCCGCCTCTCCAACTGGATCACCCCGAGTCCCGACAGATGCCTTCCTCAGCTACCGCGCCTCCCTCCCGTGTCTCGGTTCAGAGCTCCGCGTATCAACCCCATTACACTGGTCCGACCTATCTCGGTCAACCAGCAATGACTTCTTATTACCCGCCCCCGCAGCCTCCTGTTTCTGCTCTTTACTACCAGCGGCCACTTCCCCAGGTAGGTTTTCCTTGCCATTGGTTCCTTCTTAGTTCAGCTAACCAAAACTCTTTAGAACTTCCCACCCCCGCTTTCCATGCCCATGACTCTTGCACCTACGGCGGCTGCTGGTGCAGCCAACCCATGGCAACACCACCACTACCTTGCACCATCATCGACAGCATCCTACCCGCAGAGCCAGGACCGGTACATCTGCCCAACATGCAACAAGGCCTTTTCTCGTCCCAGCTCTCTGCGCATCCACAGCCACTCGCATACAGGCGAAAAGCCCTTCAAGTGCCCCTTTCCTGGATGTGGCAAGGCCTTCAGTGTACGCAGCAATATGAAACGTCACGAACGTGGCTGCCACAACTACGACAGCGGGAGCACCCATAGCAGGAGTAGCAGCGTCGGCAGCAGCCTCAGCACTAGCCTTGGCATCGGCAGGCCGTAAGCCTTCTTGTGTGCTATAGTAGAGTGTTCCTCTCCTTCCAAGTCCGACGGACTGTTCGATCATATATAGACCTCTCGCAGCAGCACGTCCTGTGACCCTGGTGGTATAGGAGTGCTTGCCAATTACAACTGCAACGGCAACTAGTCTTAGTTCCTAATTGTTTTATTTTGGGGGCGGTGTTTTAAATTGCTTAGGAAGAGAGATACCCACGATACAAACTACACTACAGCCGGCACTGTTTCAGGAACGGCGCATGGGGAAAGATAGGATAAGATTTTCGGGTCTGGTGATAAAAGAGGACTTTAAGCACAGTGGTAACAGAGAAAGTGAGCATCACAATCTTGGGAACGGTTTTGGTTAGCATTCTCGAAGAAGGGCATTCTCATTCGTTAACTCTATGGCTCCTAGCTATACCCCAATGGTTTTGCTTCTCTCGCCGCTCTCACTATCGCATAATGTGTAGATGTTACATGTTATAGGACCAAACGTTCACTAAGTTCCTCATTTCTTAACAAGATTTGAAATTCAACAAGAAATCCTTTCGAAGTGACGGAGTTGCCACCTATCTTTGATTCCCCCATAGGTCAGCCGCCTGCGTGTTTTAACATTAATACAAGTAAGACATCGACTTCCTAACTGTGCCTGTCTATGGCTTGCACACTCACTCCAAGCAAACTGCATATTAACTAAGCCATGCACTACATGCGAAACAGGCTATCTGGCTACCTGGATCGGTGTAAGGACAGTGTAAACATGGTCCGCACGAACCGTGGGCATCGCAACCGCAGGAGTAACTTGGGTTACCTAACAGAGCTGAGATGCCCTGAAGCCTTGGACTCGAATCCCGGGGACTTGGAACGCATATCGATTCGCTCGTGACAGCACAAGGAAGACCCGGAAACATGGATCGCCTCCCGATTTGTGGAAAGCATTCCGGAAGACTTACAGGGGCCCACAAAGCCACCCCACGGGCCTCTCTGGCAAACAGCACAACCAGACCAGCCTAGAAAGACAGATCAGCAAGCCCAGCAAGCGTCGACAATCACCCGCGCTCAATCCGTATGTAGTAAAGTTATGGATGCACATTAGTGCACAGAGCATGCATTGATGACCAACAAGCAAATGCCAGCTAGGCGGACCATCAGTCATAATCCATGGCAGGCTACCTCATCAGGGAAGCTCACTCAACAGCTGAGCATGAAGTGGCTGTCCGCATGAACAGAAAGGACTCAGAGCGGAGATGGGACCATGACCTAAAACAAGTGGGCGGGACCATTAACATGCTCGATCGCCATAAATGGTCATGCTTGAGAGACATCATGCAGACCGCCTTTTTGGGCATCATTTTTGCTCTTTGCTGTGGATCATCCCGCGCTGTTGGCAGATTGCTGTGCAACTCTTCTCTGCGTGTGCGGACATGTTTGCCAGATGAGAAGAGGGAGCCCGACGAAGTGGGCTCTCCTCAAGTTCCCGCGTGTGCCGACTGAGACGAGACCCAGATCCTTGCCGTTGGATTTAATCTCCACAAAGCTAGCAGGGGTGTGTGTTGACGATCAGCCGGGGGGGGGCGAATTTGGGAGAGTGGGGATCTTGTGATGTGCTCTCGGTCAAAGGTCCCAGCTTTGTGGTTTATGGTCTTTGGTCGCGGCTGTTGTCGGGACCTGGACGAGAACAAAAGTATGGGGAAAAGAAAGCTCAGGGGCAGAGACAACGGGGAGAACTAATAAGACAAAAGTACTCAAAAGAAAGCGAACTGATCCCCAAACAGAAGTCCAGTTACCGGCAGTGTGCTGCTCTCCCGATCACCTATCACCCACAATGCTAACATACCAGGATGATAACGACGTCAGTTCGTCTATAGCGCCAACTAAAGGCGAGATCCATCGCCTGGATGATTGTTTAACTGTCTTGAAAACCGTTAGCTTGCGTGTAAGGATATGTATACCTTGATACCTGCCTAGGTAGGCAACTCAGATGTCGCAACGGCTGGTCAGCTCATCAGGTTCGGATGATCCGTCGAAATTCTGCATTGCAATATCAGTATACGTACAAGCAATGCAGAGCAAAGCCGCTAATAAAATCTCTCCTTGCAATCCTCTTGTTACCAACAAGCAGGAACTTTTTTTAACTCAAGATGAAGACTTCCTTGCGACAAATCCAGAGTGCATATTTTAGTTCTGTGTTCGAAATTCCAACGGTAGACAACAAAGGGACTTGCTGACAAAAGAAACAAGGGTGTGCACTTTGAACATTGGGCGCATGCATGCTTTCCCCATAAGAGCTTGATTCTGCATACTAACACCCTTCTGGTAAATGCCCTCGGATGAAAATAGATCAGCCACATGGTGTTACTGACGGAGTCGCTCCCCCTTCTGTATCCTCCAACTTATGTGCACATCACATTTGATAGGGAATGACAACCCATCCAGTCGAAACATATTTACCTGGACCATGTTATTGTTATGTCCATTATATTAAAAGCAGATGAGATTCAATGTAATCAAAATTGCTGGCCAGTCCCTCACTACGGATTACTGGGCCCTTGTATGCACAAGCCGTTACTGGATAGGAAGCACAAGTACATACCGAGAAGTACCGGTCGAGTACGTACTTCAGTGCCGACAAATTAGCACACACAACAGGGGCACCCGATTGATGCCCAATTTTCACTGGCCATGTCGATCACCGAGAGGTCATCTTGGTAACAGTGGGGAAGAGGAAAGTCAGAAGAGGCGATCTGGACGCGCCAAGCCCTGCTAACGTGCAAAGTTTTGGTTTGCCGATCAAAGATCACCAAGGATCATCTTCCCTCCCGGGTTTTACAGAAGAGGATGTTTACTAAGTACATGTTGCGAAGCTCCCTAGATATTGATCGATATACTTACACGAACCCAAGATAATTATAACCCATGGAAGCTAGAAGTGTCGTTCGCGGAAAGGCTAGTTGCGAACGCTTATCAAGAGGGCTCATTCAAACACGAGAATCCCGTTCAAATTTCAGGATCAGGGGGTCACTTTAACCACGATCGGGATTCATCGGTGAACATTGTGGATTTTGATGAACTGGCCAAAACTTGGTCGGGTCAAGCTATGTATACAGTAGGTAGGCATGTCTCTAATTCTGCATCGCATTGTGGCATTTACGCAAAACCAATTGCAAACACAGATGTGTGGGACACCCTAGCTGTACGAATCGGTAAGAAGTACCTACAAACCTACCTACGGGTTAATATTCGCACGACTTACCTACTTACTTACCTTACCTATGTTGTTGCACTTTGATACAATATGTTCCGACGATCTATTTGGCCGAGGAATTCACTTTTGATTGGACAGAGGATGAAAAGCTTGGTTGCTGAGCCCTTTTCACCGTCTGATTCTACCTCACTACCCGATCCGAGGAATGTTTTGGGCAGAAACAGTTATGCTCATTGTGTGGGAAATCCAGATTCGGGAATAGGTAGGGAGGTAGGTTCCGTTGTGCTGGAAAGCCACGCTCTTCCCAGCCCACGCCATCTGCCCGCCTCCCGAGATCTATTGTTTCACCGATCACCACAAGACAAAATTTAGCGCCATCCTTTGTGGCTGGGAATTGCGCATCATCGCCGATCGCCATGTCAGAGCACTGGCTCCACCCAAGACCCGTCAACCTGGGAAAATGGCAAGTCCAGCCCATTAACAAGCAATCGCAGTGAAGAAGCTTTGCTGCTGAAATCTCTCGAACGACATCACGTGTTGTTCAAAAATGTAGCATAACATTAAAACAATGCGCTTCCCTGCTGATGCATGACTGACCAATCTTCTAGAATAATCCCGTTTGTCACATGCCGAGACGCCAGCGAAAGTGTGTGGTACGATGTACAACAAGTACATGGTACCCCTGGCATGCTTAGCTGTCTTCAAATCCATCACACCAGAAACTCGGGCGCTCGCTCTGGCAAGTAACAAGGACGACCATATCCTCCCGGACAACGTCTGCCCGGCGACCCGTTCTCACCACCCGCGACTTTTTTTTTGGGGGGGGGGCTGCTGTCCATATAGGCATAGTTGTACCAGAGCGCCACATTGTGGAACCCCGGAATCCCGAGACCGACGAGTGAAAAAAAAAAAGCGTGGACTTGCCAACAGTTCCCCGGCTGGCCGGTCTCTGCGCCAGCATTCGGCGATGCAGAGCGCAGCTAAACACTTTGTACAAGAGTATTGGTAATTGTACACCGCAAGCAGCAGTCTATGCATATTTAGCTGTGAGCAATTTTTGCGTTGCCTTCCCAATGTTCAGCACCGAGAACAGAAACCTGGGAGCTACTGATGTACGTACTTATACCACTACCTTGTAACTTTCCTACACAGTACAGTCGTAAGCTCCCGACAGTGTCCAGTGACGGATGCCCTGGACCAATCTCCTAGTATTCACCCGGCTCATCAGCCGCCCCTCCATCCTCCCCTGTTTGTGGGCCCTTTGCTGTGCTCGTTGTGTTTGACATTAAATCCCCGCGCAGATCACAACGCTATCCCCTTTGAATGTGTTACGGAACTCCATCCAGCACACAGGGACCAGTCGTTGCTCCAGCGGAGCGGTTGGCGGATTTGGTAGCTTATTACTACCTAAGTAGTGTACTTGGAGCCAGCGCAGGGAGACAGGGCCTGGAAAGTAGTCATTATCGCATCTGGACACAACGTCCCGCAATCATAAGAGAGGGAGCGCTAGGGTGCCATGGATGGCCAGCCTGTCGGTGCTGGTCGCTGTTCGCCCCTCCCATTGCTCTCATTCTCTCATTGGCAAAACCCTCCAACACCCGCTGAACTCACGAATCAGCATACCGTCTGGAAGCAATGCAGCAGCCGCCAGAGCTCGGAAAATCTATAGACTTAGCTACCTCCCCGCCTTTTATCGCTTTCATTTCGTCAAGATGCATGTCTCGAGCGAGGGCATGCAAGCACCCAGAACTTGCAGCGCTCTGCATCTTCGTCACCTACACAATACTTTGTTATGTAATGGG